GGAGGTGGACAACATTTGTCTGTGGGACGGCGGCGTTTCGAACTACGACGAAAAACAGCGACAGAACGACTTCGCGAAAAACTACGCATTGGTTGTCCTGCAGGCGGAGCACGAGCCTCTCGTGTTGGAGGAGTGCAACAACGAGAACTACGACCGCGCACCAACTTCGTCGAGGAGCAGTGATTCGTACGACCACGAGCGGCTCTACGAGCACTGCTCTTTTTTATCAGCGCAGAACTCCGTGGACTCGCTTTGGACGATTGCGCCCTACGAAGTGTCCGGGGGGCTGGACCATATCAAATGCAAAAATGTCTGGGTCTGGAACAAAGCAACTTGTCATGCTAGATCTGAATCATGTAAAATAAATCTGTGTTGCATGATTACCAAAAGCGGCTCACTTTTGACCTAATCGCGAGGCAGTTTCTCATGCAGGATAGGCATGATAGAACTCTCACAGAGTCTGTCATGCTATGTCCTACGTACCAGATCTCATGGGTCATGGAAAACCTGCATGACGTGTCTGGCATTCGTCCAGACCCAGACATTTGCGCAGTTGATAGACCAGCCAGCGTTGCAGCTACAGATCAACGAACCGAATGTAGAGGTCGACAGCGAAACCGGACAGGTCGAATTTCTGATGAAGCTGAAAACCGAGGAACAGGGCAGGGAAAAAACGCGGGCGGGAAGGCGCGCCGGAGTGATCACGGCGACCTTAGCAAGTGCTGGGGGCAAGCTCAGCTCGGAGCACGCGCGTGGTGGTGCCAGTCGTGGTGGTGCACATGAAGCGAAAGCGGCTGCGGCTTCTGCTGCCGCACGAGGAGGACTACACCTCCGCGGCCCGGGCGGAGAGACACATCAAACGAGCGCGGATAGTATTACCCTCGCCAGCACCGCAGGAGCGCAGGAGGGTAGAAGTCGTCCTGTCGTCAGTACATCAGCGGGGGGCGTGTCGCCACTTTCAGACGATCGGAACGCGTTAGTTGAGCAGTCCCCCCCAGGGCTTGCTGCGTCTCAGGACCCCGCGATACATCAAGATGACGCGACACAAGACCACCTGGACCTGATCCCCACCCCAACACCACTACGGACACCTCCGCCAACCAGTGCGACCACACACGCTGGGGGAGAGACCACGTCATCCAGTCAGGAGCATGATGTGGAAGCTGCTCCTGCGCAAGACCACGGCGCTCGTTCAGTAACTAGTCATGCCGCGTCATCTTCTTCAACCGGCGAAGTAGGGGCCGGAATGAACAACCAAATAAGTACTTCTACTTCATTGCCACCGCCGCCCCCGATGCCGCCACCGAGACTTCCGCCGCATTCCCCGCTTCCTTTCCGGCCGCAAACCAGCGCCGAGGAGAGCGGGGAAGGTGAAGATCAAGATGCGCCAGGCTCTCAAGATGAAATGAACACCCCGAATTTCCCCTTTTTTCCCGCCACCTGGACGCCGGTGCATGTGCACGAGATGCAGTCGTCTCAGGAGGAGCAGGTTGTACAGGAGATAGATATTTCATCTCAAGACCACCTACAACTACAGCAGCCGCAAGATGGAGGTCGTGTTGACAACGGAGCCGGCGTGCAGCTGCAAGAAGAAGGGGACGACAACATCCTGAGTAACACCAGCAGTCCAGATTTCATCATTCCAAGTCAAGAAATGTCTGAAGTCCCCGGCGTGTCCCACGACGATCTCGTCCGTGCGGTGCGAGAGCAAACGGCGAACGCAGAGGGGATAGTGACCTCAACAACCAGCGGCTTCACGCCCTACCCCTCGCCAGCACAAGTTCTGGAGGATGAAGAAGTAGAAGCAGGACAACTACAACCTGGACGAGCAGGACCCGTAGCACGACCTGAATCTTCATCTTCTGCGCAGCCTGTCGACCCTAATGAAGATGTGGTCGTGACCGTGAACAACACGAATCTTTGGTCGGGCTTGAACATCAACATTGCTGTCGTGGACGACGCGCCGACCTCGTCCAGCGCACCGCCGCCCGTAGCTCCTGCCCAAGAACCTCCTAACACTGCAACTGCTCCCCATCATGATCTCCCACCATCGCCGCCAGGATTGGACGAGAGCAGAATGCAGGAACTACTCGCAGAGGCGTCCTCGGCATTAGCATTGTCGCAAGACGAGCAGCATCAACCGGCGACGCCAGTCTTATTCGAGTGGGAACAGCCATCTAGCGGAAACAACTTTAATTTGAATACAGGAACTGCAGGGACGAGCAGTAGTAGTGGTAGTTCCGGAGAAGCTCATATTCCTGCCATTCCTGCTGGTGCACAACTCGAGCGATCTGCTGGTGGTGCTTCCATGGCAGAGGGACGGCCTAACCCTAACCTCCGACCGGTGGACTTCCTCCCCGCGGGGCAGGAAACGCCGGGCACCGGGGCTCAGACGCCAGAGGAACAGTCTTCCTTGCAGAGACAGGACGGGATTGACTACGAGATCGGCATATGAATTGGAAAAGTATCGTAATCGTAGTAGTGTAGACCGCATGACAAATAATTTGCTCAGCATGAGAAACGGATGACTTTGTGATGCGGATTCACCTCAAGAAGGAGACTTGTCGTGCATGACTGCGATTACTACGAGTTTGGTACCTTTTGCACAGCATACGGAATTGCGCCAGAAGAGCAGCAGTTTGACGGGTCCACGGAGAATTCGTCCGCGAACATATCCTGTGCAAAAGTATCGTACTCGTAGTAATTGCATTTATGCATTACAAATCCCTTTCTCAAGGAAAATCAGCATTACAAATTCCATTTGTAATGCAGAGGAAATTTGTCATGCCATTCCTACTAGTACGGTGCTTTTGCAATTCATAGAACAATCCGTCAAGCAACGACGAGCCGGACTACCACATTGTGTACCGGGCCGAGCAGCCGGAGGAAGAAGAGGACGAGGAAGGGATTATCCTGTGCAAAAGTATCGTACTCGTTCTCGTATTGCAATCATGCATTACAAAGCTTTGTTTTAAGGTAAAACAGCATTACAAATTTCATTTCTCGTCATGCTGAGGGAAGCTGTAATGCATTTATACGAGTGCGATACTTTTGCACTGCATAGGGATAGAGCATCAACATGGCAGCGGCCACGAGGCGAATCTCAACAGCGACCAGGACCGCGAAGGAGATGCTGAAGACGAAGAGATTCGAAGTGAGGAAGTGGAGCCTGAAGAACGCCGCAGCGACGAGGAAGTTGAAGAGATTTACGACCACCACGATCTCCCCGAAGAAGACCCGCCAGGGTCAACGTCGAGCAGCGGTCGCGAGAACCGTAGTGGCGCTAGTACTCCGTCGCGGTCCTCTTCAGCTGATGACCGTCGTGACGAGTCTGGTCCTCGTTTAGGCCGAAGCACTACTGGTGCTGCGGCTGATATTCCTGTTCCTGTTCCTGACCCGACTGAGGGAGGAACAAGATCCTCCTCTGCCTCGGCACCACCACAGGCAGGACGAGGTGCGTCATCTTTTGCACAAGTAGGACTTCCGACGGGGCCGTCCGGTGGGGCTGCGCGCCAAGGGGGAACTTGGGTGTCCACGGTACTGGAACCAACGACGGCTGCAGCTGCAGGAGCGGGGAGAACAATTGTTGGCTCTCGTTCAGCAAATCCGATACAATCTCGTCGACCTGCACCCGCAGCAGGAGCTTATGACACTGCTCAACTCCCCCTCCCCCTCATTTGTCATGCAAAATCCCCAATCTACGTCTACCTTCTGCTTGTTAGCACTCTTTGCATGACAGATTCCGAAAGCGAAAACAGCACTACAATCAGCTAGGAATTTGTCATGCAAAAGCTACATCTTTGCCAGCGCTTGTGTTGCTGTTCATGCAACACAAATGAGGGGGAGGGGGAGTTGTGCACTCTCATAGAGCTCCGCCGCGGAATAGAACCCCGTTTCAGCCGGACTTGGTCATCGCAGCGCAAGCCGCATATCAAATGCAAAAATGTCTGGGTCTGGAATGTTGCCGGGTTTGTCATGCATATTTTGCATGACCCAGGATGTCTGTAATGCACGATCTAGCATCACAGACTTGTAGAAGGCTTCGTCATGCCTACTCCGCATGACAAATGCCCTCCATACAGTGTTAGCGAGAAGTAAGGTAAAGATAACATAAGTGCCCGGGGATGAAGAAGTACTCGCGATGTTTTTCGCGGTTGTGACCCTAGATCTCCTGCGTCCGAAGCTGCTTGCGGCGACGGTGCAAAGGTTTTTGATGTGGTGCAGTCGGGTATGCATGACAAATGCCCTCCCCGCGTAGCAGAAACTAGACTCCTCTTGCGGGTTATGCAATACAGATTTTTCTAGAATCCTCTGCCCCCGTCTAAACTGTTGGGCATCTTCTTCCCCTTCGGTATTCGGGTGCAGGGAAGGGTGTTCGGGGTTGCTTCCCCCTCGGTTCTCGATGGTGGGTCTGCATTTGTGATCGCGGGGCAGTGGTTGGTTGAGGTTCTGTGGAGTTCCTCCAGGTGATACTCCCGCTCCTCTACCCGGTGGTGATCTTGCATCACTGCCACATGGGGCCACCCCGTGCTCAACCCCAGGGGATTATGGCCCCCTCTTTTTCGACGCGTTCGGACTGAGGATTGTTCCATTTTCCCTTAGTAGCATCACCTCAGGGTTCCGGGTTCCAAAGTTAGCATCACAAGTTCCAACCTTCCAGACCCAGACATTTTTGCATTTGATACCGCAAGGGAGGCTGCCAATCCCTACAATGAAGACTATTTGGAAGAGCGGGACGACTTTGCGGACCCCCCGCCACGTTCCGAAGACCTCCCGGGGGTTGTACAAGGAGCTGGTGGAGGAAGTAGCAGCGCGGCACAAGGAGCACAAGCTCCAGTGGCAGCTGCTCAAGCGTATCAAGGAGCTGTTGCACAGGGCGGTACTGGTATGACATCGCTCGTGCAGCAATTGCAGGCGGCAGCAGGAAGTGGAAGTGGAGTTGCACTTGATGCACCAAATTCAACATCTCAACCGCAAACGCCGGAAGGACTTCTAAATGCAGCAACCGTAGATGAACTTGCAGCAGGACCCACAAATAATGATCCGAACCAGCAAACCGAGCGAACAACTACCCTTCCCCCGCCTCCTCTGATCGGGCCCCAGCACCAACAACCGGAGACACCACCGCAAATGCCTCCCCCGAAAAAACTTGCGAAGGTTTTGATCGGGGTGCACAGTAAAAGGCTGTATCATATGTAAAAACGTCCCCACCCCATAGTCAAGTTGGGAACTTAGCAACACAAATCCAGAACTCTTGGTAGCCACGCATGACAAGTTGCAGTCCGTAGTGTAGTGCATGTTAGCAAGGACAACCGCATCACAAATCCATCTGCTTATCGTGTTTGCAGCATTACGAATTCCAAAACACGACTGGCAATGCATCTCCTGGAGATGCGTATTACAAATCTTCCTGTAATCGCAAATCTGCATGACAACTTTGGGGTGGGGACATTTTCACTCAGGATAGGCTGCACGACTGCGTCAACGTGAACACCGTCCGCTGGTGGATGGCGAAGCTGCACCAGTTATGCATTGCAAAAGTGTCGTACTCGTATTGCAGTCATGCATTACAAATCTTTTTCTTAAGGTAGATCCGCATTACAAATGTTATTTCTCATGCTGTTTTAATGCATTTAGACGAGTCCAATAATTTTGCAACGCATACCAGTTCCGGACCGACAAAAAGAAGCTGAAAGAGATCCTGTTCTACATGCCGGACACGGTGTGGAACTTTATGGCGACCGACTCGGCAGACGAACGGTGGTCGCGGCCGATCTGGGACCCGTTTTTTGTGAAAGCTACCCTCAAAGTCCCGGACACCAATTTGTACAGTGAGAAGCAACTTATTCTAGCCACCAAAGGAACTTCCTTTACCGACCCGTTTACCGGCTCCAGCGACCGCAATCACGTCACCCAGCCGCGCTTCCCGGGTCTGTATCTCGGCCCCGCGATCTGGTACACGGGGCTGTTGGCAAACCGGTGGCGGTTATGGAAGTGTCAGGATTGAAATCGACAAAGTTGAAATGATTTGCCATGCGTAAAATGGATGCCAGTTGGAACACAGTTCCCAAGTGGCGAATGACAAATGTTGGTGGTGCCTAAATCCAGTTTGTAATGCTGTTTGGGTAAGGAGGACGCCTTTTGTCATGCTGCTTTAGCAGGTCTGTTTCTACCCCTCAACAGGCTCACAACCTGCCTCCCTTGCCTACTCTGCAAGATGCGCACTTTGTGGGTTGCGTTTTATGCATCACAAACTATTTCAACTCTGACGATTTCAATCCTGACGCTTCCATAGCGGTCAGACGTGCAGCAGGTTTCGGCGTCTGACTACTGGCATCCGGAGGCGGCGGTTCCCGTCGGGAAGGTTACTTCACTGTTGGAGCACGCGATGCTCTCTAACGACATCACCTTAACCAGACTAGTTTTGTCTACGCCGCACGAGTTGCTGCACCCCTACTTCTGGAATGGGCAGTGTTCCTGGGCACGGTCCTGTGGGAATTTAGCGTTTGAGATGCGTACGCAGTGCAAAAGCTAAAGCATCGTACTAGTAGAAATCGCATTACAAATTCGGTCAGCATGACAAATGGAATTTGTCATGTGGATTTAGCTTAGGGAAAAAATTTGTAATGCATGATTGCGATTACTACGAGAACGATACTTTTGCACAGGATAATGCGGCTAGCGGAACGGAACCATCCACGGAACGCGTTTGTGGAAAAGCAGTGGTCGATATGCAACACAAATTTCCCGCACATGTAGTACAAGATGCATCACAAATTTCACGACCAATTTGGGGCGTTGTAACGCTTGTCATGCTAAACTAAGATCGGAGCCAAGTTTTGTCATGCAGAGACGGAGACCGCATTTGTAAGTATGTGTGCGGGAAAAGGAAATTTACTCTGGATAGTCGGTGGTCGGAAATCAAGCGGAGTCGTACTATGGGTTCAGTGAGCTGGCGCAGTACAGTTTATATCCTGTGCAAAAGCATCGTAGTCTTAGTAATTGCATTTATGCATTACAAATTTCTTTCTCAAGGCAAATCAGCATTACAAATTCAATTTGTAATGCTGAGGAAATTTGTAATGCGATTTCTACTAGTTGTACGATGCTTTTGCATTTCATAGTTTACTCCGCAAAGAATTCGAAGTGGAGCGGACCGCTTCGAGGGCCACCGTCGCGGCAAAGAAACAGAAAGATAAAAGAAGCCTGGCACAGCAGGAGCAGATGAAGCAGGAAAAGAAACATCAAACAGGTCCTGCTGTTTCATCTCTCTTGTGCGACGAAACTACAGCCAGAAGTGCAGGAGCTGCACGCGCCGCTGAGAATAGTTCTTTCTCGGTTGCTCAAGTAGATGAACAAGAAGGGATCATGATGTCACTGTCCTCAGCGCCAACTACATCTCGTCCACCGCACCAAAATGATTCCAACGGTGAAGTTCTTCCGGATTGGAGCCATTCGATAATGAGCGCCGTGAACCAAGGGCAGCGCATGCGTCAAGCCGCGTTGAAAGACCCCGATCCGGTTTTCGCTGGCTACCTGAAAGGCACTGGCTGGCTGGCAAGCAGTAAAAATTATTCCGTGGCGGGTCGTCGAGGTGGGAACAAGCACGCGGAAGAACATAGTAATAGTACCACTGCTGCAACAACAAACGCAAAGCCTGCTGGTTTATTTGGTCGTACAAGTAGTTGCGAACAAAGAACTACGGCGGGAAGAACATCCGTGTCTTTGACGTCCGTTCCAATTCCGATCGCATCTGCTCTGAAGGGCGGGAAACACACCGATCACGACGTCGGACAAGAAGAAGAAGGTAAAGGTTCCTTGCACTTGCTGCCTATTCCCTCATCTGTGCCCGCAAATATGAAAGTTCGCCACTTCAAGCAGAGGCACGCGAGCGGCAGCGACCTCTTTTTCAACCAGTACGTGACGACAGATACTCTGGCGCAGTACAGCGACAGGCTTTTGGAGGTTTTATACGAAAAAGTGATTTCGGATGAAAAGCCGGTGCAGATGAAGCCGGTGATTTTTGCTGGAACAAGTTCGAGTACCGCTGCGGACAGTGCAAGTACTTCGGGAGACACAACGTCAAGAACTACATTTGTGAAAATCCTGAACCACTTCACCGACATGCTGAATCACAAACTGCCCCCCGTTTTGCAGAGAGTGATGCAAAATCTAGACGCGTTTTGGCAGCAGCAGAATCAGAAAACAAACGACAACTCGTCCCAGCTGAGGGCGTTGCCAAAAGAACTCAAGCTTCTCGAATACAATCACGGGGAGGTGGACTACCAAGGGATCAAGCCGATCGCAGACCTGCTGAAAGAAACGATTGTTTCAAGAAATTCTTTCTTAACCGCGGCAGAAAGAAAAATGCTTTCCCAGCACTCCTCGAGCTTCGTCTTCCCGACGAATATAAAACCAGTCGGTGTGCAGCAGCTTTTTCGACGACAGAATTTCTTCGACGCCTTATTCGCGAAATATGATTGTGCACAACTCCCCCTCCCCCTCATTTGTCATGCAAGATACCTAATTGACAGCTTGGCTCTTGGCACTGTTTGCATGACAAGTTCTGGCAGCCCAAATAGCGCTACGGCTACGCTCCTGTCCGAATTTGTCATGCACAACCGGTATTCTTGCTGGCGCTTGTAATGCTGTTCATACAATAACAATACAAGTAAGGGGGAGGGGGAGTTGTGCTCTTTCATACGAAAAGAAGGCATTTCCTCGCCGATAACTACCCGGTGCACGGCGCGCGGATTCACGCCTCGGTTGCGATGGGCGACAGTTTATCAAATGTAAAAATGTCTGGGTCTGGAAACTTGTGATGCTGGGTGGCGTCTCATGATGAGGCCAGAAATGCCGGCTCAGCATCACAAGTTTCTGAGCTTCTAGGTGTTGCCTATTCTGCATGACAGACTGCGTTTCTGCATCACAGAAAAATGGAGCTTTTGGGTAACTTGCATGACAGATTTAAGACTCATGCCAGACAAGCATGACAAACATGCGTTCTTCCAGACCCAGACATTTTTGCATTTGATACAGTTCGGTGCTGAAGGTGTTGCTGCAGACCGGGAGGTTGGCCCGGACGTCGCTGGCCAGCTGGAACATGGAACCGAATGTGCACTTGAAGCCGAATGCCATGATCCCCTTGCTGGTATGAAACGTGGAGTGGGAGGAATTTTTAGGCGGGTTTGATGCTGTATGAGTATGCCTTGGTGTATCTGTATCTATGAATTCAAAATGTGCATAGCAGATAGACAGATTGGCATCGGAACAATACAAGGACAAGCATAACAATGACAAACTCGGAAAAAAAACAATTTTCGCTCCATGTTCATACGTGGGATCCATGTACAATTCGGTCCAGATTGAGAAGGGCTCTTCTTACCACGGTCACTCCGTCTTGCACACCAGTTTCGTCCTGTACCCCACGAATTTGCTAGCGAAATTCCCCTACAGCGTGGCGCCGACCGAGCGGCGCGAACTGGTGTGGAATGGGGAGGTGGTTTCCCGGACGTACGTGGAGTTCGCGAAGATGGTAGAGACGTATTTGCGGTACGTTCGTGTTTTTGAGCAAAACCGGAAATTCCAGCTGAATTGGGCGTTTTTGGCCGACGAAGTGTTGCAATTCGATTTGGAGTGGAAAAATGTGGAACTATCAGCGATGGTTCAAGAAAAGGTGGACCGCGAAAAAAGGACGGACGAGGACAAGAAGAGACATGCTGAACAACCTGACGAGGAAGTGGACTACTACCCGAATGCGGGCGCTCTTCATAGTGCGGACAGCTTTACAAAAAAAGGTCATCATCCAAAAAGAGCCATGATGCACCAACAGGGGACTACGAACAAAGTGTTGGTGTTCGAGTACGTGAAAGGCGACAAACGCCGGCTGAATTGGAGGCCGAAGAGGGTGAGACATGCGATGAACGAGCTGGCGTTTAGAAGTACTAGTAGTTGTTCAGCTGCTGGGAAGGAGACAGGGTCAGGTGCATCTTCCCGGGCGGGAGATGGAGATGTTGTTCTTGATCACGCTGCTGCTTCTTCCGAGCAGGGACAGGGACAACCACGACCAGAAGAAAGACTATCGTCCAGCAGAACCAGAAGTACCACGACCTCCAAAGCCCGACCTATATTCGATCCATCCTTTTCGGCGCAATCTGCCGCATCCGCGGGCCAACTTTTTTCCGCTCTCGGATTGGAACCTACGAGAGTTGGCAGCAAACCGGTAGTTCCTGTTCGAACTACTACGTCGGGGTCGGGCTCGCTACGCAGCGGCGGCGAGGGGCGGGTCCCGCCTTTGCCCTCTGGAACAAAGAACAATCCGGGTCTATTTTCCGCCCAAATACCGCCCGCTGCAGGAGGATCATCTCTCTTCGATCCCAGTCCCACCCCACAGAAACCGCCGAAACAAGCGAGCTTAGTTCTTGTTTCTAACATTTGGCAAATTGTGGAAATGCTGTGGAAGCAGGAGATTCAGGAAAAAAACCTGCTATTCCCGGGCCTGAACCCCAATGCCAAAACCTCGAAAAAATCCTGCTTTCACTTCACTTACAACGATATCCCCAGAAGAAACTGTTTCACTGTACATTTGTGATGCAGAAAATGCATCGGAGAAGTGTTTGTGTTACTACACATGCAATACAGAGGATTTTTCGCTGCGTTTTCCCTTAGGCCCCTCGCATGGTAAATCTTCTCTATCATGTAGAACAAACTTGTGATGCAAAACTTGCGAAATCCTTACAGTGAAACAATTTTTTCGTACGATAAACGAGCTAGAGCTGCTGGCGGAAGCGGGAAGGGAACGCTTGAAGAAGGAGGAAAGACTCGCGATCTTGCAGGGAGTGGTGAGCCGGACTTATGTTAACAGCAGAGGCAAAAAGAAGAACGATGAGAGAAGCGGCAAAAGGAACAAGAAGTTCATCACCCACACGCACCAGTACTGGCGTTCAGTTTTTCTTAACGCGTTCACGCCGGACGCGCCGGGCTGTCAGCTCCCCAACGCGCGGCTAATAACACGACCTGGCTCAAGAACAGCAGCAGGTCCTGGCACTGCAGATGAACAGCAGGAGCTGAAGAAGTATTTGAGAGCGTGGAAAGCCAACGCAATCGCAGCCACGGAGATGTTGACCACGAGGTGGGAAGAACCAACATCCAGAAGTGATAATGCAGGTTCTTCAGGTTCTGCAGCTACTGCCCCAGCAGCCAATGCCAAGCGAGCAGAAGGAGCGTCGTCAACAGCGGGAGAATTACTTTTCAGCCCAGCGGCGAATATGAAACCAGTAGAATCGAGGACGCAGCAGAAGCACGGGGAGCAAGAGAAGCAAACTCCACCAGCATCCAGAGCAGAAACACAAACAGAGAAAATATCAAATATCCACGACCCGACCAAGAAAACCCTCCCGAACGAGCGCGCCCTGCTTGGTTTGTTCAAGTTTGAGCTTGCGGAGCGCTTCACCGACTTCGCAGTGCCGGAAAGACGGTTTAATCGCCTGACGGAATATTCGAGCCAAAACATTTTAGGCCTGAACGTGGACGCGCACTCGGCCTTGCCCACGGTCTGGCACGGTTTTCTTCTGCACAAGCAAACGGAGTTGTGTGACACGATTCTGGACTACTATCAAGACAACGTTTTGAAGCCGAACGAGGAGAAGAAAAAGCTGAGAAAGGTATCCCGTGTAAAAACGTCTCCACCCCATAGTTGTCATGCAGATTGGCAGTCACAGGAAGATTTGTAATGTGCATCCCCATGAGAGGCATTTCCAGTCATGTGTCGGACTTTGTAATGCTATAAACAGGATGACTAGGTGGATTTGTGTTGCGGCTGTACTTGCTAAACTGCACTACAATACAATGAGGAACTTGTCATGCTTAACTCCCAAAGCTTCTGGATTTGTGTTGCTAGATTCCCATCTTGACTATGGGGTGGCGACGTTTTTGCACTGGATAAAAGGGGAATTACCGAAAAGCGGTCACCTATGAAAGCGTCAGGTTTGAAATGGAGAAAGTTGAAAGGATTTGCCATGCATAAAACCGATACCAGTCGGAAGCCCACTTATCAAGCGGCGCATGACAAATTTTCCAAGCACCAAAATCCGACTTGTCATGCTGTTTGGGAACAGAAGACTACTTTTGTCATGCTACTTTAGCAGCTCTATTTCAGCCCCTAAACAGGCTCACAATTGGCCTCACTTGCCATCCCGGCAAGACAGCCACTTCATGCCTTGCATTTTATGCATGACAAACTATTTTAACTTTCACTTTGACGATTTCAATCCTGACACTCCCATATCACTGACATCCTAGACTTCTCCCCGGACTTCTTCTACGACTACGCCATTATGAATTCGATGGGGCAAGTGTTGAAAGAGGTGTTTCAATTCGGCCAGGGCGGCGAGGATTTTAAGTTAAACAACGCCAGGATCCCCGACCTGCAATACACGCTGTCGTTGCACAAACAGCAAAAAGACCGCACCCCCGCCGACGACGCGGAGAACCGGAACCCCCACGTACTACAAGGAAAAGTGCCCCCACCCCCAAAGTTGCAATAATTTGTGATGCGAAGTTTCCAAATGAAAAGTTTTTGTCATGCATGAAAGGAGTATGAATCTTTCTGATGCAGAGTCTAGGCGTATATAGCATCGCTTGCATAACAAGCGCCGCTCTTGCTGGGATCTTTTGCAATACAGATTTTTGCTATTCACGATCGGAAATCTGTGATGCTGTTAGATGCAAGAGGGCGAGTGTTTCTTTTGGAAAGGTTTGCAATACAAATGCTCCCAAGTTCGGAGCGGTCATTTTTCCTTGCGATACCACGCGGCAAGGAAGTTCGAGCGCCCGCTGCAGGCGGCCATGGAATTGGCGGCGTTTTATGGGAGTGTCAGGATTGAAATCGTCAAAGTTGAAATGATTTGTCATGCATAAAATGCGACGCAAAAAGTGAGTCTATTGCAGAGGACGCACGGGAGGCAGATTATAGTCCTAGTAAGCGTCAAAAGGTGGACCTCTGACTAGCATGACAGAAGGCAGCTCTTTTGCCCTAAACCGCATGACAGACTCGCTTCCAGGACCACGGGGAAACTTTGTCATGCGCCAACTACAAACTGTAGGGCTAACTGGCATCGATTGTTTGCATCACAAATTATTTCAACTCTGACGATTTCGATCCTGACACTTCCATACGTTTGACGGAAACGATAATTCGTTTCGTTACTTGGCGAAATTATTGACGAAAACCGACCTTGTCGACGGACTGCGCATATCCAGTGCAAAAGTAATCGTATTCGTGTTGCAATCATGCGTTACAAATCTTTTTTTTAAGGGAAACCAGCATCACAAATTTTATTTATCACGCTGAGGAAACTTGTAATGCATTCATACGAGTACGATGCTTTTGCAATGCATAGCGCAAGCCCGGGGAGAGAGTCTTGGTTTGGGACGCGAAATACGACCCGAGTGTGTGGGACAGGAAAAACAACGAGGAGAGAGTTGGGGCAAGGAATAATGCTGCTGATAGAGTCGCACGCACAAGCACAAGTGGAGCTGAAGGTCTACTCCCTGCTGGACCTACTGCTGCAGTGCAGCCCGGCGTAGTTTCTTCAGGAGCAGCCCCTTCTAGTAGTACATCAATTACGAGGACTACTACTACCTCCCCGATCGGCCGCTGGGTACCTTTGATGTTGTCCGAGTCCCCAAATGAACCCAACACCCCGCTGTTCACCCACAACACACGGCTTAGTGGTAGCGGCAACCAAGAAGGTGAAGAAGATGCTCACCACCCTGATAACAGTACATCTACTACTTCGCTAGACCGGCAATTTGAGATCAAGTACTTCGACGGCAGCGCATTTCTCACCGGGCAGGAAGAACACGACGAGGACCAAGAGGGTTCTAATACGAACGGCAAACCTCGCCGGAAGCACAAGCAGATGGCCCTGAAGCGGTCGAAGCTGCTTGGGGTGAAAGATAGAAATGAAGACGTTTCCACCCGGCCGCTGGTTCACTACAAGACGCAATTTCTCCTGCACCGGTCCGCGGCGGACCGCACGGAGAATTTGCTGCACATCGTCGCCCGGATGGCGCTGGGGAATCGGATATGCTGTGCAAAAGTGTCGTACTCGTAGGACTAGGAATTGCGTTTATGCATTACAAATTTCTTTGTCAAGGTAATTCAGCATGTACAAACTTAATTTGTAATGCTGGACTAATTTGTCATGCATTTATACGAGTACGATACTTTTGCATTGCATATCGGAAAAAGGTCCTGACCGACTGGCACCGACGGAAATCGCTGTACTACACAAAAACAACGAGTGCCGAACCTCGGAACAGCCGCAACCGGCCGCAGCCGAAAGACCAACCCCTCCGCCGGATCACGCAGTTGGTCCAGCAGCAGGGCGGGCAGGCGCACTTGCAGCACCTGGCGCAGCACGTCTTTGAGAACGACGCGCTGCGTCCCGAGGATTTGACAGTGATCACCGCCATGGGGCCGCCGAGCGGTCTCGTTGTCCCGTCCGCGGCCTCCACTGCACCCCCACCCGTTCCGGTAATGTCATCTTCGTCCTCCACCATTCCTCCAACCGTGCGCGCGCGTAACCGGGCCCAACGGTTGGCGGAGCAAGTGAATGCAGAGCAGGAATCCTCGGGACAACCTATTGGTAATGGCACAACACCAAGACCAATAGAACAAACAGCTGCAGGGACGACGACTGATGCTGGAACACCAATACTAGACGACCAACAGCAACTATCCCCCTTAGCACTGGCGACCGCGAACCAACAAGCGCAAACTATGCGACTAACAGATGAAGAAATGAATGTCGTGAGGAACTTAGGTCCCCAGCTAGAACAAGAAGCCGCGTCGATGGAAGATGGGGAAGAAGGAGCGGCCTTCTCGACAAGAAGAAGGGCGGATGGACTTGGACCTCCTACTCCACCCATCCGGCGTCAAAACGCGAGCGCTATGTTGGAGCCTGGACAAACTCAAGCAGGCTCCGGATCTTCATCTTCATCTGGAACGACAGGAATGACAATTGGGGCAACATCAGCTGGCGCACCTGCTGTTGTTGAGAGTCCTCACTTCTTAATCCCAATTCCCCCGGCTCCGCGAGCAGATCCGCCACCTGCACCCGGACGTAGACCGCGAGCAGATGGGCAGGACGAGCTTATTTCCACCAGTACCACGAGTACGTCAAGCAGGCCGACCGCGATCTTCGAGGCCGCGTTGCTTCCCCCACAGCCGGAGCAGCATGTAGAGGATGATCAGGGTGATTATGCCGCTGCTGCAGATCATGATCATCTTCCTACTCCACAACTTCCCGACGAGCAGCTACAGCAGCCACAAGCAACATCCGCTGCTGTGCCACTTGTTTCATCGCCCACCGACGAGGAGTTCATAACAGACATCAACGACCCAATCTCTCCCCCGGCGCAAGAAGGAGTAAACCATGACGAGTCCTCTTCACAACTCGATCTCAGCACCCTGTTCCCCACCTCCGCTGGTGCAGCAGCTGCCCCGATAACACCTTTTGTTCTTGCGCCGTTGACACCTCCACGAGAAGTTGACGAGGACCAGGAAGAAGATCCTTTGGCCCCCGGCGCCCACACCGCACCTGTAGCCGAGTCGCCACCCTTTCCGCCAGTAGGAGGTGTTGCTGGTCAAGCTCAACAATTCGATTGGAGCGCCGTGGCAAATCCGGAGATCTCCGACATGGAAGAGTTTCAGCTGGACGTGGAGGAAGGGCAGGACGCAGCCGTAACTGGAACTCCGCTTGAAAATGATCAAGAACTACCGGTAGGAGTACCACCGCAACAAGGTCTTCCACAGGAACAGCAGCAGCAGCAGCAGCTTTGGGACCCACTGCAAGTTGTTGGCTCCCCTGTAGTACTTCTTGACGCGCAGACCCCCGCCACTGGTGCACAGGGCGGGCTGGTTGCTAGTAGTACAACGGCGAACTTCATGTCCACTAGCGAAGAAGTTGCACCACCTACAGGTGGATCAGCAACAGTGGCGCAGGCTGATGCGCCGCGGGTCGTGAACAACATCAACAATCCGAACATCCCTGAGGATATCCAGGAAAAAACACTCATTCCCATCCATGTTTTGCATGACAAACACTGGAATTGATGCAACTTTTGCATGACAAAGTGGATGGGCCTGGGTTTTTTTTGTGGATAGACTACTACATTCCCTCGTCCTCCACCAGTTCGCCCGCGCCGTCCACACCCCCGGGAACATCAACAAATGGCGGAAATAACCGGGTTCCGGCCCGACCGGAATTGCATAATTCATTTTCCAGCACTACGATTAACAGAGTCGTCGCGGGCCCCCGCGAGGCCGCTCCAGCTGTTGGCGCATCTTCTTTTGCGATTCCCCCACCGGGCATCAACCCGATAGATGTTGTCCCTGTAGCACCAGGAGTCGTGCAGACTGGAGGCAGTAGTTCTTCGTCCTCTGCAGGAGGAGGTCCTGTGGTCTCAGAGAATACAATTACCGGGTCAACATCTTCAAACGACCCTGTCTCGTCCTACATGTCGACCAACGGTGCGGCATATTCAACGGGCCTCGTGGAAGATGTCGTCCCACCTGTAGATCCAACGATCCCTCCCAATCTTACCACAGCTACAGCAACAACATCACCCCCGCCAGCAAGTAGAACCACAAGAATCCAGGCACCACAAATCGTTCCGGCGCGCGTGGTATCCTGTGCAAAAGTATCGTACTCGTATAAATGCATTACAAATTTCCTCAGCATGAGAGATAAAATTTGTAATGCGGATTTGCCTTAAGATAAAGATTTGTAATGCATGATTGCAATACGAGTGCGCTACTTTTGCACAGGATACGTGGTCAGCAGTAAATCGGCGTTGAAGAAGCGCAAGCCGATGGAAATTACCAGCAAGGTTTCGGACTCCACGAAAATGCGGGAGTTTGTCATTGGGTTGAAGCGGTTGAAGGTGCTGGCTTTATGAATTGCAAAAATGTCTGGGTCTGGAAGATTGCAACTTGTCATTGGTAAATCTGAAGCATGCAAAAATCTGTGCTGCGTCAGTGCCAAAAGCTGTCCACTTTTGACCAAGTTGGAACGGAGTTTCTTGTGCAGAATAGGCATGGCAGAGACCTCGCAGAGTCTGTCATGCTAAGTCCCGCACTCCAGACCTCATGGGTCATGGAAAATCTGCATGACAAGTCTACACTCTTCCAGACCCAGACACTTTTGCACTTGATAGGCGTTTGTTCTCAACTACATCAAACTCGAGGACGACAAGCAGATCGCAGTTTGGAAGGAGAAAACATCGCAGATTGCGTTTATGCATAGCAAAAATGTCTGGGTCTGGAAGGATGCAACTTGTAATGCTAATTCTGGATCGTGCAAACCAAAAATCTGTGTTGCATGAATGCGAAGAAAAGTTGTCCACTTTTGACCAGGTTGTAAGGAACAAGTTTCTCATGCAGGATAGGCATGATCATAGGGATCTCGCGGAATCTGTCATACCAGGTCCTGCATTCCAGACGACATGGATCATGGAAAATCTGCATGACAAGTCTCGGAATCTTGCAGACCCAGACACATTTGCACTTGATTGCGTTTTTGGGGAAACAACCGACCGCGGGAACTTCCGAAAGGTGGACGTCCGAGGCAGCGGAGGTGCTTTTGAAACCACGGTGGACCTGTTGGTTCCTGCGAAAGGACTATCCTGAGTAAAAACGTGCCCACACAAGAGTCAGGATGAGGATTTTGCAACACAAACCTAGGAGTTTTGTGAGTCACGCATGACAAGTTGCACTATGAAGTGTAGTGCAGGTTAGCAAGTGCAGTCGCATCACAGATTCATCTGCTCATCCTGTTCACAGCATCACAAATTCCAAAACACGATTGGAAATGGCTCTCATGGGGATGCGCATTACAAGTCTTCCTGTCTTTGCAAATCTGCATTACAACTCTGGCGTGGGTACGGTTTTACTCAGGATAAGGACATGGTGGTGCAGCTCCGGACGGGGTATCAAGCGCAGTTGGTCGTGTCGGAGAGACTCGAGCAAGTATGAATGTGCACAGCTCCCCCCCCGCCTTATCTGTCATGCAAAATCCCAAACCCAGTCGCTGCCTTGTGTCACTGTTTGCATGACAAATTCCGGAATCCAAAACAGCACTACAGTCCTCTAGTAATTTGTCATGCAAAAGCTGCATCTTTGCCCGCACTTGTGTTGCTGTTCATGCTACACAAATGAGGGGAGGGGGAGTTGTGCACTGTCATAGCAAGATTGGCCCTTCGAGAAGCGGACAGACACGTCGACCATGATTCGGGATGTTGTGCTCCCGCCACACGGACACGGTGCTGGAAATGAAGAAGGGTTCTTAGGGACGAGGTTGAAGTCGATGCTGCCGAGGCTAGATCTGAGCAGCGCTGTGAGTGAGGAAGAAGAGGAGGAAGAAGCATTACTTCATCCACCTACCGGACCCAGAGGTCGCTCCGGCAGGAGAATTATGCGCAGAAGCGCGAGCGAGCCGATTTTGCGTGTGCCATCTCGTGGTGGCGAAATTATTGAAAATGATGGTAGGCACGATGAACTACATCATTCACGGCGAACAAGAGGTACTACGAGTGATGGCGACGAACCGGCTGCAAGAGCGACGCCCCGCGGCCCAGACGGTAACAACACTGAAGAAGAATTTAGAGGGCGTCGCAATGCTGACACCACGGAGGAGGAGGAAGCGCGTGCGAGTGCGGCAAGTATCTTTCCATCCTCGCGATCTGGGTCTCCGGCGTCGCGCTCTCGTCGCCGGTTGCCTGCCTCGTTTGCAGCTTCTCGACGGAGCGAAGAGCCCAACAGCCCCGCACACCACGGCGCCCCTGGGCCGCGGCAGGTGTTGTCGCAAGACCTACCCCGAGGCTGGAGGGGTCGTGGGGACCACACGAGTTCTGTTTTTGGCGGGGACCATTTTCATGGCGCAAGTGCACCTACCCGAGGCGGCAGTAGTAGCAGTTCTGCTAGTGTCGTGTTGCAGGAACAAGCGCCATTCCAACTTGGCCCGCTGGCACCACTAGGATTTCACACGGCAGTTGTCCAACCAACGCCTCGACCACCCACGCCGACGCCCAAGTGGCCGGCGGTGCAGCCCAAGCCTGCAGGTAAGACGAGCCCTGGAGAACAAGTGGAAAGTGCGCCCACAGCACCAGCGCTGAGCTTCGCGAGTCTCGCGGCGGCGGCTGCAAGTCGTGCCGCGGCGCAAGAAGAGGCCGCCCGGGGTGCACAGGAAGCAGATGGTCTGCAAGGAGCTGCAAATCCTGAACAGGCAGCACAAACCGTTCCTTTTCCTTTTGTCCCCCCGACATCTAAAGCGGCGGCGCTGCCCGGTGGAAAGCTGGCAGCCAATTTCATCCCGGCTAGTACGCCGAAGCCAAATGCTCAAATACAGCAAGAGCAACGGCCTCAGACTAGAAGTCTCCGACCGCCTGGACCCGTTGATCCGTTTCCAACCTGGCCGCCGACCAGACAGCAAGACGAGGAAAATGTGGTGAGAAATCGAAGGATGACGAACACGGCTACGCACAACCCTGTGGACGAGATGACGAGCACGAGCAGAATGGGGCCTCTGGCGCCCTACAGAGGCCTCGACGCGCTGTGCAACAGTGAGCTATTCGAAAACGACGGCCGGGGCGCCGATCCGGGATGGAAGGGCGTGTTGGATATCGCAGCGGAACTGTGGAAATACGAAGTTGAATTGCGCAAGGACTACAACATCTTGTACAATACTCCGTCTGACAAAGACAACGATCCATCATTTTCAGCGTCCACAGAGCAGCTCAACATGCCGAATCAGGGTGCAGAAGGAGGAGGTTCGAATCCTTCATCTTCCAGCGCAACTACAGGGATGAAGAAGTCACCGTCAGTGCGTTTTGAAGAACTCCACCAAATCCCCGAAGAGGAAAGAAAGCGACAGCTTCTCCAGAAACGGCAGCAATACGCCTGGCAGCAGCTACTGGGGAAGGAAGAAGATAGTGACGAAGAGGTAGAGGATCATGGGTTGGAGGACATCTTCACGACTGGTAGTAGTACCGTCAACCGCCTGCTCTCGAGCCGCAATCTGTTTGACATTCCGGAAGAAGAGACCCGGCGGATTTTCAAAATGGAAGAAACGCAGCTGAAGGGAATTTTCGAAGAAGTTGATTCGTTGACCGATCCTTGGAAAACACCGTTCGCTACGCCACCAGCGGAAGTTATCTACAACTCGAGTAGTAGTAGTAGAGACAAAAAATCAAAATCTACGACAACTGCATCTTCAAAAAGATCACGAACTAAAGACGGCAGCAACATCAACATCTTCGCAAAACGACCACCTTCCTCCGCGTCCGCGCCGCACGGTAGAAACTCTTTCAAAAGTAGAAAGGGGCGAACTCGGACGTTGCAAAAGCAGAAACAGTGGCTGGTAAGGAAGCGAGACGCGTTGCGATTGTGGCTGGTAACGGAAGTGCAGGTCCTGCAGCAGGTGCTGCAGGCAGAAACGATATTAAGGGATGATAGTCGCCGCACAAGAAATATCGAGAGTAATTATCAGGCTTCCATTGCATTCGACGAGGCGACGAAGCTGCGCCAGCGACTTCGGGGCCCACCACCGGAAAGAGAAAATAGCAACGTGATCGCCTCGCCCTTCGGCCTGGGCCTGCACATGTTGATCCATGCGGGCTGCGTGCATCTCGAAGACAGAAGGCTGGAGGAGCACCTGCCTGAGTTTGTGAAGCGGCACTTGCGGTTATGCAGTACAGATTTTCATCGTTTCCCGTACTACATGCACAAAATGCATGACAAACTTCGGTCTACCTTGCAGTGTCCAACTTGTCATGCTAGACTAGGATTGAAGGCAAGTAAGTTTTGTTATGGAGAAGCAGCATTTGTACGTGTGCGGGAAATTTCCTGTGGATATCGGTTCAAGCGCGCGCTAAACGGGTACCAGTTCCTCGCGGAATTGGTTTACATGATGGAACTGCAGGATTTCAGGGACGCCATGCGAGAACGGCAGGAGCGGATGATCGACATCAAGAGCAACTATCCTTCCACCACCCAAGGAAGAGCTGAAGACCGCGACACAACTTCCGTTCTCGACATCGATTGGGTAGCGGTACTGGACTATCAAATGCAAAAATGTCTGGGTCTGGAAACTTGCGATGCTGTTTGGCGAATCCTGAGGACGCCACAAGTGATGGCTCAGCATGACAAGTTTCTGACTTGCTAGGTGTTGCGTATTCTGCATGACAAACCGTGTTTCGGCATGACAGAAAGGTGGGGCTTTTGGGTAACGAGCATGACAGACTTTGGAGTCATGCTAGCAGAGCATGACAGACCTTCCATTCTTCCAGACCCAGACACTTTTGCAATCCATATGGAGAAATTGGTGACCACAAGAGATCTTGCCTTTGGAGAAATTGACTTTGTGGACTCAACCTTAATGATAGTGGATATCGAGCGAAGAAGGAAAGTGGACGACTTACGGAACCACTTCGAGGAAAGGCTAGGAAATCAGCATGATGTGGACGATCTGGATCCGTCTGATAGACGAGATCGCTTTGCAGGAGGAAGAGGACTTGATGTTCCAGGCCGTAATTCATCATCATCACGAGACATAACCTCCATCTTTCGGAATACCGCTCTTGGCCTCGCCCCGCCAGCTGCAGAACCGGGACGAGGGGGAGGTCTTCTAAATGCCTTCATACCACCGCAACCGCAAGATGGAAGCCAGAGCAGGGCACTTCTACCGCATGCCAACACGGAGGACAGCAGCAGCAGAGGTACCGGTGATCCTGCAGGCATTCAAAGTACGCGACGAGGACAAGTGCGACAGGAAGATGGTGAGCAAGAAGGCGCGTTTCCCGATAACATGCCCTACTTCAGCGACGAGCCACCGCCATCGCCAGGCCCAAGCCCCGCACCACCAGCACCGCAACAGCAATACATCTCGGACGGCACAACCGAATGGCTCCGGCGCCAGAACGAGATGGGTGGAGGTACTACAAGTAGTGGAACTGGTATCCTGTGCAAAAGTATCGTACTCGTATTGCAATCATGCATTACAAGTCTTCTTTTTAAGGTAAATCTGCATTACAAATTTTATTTCTCATGCTGAGGAAATTTGTAATGCATTTATACGAGTACGATACTTTTGCAGTTCATAACTGGTCAGGTGGAGCAACTCTCACAGGACCTCTCCGGCTGGTCACCGCAGTTGCTGCAAACTGGGAGTGGCGACGGAGCAGAGGAGCACGAGTTGACGATGAATAGCACAGGATCGGGTGAACACGTTGCTTCTGCACCAGCACCGAGTGACTCAGCTTTGGCTGCTGGTGCACAAAATGGGGGCTCAAGTGGGCAGCCATCAGCGGAGCCGCAAGAAGTGCTTGCAGTTCTTGCGGATGATACAACTACCCCAGCTGCTACTTTTCGGCAAAACGCAGATGGATCCCTGACCGTGTTTTTCAATGACGGGCGAGGAACAAATGATGGAGGTGGTGGCCAACAAGAGGCCGCTGGCAGTAGTGCCCCTGCTCACGGTGATAATGCTGGTGGATCAGAATCAGCATCAAGCTCAGGAGCGGGCATATCGTAAGTGCAATCCTTTGCAGTAGAAGTAGGCCTATGCAGACGCACATTTGGTAATTGTACCTCATGAAATAGATAAGCAATGACTCCCTGCTGTAGCTTCGACATGAGAATAGAGAAGTTCAAGTTTTATTTTAAGCGAGGATGAAATTGAAAACAGTAGCGACCTACCTTGAATTTGATGTAGAAGAAAAGCGACAATATCAATATGTGGAAAATTTGAATTTGTATATGCAAGAAATAAAACGACGAAAAAGTAAAAGTATCAATATAATTTGCGGCAAATATTTCTAACCAAACAATTTTGGGAGAAAATGCGCTTGTGCCCTTTTCCCTACAGCAAGCAAACTGTACGTTTACACCGACCTATTTTGCCAACGAGCGCACTGAAGAGAATGCCTGCTAGTAAAAACCTCAATTCTACTCATCTCAGCCGACGTGGCGCCTAGACTATCGAAAGAGAAAAAGTCGGACAAGAACTGGTGTCGAATCGGATTTAGTATTGTATTACAACTCAAGGCTCAGCCTGCATCAATTGATTATCGGTCAAAGATAACGAGAAAAAACATCCTATCGATTCTGTCGATTCTGCTTTAGACACATACAAAGATGCGTACGTGCATAAACAAAGCATTTGCAGTAGTTTCAGCTACATGACGAGTGGTTGGAATTCATTTTCCGGTTGTACAAGAAGAAGAACATTTTCGAGAATACAGATAGAACATTTTCCGTCACGATTCATTTGCAAATTTTGATGACCAAAACGACAAAGCGAAAGTAACTACAAAAGTGTTTTCCTGACATTGCAGTAGCAGTCTCTCTATGCAGTTGCAATTGCTGTACCGCACGTAAGCAAGAAAGAAAACGCACAGCGCAAAACAGAGGAATGGACTGTGATTTGCTATTTCTCGTCATGTTTCTGTAACGACAGACATGACGTGGTCGTGGCTTAGTGTTAGAGTTTTTTCTTCGCAGTCCCAGAAAATTTTCGAAAATTCACGGCACAGCTAAGCGATGTTGCCCATGCCCTTGCCCTTCGCGGTTTAAGTAGATTTTAGCCGCCCGCTGCCGCTCTGAGTGAAAGTGAAAATAAGAATTGCACACCCAAATAAGGAAAGCGAAAGCCCTGTGGCGCACCAGGCGCAGGAACTGCAGTGAAGTAGAAATAATTATCAACTTCCCTCCTTACGAGAGAGACGCTATAGCGAATTGACGACTTGACTCTGTGAGTGAGTGTAGCTGTAACTCCGCACAATTAAGAGTACGACTCGACTCAAAGCCAAGACACGGTTTCCAAATTGTGGATTTATTTTGGAATTAACCGTAGATTTAGTTTTAGAGTGCCCGCGGTCCGTCTCTCCCAGTGTGGGAAAGCTGAAAATATACATGGCTGCTGGAGTTCTACTTTTCGCCGCCGCGCTCGTGTAGTGTTCATTTTTTCAGATGCGCACTACTTCTTGGCGATGATGGTACTACCAGCGGTTTCTTGAAGAAGCAGAGCTCCTGCTGCTGCGCGAAGGAGAAAAAGGACTCCTCTTTTTCCCGCCCCGACCCGCGCCTTTGCGGAGGTATTGTTTCTACTTGCGCGCCGCCGAACCAAGTGGAAGAACATACACGGTCGACGTGTGAAGAACTGCCACTTTTCCCAAAATGCGGGTCGCCTCCCTCGCCAAGGGGCTGTTTGACAAGCAGCAGAGGAAACTTCAGCGGCAGAAGAAAGCCGAGACCTCCACCATAGACGTTCTGCAGGATGAGTTTGGGCTGGAAACGATTGAAATCCCGAAGGACTTCTACGACTTGTTAGGTTTGGCAACGAGGTTCACGACTGTCGCGGAAGAGGCGGAAGAGCAGTCGGAGCTTCCGCCCATCCTGGACAGAAACAGAAAAGGCTACATTCCCGTCCTCGCGCCAGTGCACTCGAAGGGAGGATTATATTCCTATGCGAGGTAGATGAACTACTAAGCGTTATAAAACAAGCTGTATACGATGTTTTTTATTTTTTTTGCAAAATCTTCTACTATGAGACTAAAGCTGTACTGCAGGGGCAGGACGAGAAATGACTGTAAGTTCGTTCTGCAGCAGCTGCTACGATGAAAATTGCACATCAACTTTTTTTCCCTCAGGCCCTCCGCCGAAGCGAATGGCGCCGGGAGTCAAGTCATCCAATCCGCGATGTTCTGCTTCGGGCAAAGGACGATCGTCCCGGACGTCCTCACGATCGACGAGTTGACCGACGCGCCGACAGAATTGTACGACCACTTAAGACAGGAACACGTGGATTTTGCGACGTTTCTGGACCGCTACTATTTGAAGCGAACGCACGGCTTCGATCCTCCGAAGGACGATTTGATGGAGGTATAGAAATGTTCTTTTACAAAACCATAACAAAAAGAGTTTCTCACGACCCCTCATGGCCATGGGCAATTTTCCAATACAAAACTGTCTGTCATGCGTAAAAATGGATCACAGACACAGTCGAGTTTAAATTTTCTACGGGATTTCCCTAGTGTGTCTGCAAGACAAGCAAAAGCTGCGATGCTAGAAAGAAACATTTGTGATGCAAAACCTGCAACTCAGTGACTGTCGTGACAAACTTTCTTCTTTCCATAAACCAAAAGCATCTACTACTACTTCTAGTCCTTCACACATGACAGTCCAGTCCTTCACACATGAGAAACGACGGTAAGTATGAAAAAGATCAGAAGTTCTATCATTCACAGCTCTCGCCCCACCCGGTCCCTGCGTCCAACGACCAGGCAGCGGAGGAGGCACTGCTGGAAGTCGACGAAGAAGAACTGAAAAAGAGGAAACTCTACCACGTCAAGCCAAACAAAACTCCGGAGGGATTCCTCCACTTTGAAATCTGGAAACCTGTAGCGAAGATAAGATTCAGGTATAAGTACTTGGTGGAGCGGTTCTGTCACGCAAATTGCGATTGTGATCGTGATGTGGATTTCGATTTTGTCATGCAAGAACGAATGTTACAAGGAGCTAAGGACGCGGCCCTGTCTCAAAACTGCACGATGCCTTTGCATGGGCATACCACAGAGATTGATATCAGATCAACTACCCCATCAGGGCCCCCGGCGAAGTGATAGACTACCGGAAGGAGATCGTGTACCAGTCGAGTCACACGGTGAAAGAGGTCTATCTCGGCTACAAGCTGGAGGTCAAAGATTTCGATATCACGACCAACGTGCCCCTAAACCTCGAGGAGCTAGTCGGCGCCAGTGGCGGCCAGGTGTTTGACTTAGCGGGATTGAAGGAGCATGGTTCTACTGTCGTTGATGGCGTCGTCTCGCAGGGACAGAAAGCCAGCTCCGCGTCCAGTTCTAGGGCGAGTAGCAAGAGCAAATTAGCAGGCTTCGAAGAGGATGAAGGTATACATAGTTTGATCTCGTGCGTAGTTCTTTCTCTTTGTCATGCAGAAGACCGCATGTGTTGCAAATGCTATGAGCTTTGTTCACGAGAAAATGAAAGTACTATGTCCAGAAGAGAAAATACCGATACGACTCGATTCCGGTTGAGCATTATTTTTGGGACAGGTTTATTTGAATGATGTCGTAAAAACGTCTTCTACACTGGCTGCCCACGCGCCGCGCCGCCCCGCGCCCATTGAGTTAAATGCTTGTCCCGTGCCGCAAATCATTGCAGCCGCCTCATGCGCTGCAGCATGCTCCTTGCTCACCTGCTCTTACCGCGTTACAACTATCTGCTCAGCCCGTGATGATTAAAAATCCACCAATATCTTCAACGGGTTTGTTCTTGCAGGTATGTCTATAGAAATTGCCAGCCAGATGCACCAGATACAGAAGAAATTTCGTTTCGCGAGGACGGACTTAAGATTGTCGAATTAACACCTTTTTCATCTTGTGCAGCAGAGCTGTCTCCTCGAACTGTATTGTTCCACCGCATCGTGTGCAAATATGCCTTGAAGCAGTGTGGTATGTCAAATCTCGATTTACTATATTCAAAAACCAGGTGAATTCGTTCTCCTCCTCCGCAAACTACTCCATTCCTTCCTCGCCCGCGACGCGGTTTCCCTCGCTACCCTGGATGTGGTCGAGTGTAAGATGCATGGGACCGAGGAGCTGAGAAAAGAACTCTTCACGGACATGGATGGCCGGACCTGCCGGAACGGGCATTTGATGACGCCGATTCCCTGCAAGGAGCTCTGCTGGACCCGACCGGCGCCCTGCATCGAGTGCAAGGAGCTGACAACCTACAAGGTGATCACGTGCAGGAAAAGGTACTACAAGGTTTAGGTTCTATGATGTGGACATAAGTGCGTAATTATATCGTATTCGAATTCGCTTTGAAGATGTGGTCGTGGTGTGGTACATGACATTCAAATATATGATCCGTTTGCGTGTTGTGCATGACAAAGGCCATAAACTTATCTACCAGGTGCGAGATGGCGGGTTATTGTATCGGGTGCGAAGCAGACGACGCGTTCAAAGCCGACCTGAAATCTTACGTCGAGGAGAAAGAAGAGCAGGAAAGGTTGAAGAAGCGCATTGACCGTGTGGAAGAGGCAGACCACAAGCAGATGCGAATACTGGGTAAGCCATTATGCATTGCATGCAAAAGTATCGTATTTACGTACGTAAAAACTGCATCACAAATTTTTCCAGAAGGAAGAATGGAATTTGTAATGCTGAGTTAGGTAGGACCTGTAGATCTGTCATGCTGTACTACCATTTATTTCGTACGAGTGCGATACTTTTTGCACAGGATAACCTCTTTCCTACAACCACCCCAATCTCTTCCGCGACACCCAGCTCTTCCTCCGGTTTCTCCTCGTGACCAAACTCCCCTACGCGGATTGGCTGCAGGATCCCTGGGCCTTCGAGGCGAAGGTGTTGCAAAATCTCTCAGAGGTGATGCAGTTGGGCGGGCCCGACGCGAGCAACAGCGGGAAGATCCATCCGCAGGTGATCATTCTCTCTTGCACCGGGCAGCCGGTGGTTGCGGATATTTTGCTACTGCACCCCAAAATCGCTTCGCAACTGATCCCGCGGACCCGGCACTTTAGAAGACACGAAGGGCACGAGTTGTACGCGGACCAGATAGAATCGGGAACAAATTTCGGCGCGGGCGGGATCGTGCGGTTGGATGAGAAGTATGAGACGTTGTTGAAATACTTGAAAAACATGGGCGCAGCGGGTGGGACGAGCGGTACGAGAAGTTGGGTGCGGTCACAAGTGGTAGGGATGACGGTGACGCGGGGGAAAATAGACGCGTGCTTCCCGATCAGAAACGACAAATTGAGTAAATGATTTTTATTGTGTTGCGGTTGCGTCTTTGTGCATGACAAAAGTAGTGTGACTGTGATTCCATCCTGTTTCACATGACAATACAACAACTTTAATAAACACATCAGCCTACAACTTCAAGACCCGTCTCCGCTACGTGCAGTGCCCGCTCTGCACGGAGGAAGGGTTTCAGGATTGCCGGCTGGCCGAGCACAAGGAGACCTCGTGTTCCATGCGGCAGGTAACTTGTAGTTTAGATTGCGGCATGGTGCTACTCGCGAGGGACCTTAACGAGCACATTTGCAAGGCCTGCGTGAACCGGGAAGTGTTTTGTCCGTTGTGCAACGCCGTGGTGATTTACCACGACTTAGACAGTCACATGGCACAGTGCGAGTACCGACCCTGGACTTGCGGCAAGTGCGGGCTCAGCATGAAAGTGAAAGACATCGAGAACCACGAAAGGATACTGTGCGTGAACCGGGAGGTGGTCTGCAATTGGTGCGGGGAGTGGACGATTTTTAGAAAGTTGATCCCGGAGCACAAAAAACTGAAGTGTGTGAGGAGGTATAGAGTTGGAATTTTCATCTGCAGCGTTCTTGGCATTCTAAATGCAATTCTTTGTTCAATAGCCGAAGGTGCATCGACAGGGAAAATCTCATTTTCATCATTTCAACATTTTCGGCAGGCACGACAAAGCGGAGCAGCTGCGAAACTGCATTTTCAACGGCGACCACGGCGGCATTGCCGACCTACTAGAAGACGGCGTCGCCCCGACGCTCGACGCGCACGACCCGAAGCTGCTAGAGCTAGGCTGCGTCAGTTGCGAGGGGATCGCGTACGAAGATAACTCGACGAATTTGAACAGCATGTCGGTGATCACCACGGAAACCAACGTCCCGCTCGTTTCCCGCCCCGCGACCAGGGACACCAAAACCCGGGTGCATTTGTCCTCGACAACATCAGCCGCTAACAGAGAAGGCGTTTCCTCGAATTCCCCCGAGCCGAAGCAAGCCGCGGCGGCCGAACAGGGCACGAAAGCCAGCCCGCCGTCCAGGTCACCGAGACCGGAGTCGCGGGAGAATTTGAGTCCCAAAGTACACGGAAAGAGCCCGACGTCGCCCAAACTACCGGGCGGCAAGATAGTAGGGGCGATTCTGGAGGAGGGACAGGGAACAACTACAGCGACAGGAAAGATAAAAACAAGTCCACCGGCGGGAAGAAATAGAAATCAAGCCGCGGTCGTTGGTGAGGATTACCAACAGTGGTTCGACGACGGCCCAAATAGCTTTAACGCTGGGATAAAAACAGCAGAGCACCACGGTCATGATCCCCAGCAGCAAACGTCCACCGGCATCGACCTTCCGATGAACCAAAACGGGGGGCCACAGGGCTTGATTGATCGCGACCGGTACAACAATAGTCTCTCCCAGTGGTCCCGGATCCCCGAATATCAGAGGAAAAAAGTGTTACAGTTACGCATTTGTTGGAATTTCTGCGTGACAAAGTTGCTCGACATGGCAAAGAAAACCTGTAATCTCAGATTCATAGGGAAAACACGAACGCAATGAGGCTGGTAAGCATTTTCTGCATGACAGAGGTTGTCTGTCTTGCTTGTCTTCCATCAGAGTGTGTAACTGTAACAGCTTTTTTCTCACGATACCGAACGTGCGGACAAGGACGAAAAAATGCTGACGCAGGCGTTTGACGACGAGGGGCTGCCGTTACCCATCCGACACTGGACCAGAGGGGGCGACTTTGAGTTCCACGTGAAAGGGGCAGGCGCGGCGGGGTTGCAGCCCAGTATGAGTGAAGAATTTCCATCCGCGTTTTTCAACGAGGGCACCAATTCGCCCATAGTTAGTCCGACCGGCGCAGCGGGTCCTCCGGGTGGAGGTGGTCCTGGGAATAACAGTATGAACTGCAAATATGTCTGGGTCTGGAAGAGTGTAAGCTTGTCATGCAGGTTTTTCATGACCCATGAGGTCTGGAATGCGGAACCTAGCACGACAGACTCTGTGAGGTATCTGTGATGCCTATCCAGCATGAGAAACTCCCTCGCAACTTGGTTGAAAGTGGACAGCTTTCGGCACTCATGCAACACAGATTTTTGCATGATTCGGATTTCGCATGACAAGTTGCAATCATCCAGACCCAGACACTTTTGCAATCCATAAACAGATTAGCGGTGGACATGAGCGTTTTAAACGCCCAGCACGACAGCATATCCTGTGCAAAAGTATCGTACTCGTACTAATTGCACATATGCATGACAAATATTTTTCCTAGGGCAAAACAGCATTACAAATTGCACTTTCCTTTTTGCCAAAATTTGTCATGCAATTTATACTAGTAATGCGATACTTTTGCAATGCATACAGCAGCATCGCCAACCAGACCAACGAACCCTCTTTCACGCAACAGTCGTTAGCTTTGATGCAGGACCCCACGGTCGCTTTGGACATCAAGGAAATCGACGCTTCCTCCCACATCGAGACCGTCCCGGGCCCGAACCTGTATTTGGGCTTAGGTCTCCACTGTGCGGTGCAATCGGGCGACCTAGAAGCGGTGAAGATCCTCTGCGGATACCCGGAGATCCCGATCGGGGGCGCGGCGGCGAGCAGTTCGAAATCGATCGACTTGTTTCTAAGGGATAACTTCGGCTGCACGTGCCTGCATCTAGCGGCGATGAAGGGGCGGTTAGATATGGTGGATTTTTTGTTGCAGGTAGAATACCAGCAGAAAGTAACGGAAGAAAGGGAAAAAGCGGCGCGCATGGCGGGCATGCTGACGCTTGGGGGGAATAAAGGAGGGGATTTGAGCGACGGGATCAGAAGACGAACCTATGTCAACACCGGGGTGAGTGTCCACGAAGACAAAACCTTCGCGAGCACCATGACAAGAACCTCGAAGGGAGCAGGTGGTGCGCAGCAGGATAGTACAGCCCCGCACGGCGGTTCCCCGCCGCCAGGGTCTGGTTCATCACCGGGTAATATGATGAACCACGGTAGCGGTTTGCAAACGGAGTTTATGGACATTTCAAAACTCTTGCTCCCCCGCGTTGTGGACCACGAGGGCCGCACACCTCTCTTCGTCTCCGCGTTTCACCGCAGAAGGGACGTGGCCGACCGGCTTTACGCGATAACCTACGAACAGGAGTCTAACGCGCCGGCCATCCCCGTCGCAAACGCGCAAGCCCTTTCGGCTGGCGTGTCCCAGCCGGGGCCCGCGCTGCAGAAGGCGCGCAGCGATAGGAAGAAGAAGGTGCATATGCATTGCAAAACGAGTTGTTTATCGTACTTGTGCAATTGCAGAAGGCGCGACAAATCTTCTTCCTAAGCATAAGCTAGAGCAGCATGACTACTTTTTACAAATTCAATTGTGATCGTGCTGACCTACTTACTTTGTTATGCAATTTGCACTACAAGAACTACTAGTACGATACAACTTTTGCAATGTATAGTGCAGATGGCGCAGCAACCGGAGGACATCCAAGTCCCAGTTACCGTCGGAGCGGTGATCCCTCCGGCACATTTATCGCAAGAAAAAACTGTTTCCCTGTAAACTTGCAATGCAGAAAATGTATTTCAGAAGTGTTTGTCTTGCTACAGATGCAAGAGAACAAATTTTTAGCTGTGTTTTCCCCTAGAACTTCTACCCTCCCATGGCAAATAAATTTTCTCTGTGATCATGTATAATCACACTTGTGATCGCAAAACTCGCAAAATCCCTTTATACATGTGAAACACTCTTTCGTACGATAACATTTGTTAGAGCAGCAACGAGAGGAGATGGCGAGCCGGGAACTGCAGGAGGAAGACCACTATGCAATGCAAAAGTATCGTACGAGTTGTAAAAATCGCATGACAAACTTTCTCGAGAAGCAACTTGGAATTTGTCGTGCCGATTGAGGTATAAGAAAAAGATCTGTTTATGTAAGCCTGGCATATAATATACGAGTGCGATACTCTTGCAGTGGATAACTACTCGCAGTTCTTCGACCCACAATCGGAGGTATACGACATGCGGAAGCGGGAGCTGCTAGAATCGCGGCAGAGCGACCCGGGGTACTGGGATGTGGTAACGGAGCAAGACGTTTTGATCGAATCCTCCACCAGGTGGCAAACCCAGTTTTACCTGCCCCGACACACGAGCGACACCCTCGGGTTGAACGAATACCAAAACATGAAGGGCACGGCGGTCCCACTACCCGTCCCCGCCGGGCAACTCACCGCGGAGCAGAGCGGTAGCGGTAGCGGGTCCGGTGTCGCGGTAGGAGGTGGTAATGTCATAATTCCAGCAGGTGGCTCGGCGACCTCCCTTCCGCTCGGTGGAACAAGCTCCATGATGTCTTCTGGAACGGCTAACGTCCGGTATGGCAGTGACGCCTTGCTCGGCGAACACAAGTCGAAACACGAACGAAGCCGGCGGGAAATGATCTTGCACGAATCCTTGCGCGACACTTTGGGGAACACCAGGTACAACTCGTTTCTGGACCAGGAACTCTCCCGGTCGACAATGAAGAACGACGACGAATCTATCGAGGACCCATTTCCAAACACACACGAACTGCTCGCGGTGCACGTGAACTCGGGCCGGGTGCCACTGTCCGCTGCCAGCTACCAGCCGCGGCCACAGTCGAGACCACCGAGCTCGTTCTAGGATCGTCTTGCAGAGCCGCGGTTTTGATGAAACGTTTGTCGTTGTAACTCTAACTGTACAGTACACTATGACTATGTATGATTTTCTTCTTTAAATTGTTAGGTACGAAAGATTTTTTTGTAGCAACAGCTTGATAAATTGCTGCGAGGCTGTACAATGTAAATCGATTTGCTTGGTACTTTCCACATCAACAACAAGTTTCACGCGTCTACATCGAAGTTGCAAATTGTTACCCCGTTATCTCGTTCAATATTCGCGGAAGAACCATATGACTTATTTAGGAATAGTACGAAAATTTATCGCACCAATTCCCACCAATGCCAGGACACGTGGTCTTCCTTGTGCTGATGGCGTGGTAGTTGTCAGGCTGTCACCAGTCCAGCCGAAGCAAGTGTCCTCTCCGAATGTCATTCACTTTTTGCGTCAGCCTCAGCACCTTCCTGGCGCAAAGCAAGCAGATGTACGATGTCAAATTGTCATAGCTTTAGCTGCCGAATCAGCAGCCGCGCCACCCGGAAAAGTTGTTACAACATCATTTGTTGCAGGTCATCACAATGAACACATAATTAGTAGCAATGTTGGTTGTCATCACGTGTGTCGTCTTCATAGGTGCACCATGGTCGGCCCGCTCTTGGACAAAGATGTAATTGTTCTCCATGTTACGTTCTAGATCTAGTAGTATAAAAGTAAAAGAGGATAATCACTGCACAGCGGCACGGGGAGCTCGGCTCTCAACACATCGGAAGATCCTTTATTGCAGCCCGTTCTTTCACGTCTGAAGGCAAGGTTGAGAATTCGACACTTTTTTCTAGGCGGTCTCGGGAGACGTAAAATGGAAAAACAAAATGGAATTTCAAAAAGCAGTCAGAAATATCAAACCTGGCAAAGGAAGCATTCGTGGCATTGCAGCTTAAGTTTTACGTTTACCGAGTCCTGACTTCGTCGTGCTATTGATTTGCGAAGCGTTTTCCTGATTCTTGTGGTGATTTCCAGATCCGGAAGGGTTTGGTATAGGTTTCAGGGTTTAAGCTATCCACTACCATTCTTAATATGGTGGTGCTTGTTTTAAGGTTAGATGATTGGCACAAATGATCGTCCAAAGTGACATCCTATTGTTTTCGTTTCAACTTCAAGTAGAAAACGAAAAACACATGACTGTGCACTAAATTTTTAAAGACCTGCGTCCATCCCTACTTCTTAAGCTCTTCAGCCTCCTGCCGCCAGTATGGGGCAAAACGGCTCGAAGTGTCCCGTGCCCGGACCGCGCAGGGGTAGCGATAACCAGTTTGCGCGCGGCAGCTGCACGGTGAATGGCACACCGAATGACCACGACGTGAAAGTGCAAGAGGCTCTCTCGTCCTCTGGCACGGAAGAGCTCTGGGCCAGCCTGGTCACGAAGAAGTCCCGCGAGTTTGTTGACAGCTGCCAGGACCGGTTGCGCAGCGAGGAGGTGGAGGAGCGCGAGGAACTACTCCAGGAGCTGCAGCACATGTTCTTCGAGGAAGAGGACTGCCAAATCCGCCCCGAGCTCGCCGCCCTCGCGGCGCACCCGGAATACCGCAAAGCCTGTCCGGAACTCCTGTTGTTCGCAGATCCGGAAGTGTACTGGGAGTACCGCATTAACAAAGCCTGCAACGGAAACCCGGCCACTACCGTCAGCAAGGCCGTGCGGAAAAAGCTGAACGCGGACTTTGCGACCTTCGCGAGGCGAAACTGGCGTGGGGCCGCGGGCGTTCTGATCGAGCAGATGGCGAGTAATGGAGCAACTACAACTTCGGACAAAGATGACAGCGAAGAAGTTGTCGACCACAGCAACACAGCGATGTTGCTAGACCGGCCAGAGATATGTCGATATGGGGACGTCATGACAAAGGACTGCGTCGAGATCTTCTTCGAACTGGAACTCAACAAAAACAAAGCCGAATACGAGGATACCGTACCTTTTGTCTCTGATTCATCTCACACATGATCTATCAGCTTTCATGTCTTTACCCGCTGAGAAAAAGAAAGTCGTGTTGGGACGTATGTTGAAAATGAAAATGTAAATGAAAAATCTGCTGCAAGGCAAAAAAATGAAAATCCAAAACACAGATAAACCGCTCCCTCCTGCCAAAGCTACAGCGTTTGAATCAAGATCTCAGTGTGAAGTGGGTGCACAACAATCCGCAATTTCCACTTCCCTCTCCAATCTACTATGGACATCCGGAAGTGTGTGTCAAGAAGGTTGAAGAAGTCGAAGCGTACTTCCAGAGCAGCGAGGTTTGCCTGTCGGAATACAACCGAGTAAATTGTTGATATTGTTGCCAGTAGGGCTATGGTGCCGTGGTTTTTTTGAGAATGATTTGCGTTTTCTTGGAAAGCAAAAGCATTTCTGATTTTGTCGGTGCTGAGAAACGAAAAAAGGATTGTTATTAAACCGCAAAAACAGGTTTCCCTGCGTCTCGAAGCAGACGACATTCGAAGTGTGCTCCAGCGCTGGCTTCGCGACCTTTCTGCGGATGACGGGTTTAAACAGTATGTGATCCCCATCATTTTCAATTTGCTCAAACGCGGTGAGAGCTGGAGCAAGTTGCAGAGCATCGCCAGTGAAGCCATTTCGGAATGGTGCAAGATGTTAAGTCAACAAGGCGGAGGTGGAAGCGGTCAGAACGATGGGGACGGTGACGTCGTCATGGGGTCCGCAGAGAACAACGAGAAGCTACTTCCTTCGGCCGCTGGTAACGACAACATCAAGCGTCAAATTGCGAAGGCTGAAGCCATCGCGAGCCTCTTCACACCGAAAGCGTTGTTTCACTTCGTCTTCCTGCGAGCGGAGACGCCGTTGAAACTCCGGCTGCTCATGGACTTCAACACGCTGCACGCACTGCCACTCATCCACCCGGGACAGACTTTTAACGGCGACCTGTTCTTCCTCCTGCAGCAGCCGTACGAGAGCGCGCTGTGCAGCTTTGGGTTGGGCGCGCGAGCCTCCGAGGGGATCGGGAAGAGCACGCTGATCAACCGCGTGCTGATGTGCACCTTTGCAGAGAAGGACAGCGGCTTCTTCAGCTTCGGCTCGCTGGACGTTGATCTGGGTTTTTCCTTCAAGGCCGGCTGCCGGCGCAGGAAAATTTGCGTTGCGGATCAGCACGGGCAGCTGGACTGTGCGCGCTTCGGGGCGGTGCTGCAGCTTTTCTCGCACTGGTGTATCCACGTGCACTGGGAGGACGTGGAGAAGGGGCGGACGACCATTCTCGAGGACTTTCAGAAAGCCATCAACGGGGCCCGCGAAGCGGCGCCGCGGGGAATCATCGTGCTGGTGCGCGATGTGCCGGCCACGGTGTCGTCCACGCCGCTCCGCAAAGTAGAAGTTTCCGGAACAACGACAAGTGCTGGCGGATGCGACGCGCGGCTGCAGCAGCTACACGAGCGGTTTGTTGGCTTGCTGTCCGGAGCTGACGGTGCTTCAGGAGGTTTCTCCCAGGTACGGCTGCATCTCATCGCGCTCCACGACCTTTCCTCGTTAACGGACCACTCGAACCTGGATCGTGCTGTCAAGTACGAGCTTGAGCCAGTCTTCAATCAAGAACTGTGTGCTTCTGGAGGAGGGGGTTCGGCGACGACGGGCTCGAGGACTAATGGCGACGATGTCGAAATGGCCGACGCCGACAATGCGCTTGGAGGTTCTTCTGGAAATGCTTCGGATGTGAAACGCAGCAACGGCAGCAGCTGTTTCGAAAAAGGCCAATTTCTAAAAGTTCTGCAGCAAATCCACCGAGCGGAGAAAGACAGGAAGCTAGCAAGTGACGAGGGTCTCCCCTCGGGCGATGCTGGAGAAAATCCAAATCAGGAGCACGACATGATCATATACAAGAAGGTGGACGACTTTGCGAGCCAGTTTTTTTCGGATCTACAGCCGTTCAAAAATGACTTCTACGACCCGTGCTGCCTTGCATCGCGACGGCTGCTAACCGAGTTGCGAGAACAGGAGTGCATTCTGCGCAACCCCGAGCTCGCACATGAGGTCATCCAGGACGCAAAAACGAAGAAGGACAAGCTGCTTTCCGATTTGCGACAAATCCAGCCCACTTCCCTCTACAAACTGTTCGTGAAGATTCTGCAAAACGGCGACAACGTGCTGATTCTCGGCTACATTGGCCACCTGTTGAAGGCCTTCAACGAGTGCAACACCCGCGACGACGAGAAGCACAAGTCCCTGCTCATGGACCGCATGCACTCGCGAAGAGACATGGCAGGCGGCGTCGAGTCGGTCGAATTGCGGGAGAAGGTTCGCGAAGTTTCCGATCTTTTGCAGCGAAAGCGCTTTTCGCTGGAGCTCCTGTGGCGCGAGCTCTACAACATGAAGGAATTCGACTGCATGCCGTTCGACGGCGCATCGGCGCCGTCCACTAGCCTGACCGGACCAGCATTGGTCGGTGGTGCTGCTGGAGCGCAGGGGAACTTCGAAATCGATCCGGTCGAGAAGGTTTTGGGCATGATCAAGATGGGCGAGCCGTTCGAGATCATCGACGGTGACACACTGTCCATCCCGAAGAAGACGCTTGCAGAAGCTTTCGGCACCTTCGGCAAGAAGCGCGTGTTGGTAGTCAGTATCCTGGGACCACAGTCATCCGGAAAATCGACCTTGTTGAACTTCTTGTTTGGTTGCAAGTTCTTCACAAGCGGCGGGCGGTGCACCAAAGGCGTTTATGGTTCCTGTATCGAGCTGGATCACCCGAACTACGACATGCTGATGGTCATAGACACAGAAGGCCTAAAAAGCCCGGAGAAGGGCGACCCGGAGTTTGACAGGAAAATCACGCTCTTCTGTCTCGCGGTTTCCAACCTCGTCATCATCAATGTTAACACGGAACTAGACCGCAGCATGCAGGAGTTGTTGGAGATCTGCATTTACTCGCTGGACGGTTTGAACAAGGCGAAAATGGCGATGCCGCAGGTCTTCATGGTCTTCAACAAAAACGCGTCGGACAGCAAGGCACCGTACCTGGAACAGATCAACAAGATCAGTGAAAGCGTCCGGGAATCGAAACCAGACGCCAAGGAAGCCGCGGACGCCATGATGTTTCCGGAGAGCCGCTTAGTACTACTACCCTTCGCCTTCGAGTGCAAAACCGATGAGAAAGACAGCAAGCGCGGTCGCGATGAAGAGTGGGAGCGCTCGCAACCAAGTCTCCGCTACGCCAAGCAGGTTGCTGCGTTTTCGAAACAGCTGCTCGAGGCTGTGGCGACGGGTGACTATACTGGCAATTCTGCCAGCTCCTTCGGAGGCTTGGAGCAGGGTCGTTCGAGTTCCGTAGGGGCCGCCCAGTTTGCCACCCAGGAACTTCGCAATTGGATCAGCATGAGTGCGGACACCTGGAAAACAATCCAGAATTATCCGGACCTGTATCGGTTCGCAAACATGAAGTTGCTGCAGCAGAACCACTTGCTTCTTGAAATCAGCCAGAAACTCGAGGACACGCACCTGACCTGCAACGACGCCATCGCCCGGGACCAAAAAGCGCTGGAGGACGCGGTGTCGTGCGTGGAGGCCGACAAAATTCTCAGCAAGAAGTACCAGCAGCTGCAGGAAACGGAGGTCCGTAGCAGAATCCAGGAGCACTTCGATGCCATTGGCAAGCGAATTGAGAAGGAGCTCAAAGACAAAGCGAAGGAGAAGCTGGTAACGTACGATCACGATCTAATGGAGCAGTACCAGAAGAAGGCCCGCGACCGCGTCCGGTGCCACTGCGAAGGCCAGCAGCACAACGCGCTGCTGCAGCTGCAGCAGATTGCAGCCGAAAAAAGTCGCGAAAAAGGAGTTGCTCAGCTCGACCAAATGATTGAAAAGTTTACTTCGATGCCGCAGTTTCGCAGGAACGGCGACGAATCGCTGACGACGTCGCCGGACCTGGAGCAAGATGGAGCGTCGCGCGGCGAAGCTCCATCTTCTACACCGCTTTCCGAAGAGGAGAAAGTGCGGCTGATTACCAGTGAGTTCGACGTTGTCTGGAATGACATTCTTGCCGGGATGCACAAGAAGCTCCATCTAGCCCAAGATCAGGACCGACTGTGGACGCTGCTCCGCGGAAGCTACGGGCAGCACCAAGAGTTTCCGTTGGACATTTTCTGTGACTCGGACTTCGAAAAAACCGTAAAGGAACATCGCGGCTCGGACGAGATTCTTCAGAAGATGATTATGGACCGCATGTTCGCGAGTGGGAACACCCCGTGCATGGACATCGGGCAAAGCGATTTCATTAATCCAGCACTTGAGGATCTTCCGGATTTGATGAGGCATGCCGGCGCTGATGAAACTCCTTCTGCGGGGCCCGGGAATTTTCTTTCCCCAGCGGACTTTTACGACCCCTACTACTCCATTCAGCGGTTCAACTGGAGTGACTTCGTGTTGGCGGTAAAATGGAAAACATTTTTCAACGATCTCCTGGCCTGCGTAGCAAAGTCTCGCGTCGGAACTGACCAGACGCGCATCCGACAAGTGGAGGACGCATGCGCGTCGTTCAACGCCTATGGATTTCAAGTTGCGAACGCGTTCATCGAGGCTGTCATTGCGCTCATTGAGGATGACGGAAAAACGGGTGCGGACTCGTCGTATACGGGTAGCAAAAATGTTTTTTCAGGAATTTTTTCGGTGTTTTCTTCATCCCGAGATGCAAGGGCGCCGAGCGAAGCGAAGGAAAAGAAACCCGACGAGCTATTCCGGATATTGTGCAGTCAGTACGCCGAGATGATGGATCATGTCTTCCAGACTGCACCCGTCACGAAAAGGAATCGGGCGGTAGGAGATGAAGGGCAGGGTGCTGATTCGAAGCGCAGGAAGCGGTCGGATTTTGAAGATTTTGCAGCAAGTTCGCCGCCCAGGTCTGCGGCTTCCAGTGCAGCAGCTGACAGTCTCCGCGAGAGACCGACGCCAATGCGTCTGCGCGAGTCATCGAACAACAGAAACCTCGCTCGCCTTTTGCTGCCGATTCCCAACTTCGCACAGACGCGCAGTCACGCAAACAGCAACTACGTCGATTTACGAGCCATTGCAGTAGTTGATGAGTATCTCCTCAAGTCGCCACTCTACCAGCCGCCGCAACACCTTACCCACGTTTCCGGATCAGGCGCAAAGATTGTTTTCAAAGTCCGCCGCGACCCGACGGCACCAGATGAAGAAATGCTCGATGGTCCGCAAGAAAAAAGCGTGCCGGATTTCAACGCCCCCTTTGCGGATGCTTTGAAGTTCGTGGCAGGCGAGGAAGTAGGTACCGACAGTCACGACATCCGTTCGCAGTTTAACCTGCTGGTCCGCAACGAGGGCCGCTGGCGTGGCACGGTCTTCAAGCGCTTCCGCGAAATCATTTTGAGGGAGGTCGACTTGTCGCGTCTTGACACGGAAACAGAACAAGGAGCTGGATGTGCATCCTCTGTAGTTGCAAACTACTCGGTACACCTGACGCGACTCGTGCGCCAGCGTTGTTCGGAGGCGATAGACAAATCGGTGAGCGAGGATTTGCGCCGCTTTGGGTGGAAACTGGATATGGACGGAATGGCGCATCTTCACTTCTACGCCCTCGTCACGATGTGGTCCCTGATATCCGATGGCTCCCGCGCGCGCTCGGTGCGGCACATTGAGGTTTTCGAAAAAGATCGCGAGCCCTGGCTACAGTTCGTGATCAAATCGATACTCTCCGACCCGCGCGGCCAGAGTGAAATCATGGCAGAGCGCGTGATGGACTCTGCTATGGAGTCGTTGGGCAAAGACCTGCAAAAGAAGACGGCAAAGGACGCCACCGAGCAGATGCAGCACCACGCCGGCGCATTTTCCGCTGTTGCACTGCAAGAGTCCTTAGATAGCCGGCTACCATTCTGCCCGACTGCAGATTCCAATGAGGTTGTGCGCTACCTCACCGATCAAGCCGCGTTCATTCAGGAGGAGTTCGAAAAAAAGTGGAAAGAGACGTACCAGTCCATCAAGGCGCGGTTTGTGGCCCAGCACAAGATGGACAGGAAAGATGCGCTGAGCAAGTTACTGCACCACTTGGCCAAGCTGAAACAGTTTCTCGGCACGATTCGTGACGACGGAGGAACTCATCTCTTCGCTGCTTCGTCCCAAAGGGGGAGAAACTGCTTTGACGTGAATGCGTCGGACCAGCACAGTGCTGTGTTTGCGTTTTTCATTGATTCCTGCGTTGGTAACAATCGACAGTCCGACCTGTTCCGCGACAGCACAACATGGGTTTGGGATGGGGCGGCAGGATGGGAAATCGACGGCGTCGACACATTGGACACCTGGGGGTCCGTTCCCTTCGTGAAGATGCCGACAACGCAGGGGCTGAAGATTGTGTCCTTTGATGTTTTCTGTGAGGTTTTGGAGGCCCGGTGTTTGAAAGAGTTAAAAGCGTGCGAAGACGTTCAACTCGACATTCAGGAAATGGGTTTAGACACCACGTACTTCAACTTCAAGGAGACCGCGATTGGCTGCACACACTGCTGTCCGGCGTGTGGCAGAAAGTGCGACCAGCCGGGGGCAGGGGAACCGACACACCGTCACTCCTGCAAGCTTGGCCACCAGATGAGGGTTATGGCGGGCGTCTCGAATAATGGGTTTCCATCCTTCTTAACCTGCGACGAAATCAAGGATGACGCGGCGATTAAAGACCTGCGGACCCGCAAGTGGACAACTTGGAAGGAGATTAAGAAAGACAACCCCCTTTGGGACTTTGACTTCTTCGAAGACGCCCAGGACAAGCTCTCCAACGTTGTGAAGTTTCGGTATGGAGATTTTTATTTTGCGTGTCGTCAGCAGGGCTTCGGAGTTCACTTTGGTGCACTTGGATGGAGGGGGAAGTTTTGATAGCTTTGTGGCCATGGAACTCCTCTCAGTCACTTCTTCACCACCTTCGCGTTGAATTGGCTCGAGTTATCGTTATGTGTTTCCGCAGCTAGTAGAAAAATAATTGATATAGATATTCGATAGATAATTGTACTTAGACAGAACAAGCACAAAAGAAAGGTATTGGAAAAATATAATTTTCAGATCGTGTTGGGAGTACCACGGCAAGCGAGTGTGTGATTATTGGACAAAGCAGGGAAAACCGATAAAGTTCTCGGTAATGAAGCCTCGCGATATGCTGCTAATCGTGCTAACCGATGTCAATTTTGTCGAGCGTTGCGTTAGCGTCTGGAAGGACTTGAAGCGTTGGAGCGCGGATGCGGGTGAGCAGTATGTAACGATCGTGCACAGTGATGCAAACCGACTCACGCAGATGGTGTCGCCGATTCGGATTAAAGATTTTCTCGAAGATTTACAGGAAGAATCTGATGCGGTAGCCGCCATGCAGGGAAGCCGGGCGGACGAGCAAGTGGCCTGCAACATCGTGACGCTACTGCGGAACAACGTCGCAACGTATTTGCGCCAGAAGATCAACATCGACCTCCCCAACAGAGCAATGCCCGAACAAGATATGCAATCGCTCGTGGATTTGCACATAAACTTTCCCGACATCGCTAACATCATTTCGGGAGCAACTTTAACGGATCCTCCAAATTGTCCCTACCACAAGTACTGGTGTTCGAGAAACGGTGTGGATCCGAAGAAGCCAATCAGCTGCGACGACCCAAGAAAGATGGCAAAACAAGCTGAAGAATACGGCAAGAAGGCGAAGATTGACATCGCAGAACGAGTGCCACATATTCTAGAGCAAGTTGAACAAGAAGACTCTCTTCTCTGGGCATGGCAGGTGCTGGGAATCGAAGAAGGAACTCCGAAAAGCGACGTGTTTGATGTTGCGGGCGATTTGCTGACCATGTTGGAAGAACTCCAGACGGACATTCGAAGCGCAAACCTTCCACATCTGCCCGGCGGAAACAATCAGGCGAACAACTCTTCTTTCAGTGCGGAAGACGTTCAGCAGGCGAAGGAAAAAGTAGGACGAGCTAGAGATCGGCTGACTCGCTTCTTGTGAGTAAAGAACTACGTCACTTGAGATGCCTGTCAAGAGTACGAGGAAAGCAGAAGCATCGCCTCAGAGTTGTTTTGAGCCTCAAACAAGCAGGCTAATTTATAAAGATCATGAATAACGCCCTGCGAAAAAGCTACTAGTACGACCGGACGACAACTAGTACCTCCTCAAGTTTTTCGCTATGCCGCTCTTGATTGTTTTTTCAAAAACCCCATTCATATCATTTATTGCTATCAAATCGTGGCACGCAACGATTTTCACGCAGGAGAAGACGACAAGAATATTTAGTGTATTGACGCAAACTCTACTTTTACTATACTTATACGGCCGAAAAAAAAATGCATTCGTTAAAACGCGACTCTTAGAGCGGGGAGACGAAATATGCAGAGTTTTTATTCTTGTGTTCCTGCTTCATGGGACCCGTTCCTGGTGATTTGTTTGGCATAAATTACTCATGAAGAGTCAACAGCATTTAGCTCATAAGTACGTACATCCTGCTTGTTCACTCTTAGAGTTCTGGAGCGCCAATTTGCAGCCAAGCCAAGCCATTTGGTCTGATCTTGAATCTACGTCGTGTATAGCGTCAGATAGTGTTTCTGATAGTATGTTTCTGGTAGTCGTAGTTTCGAGATGATCGAGGGCGATTTTATATACTGCACTTGAGGGTCGTGCCGGGGTTCACGGCCCTCACGGTTTCCTCGATGAACACCGGAGCTGAGAAGATCATCGCAAGAATGCGGCGTCAGCGGAAGTGTGTCACTGCTGGTGTGTCATCTAGGCTTTCCACCAGAATAATGGCAGTGCGTCGCGGCCGTCCTCAACATTGTCATTTCTAGCTGTCAACACAACTATGTCTGTGTGGCCGAGTTCCGTCACACTCATGTCTCCCATGAACAAAATCACCGACCTCCCCACCGCCTCCAAGCTCCTCTCCGATTTTCTCCACCGAAAATCCCGCGTTCTCGTTCTCACCGGGGCGGGCATTTCCAAAGATTCCGGTATCCCAGATTACCGAGGGAAGCATGGATCTTACAAGAAAGGCCACCGACCCATGACGATCCAGGAGTTCAAATCGAGCACGTACATGCGAAAAAGGTATTGGACAAGAGGCTTTTTCGGCTACAAAAACCTGAACGAGGCCAAACCGAATGCCGGGCATCGAGAATTGGCCAGGCTGGCCAACAGATGGGGGTCTGGAACGCTTGGCGTTGACGTGGATGCTTCCGCAGCAGGCGGTAGTGGCGAACTGCAAAGTAGCTGGCTCCGTGTGATAACGCAAAAGTATGAAGAGGGATATTGGCCGCCTTTTTGCATTTCTGATCCTCTTGTTCCTGGCAATGCTTGTGCATTCTTGTTTCCTGCATCAAAAGTAGGATACTCATGTTGGATCCACCTGGACATCAGCAGGCGCAAGACCAGCACTGCTAGCTGTGATCAGAAAAAGAAGTAAAAGACAAAGATCATTTTCCCCCTATAATACATTGTGGACGGACTTCACCAGCGCGCGGGCAGCCCCGAGGTTTTAGAACTCCACGGCTCCCTGCATCGGATCGTGTGCGGCAGCTGTGGGCATGAAGCGCCGTATTCCCGGGAGGAGATGCAGCAGGTGTTATTCGACTTGAATCAGGCGAAAAAAGAGAGGGAGGTAGTTGTATTGCCCTCAGCAGCATCATCTTGTCCTTCATCTGCTAGTTCTTCATCCGACGAAAGTAACTCCGACTACCTCTTCCCCTCAACCCTCCAATTGAAAGACGTCCAGGCGGAAAATTTCTTCCCCGTTAACGCCGATGGCGACGCGGAAGTGGAGGACGAAGACATCATCACCCGGTTCCGATTACCGGCATGCCAAGCCTGCGGCAAAGACTTCCTCCGCCCGGATGTGGTGTATTTTGGCGACAAAGTGCCGGGAAGTAGGTGGGACACGGTTTCGAACTGGACGAAACACGCCGACGGACTGATCACCATGGGCACAAGTCTGGCCGTGGGGTCGGCGTGGCGGGTGATGCGGCAGTGTGTGGAGAATGGCGTGCGGGAGATTGTGGTGGTCAACGAGGGGCCGGTGCGGGTTGACGAAGAAAGAGATTTGGGGCAGTTGAAGCAGGTGGTGAAAGAAGATGAAAGCGGAACTGAAACGAAACGACCTCCAGCCGTCGAAAAGCTATGGGTTCACAGATTAGAGGTCGGATGCAGTGAAGTACTGGTGGAAATGAATCGGACCACATGAAGAACACTTTGATTAAAGAGCAAGCGTTTGACGACTTCCAATGTCTCACGTAGTTGCAAAAATATTGCGAGCTGCTCAGTATGCCGTTGCATACTCATGCGGTCCATACTTCTCATTGGATAGCTGTTCTCAATCTAATTTGGACTTTTCTGGCGAATCGACAGAAGCTAACGCTGCGTCGTTGTCTGCAACTGCATCGTTGCTGCAATTACTATAGTGCGCTAAAAACTACCGTTCGACTGCTAGTACAGTTACTTCCAAGAGCAGACAAGAATTCTCCTCCAACTCTGATATCGCCTAAGAAATCAGTGCCTGAGAAGTTGTCACATACTCACTGAAAATCTTGACTTGCTTTCGTTACAACGTCGTGTTGTTTCTCTGTTGCCAAAAGGTCTACCTCCACGCAGCTTGACATGGAAACAAATGGATGATATAACTGCAGATCTCAACAACTATAACTATTCGAATTCGACAAAACCTCTGAGTCAAAAGAACTTCTGAAACACTTTCACAATGCTAGACTCCTTCATCCAAGCCCTCTCCCCGTCCTCCCGACGGAAAAACCGCGCCCTCCTCGACGCCCGCACGGCGAAAAACCAGGAGATCTCCGGGGAAGATTTTGAGCTGCTCTGCGAGTACGACCTCTTGGCCAGCCACTGTCCTCGCAACCTCTACGTGCTACTATGCATTGCAAAAGTGTGAGTATCGTACTAGTATGAATTGCAATACAAATTGGCTCAGCATTACAAGTTGAATTTGTAATGCGGATTTAACTTGAGAAAGAAATTTGTAATGCATGAATGCGATTAGAAGTACGAGTGCGATACTTTTGCACAGGATAGCTACCGGATTTTCGCGATCTACGGCACTGGCACGGCTTATGGAAGCGTCAGGTTTGAAATCGACAAAGTTGAAATGATTTGTCATGCATAAAATGCGTGCCAGTTGGAACCCAGTTTCCAATTGGCGCATGACAAATTTCGGTGGTCCCTAAATCCAGTTTGTTATGCTGTTTAGGGAAAAAAGAGCGATTTTCTCATGCTTCTTTAGCAGCTCCAGCTGTAACCCCAAACAGGCCAACAATCGGCCTCACTTGCCTGCTCTGCAACACACGTACCTCGGGTCATGCATTTTATGCATTGCAAACTATTTCAACTTTGACGATTTCAATCCTGACGCTCCCATACGGCTGTTTGTTCATCCACCGAGGGTTGTACAGGAATTTAACCGTGAGGTTCTCGATTAGCATTCCGACAATCATGTTCCCGTCTAGTAGTACCTCAGGCGGAATGAACAAACTACACTCGACGGCAAGAGGGGGCGCGCGCAGTGGTTCCACTGGCACTTCCCCAGGAGCGGAAAGTTCCGACCCAACCGCCAGCACTTTCTACCCACACAGCATGCACGGCGTGGAGGTAATTTTTCGTACCCACTTCCCCCATCCGCTAGTCGATCCGGAGACCGGGCGGCTGGACCTGGCACCCTTGGTGTTAACCACAAATAACTACCCACAGAACAGGACAAAACGCAGACGACGGGGGGCGCAGCAGGAGCAGCAAGGCCCGGGAGGAGTGATAAATTCGTCCTCCACCTCCCCAGCGAAATTGATTGCCGGCGAGGCGCAGGAGCACCCGCACAGGAACTTGATTCTCCTCTTGCAGTACGTGAAAGCGGTGTTTTTGAAAAAAGAATTGATCTTGCACGACGAGGATCACGTGACTGGAACGCATTTCCACCTTTTGAACCCCGAGTTCGGAAAATTGTTGCACGAAAAACCGGAGAAAGCGAGGAAAGAAGTAGCCCTGGCGGTAGAAGCAAGTTCCGCGGAAAAAGCGCTCTTCAACGCACACGCAGGGAGTATCGTGTTCCAGAGGCCTCGTGCTAGTACTATGATGAACACAAATACTGCAGGTGGAGGTACTTCCAAAAATAACCCTGAAACGAAAGGCGGCAGAGACGAGGACACGCTGGGCGAGCAGCTGCTGGGCCAAAAAACAAAAAGCGACGTCGACAATAAACGCAGCAAGTCAGCAGCAAAAGAAAGTAAGAAGGACACCAGGAAGAGCAGTAACGAAAAGAAAAAGTCGCTCGAAAGAACGAAAACCAAGGAAGAAGAAGATCCGCGTCGAGACTTTTTCCCGCGTGCTTTCGCGGAAGTGCTACAGCACCGAGATCTGCGGCCGCGGGAGAAAAGGCACATGCTCGTGGAGGCATTTTTCGAGAAATACTCGTAGAAGTCGCCGTAGAAGGAGGTTGAAGAGCAAGATTGATCTATGTATACTAGCACAACTAGAAGCTGCTTTATTACACGCATTGTGCCGATGCGAACTACGTCAAATATAATGATCGCCCACGTCGACCTGTATGATCCATAGTGCGCTTCTTCGATGAGGTGTTGCAGCCCAAAGAGCTCGGAAAATGAGAGTACTCATACATTAGCTGGCACGACTTCTTGCCGCGGCAAGGAAATGATTCTACTCACGTGCTTGGTGCGAAGATCACATGAGGAACAAAGCGCACACTTTTCGGATGTTGTTCTCTCCCTGTATTGATCTGTGTCAGTTCCGCTCGAAAAACGAGTTTTCAAACTCAGTCACGGATGTTGACACCGACGTGCTGCCTTTTTACAACGAAGACGAACTTAAGGGATGTTAATACAAGGTTAAGGTTTAGTTTTGGCGATCTGCTTTTCTCTGCAAATACAATGTGGCGAGAACAAGCTAAATGAAGACATTTGTTGATCGGAAACCTGCAAATGTGCTTTTTTTTCGACCGTTTTTAGCACTCAACAATATCCTGCTCTTTGAGCTTGATTTCTATTAGTAGTGCCGACTTTTAATTTTAACAATCCAATCTATCACAGCGCTGTTTCTATGACCACCTCCCGTTGTACTTATTAATTCTAATTGTATTTACTCGTGTCGACATTTGGATTTACATTTTCACTTTCTCATGTCGGAGGACGACGACGCTTATCCCCATAGAAGCTGTGAAGCTGTCGTCTAATTATCCGACCTCTTCACCGCACATCTTTTATTCTCACATTATAAAAACGACGCATGTGTAACTAGTAACGCGAGCGCTATTGTTGCTCAAAAGATGAATTCGGAACGCGGCGACGCGGAGATGAGATTTCATAGTGCCGATATTTGAGCATCAAAAGCGCCTCCAAAGACGGCAGCTGGTGCGACGTCCTCAAGCAGGTCAACAACCGCAGCAGGAGGTAGTATTTGCGAGTTTATAATTCCCCGCCCCTCTCCTGCCAAAAAGAAATAAGAGCAAGAACCTCCGCCCACATCATCATGTCAACCGTTGCAGCCGCGCCCCCGACGACCACGACTTCCGTCCCGACCAACTTGGTCCCCTACATATGTTGGGTGTGCGAGCGGCAGTTTGCGAGTCAGAAGGACCTAAAACTCCACGAACAGCAGTCGAAAATGCACGAGGCCAAGATGGAGCGGCAGATGTTCAACAACGTGGCAAAGCGGGAGGAGATCCGAGTTACAATTCTGGAGGCCAAGTCGGAAATGCGGGAGCTGGAACTCGAAACGGAGAATCAGGTGATCGTCCCCCCGGACAAGCAAAACCGCATGATGCAGCTGGAGCGCACGGTGCGGTACTGCGAGCGTGAGTATGGGCAGCGGCAGGAGGTGATCGAGGCAAACCGGGGGTGGAGCGCCGTGAAGGAGGACGAAGACGATCTGGACAAGTATAAATTTGACTTTGACTACATTTTCAACTACAACTACCCCCCAAAGATGCATGTAGTCTTCTAGACGAGGTATCGATGTACCTTACACGAAATAATATCCATCCAATGAGATGAATGACAAAAAAAGCAGCTTCGACAAAATTTCATTTATAAAACAGCCCCAAGCTGATGGACATCGATCCAATGAACCCTCCGCCGGATAGTATGCTGTATCCAGAATTCAAGGAGCTTGACAGCGGGAGACAGTACCCGCATCTCAGGTAATAGAAATAGTTGTTGAAAAAGTACCATTTACGCATACGCGTAGTAAAGATTGAACTTTCAACAAAAAGTTGTCCACTCCTGGTTCTACTGCTTCTATCTGCACATCAAACATCTCCACCTAATGCGGCCGCCCTCGCACGACAAGATAGTGCGCCTTTCTTCATCCCACGACTAGAGATCATGAGTTTTATCACCACAATCCGAACATCATCGACGACGTACAGGTATAGCGAAAAGGACCTCTCTATCTTTCCCGAGCTGGATCTGTCTTGCGGTGTATCCACCTGGATGGGCGGTAAGGACGCGCAGGAGGTATGAGAGTGCACAACTCCGCCTCACCCTCATTCGTATGGCATGAGCAGCAATACAAACACCAGCACACGTGGAGCCTATGCGTGACAAATTTTTTATATACCTGATGTAGTACTGTTTAGGCTACCAGAACTTGTCATGCAAACAGTGCCATAAGGCAGCGACTGGATTCGGGGTCTTGCATGACAAATGAGGGCCGGGAGGGGGAGTTGTGAACTGTCATAGGAGGACCGATTCTGCTACGACTGTGTGATGGAGGGCCCGCAGAAGGAGAACCTGGTGGGCTACGCCGTGTTCGACGGGCACAGCGGGCACCTGTGCAGCGAGTACGCGCAGAAGAATCTGTTTCCCATTCTGCAGCGGAAGCTGAAGTCGAACAAATTCGGCAGAAACAACAAATCCGACTCGGACGACGAGCTTGACGGGGAGTTGCAGCTGCCCGATAGTACAGCAGGAGGCGCCAAGAACGCGAAGAGTGCTTCTTCTTCCTCTAGTGGTGGAAATAAGAATAAAAAAGACAGTTCTGTCGACGACAAGCTTACCGAGCGGTACTTGAGGCAATGCGTGGAAGACACCTTCGAGGAGTTGGACCGAAAGTGGTGCAAGCAGGCCAAAACCACGCTCGACATGGACGGCACTACCGCCACAGTGGGGATTTTGTGGGAGGATCTGTGGAGCACAAGTTCCTCCTCCTCGGGCTCGTCGCGGGGCGGCGGCGGTGGAAAGAATACCAGCAGCGACAAAGTGTGGGAAGACTCCCCGGACCTGCGACTTCCGTCCGACCCCTCGCAATGCAGCAACGTGCGTCTCATGATCGCAAACATCGGGGACACAAGAGCTGTGATGGTACTATGATCTGACATTATATATGATTGTGACAACCAATAGTAGTTCTGATCTGTTTATTGTGCTTCTTCTTTTACCCGAACCCGTTCCCGTACGATGAACCCGTAATAGATATCCAACGTTTACTAGCAAGCATTACCTAATGCTAATCCATAAATTCCACGATCTCCGGTCCATCCTAGGTTCAAAAGAAGGGCCCGATTCAGCAGAAGGACGGGAGTTACCGCACGGTGAAGCACGCCCCAATACCTGGAACAAGCACCGCGGCGGGCAAGGAAAAAGACAACGCAAAGAACAAAAAGGACAGGGACAAGGATGGTAAACAAGACCCATCACCGCCGGAGAGGAAGATTTTCGTCCCCTGCGGGCCGGTGTCCGGCTACCGCCTCTCAGACGACCACAAACCGGACCGGCCCGACGAAAAGCGGCGCATCGAGGCCAGCGGCGGAGTTGTGCAGGACATGACCGGCGTGGCGCGCGTGTTCACCCCCTCGCCGTTGCAGATCGGCGATCGGTTCGTGCAGTGGGGGCTGGCGGTCAGCCGCAGCTTTGGCGATTTGCCTCTGAAAGACCCGCGGAGCTTTGGTGCGCCGAACGAGGGTATCACATGCAAATATGTCTGGGTCTGGAAGAGTGCAAGTTTGTCATGCTTGTCTAGCATGATTCGAGAACCTGTGTTGCATAGGCACGAAAAGGCCCGCCTCTTGCCTGTCATGCAAAAACGCAGTTTGCCATGCGGAATACGTAAGACACTGCAGCCAAAAGATTTGTCATGCGTAGCTGCGTATTGTAGTGCGTCTATCATGATACACTGTTAGCATTACAAGTTTCGAGACCCAGACATTTTTGCATTTGATAGAAGGCGCGAGGGACCTGGTGTCCGCCAAACCCGAGATCACGTGTTTTCATATCACGCCAGGTAAATACATACTTAATCCGCGAGTAGATTCTTTGCCACCTTTTGTGAATCACAGTGATCCACCTTCTATTTTCGCATATGATGTTGCTACTGGGTTTTTATTTCGCGACGTTTCTTTAGTTCGACTTTTTATTTGATGTTTCTTCATGTGCCTTCCGAGCTCAACATCCACCTCTACTTCTCAAAACACCAGGCCGCGACCTTCTGCTCCTCTTAGCGTGCGATGGTGTGTGGGACGTGGTTTCCGACCACGATGCTGCGACGGTGTGTCACGGCCACTACCGTGCGGGGTTGGAAATGGTGCTGAAGCCCCGGGCCGACCTGCTCCGCTTGTCCCCCGCCGGCACGCTGACGCACCCGGTCCGACACGCGGCCGCACAGGGTGCGCGCGGAGTGGTGCGGGAGAGCTTCCAGCGGTACTCGTTGGACAACTTGACGGCGCTGGTAGTATCGTTGGCTCCGACACAGGCCTGGTGGGACGCTGTGGCGGGCGGGGGCGGGGAGGTGCGAGATTTAGGGGACCTCCAAGATGGGGGCGGAGGATTACCGGGGGCGAAACGGTCACGACAGTCATAGGCTGCGGGTCAGATTTAGATCATTTTGATGCGCGACAGCCACGAAGATCATGATGAGGCCATACACATGCGTACCAAGACAAAGGGGGCCAGCATCCTCTTCGTCCTCAGAGTTGGACCACAGCCACTCGATGTACGACACTTTAAGCGACATCAGCGACACAATAATTTCCATGTACTTCTGGTTCTGCGAAGCTTTTGCTCTTGCGAAGCCTAAAAATCGCACTTTAGAAGCGGTGATGTGTTCTCCTGCCATGAGAAGAAGTAGTTGTGCCGTCAGGTCTGTGTCAGTATCGTGAAAGACACATATATGATGTCAACCCTACAACTGAGTTGTGCTGACGAGTACGAACACCTGCAACTGTATAGAGAGAAAAGTTGTAAAGGAATGAAGAGGCGCGTCGTAAAACTAGAAGTAAAACAAGCAGAGATGAGGAATCTTCCTTTGCCGTTACGTCGTCGTTGTCGCAGTACCTCACTCGTGGGCACGAGGGGTTGTTGTCTGTGTTGTCGTGGTCGAGGAGAGCGATGGTGATTCGTTTTGCTAGATTCTTGTTCGTTATTTGTAGCTTGGTCGTTCCCACACCCACGACTTCGCGGCGGGATAGAAAGACAAGAACAAGTAGTGCAAGAACAGTAGCTGGGGTACTGCCTACTTAGTGGCTGCGCTACCGAGCTGCCCAGTAGAAGCAACAGGGCGAGCGCGACGTCGACTCGCCATTGTCGTAGTAGGGTTTCTAGAACTCCTCCATCAAAAAAAAAAATGTCCTACACAGTCCAGCCGGCGCCGCACGAGGCGCTCCGGCTCGATGGTATGCTGAAAACGCACGGTATGGAAGTGTCTGGTTTGAAATTGACAAAGTTGAAATAATTTGTCATGCATAAAATGCAAGACATGAAGTGGCTTTCTTGCCGGGATAGCAAGTGAGGCCGATTGTGAGCCTGTGTAGGGTTTGAAGTAGAGCTGCTAAAGTAGCATGACAAAAGCAGTTTGCTGCTCCCAAACAGCAAGACAAATTGGATTCCGGCGCTCGGAAAAAGAAAATTTGTCACGCGCCGCTTGGCTGGCATATATCGGTTTTATCTTTATGCATGACAAACTATTTCAACTGTGACGATTTCAAACCTGACACTCCCATACACGATCCGTACTACAAAAACCAGAACACCCGGGACTCCGACAAATTCAGCCGCACGCTGCCCCTCGCAAACTGCCACGGGTCCAGCAGACCATCACCCTCGTTCACATGCGAAGGAAGGGACCGAAAATTCCCGGGAATAGCCATGGACATGTCAAATAAGCCACCATTATGGTATGATTGGAGTTCCTCTTTCTGTTTCTCGTCAAAATGAAGTGTGCTGTTCATCAAAAAAACTAATTTTTTCGTTGCATTTTTACTTAGGGCGCACAACATCATATGTAAATGATGCAGCTGTCGTGTAAGCCTTTCCAAGAAACGCGACGTCTGAAAGGTTCTGGTTTAAAAGAGTTGAACACTGGCAGGTACGCAACGCAACTGAAATTCAAAAATTACTTCGCAGGTACGACGGCTACAAGGGCGACAAGAAGGAGGGGTGCCACAAGCTCCCGGGCTTTCACCCAATAAACCAAGACCACCTGGAAATCTTTAAGAACTTCTCCATACAGCTCCCGAGTGAGCGACTCCGAGAAAACCAGAGGCTAAAAGAGGGCATCGCCTACGCAAACAAAGCAAAAGCCGAGCTTTCAGCGTACTTTATGTTTTTTCTCGCTGTAATTCCTCTTTTTCTTTCAAACACAGCATTTTTTGTCTTTGGTCTACTTGAAAAAAATATAGTCTTTTCGCATGGTCGTACCCGTAGCGCCAGCGGTAGTCGTCGCTACATAAAGGTAATGCACGGGGCGTAAATCAAATGAAAAAATATTTCACAGATTCAAGAGGCAGTCGAAGTTGATCCAGAGGCACTACAAAAACGGTCTGACGGGAATCGATGGACCTACAAGACCGGAAACGGAACTCTACAAAGAAAGGTAGCAAATGGATAAGCACATGCTTTCATGCATTACAAATCTTTGTTTTAAGGCAGATCCGCATTAATACAAATTTAATTTGTATTGCTGAGCTACTTTGTATTGTTCATCCTGCATGACAGCTACGTCGGAAAAAACAACGCACCCGACACCTAGGTACGATATGTACCAAGCACAGGCAGACGCGAGTCACGCAGACCAAAGGCGAGAGTTTCTGAAGGAGAAGCGACAGTATCAAGTGCAAAAATGTCTGGGTCTGGAAGATTCTAAACTTGTGATGCTCTCTCTGGATTCGAAAAAGATTTGTATTGCGTGATCAGTAAGAGGAGTAGATTTTGTGCTCCGCGGAGATGGCATTTGTCATGCGGAACAGGCATGAAGAAGCGCCCCAAAAATCTCTGATGCTACGGCATGCGTCACAGACATCACGGGTCATGGAAAATATGCATGACAAATCCAGAAATCTTCCAGACCCAGACATTTTTGCATTTGAAAGACAGGCCAACGAGGCGATTACCCACCCACAACACGAGAATGTTAAGAACGGTATATTACGTTAATATTAGAAGCAATTTGTTCATCGTACTTCTAGTCATTCGCTTTGATCTTATCGTTGTATTTCATCATCTACATCTTCGTCGTGCAAGAAAATCCCTATAGATCTCGCTTGCAGCTTCTGAAGAAAATTCTATGGCAGTGTCAGGATTGAAATCGTCAAAGTTGAAAAAAAATTCTGGCAGTCCTTGGCGGGGGCCTTCAGGGCACCCCCTCCGGGACCCCCTTCAACTCTGACACACTCCAGCATAGCGTGGTGGCTAGCTCGGAGGGGGGGCGAATGTGTCAGAGTTGAAACGCAAAATGCCGGCACCTCTTCAGGGGCCCCCGGATTTTTTTTTCAACTTTGAGAATTTCGATCCTGACACACCCATAAATTCACTATACACTGTAAAGGTTTGAACCGGTTTCCGATGGTAGATCCCAGATCGCACGACATTCCCATCCAGCGCAAAGACGTCGACCCGGTAAGGCACCCCTACCGCTACTTTGACACGCATATGGCGCTCTCAACTGTTACATGTTCAACTGTTACACGGATTTGTAATGCAAGAATGGCCAAAGTGAAAGCGGGGACATGTAGTTGACGTGTCTTGCACGACAGATTTGGCGCAGGTTCTCAGCCTGTTTGGCCCTTCGATGATTTGTCATGCGAGACAGCTTGATCGTGTCGATTCTGATTCCCATTGTGCATGACAAATCATGTAGAGGTTGGGAGTGTAACGTTTGAGAGTCCCATAGCGCACTACCGCCTCTTCGACTCCTCGGACGCCGGGCGCGAAATGGCTCGGGCGCGTGCGATATGCATTGCAAATATGTCTGGGTCTGGAAAATGCAAAGTTTGTCATGCTCGGCCAGCATGATTCTCAAGTCTGTCATGCTCATGCACGCTACAGAAACACCCCAGTTTCCTGTCATCCGAAACGCACATTGCCATGCAGAACAGGCAACACGCACCTAGGAGCTTAAAAACTTGTCATGCGTGGCCGGCACTGGAGACGTCCTCAAGTAGTTTCCAGAACGAGACATATTTGCATTTGATACGCGATCCGCACGCACGAGATGCGGGAGAAGAACTATGACATACTGAACTTCTCCGACAACAAACTCGACTTAGAAGTCGTGTAAAAGTCGAAAGTGGAGGGTGCTAATATTTAGGCGAGGAAGAGAAGATCATCGAGAAGATTATGCTGCGAAGACTAGACACTACCCGTGTCTAATAGTCTTTATTGCTTCTCGTGAACATGAAAATAAAACCCACTGCTCTTCTTCTCCTCCGAAAAATCCGCGTATCTATGTAGCACGATGCTGCTCCGTTTAAGAAATTATCCTACTATTACACTAATGTCTTCGGAATAAAAATGCATTTATGCAATCAAGCAAACTTTTCGAGTCAATCAATTTCACCTGAACAATGATTTATTTCCCGATCCTGTCGTGGCTGCGAGTGGTGCAAGAGCAAATGCACGGCTAAGGAGTTACTATCGGCACGTTTTTCTGAACAAAAATGTTGACCGCCAGCACATTACAAGCTGGAATAGGAACCACGAAATTAGTTTCTTAACCTTGTTTCTTCTTCTACCGACTTGTAGGAGAGGTACCAACTACCCCCGTAGATGCGGCCCGAGGACGAGCACCTAGGATAAGCCACCTGACGTTCACCATCATCTTCATCCCTGAAGAAACGTACACTGGTGCAGGTGCTATTAAATGCGACGACTTATTGAACGAGCAGTCTATGCCTAATCATGAAGGTAGGTTCAATACTAGCTGGGCGAAGATGAAGGTGAACGACGGACAAGAACTACAACTAGGTGACCAACTATGATGTCCATTATTCATTGCAACTTGTACAAAGGACCCTGCAGAGTGTTTCTACTACCGTATGCAACTACAGCTAACCTAATATTTATTGCAGCTGCGTATATAATCACTCATTGGGCTGAGCTTATCTTCTATCTTCCCATGAAGATGATCTAGTTGTTGGTCGTCCGGCGAAATTTCTAAAAATGGACCTCCCACTCTTTCTTGTACGATAGAACTTCAAAACGTCCTCTACAATGCAAAATCCAGATGATGTCGGCGGAGCCGGTATTTGACTACAAACTAGTCGTGCGGGCCTGCCTCATTGCTTTTCTGTGATCGACATCGACAACTTCGGGTTTTCTCATTTGGCTTTGCTCCTTCTATACAAAGATAAACTGGTTCTCTTCATCGTGAAAGCACAATTTCTATAAAGAAAGTACTTCTTTACACATTCGGTTTCATCTTGTCCTGCTCTTGTCGGTTCGTCATCGTCGTTGTCAAGATTCAAATCGGTCTGTCAAAATAAAGAAAATGTAATATGAATATCTTCCTCCACAACACTTATTTTCGTGCGAAAAACTTGACCCATACTCGTCCTCCAGGGTATATTAACAGGAGCAACGTGCATAGAAAATGAAAAGCTCAATACCCACCTCGGTTCTCGTGCGTCAATTCTTCGTGCTGATAGGAAATACGTCTCGTACGGTACAATCCACCAGTGGGTCGTCTTTATTCGTGTGCTTTGATACATTGTGGTGGTGGCGAATTTTACAACTACATGGCTGTCAAAAATAAAACACAAGTACATCTAGGTCACGTTACTGATCCTGATTTCATTCGCGTCAAAAAAATTAGGATTTTTTCAAGTCCAAGATATCCAATCCAATCCAAAAAAAGTACTATGGACAGGTATCCTCGGATTCCCCCCCCCCCATTACAACTCAGCGTCCCTGTGTCGTGGTCGTGATGGCTCGGAAGATGCAGGGTTTTTGATACTACCAGTACCACGTGCATGTGGACGTGCTTGATGTTGTTCTTTTTCTTGGAGTAGATTCTTACCGAACTTTCGCGCGCAACCAAGGCTCTCCTTCTCCACGCTCCAGCCCGCTGTCTGGAGGTTGGATACTTCCCTCCACAGGTGGAAAATCAATACGGCGCTGTATTCCCGGGTAGAATTATCGCAGGCAGGCGCGGAACTCCCGTCTCCCTAAAGCGACAAGATGAACATTCCGGGCGAGCAGGAGTAGCGTCTTTCTAAACAAGTAACTCGCGGCAGAGGAGAAGCTCTACGTCATCTTTGAACCCACGTGGTCCACGACCGGGAGGAGGATTGCAGCTACAGCTCCCGCATTCTTTCTACCGCACTTTGACACCAAACGATAGATAGATAGAAACGGCAAGAACATCATGTCTTCCCCCAGCAGCAAAAAAACGCAGGCCGAGTGGATTGCAGCGGGGCTGGACCTCTTTCGCGACTACTACATCGGCGTGCTGCAGAAAGTCCTTTCGCAAAGAACTCGTAAAGCAGGAGATGTTGATGTTGGGGCTTCTTCTAGTACAGCAAACGCGCCGACGAGCACCAAGAGCCCGACACCGAAGGAGGCACTGCAGGCGGAGCGGGGATTGTTTGGCATGAACGCGCTGCAAAGGTCCATCAACAAGGGCGAAAAAATCCTTTCGGCGTCGGACGATAGCGCAACAGCTCCTGTGCCAGCCATTGCGGCGGATGACGCAGCAGCGCTCTGGTCCACCGAACCCCTGGCCAAATATTTTCCGTCCACCGCTAGTGCGTCCACCCGGACCCAGAAGACCGCAGGCAGCACCGGCGCAAAGCAGACCGCGAACAACTTCGCGCTGCACCAATTGACCACCCAAACCGAGGATCTGCCGCTGTGGCATTTGCTGCAGCTGGAAAGGCTGAATAGAAAAGATGCACCTGGGATGTTGAATAAAGCAACTTCAGGCGGTCGTACTACCGGGCCAGCCCCCGTGACCAGTCGGGACGTGCTCAAGTTGGTCGACAAAGTGTGCGAGGAAGTGCTGTATTTACGCATTGCGGACTTTCTCCTGCGCGAATTCACCGACGCTGGTATAGAGGATCCGCTGACGCTGTTTTCGAAAAACGACGACACCTTGTACCTCCCTCCGGACCCGGCAAAGCAGGACAAGGCCACGCGGCCCCTGTACCGAGCGGCGCGAAAAAGCAAAATACAGATCGCACAAAACGCACTGTGGGCACTCGGTATATCAAATGCTTTTGGAATGGTGCCTATTGTTATTTCATTTCACATTCGTACGGCTTCTCAACGACCTTCTGCTTGATATCGTGAATCTCGAGAAGGAATACAAGCAACCATCAGATTCAGATACCACCTGCAGCTGCGTGCCGTATGCGTATGCATGACTTCGTTCTCAGCATGATGATGATGATGATGATTGTCAACAGACGCTTAATTGCGTGCTTTTCGTGTCGCTTTGCAAAGAATCAATCACCGATGAAGAAATGAACCACCGACCTGAAATAAATCTGATTCTCCACCACTACATCTACAGCAATCTATGCGGATTCCCTGGAGGAGGACAAGAAGAAGTCCTCACCTGCGGACACTGCCGGCGCTGCAACACCTACTTCACCTGCCGCCACAACGTCGTCGACCAGCAAGTGCTACCGCATCGATTTTTCCTCCCGTTTGGTGTTCAACCCGAAGACCGCGCAGAACTGCTTTTTCATTCCCGCCGAGATGCGGCTGGTCGCCGAAATTCAGCAAGTCCTGGCCGGCGGAGGCTCATCTTCTGCAGCTGGAAATTCCAATAACCTGACGCCAAATGCTGGCAATAGCTTACTCTACAAAATAAAACCCGTCTTGTTCAGTCTTTCGATCTCGAAGAAATATCAAGTGTCAAAATGTCTGGGTCTGGAAGATTGCGAGATTTGTCATGCATATTTCGGATCACGCAAAGGCAAATGGCGTCTGATGCAGGCAAAAGCATCACAGGTTTTGAGCACGCCTCATGATGCCTCTCCCGCATGAGAAACTTCCTTCTTGCGTGCCAAGAAATGGACAGCTTTTGGCGCTCATGCATGACAAATTTTTGTGTGTTCCAGAGGTTGCGTCACAAGTTCCAACCCTTCCAGACCCAGACATTTTTACATTTGATAAGAAAGACCAGTCAACCATCGTGCAGCAGGAGCAAACTTACTTCGGAGCGGACCAGGTAATATCCTCTGGAGGGCAACAGCTCGTTCAAGCTTCTACTGGAATAAACTACGGCAATAATTCATCAGACGACCTGTACGGAAGCTTAGCTGCGACCAATTCCAGTGCCGTGACGAACATAATCAAAAGCGGATCCGCTCAGCAATACAACTTTACTTTCGGTGGAACCAACTTGTTGGGAGGCACTGCTGGAGGAGAGAACGTAGTTGAGGAGCAGCAGTCCACCCAGCAGGGAGTTATTGTTGCAGGAGGTGGTCCTCCACCTGGCAGTACAAATGCGGCCCAGATGAACCGGCAGCTCGTGCAAGCCGGAGGACAACAAGCCGCATCCAACCAGAACGACTTGGCCGAGCCGGAGCTTCCCCACGATTCTTCTTTCGTGGAACCAGCAACAGAGATCGCTGCTGGTGCTCCTGCTGTCGTGGGAGGAACCTCTACAAGTGCCGAAGCCGCAAAGAATTACAAGGCGATGCGGTTCCAAAGTGCCGTCAGTCAGGATTTCGGTGCATTGCAGCAGGAACAGGTTCTTGCAACCAGCACACAGCAAGCGGGAGTTGCTGCACAACTCCCTGTCGCATCAATAAAGCCGGTGGCTGTCGCGGCCATTGAGGTCCCTACGATCAAACTAGACACAGTAGATGGTGCAACCGGTGCGTCGACAGTAGATGCGAAGGAGGCCGGCACCAGCGGCGCCCAGCTGAACCTCGATAAGCTTTCGAACGATTTGCTGTCGACTATGGAGAAAGAAAAAGCTGGGGCCGCGCGGAAGAATTATAGTACGCAGGGCGGTTTTGCAGGAGGACGAGGAGCATCAAGTTCTTTCTTCGCCCCCCGCGGACGAAGTAGAGGACGCAGTCGCAGTAGGTCTGTACAAGAACTTCTCGGGGCAGAGGGAGATGAAAATCAAAATTCTTCTAAACTCGAAGAAGAGAAGTCCTCTTCGAAAACAAGGGCGATGAACAAGAGGCAGCGAAAGCGGTTGACGCAGTCCAAAACCCGGTCCATGGACTCCCCGGTGATTATCCCGTTGACGAAGGACCGGCAGCGGTACAGCACGGATGTGAAAGATGTGACCGTCGCTGAAAACACCCAGCACGCCATTCTCACGCAGCAACAGCGGCTGGCGCGGATATCAAAAGGAAAAATCCCCCCTCCCCATATCGAAACGAAGTTTCTGATGCTGGATTTCCGTACAGAAGTCAGATTTGTCTTGCAGTAGAGGACTGCAGGCATATGTCAAGCCTCAGTCGCGAGGTTTTGACGTAGGCGCCTAGCATGGCAAACGTGTACGCCCTAAGCCCAACAGCATCACAAACCGCCTGCAAAATGCGGGGCGCTCTCTGGACTTGCCTTCTTGCAAAACAGACAGGACTTGAAGTAACAAATGCGCATCACAAATTCTCAGACGGATACGTTTTCAATATGGGGAGGGGGGATTTTTCCTTACGATAGCGAAAGAAGGAAACCCTGCAGCACATGGACCGGTATGAAATGCAAAAATGTCTGGGTCTGGAAACTTGTGATGCAAGTCAGTCAATATACAAATGCACTGTAATGCGCCGCCAAGCATGACAAGTTGCTTCGTGCTTCTGTGCTGCGTATTCCGCATGAGAAACTGCATTTTTGCATGACAGGCGAGAGAGGCTGTTTGTGGCCACGCAATACAGATTTAAGGGCCATGCCAGATCAGCATGCCAAATTGCGCATCCTTCCAGACCCAGACTTTTTTGCATTTGATAACCGGTTTTTCCAAATTGTGGACCACATGGAACTGCTTTTTGAGAGGAGCATCGACCACTTGAAGGAGGACAGAGACGCGGAAATAAATAATAGTACAAAAGGAACAGCAGAAGTGTCAGCAGACGGTAATACTAAACCTGGTTCTAGCATGGCAATGTCTCCTCGCCTCGCTGCCGCTGATGGAGATAATTCTGCGGCAATAACAGACCTCCGAATTACTACAGATCAGGCACAACTCACGACTACCGGTGACGCGGACCTGGATAAAGAGTTGTCCGCGGAGTTGGCTGCGTTGAGTACAAATATTAAAGCTGATCCGCGGAGAAGGACCCTGAATGAAGAGGAGAAATTGTTGAAACAGGCGGCGGCAGAGGTTTCCGTATCAAATGTAAAAATGTCTGGGTCTGGAAACTTGTGATGCTGGGTGGCGTCTCATGATGAGGCTAAAAATCAAAATGCTGGCTCAGCATGACAAGTTTCTGAGCTCCTAGGTGTTGCCTATTCTGCATGACAAACTGCGCTTCTGCATCACAGAAAACGAAAAGCGGAGCTCTTGGATGACGTGCATGACAGATTTAAGAGTCATGCCAGACAAGCATGACAAACATGAATTCTTCCAGACCCAGACATTTTTACACTTGATATTCTGCGGTGAATTATAACTTAGCTGATGAAGACATTAGCGTGATGAACGTGAACACGAACACGGATACCGACGTGGACACAGCGACCCGGATGACCGCGACAGCAGGTGCTGCCACAACCGTCGAGTTGGGGATAATCGACGAAGAGGAAACTACAGATCCCCGCTATCGTGCCTTCTTGAAAGGTACTAGTAGTGCTAAATCTTCAGGTCCCCTGCTTTTTGGCCGGCCGTTTCAGGAGGAACAGCCCTATCGCGACAAGCGAGAGCTCTTTCTGTCCGCTGCGCAACAGCGTAGCGAATCGCAGAAACGAAAGATGATGGCGTTGGGCGGGCATTTACCGTGGACGAGTGCACAGGATGCGGAAAGCACTAGCCCCTCTTCTGCAGAAAGCAGTGCCCGAGAGGACGGTGGACTGGGTCTTGATGGAAATATTAAGAACAGTTCTTCTCCGAAATCGGTAAAGAAGTCGGCACCTCCGATCGTGACGACACTAACCCTGCAGCAAACACCGCAGTCCACCACACGCACGCTGGTCGATCGGACCCGCGCGCCGATGCTGACCAACACGAACGTGAATCAAAAATTCGTCAACAAGCGCGGGCAGTTGACAGTGAATCGACCGACCACCACCTGGCTGCTGCGACGGGAAGCGAACAAGTACGACGCTGGGGCGTTTGTCGGATCCAAGACCTTTCAGAAAAGCTCGCTGAGTTTGACGAAGGAGCGGCGCGACCGGGATCGAGAGGACCTTCGGAAGTTTCAAGTGTTTCAGAAAAACTGGCGGCAGGTACGGCAATCGCAGGTCGGGAACGTGGTGGATGACCTAGAGAAGATGCGGGACTTGGCAAAAGGGATCGTCAACGAAGACGAAGTGCGAAGCGTCGTGAGCAGGACGTCGCAACATCAAGCCGGTACTAGTACTGTGGAACAAGATAATGCAGCAGCGCCAGCAGATGAGGGTGTTGATGTTCAGAATCAGATTGGTCAACAAGAACGGTCTCCGAGCAAACTTCTCAGGACAGAGGTAGCGACCCCCGGAGGTACAACAGCGGGTGCGGCTCCTTTTGGTGAAATTAACAAGCCCACGACGAGTATCCTGAGTAAAAACGTACCCACACCAGAGTTGTAATGCAAATCTGCATGCCAAAAAAGTTTCTCATGCTGAGCCCCATGAAAGGCATTTTCTGATCGTGTTTCGGGATTTGTGATGCTATAATCAGCATGATATGCTAGACCTGTGATGCTGCTGAACCACCTAAACAGGATTACATTACAAGGACAAACTTGTCATGCGAAACAGCCAAAGCTGGTTAATTTGTCTAGCAGATTTACCACCTTGACTCTGGTGTGGGTACGTTTTTACTCAGGATAACGAGAACTACCCTGGCGGCCCAGGCCCGGTCCAACAGTCCGGAGCTCGTGCGCCGACAGGTAATTGATTTGGCAGCAGCAAGTTATGCATTGCAAAAATGTCTTTATCTGGGTCTGGAAGGTTGCAACTTGTAATGCTAATTCTGGATCATGCAAAATAAAAATGAAATCTGTGTTGCATGAGTGCCACAAGCCGTCCACTTTTGACCAAGTTGAGAGGAAGTTTCTCATGCATGATAGGCATGATACGGATCTCGCAGAACAACCTGTCATGCTAGGTCCTGCATTCCAGACGACATGGATCATGGAAACTCTGCATGACAAACCTGGCAATCATCTTCCAGATCCAGACCCAGACACTTTGGCATTTGATACAAGTGCTGGCAGTACAACTTCTATGGCGAATAGCCTGCAGCCGCCAATAATTATGAAGCAAGCCTTCGTTCAAAAAGAAAATTTCATCGGGGTGTGCGAGGTGCAGCCTCGCGCCGTGCGGAACGGCAGTCTCCAGCGGATTCGAAAACTGGAAGAAGCGCTGAGACGACAGAAATTCCTGCTCGAATCGGGGTCCGTCTTACAGGAGGAGAGGGAGGAGGAAGATATTTCGACTTCTGGTGGACCACCTTCTCGAGCCGCTGCGGGGCTAAAGCAGATCGAGGTGGAGAAGTACTTTCAGAACTTGCGAGGGAGCGGTAAGATTCAGGGATTAGAGCAGTCACTTCCGACAATGGAACAGCAGCAGCAGCAGCAGCCAGCGCGGGGCCGGGGCCGGAACCGCAGGAATCTGCTGATGTCATCTTCTGGTGCTAGTAAGAAGCCTGCCAATGCTTCGTCCCAAAGACGCGCACTGAAGGACAGTGAAACAGTCGTGAACGGCGTTTTGGCGTTGACATCAGCTTCAGTTGCCGAACAAGATGACCAGAGAACCGAAAGCCAAGAAGCGAATCTTCCTGCTGCAACAGAAACTACTACATCCGCACAACAACAAAATCGCAGCAAGTCTCCCGGCGGCGCAGCTCCAGCTGCTCTTGCGGAAAGAACCAAAAATAACCGCGGTCGTGGTGGTCCTGCGTCATTGTACAGTAAAAGCCGGAGTCGCAGCCCCTCTGGAGGCGCTGCGGAGACTCGCTTGGACTCGTCTCCGGAGGAGGAAAATTACAAATTCCTCTTGGCCATGAAAGAGGTCGCGGGGCTCCTCGATCAGGTGGAAACCAGCCAGCAAACCCATGTCGCCCAGATGTTGGCACAGGCCGCGCGCTCGAAGGACAGCGAGGAGGAGAGCCTGTCGCGCGACCCGCGCGGCCGCAGCTACCAGGGACGCTTAACCGACCCGAGCCGGGACCTACCCCTCCCGCGCCGCCTGCGCCCCCGCAGCTACACGCCGGGAGAGTCGTTGGCGAGACGGGCGGCAAAGCACGCAGAAGCGGAGGAAAAGCGGAACGAGCGGGCCCGGAACGCGCCCCACCCGAAGGTGGTGCGGGCTGGGGGCAATCCGACGGCAAGAAAGTTCGCAAACGGTCTGAGAGGAGGCGATGATAGTGGCAACAGTACTACGAGCCCGTTGCAGCAAATGAAAGTCCGAAAGGAGGGAAGCGGCACAGCAGAAGTTGCGGAAGAGCAAGGAGCAGCTGCGGCCGGGGTCGCGGACGACGACGCATCAGAAGATGCAAGGCGCACCTCGAAGCGAAACAGCATCACGAGCTTCAATGCAGACGAGATGAATGAAGGGGGTGATAAAAATGCTTCTGGTTCTGCGGCAGCAAACGCAACCAACACAACTGTGGAGGCGAAATCGCAGAAGTATTTCCGGCCGATTCAGTTCTACTCCCCGGTGTCCTACTCGAACCGCAGTCGCAGCGTGTCTAGCAACGGGTCGCTCTACCGTCCGCGGTCCGCGTCCGAGGAAAGTCGAAGGTTCGTACAGAACTTGTCCAAATTGCAGTTGCGCAGCCCCACGTCGAGCGGGTCGAGCCGGAGTTACTTCGAGAATTCTGTTGTAGTTCGGAGGAATTATGATCCCCGGAAAGTAGAAAGGGGTCTTCAGGACGACCAGGTTGTAGGTCGTAACGAACGGCGTGACGAACAGCATGAAGTAGACAACGTCGTGATGCATAAGAAGGGCGGCATCGCAACGATCTCCTCTCCGATGGGCGCCGGACGAAGGAGTACTAGCCCACATCATGGGACGAGGGCCACGACTTCTCGCAGCACTGCTGTTCGAGGTGTAGGTGGACAAGCTGGACCGAAAAGACGAAGTAGAAATTCGAACCTTGTAGCAACCAAAGCAGGGACAACTGCAACATCAACGTCTGGTGGATCTGGTGCAAAAACAAGTACAAGTAGTAAGCCCAAGCCGCCCTCGGCCTCGCCGTACCTGCTGTATTACCAAGAAACCCCGACGGACAACTACTCGGACGAGGAGAATGACGGTTTGGAACAAGCCGCGAAGCAGCAGTTCTTGTCGAATAACACCTCCCGCTCCAAAACAAGTTTGGATTTCGGGGCCGGGATTAAAACTGCAAACGATGATCTTCCAGATGATCTTCAAGTAGAAGATGAAGTGCATGTTGATGTCGGCCTGCAAGACAGATCAACACACGATGAGCTTCTCCTCAATGCACTCGACAATCTGGATGCTTCCTGTGCGTCAGTACGGCAATTGAGTCACGATTATTTTCTTGCGGCTTCGAATTACAGCGTCTCTGCTTGCTGTTCGCGATCAAGTTCTCGCCACTTCGCGAATTCTACTGCGCACTCGAAAAGTTCCTCCGTTCTTGTGCTGAATAACGATTCAAAGAAGTCTTCTTCGGCAGAAGAAGTAGGAGTAGAACAATCTTCTTCGACTACGTCGGCGCTGAGCCTCACGAGGCGTGGCTCTTCGAGGGACAGTAGTGCGGGGCAAGTGCATCTGAGTGCAGCTGCAACAGAAGCTGTGACTGCTCAAGGGCAACAAGGGGCAGTTGCTGATGATTTTTCATCGCAGCAAGTAGAGGTCGCTTTGGCGGAAGGAGAAGACGAAGACCACGACGACGATTCTCCCTCCTCCCTTCTCTCCTCCCCTTCTTCACTGTCTCCCAGCGTCAAAAATAACCTGTTTCTGTACTACGGAGAAGAGAGCGAGAGCGCGCAGGCACAGCAAGACCAAATGGATGAGAAGAGCAAACGAAAAAACGCACGGAACAGCAGAAGGAATGCACGGGAAAAAACACCACTGGATCATGAACAACAAGTAGATGGGGAGAAAACGCTTATGCAAGAGGAAAAGCAGGAACCGGAAGAGCAGGAGATCTTTCTGTTCATGCCGCCCACCCCGGTCGTGGAACAGGAATACACGGCTGACCAAATAGACGTCGAGGAAGAACATCCAAATGATCCTTACTACTACGAGAACCAAGACTACGAAAATTACGAACAGGATCAGGACCAACAGGACGGCAACGTTTCCGAGGACCATTTTGAGCACATGAAGAACCACCTGAAAACCGGGAAGCACGGGGATAGCAAGGCGAAGAAAATTCTGGACGCTTTACCGGATCACCACCGCGACACGCTCCTTCACCCGGGACTCCACACCGCGCCCCCCATGAAACCCCCGAAGAAGAAGAAACGAAGGAGCGAGTCTAGCCTGTCCGCGGATGGAGGTGGGTCCTCTTCTTCGCCTGGAAACCAGCAAGGGCAAGGCGGCGGTGGTATTATGGCGCAGTTGGGTTTGCCGAACGAGGTGCAGGGCTTCGTCAACGATTTACTGCAACTCGCGCCGTGCGACGCTTGCGAAGACCCGGCTACGGTAAGAGCCGCGGTGGATGTTGACGACGCGGATGAGGAGACGAAATCGGGCTTGATGCCACAGCTACAACTACAGCAGCTGCAAACTGCAAGCGAGCACCACGTTCACCATTTAACCGATCCGGATGTGAAGCACATGACGGAAGCGGAGCTGGCGCAAATCATGGGCGTGTATGGTGCCGTATCAAATGTAAAAATGTCTGGGTCTGGACGGTTGGAACTTGTCATGGTAAATCTGAAGCATGCAAAAATCTGTGTTGCATGAGTGCCAAAAGCTGTCCACTTGTGACCAAGTTGGAAGGGAGTCTCTCATGCAGGATATGCATGATAGGGATCTCACAGAATGTCTGTCATGCTAGGTCTCGCATTCGAGATCTCATGGGTCATGAAAAATCTGCATGACAAGTTTACACTTTTCCAGACCCAGACATATTTGCATTTGATATGCCGAAGCGCTCCATGACTCCCGCAACTGGCACGCGACGCCGCGGAAGGAGTCTAAGGAATTACCCGCGCACTACACATATCCTGTGCAAAAGTATCGTACTCGTACAAATGCAAGTCTTGCATTACAAATCTTGTCTCCAAGGCAAATCTGCATTACAAATTCTATTTCTCATGCTGGGGAAATTTGTAATGCATTTGTACGAGTGCGATACTTTTCCTTTTGCAATGCATAACACAAATCCTCCGGCACCACCAACGCTAGACATGCTGAACTACGCGGATCCGCCCAGCGAACAGCCGTTGGAGATCATTGTGCCGGAAGATTTGCTATGCAATGCAAAAGCATCGTACTAGTAGTAATTGCATTACAAATTACTTCAGCATGACAAATGAAATTTGTCATGCTGTTTTACCTTGGGATGTAGATTTGTAATTCATAATTGCAATTACTACGAGCACGATACTTTTGCACAGGATATTCGCCCACGATGGACGACTACATGCGAGAAAGGACGCACGACATGCTGGATCAGCTGAACCGCGAGGTGGTGACCACGCTCCGCGGCAACCACTTCCAGTTCAAATCCGACACCTCGCCCCCGGTATCGCCTTCTGCGAACCTGACTACTGCGCTAACCGCCCCGACTTCCCCGCTAGCGGGGATGTTGCTCACCGGGTTGCGGAAACCTGTTCCGCTGAATATCAACACAACATCTTCGGCGGTTTTGGATTTGGAGAAATTGTTGCAGGAATCGGATTTGATCGAAAGGGCCTACGAAATTTCGCAGAAGTTGAAGCAACTTCGATCCCCTACCAACGTGGAAATCGTGCACAAGCGATCGCGGTCCGCAAGTCCGGCAGGTCTTTTGGGTGGAGCTGCAGGGGGAAGCGCGAGGACCACGCCACGGGAGCAGCTTTTGCGTGCTGCGCCAGAGGTCGGGGTTTCGTCCCTGTCCCCGCCGGTGCTGTTGCGAGGAGTGGGAGTTGGGGGTGGGCTCGGCACCAGGCTGCATCGGAGCAACAGTCCTCCGGGGATGGTGAACATGATGGGCGGGGGTCTTAACGCAGTAGTACAACAGCTTCCGTCCTCTACGACGCTGCGCGGCAACACGCTGACCCTTCCGTCCAACGTACTGGAAAAAGCTATTGCGGAGCAGCGGGAGCGCTTCTCCGCTTTGCAGCGGAAGCTACTTCTGGAACACGAGGCCCTGCAAGCGGCGTTGCAGGTGAGAACGAAGAGCTCGGAACTCCTGCTGCGCCCATCAAAAACTAGAACTGCTGCTACAGTTACAGCAGCAGCCTCGTCGTCGCCGACAAATCTGACATCATCATCTTCCGCGGCTCGGCTAAATACTGCACAACTCCCCCTCCCCATAGAAACCAACGCCATTCGCAACCGGAAGTACGGTCCACGTTACCTCTTCGCCGAGCAGGCGGCCTCGAGAAAAGATTTCCTTGATTTCCAGCGGCGACAGATGATCGCACAGGAAAAGCGACTACTCACGGCATCTTCAAATATGAACTCGCCAAGCAGTAGAAATGGTGACAGGGAGCGTCTGAAGCTGGAACTGGAAATGCTAGAACTGGAAAAGGAATACGACAGCGCATTCTACCCTCTCGGAGATGGTGGACGAGACAGCACTTCTTATGACTTCGACCCGGCGGCCCGACCACCACGCAGCAGAACATCAACTACAACAGGAGCAGGCCGTCGTGGTGCCTCCCCCGCCCCCTACGCACACCGGTCGCCGGATAACGAGCGCATGCGGAATCTGCGCGTCGGCTCGCCCGCGTTGTTATCAAATGTAAAAATGTCTGGGTCTGGAAGAATCCGGCTTGTCATGCTGATTTTGGATTCTAAAAAAATCTGTATTGCATGAGTACCAAAAGAAAGGCAGTTTTTGCTACGCTGAGAAGGCATTTGTCATGCGGAATACGCATCAAGAAGCCCTCAAAAAATCTTTATTGCTAGGGGATGCATCACAGACATCATGGCTCATGCAAAACGTGCGTGACAAGTGTCAGAATCTTCCAGACCCAGACATTTTTACATTTGATAGTTGTTGCTGGACCTGACTGACCACAAGATGCGGCAGATGCAGAATATCCCGTGCAAAAGTATCGTATTCGTATTGCAATCATGCATTACAACTCTTTTTCTCAAGTTAAATCAGCATTACAAATTTTATTTCTCATGCTGAGGAAATTTGTAATGCATTTCTACGAGTACGATACTTTTGCAGTTCATACAGAAAACGGCAGTGCAATTCCAGCAGGAGTTGGAGAAGTACAACTCGCCGACGGTCAAAGAAGCCTTCACCGCGGAGCACCAGCGGCTTCTGCAAGCCGGAGCTTTGACGAGTCAAATCAACGACAGTGGGAGAGGGAGAAGTAGTCGCAGCAGGAGCCCTTTGGTAGTTGTACCTACAGCTGGAGCTGCAGCTGCTGGGGTCGGGCGTTCTATAACTTCGGGTATGCCGGGAGCGCATTCCTCAACCCTGAGAGCAGCGATGACGACGACGACGACAACAAGCAAGCTTTCCCACAAGAACAGCGCTGCTTCACCCTCACCCAGCCGCGACGCCACGCTGATTGCCAAGTTTCAAACCGAACAGATTTTGTTGCGAGAGCTGGAGAAAGTGCGCGTCCGCAGCAGTGAGCAAAAGCAAAAGGTTGTGGTTAAGGGTGGAGATAATGATAAAGGAGGCGAAAATATTGGAAAACCCGATGAGGCAGTAGAAGATGAAGACTCTCCCGCAGTAGATATCACAGCGAAAAGTGTTAACGTTAACGGAATTTGGCATGCAGGAATGCACGATAAACGATGACCAAATTTGTATTGCATAGCATACACGATAGCGAAAATCTGTCATGCATGAGTGCAATGCCCCAAAACCGTTTAACGTTAACACTTTTTTGCTTGATAGCAGAAGTCCCTACCGCGGCTGAGATTCTCGGCGCCGCGGCGGCGGCGGCTGTGGAAGCGACAGCGACTACAGGTGGACGAGCAGCGCTGAATTACAACAACCTTGTGCAGCTGTCGAAAGGAAGTACAACTTCCGCGGCGAGTCGGGCTGCTCTGATGTCCTCTGCAAAGCAGAGCAAGAACAATAACATCCTGATCAACGATGAGTTTCTACTACAGCTTCCCACCACCACCAACGAGCCCTTGTCAGGTCTCTCGCTGGACGAGCGGTTTCACAATGCGCAAGTGCTATCACCGGATTTGGCAGTGCCGATGCCGCAGCGGCCCATCCCGAAACGGGAGGTCGACGCGGCCTTTTCGCCCGAGGCTATCCAACGGGAGTTGGACAACGCCGGAGCGGCGCGGGCCCAAGCTGGGGCGCCGGCAGCCGCGGTGTCGAAAAAAGCCTCGCCGAAGCCGGCTGTGCAGAAGAAATCCGCGGTAGTAGTTTCAGCGCCGGAACTACCAAAATCGCAGGCGGAGATGGAGCGCGCGAAGGCCCGCGAGGACCGGAAATCGCGGGCGAGCGACCGTCTGGCCCCAACCGAGATGAAAATAAAGGGAGCTAAGTAGTAAAGAGGTACTCATCAAAGTGTAGTTCTTGGTGGCGCAGCAGCCACACTCACTGTAAGTACCTTTACCTTTAGAAAAATTAGGGCCTGTTTAGATCGTTGCACTTCTCCGTGAAGGAGTGAAACGAGTTTTTTTCAACATAATGTTTTTGTTTACAGAGTCGTACTATGTTAAGTGCTACCTTTTTGTCTTACAACGCATTTTGTCTGTACTGGCAAGCCTCGCGTTCCGCGTGTGTGCGAGCTCAGGTTCAGCAAAAGCCTGATGCTATTTATTTTCATATTGTGCTAGACATTCATAGCTGCGTTTTTGATGACAGACTGACTCTGACAAAAAGACAAAAGAAGCCACGTGAGTAGTTGTACATCGTAATCATACAATCTCAAAATCAAATGCAGCTATCTCTTCTGCATCAGCTGCTCGGTATTATCCTGATCCCCTCACTTAATACGCTTTTCCTTTTGTACATTATTCTTGCTACCTCCACATGCACATTGTATGTATTGCCCAACTCTACCAAAGAAGAACGCTAAAGCAGCTTTGCCACGTTCGGGCACGTTCTCTTTATATTTTGCAATTTTGTTCGACTTCGATCTTCCCCAAGCCGCATTTCGTTGAGCGACCAAAAATGCTGTCCTCTTCATCAAAATTTTAGAGTTACAGCTTCCACCATTCTGCCCTTGATCGAGGCTCTCTTTTCCTTTGGGAGGAGTTGGAGTGACGAAAACAGCCGAGGAGGCGTGAGGAGTGAACATGAATAAAACAGATACGTAGCTGTTTTACTTGTTTTTGCACGTGCTGCAAGCTCCTCGTGATTTTACCGAAGCATGAGAAAGGGTATGAACAACGACAACTCCACGTCGCTCTATAAAATGTGAATGACGAACAAGAATCCAATTACAATACTGTAGCGTGAGTCCACCTGCAGCCCTCGACTTTGACGTCCGGGCTGAAGATCTTCACAAGAACGAAGAAAAAAACTTGTCGTATTCTGTAGCTCAAGTTTCAGTTTATCAAAAATTATAATCTATCATGCCGTCGCTTCACGATCGCCGCAGCCGCCGGACAGGTGGCAGAGATGATGATGATGATGAACCACGGGAAAGAACTGCTCAACACCGTGGCTCGCCACGGCGTGGTGGCGGTGAATACTATGACCCGAAGTCCGGGGGCCGGGGCCGAAGTGAAGGGCAGCGGGCGTGTCGTCATTCTCGCTCCCCAATCTCCCGAGCAGACGAGCAGATCCACCGCACCTCAAAAAACCGACGACGAGGAGGACGAGCTGCAAAAGAAGACAGGTCTAGGTCACCGAGACGTAAACGTGCTCCTCCAGAGGACCGCGATCGTCGTCGTGAAAAATCCGCGTCGACGTCCAGTTATAATTCGTCCTCATCAAGAAGAACACCACCACCAGCGAATGAAAAGAGGAAGATGAAGAACAAAGGTAGAAGTACAACTGCTCACTCCCTCCCCGCCGCGCCCGCCGGTCCACAGCACGAGGAGGACGCCAAGGATCATGACCAGCAGAGACAAGAGAGGCCCAAGATGAACAACCTGGTCATTCTGCGACCGCGTGTGGAGGTTGAAGATGAAGAAAAAAATGCACGAGGAGACGAGGGACATAATCATCATCAAGTCGCAGGAAAAAAAGCGTCACAACACGACAGTGCTTCAACTTTGGTTGATGTTCAACATAGACGAGGAACACAAGATCTTTACGAAAGCAGCTTTCCAACCACGACTTCCAAGACGAGAAATAACCTTAACCACGAAAAGAACTACAATTCCGGCCTCAACATGAACAATTCCTTCGAGGACCCGGACCTCCCTGTCCTGAATGACGACCCCCGCCCGCAAGACCGCCAGGTGAACCTGCACAAGAAGGGTCGCAACACCGATATGACATTGCACAACTCCCCCTGCTTCCCCTCATTTGTCATGCAAAATACCCAATCCACCCGTTGGTTGTGTCTTGGCACTGTTTGCATGACAAGTTCTGGTAGCCCACACTGGAAATTTGTCATGCAAAACCGGCACTCTTGCTGATGCTTGTACTATTACCGTGCATGCTATACAAATGAGGGGGAGGGCGAGTTGTGCACTGTCATGACCGAGTCGTTTGATCCAAAATCCACCCTGGTCCGCCCGGATCTCCGCGTGTTCATCGGGAACCGGGGGGAGGTGCTGAAGAAACGTCTGAAACACGACGACGTGGTGATTGTGCCCGAATTTTTCTGTGAAGAGGACGACTGGTCACTGTATTACAAACTAGTGGACGAAATTCGGAAAAACGGGCAAGCCCAACAAAGCAGCGACCGATCCTCTGGGACCACAACGACGTCCACCAGCACGTGGATTTCGTGGCACGAAGGTTGTCATTTGGTCACCAAGCAGCCGGAGGTGGCGCCGACGTACCAAAAAATTGTGGAGAAAATCTGCAAGTATTTTCACATCAAGAACGTGAAGGCTATCGGGACCCGGTTCAACTGGTACCGTGACTCGCGGGACTGGAAGCCGTTCCACCACGATTCGGCGGCCTTCAACCCCCAACGGGCAAAAAACCAGAACATAACCGTGGGCGCAAGCTTCGGGGCGGAGCGCGAGCTGGCCTTTTTGCGCGTGGACCCGGCCGTGCGGGATCGCGAACCCGTGAAAGCCTACTTCCCACAATCGAACGGCATGATGTTTTCCTTCGGGCGCGATGCCAACATCAACTGGAAGCACGGGATAAACGCGCTGGCGGAAGAGGACCAGGACGGCAAGGGGCGGATCAGCATCATCGTCTGGGGCAACGCCGAGAGCGTGGAAGAGGAGGCCAACGCCCCCGGGTTGCTGACCAACGATGCCCGGAACGGGTTCGATAACCGCGGGCAAAAGGGTATGGAACTGTCAGGATCGAAATCGGCAAAGTTGAAATAATTTGTAATGCATAAAATGCCACGCAGAGAGTGGCTCTACTGCAGAGGATGCAAAGGACGAGGCAGATTATAGTCCTGGAAAAGGTCTTCAAGGGTTGAGCTGCCGACTAGCATGACAGAAGGCAGCTCGTTTTCCCTAAATCGCATGACAGATTCGCTTCCAGTACGGGGACAATTTGTCATGCGCCGTCTACAGACTGGAGGTTTAATTGGCATCGATTTTGTGCATCACAAGTTCATCTTTGATTTTGTCAATTTCGATTCTGACACTTCCATAAAGGGCTCCGGCCGTGGGAGAACAAACGAGGGAGGTCGTTGGGGGGATAGAGGTCCTCGTAACGGTCAGCAATCTCCGGGGAGGCGGGACTACCACTACCAGCAGAGAGGGAGAGGCCACTGGTGAAAATGGCAGCATCTACACTCCATATTGCACATCACCGACACTTCTCTCGATAGGTCGTGAAGATTGAGCCAAGAAGTTTTTTACAATTTGCAGAACTTCTTTGCAACTACATTGTCCTCTACTTCATCATCATCTCTACTCCGAGCGTCAGCCGGACACTCGTGCAGCTGGGGCGTCTGCTTAACTGTGCCTACAACACCTACAACTGGTACGTGACAACAAAATGCAATTGTTGAATGGCGGAAGGAGATTGATTGGGAATGTTGTGAATGTGCAGAAGGAAGTTTCAAAAAGAGCGTAGTGAATGTGAATCTCATATGGTGTTGATGATGATCCAATACCGGAAATAACATTTTTGTTCATCCCGAAATATTACAATTATGAAAATGGATGAAATTATACGAAAATCGGTTTATTTGACCACATGTTCTTGGAATGAGTGAAAGAGATAGAAATGAGCTGAGTGCTATGCTGTAGGGAGCGTAAGTTATTTCTAGTAGGTTCGTTAGCCGTGTGTCTCTACTTCACCGAAAACCTACACCGGGATGATCAGAGACCTTTTCCCGACCCTCCATCCCTGTATTGTCTACCCGATGCCGAGCACATCATAGATACTAGGCGCCCGACCCACGCCACTGGAGAACACCCTGTACTTAACTGCATCATGTATCTCTTTCTAGTCGTTTCTAACGTACCCTCGTTTCTAATGTTTCGAAATTTGTTTCTGGCTTTTATTTGCCGACCTTCTCATTCCTTGTTTATGTTTTCCGGGTGGTCGAATTAAAACATGATCTGCAGTGTGGCTCGTAGCAGCTCATCCTCTTCGAGCTTCAAGCAGTTCGTTCCTGTCGTGGGGGCGTCGCACCTGCACACGGCGTTTGGTCCTCGTGCCTGCCTCCAGCCAGGGATAGACACGTCGACGACTTCTTGGCCCTTCAAAAAACCGCCACCCAGCGCGTCATTCGCTTCGAGCAGCAGCAGAAGGAGCTTGTTTCACAGCGAGACTAGTACAACATCGATGCGGCCACAAGGAAGATTGCGTCGCGGGCAACTGCTCGTGATGCCGATACGTTCACGTTGTGAGAATGATCATCATCCAAAGGCCAGCAGGATTGCATCAAGCATCGTTACACAGCCTCCATCTTCTATCGTGTCAAATAACACGACCCGAATCCCTGCTCAATTTTTACACCAAAACTACACGACCAAGCGTTTCTTTTCCAACTGCGACGATTGTTCCGGTTGCGACCCGCCTGACGGGAAAACAAGTTCTCTCCTCACCGAGGCGGAAAAAGACCAGGGGATTCTGCGCCACCTCCATGACCCCCAGAAGATTCCGAACGAAATCATCCAGGCCTTCTCTGAGCGGGGCGTTCCCTTCTTCTCCATGTTCGGGCCACTGCAGGAAAAGCACCGGAAAAGGCTGTTTTATCTGTCCACGGTCAATTTAGGGACGAAGTTTGCAAACGCCGTTGACAGCAGTGCGAGGACCACAAGTGGCAATAGTAGTACCAGCATCGGCACCAGCGGTGGATTTCATCCGGGCGGCCGAGGTGATGGCGATGGAGATGCATCATCGACAGGCATGAAAGTCTCCATGACTGTCGGTGGTGGCGCTGAAGCAGAAGATCAAACACAGGGACCTGCCGCTCATCTTCCTCATCCAGGAAAGAACTCAGTACAACTATCGGCTCCAGATCCAGTTCAAGCACCACCACCAAGCATACCGCCGAAGAAAGTAAGTTCCTGCCGGGTAGAGGAGATGTGGATTCAGTGTAAGGATTGCGGGATTCAAAAGAAGGTCGAAACCCCGAAAGACTTTTTCGACAAGTCGCGAAACCAGCTCGGACAAGCGGTGTTGGCGATTTGCCCCAGCTGCTGCGTTTTGGTGAAGGAACACTGAGATGTTGGTGGACGCAAGTATGCTATGTTGGCGTTTTGGTGAGCGTGACGCAGATGCGATATTCGACTGCGTGCTGTTGCTGCGCTGACAACACGCTTCTATTGTTGTCCTTGCTCTTCGAGAGAATTACAACAAAGCCAGCGGCATGTGGAAGTTGTAGTGATCGATCCCCATATACAAGCACAGTGCGAACGCATAGGGGTTTTCCTTTGCGGCCGCTGTTCACTTACCCGGACCCGCATCTCCCTCGCACAGAAGGCGTTTCAAAACACAAGCAGAGCAGCACAATGTGCCAGCTTCATTTCTCTTCAATAAGAATCTGAAAAATCAGCGTCATTCTCATTCTAGTCTCATCAACACGCAATATAAACTACGCACATCCGATCGTGTTCACCTTGACATTTTGGAAGTGGCGCCGCAAATAATAATAAAGCCATGACGATCCGATACGAGACACCAGCAATATCAATAGCGAGCGGTCACAGACGTGCGTGGCTTCTCTTCTTCTTCGTATCGCTGAAGTAGTGCACGTGCACTGCTAGAAGTATTTCAGGACGCATGCAAATACGGCAACTGCGATGAGTAGCTAGCAGGAAGAGGTGGATACAGGAAGGAGCGTATGAGTTGCTTGAGATAAGAAGAGAAGTTTCAAAAAAAAGCAAACTAATAATAAATATGAACATACAAAAGTACGGCACTACAACCAAAGTAAAGATGTATATGTATATTGACACTAGAAGTCCCTCCGGCTCTACCTTCCTCCTGTGTGATAATTCAAAATAGCTGTCAGTACTTCGCGGTTGTTTTTTGCGCCACGCCCAGTCATGCATGTCATGACACTTCAGGATCCCCAAATTGATTCTTAAAAACTTACAAGTGTGAGATTCTTTTTCCCGACCTTTAGTGTAGATAGGAGGCAGACGGGGCGGTGCAGCGGGCAGTAGGAACAGGTACAGAAACACCACCGAAAAAAGGAAGAGCAACATAGCACCTGTGTTGTTGCATCACTACAGTTGTCGACTCTCTTGCGCAGCGAGGTTGGAGGCAACTCGGTGGTGTGACTCACCGCCTGCTGACCATGTGAACAACTGTAGCATGTCGCGAGGAGAAGAGGCGAGCAGTCTGGAGCCGCAAGGCGAAGGGGTCAGATGGCACTTACGGACCACGAATACGATGCTGCGATAGAACAAGGACGACGAGCCTGGATCACCTCTTTTTCCGATCTGAAGTTGTCTATGTGATATTTCGCTGCGTTATCTTTGTGATTTGTATATAAAAAAAAAAAAAAGAAGTATTTCTATTTGTGAAAGAGATCTTGATAGAAACGACTACCACTTGGCTGAGGCTGACAATGTTATACGTTTGTTTATTTTCCATTTTCACAGACCGACCGAGTCCGAGGCAGACACCGTGGTCAACAGTTCTTGATTGTACAGATTTTTAAGCAGTTTCTTTAATCCGTACTACGACCTCTTGCTCTATCACTGTCTACGACGGTTCGCCTTAATCGCCGCAAGGTTAAGGTCGTAGGAAAGAACCCACGTAAGCGTATCTCGTACTCGTTGTACCACCTGACTTCAATAATCCCAAAGGAGAAGGAGCCCGATTTTTCATTTTCAACATGCCCTCTCCTGCTTCAGCGAACATCGCATCTGATGGTGCAGCGGCGGTGCGTCTCTTCAAGGAAAAGCGGTTTTCCGAGTCGCTTCCCTTCTTCGACAAATTTTTGGCAGCTAACCCCAACGATGAAGTCGGATTTAGCAACCGCGCGCAGGCGTATTTGGAACTGAAACGATACGACGAGGCACTGCAGGACGCTGATCGCAGCATCGAGATCAACTGTTTATACGCGAAGGCATACAAGCGGAAAGCCGACGCGCTTGTCGGCGTTGGGAAGAAAGAAGAGGCGCTGAAGGTGCTACTCAAAGCGCACAAGATGTTCAGTTGGTGGAGCGCCGCAGGCGAGACGGACCTAGTAGAAGTAGGAGCAAAGGGGATGTTGCAGCTTCGCGGGCCCATGGTCAAGCTGAACGAAGAGCTGGGGAACTATGTTCCGGACGTGGAGAATTCGCTGAAGGCAAAGACCAGCATGCACGCCGTCAGCAACGTCCTAGCAACGGCCGGAATGCTATCGGAAGCGCTTTCTGAAGTAGAGGAGATCGAGCAGATGTATATTTGCCGAGCGAGAGCACAACAGCCGGATGCTGATGCTGGCCAAGTAGCCAAGCTGTTGAAGAGTTTTGAGGGCGAAGCAGCATACTTCTGGATGTTGTTCACGAAAGCGGATCTGCGCATCGTTCTCCGGCGTGATGATGACGCTACTGCTATCAAACGTTTCGAACAGCTGACGCAGCTCCTCCTCTCGTCCCTCCGCCCCTCCAGGAAAAACCAGCCGGCTCGAATCAACCCAATAGAAACCATCGCTGGTAACACTATCAAGAATTTGCGGTTTCTCTACCAGCAAAACGGCATGCGCGAGAAGGAGAGGACATTGGTAGCTCAGGTTGAAAATCTTGATCCAACTTTACTCGACTCGCCTGCATTCCAGGGGCATGCTTCCCTCAAACAAGCCAAGAAGCACGTGGATGCCGCCAACGCGTTTTTGAATTTCGAAGCGAGGAAGAAGTGCAAGGCACCGACGTGTGACCTTGAAGGAGCGGCAACGGAGCTTCGGCTCGCAATTGACATCCTCGAACAGCCATTTTTGGAATGTGGACGCAGTCCATGGAGTTGGTTGAAAATGCCGCCAACGGTGGAAGAGCAGAAACAGTTGTTCGCAGAGAGCCGAGCGCGGGGAGGTAATCCTTCCTCCATCTACGCGCTCGTCATGGATGTTGCAGAGGTGCGGCGACTCATTTTGTTACAAAAACGCAATCCCGGATGCAGTCAGACTGTGGCAGATACGTTGTCTGAGGAAGCCATGAACCTTTGTCAGCAGGTTGTGACTTTGGGTGACGCCTCGGTATGCAGGGGCGTCACGCAACGATTTGTAAATAGCGCACGACGGGACCTTGCGAACATCTTCGATGACGCCGATGCTTTCCGGCGGGTCGCAATTAACGAGGAGTGCCCCATGTGCATGAAATCCTTCTCGCTCTCTCCGGATGAAGAAGAAGTCGCTGAAACAAGTGTCCTTCCGTCGACGTCCTCAAGTGGTATAACAGCGACCGCGGCCACGGCGCAATTTGACTCCGGCCACGACCTACATTTCGGTCCACAGGCGATCATCAGCAAGAGGAGAAATAAAGCTTACGTCCTCGAATGCAACCACGCGGTCTGCCTGGAATGTCTGCATCAGTATGTCTGCAGCGACTCCACCCATTCAGGGATGGGTAGTGCTCGTAAAATCTGTCCAACTTGCCGCGATCCGTTTCCTCCCCAGATATGGCTTGGGGACACTCTGTTTTCTGAAAAGTACCCGGGATGGATCGTTGCGAACTTTTTTGACTGCGGGCGCCAGAAATACATCGGAGAAGACGAGGTTGAGGCGGCGGAGGAGCTTATTCGGTTGTCGTATGAAGTAGAGGAAGGTTGAAATCTTTCACTTTCTCGTCGGAATGCGGTTTGAAGCAAGTGCGAAATCGCATGAGAGGCGGTGAGAGCCGGCGGTGACTAAAGCCATCTTGCCCAGTCGCGCAGTACTACTTCCTTAGCTGGCAAGCGAAAGCTGAAAAAATCAATACAACTACCCGAACTGACACTGAGTACCAAACTAGGTCGAAAATGCAGAAGAAATATCGGCCCCGGCTTTTTTTTATATCAATCAAGAAGACACTGACGCCCAATTTTTATCCTCCTTTTATTCTAAACAGACCTACCCCTACTTATTTCAAAAAGCTAAGCTGTCATCTGTGCTTTATTTCATTGTTCGTCGTATTTTCATCATCAACGCGGTGCTGTTAATGGGATACTTGCATTTGAAGGATCAGCTGCCGTCGAAGATGGAGGAGCTGTAAAAAGCCAAAGAGGGGGAACTGGAGGGAAAGTTGAAAAGATGGTAGTGGATTTTAGAGAACGAAAAAGAAGGAGATCTATCTAGACACTGCAATGTTCTTGTAAGTTTTATTTATAAATCTGGCGTCTGACCTGCGGGCGGCTGGAAACTTTCTTGAAGAACTAAAGAGCGAAGAGACCAAGCACATGCAAAACAAAAATCACCGAGGAATAGATATATAAACAGCACTACGTGTATGATTTTTTGATTTATTTAAAGGTAGGAAACGGTATGAGATAGAGTGTAAAAGACATCGATGATTTTTTCGGATCACGTCGTACCTAGAGCGACAACTGTGTTTCAAAAAATGTAAATCTCGATCGGTCAATGCACACTGGAACTAAAATGCTCACATCAAAAACGCAAACCTGTATATGCAAATTTCGAAGGACCCACAGCACAAATTCGGAACAGAACTTTTTTTACAAATCGTAGATGAAAATGCAACTCAAAGAAATCGGCTCGTAGCAGAAGGAAGGAAGAACAGGATGTCGGTCTTTCGTATGAAATTGATCGCGCAAAAAAGGTCGTGCAATGCTACTATGTCGCTTTCTATAGAGTTTAAAGTGCGTCTTCAAATATTTAGCTCGTTGAAATTGTCACGCAATCGTCTCCCAGGGTTATGTCGTGCGCTTAAAGAATTCACGGTAGGCGCGGTTAGATTACCACTCGAGCCCGTTTGTTAACAGCTCTCGAGTACATGACCCAAAAACTGCATGACAGATCTGAAAAAGACGATGATGATGATTTAGAGATTTGAAAAAAGAAGAAAAACAAAAACAACACCACACGATGGGGATTCGAATTGAAAAAATAGGCTTGATGTGTTTTGATTTTTGTGTTCTGCCCTTTGTACGTGACCAGTAGACAGAGCAAAGGCAAGACTCTCGAGAAATATGTCGTGTTTTCAGGTCAAGAAAGCAAAAGAAAGCGCATGCGCCTCATCTTGCATTAAGTTCCCAAGACATTGATTCCAAACTCTTGTTCCAGAAACCTACAATGAAAAATAGTACAAGAAAAGCGGTCAGCTGAGCAGAGGACGAGTAGACCCAGAGCAGATATTAAACGTGCTCCTCTGCCTACAACCTCTTGGGTTCAGTTTTTCAGCTTTTCAGGTTTCGTTCGCGAAATGTAGAGATCGCAAAAGCTGAAAGAGTTTTCACGACACACGCGGTCCGACTCGGAGACAGAGTATGCAACAAGTTCCATAGAAGCCTTGGTTTTTTTCATCTCAGTCGGAGAGATAATCACCAAGCTCCGGCGCCTAAGATAAATAAGTACGAATGCCAGAACGAATTTGCTTTTGCATTTTTCATTTCCTGGTGAATTTCCTTGCACTTGACCAGATTCACATTCAGCGGTTCCGCATTTCCTAGACCGCCAATTTGAAGTCGTGAACTACTTCATCGCAAGAAAGTAGTATTTTCTTACGATAGTCTCTCTTTCTTGACTCGAATTGCAGCGGGGCGAGCAAAGTCTTTTGATCATGGGCGAAAGCTTATCCTGGATCAACACGATTGAACCTTTCACGTTCCCACCGAGTGGATCCGCATCGACATGTTTTCAAATGACGATGAAGCCACAAGATCAGAAATTTCATTCCACACTTCGATGTTCACCTGCGACGCTTAATTCTATATTACGAACGTTTTGTTGATCTATGTCCGAATAAAGTAAATGTGATGCCAGCAGGAGGTTTGGAATCAAGTCGAGTTTCGCTGAAAATCTACTCTCATTGATTTTTCGCTTTACAAAACTTTTTTTCTACTTCCCTAACCACTCCATCAATTTTTCATCCCATAAAGGTCCAAAATTTTCCTCATTTGATTTCGCAAGAATGAGCTCTTCCCTTTTTTCCAAAACCTCCCAGCGCTCCTGTACTACAGCATCCGCATCCGAGGCGACTCCTGCGCCATCCCCGACGGAACCAGCGGCGCCAGAAAGCCATGGAGGGAATTATAAAGAGAAGAGTCCTCGTCCACCTAGCGCGGCAGCCACGACTGGCGCAACCAAAATCACTGTCGCCGACATTCCGAATAAAGGAAAAGGCGTTTTCGCGACGGATTCCATCAAGCGGGGGGAGATTGTCGTGGCGGAGCAGCCGAAATCGATCCTGCCCTACGAGTATCACATGCAAAAATGGCTGGGTCTGGAAGCGGGTACACTTGTCATGCAGGTTTTCCATGACCCATGAGGTCCGGAACAATGCGAGACCTAGCATGACAGACTCTGTGAGGTCTCTGCCGTGCCTCTCCTGCATGAGAAACTCCCTCCCAACTTGGTCGAAAGTAGACAGCCTTTGGCACTCATGCAACACAGAGTTTTGCATTTGCATGATTCGGATTTAGCATGACAAGTTGCTACTTTCGAGACCCAGACATATTTGCAATGCATAACGAGCAATCCTGTGTGATCCAGGGAAGGAACAAATTTAACATGGCGAAAATGATTACTGACGAGAAAATGCTGGAGTTTGTGGACCGAGAAATTATCTGTAGGAGGAGCTCTGGAAATTCTACAAGAACTTGTTCCACCACCCGCGAGGATGGTGGAGAGAAACAAAAACAACAGCAGCAGAGCACGCTTCCAGGGGAGGAGCAGCACGACCACGACCACGACCGGAAACCAACCCTACAGGAGAAGATCCTGCAGCTCAGCGATTTTGGGAAATCGGTCGGCGTGCCAGCGAAACGGTACGAAGAGAGCGTTTCCGTACGCCTGTCCGCAAAATTCTGGTCCAACGCGGTGCCCGGGCCGTCGTGTTATCGGGTGGTTGCGGATGAAAATGGGCACCACAGTCAGGTCCAAGAAGAGGAAGACATGGCCCTCTGCACGGAAATCGTCCCGAGGTTCAACCACAGCTGCCGGCCGAACGCGGTTTACACCTGGCATTATGACCAAGAAGGTGCGGCGCCGACGTCAGGTAATGTTTCTTCATCGAGCGACGCTGTTGATGATGAAGCAGGAGGAGCAAAAATTTTAGCCGAGCCGAGCAGAAGTGCTGTCAATGGGAAGGTCGTCATTGTCGCCATTCGCGACATCGAGCCGGAGGAGGAAATTTGCATCTGCTACATGGACGTCGACATCATGGAGAGCGACAGAAAGACCCGCCTGCAATGGTGCCAACAAACCATGGGCTTCACCTGCCAGTGCGAGGTGTGTAGTAATCCGAGCGGAAAAAATGGTATTGGATCCTCTCGCGCCCTCGGTGACCGCCGCGATATGTGCTCGCCGGGGACGACTGCAAAAAATAACACGGAGGGTAAAAGCTGCAGTGAGGCGGCTCGGAAAAGAACCAAACAAAACGCCAACTGGGACGACTTCCTAGAGCAGAGCGACGAAATACAGGGCAAAATCGACTATTTCATGGAAGCAGGAGTAGAGGCGGAATTTTTTCAGAAAATGCCGGCTAGCAAGAGGAAAAAAATCGTCCAGGACACACTGGAGAAGAAATTCAAACTCCTCGAAGATTGCAATTTCTTCCTCCCGTGCAACATGCGGATTTTCGGCTACGAAGGCTACTGCCTGTCCGTTCTGTTTGACTTCCCCAAGGAAGAGAAGCAAAAATACGCGGAGATCCGCTCGCTCGCGCATGCACAGATGAGCGGACGGGACGCGGAGTGGAAAATGCTCTCCCTTGCCGAAATAAATCCGGCGAAAGACACGGTGGCATTGGCGCAGGGGCAGGAGTTGTTGAAGCAGGTGAAGTTGCAGCAGCGGGAGAAAATGTTCCGGAAGATGGACGTGGAGATGGTAAGATTGGCGGGGAAGTTTCTGGTGGGAGATGCCGAGGGGAGGTGACGCCACTACTACGGGTTGTGGAGCCAACAGCACATTATAAATGCACCTGTCATCAACGACGTGAGGAGACCATATTAGCCGAGATGGTCCAGCTCCTGGAGATGAAGATATCAGCCGACGAATATGTGAAAAGAAAAAACTGTAGCAGATAGTTAGAGCCAATATTGAGGCCGGCTTTTTCTTCTTGGTCACGATCAGCTTCGTGACTGCGTCAGCAAGTTCAACATTGAAGTTGTGAACGAGCTCGGGGTCGGCGTCGAGCTCTACCACTTTATGACTTTTATAATTTATTGATTAAGATTATCCAGCAGCGACTGCGACATATATAAAAACTTAAGGGACGAGACAGAGCATGCAAGAAGTGTCTACTTGCTGAAGATGTAGCTTACTGCTGCGTTTGCGGTCGCGCTCTCCCCTGTTTGCTCCGAGTTTGTACCGATCTACAGATCCACACAAGGTCACACAATCTCACTCACTCCGTTTTGGAAGGGCTGAGTCGACCATAGCATGCAGTCTATATGCGATGTAGACGGTTTTTCAGGGTCTCCCCGAGACCGGCAGAAAAAAGTGTTCATCTGGCACCATTTTGAGCTCAAAAAAGCCACGTCTGCAAAAAACCGTCTACGTCGCCTCCAGACTGCCTGCTATGGTCGACTCGGCCCTTCCAAAACGGGGTCCCGGGACTGGCGACCCTTTTGGAGCTCCTGAATCGACCATAGCACGCAGTCTAGATGCGACGTAGACGGTTTTTCTGGGGTTTTTTGTTGGTCAGGGCCACTTTTTGACCGTCTACATGGACCATGCCATGCAGTCTAGTGTCGATGTAGACGGTTTTTGGGGTACCTTGGAAATTTGGCCTTGGAGGCAGGCAAAATTTCCGAGCTCCGGTTTTTTTGTTCAAAATGGTGAGCAGATAAGTCGCAAAATTTGAACAGCAGACGAATTCCCTAGAGACAATCAACACAGTTCGCCAGGGCTTTGCGAGGGTTTTGCGAGCCGTGAGCAGGCGCATCGCTTCACTGTCAATCAGCTTCGCCTCCGCCAACTGGGTTAGCGCCTTATTTGCGGCGGCCCAGCCCTCTCGCAGGGAAACCCTGCTGACGTTCCCGCCGGAGAATTGCCTGACTCTCAGCCGGAAAGTTGCAGACTCCACCCAGCCGGCCTGTTTCTGGGGCGTTACAACCCCGGGCCAGGAACAGTGGTTGTCCAGACAGGTCTCCTCGAACGGCACTTGATGGATCGGCAGGACGGCGCCCAGACCTTTTGCACAAGCTAGCGCAAATGAATTAAGCTACAAAGGAGTCCCGCAATAGCTAGCCATGTGAGTGCGTGTTCTTATGGCATTCGTAATATCCTCTAGGGTGCTCACAAAATTTTTTTGTTGCATTTTCTTAAAACCGTCTACGTCTACACTTTTTCCTGTGATACGAGTTTGTACCGATCTACAGATCCGCACAAGCTGAAACAATCTCATTCACTCCTTTATGGCTCGCTTTGGCTTTTATGGTTTCTCGATCTCGATCTCGAAGAGATGCTATCGCGAAGGAGAAGGACAACAATAAGACAAAAACTCGAACTCCTGTGCTGTAAATAAGATCACGCCCGTTCTTCTTGCAGAGTATGGATCTTTTTCACCACCGGCTGCATATGAAGTGATTTTGGATCAATTTTGTTTCACCAAAGTATGTCCATGGTTTATCTCTTCCAACTCCAAGCATACCAACAGGCGACACCGAAAATCTACTATTTTTAAACTGCGAACAAATATTGCTTCACCGAAAAAAACGACCTGTTTTCTTATCGTATCTCTTAGCGACTCCGACCTCCGACGCCAAATAAAGAACATGTCGGCCATCGGCAAGAAGCGCAGTCCCGGCGAGTTTATCCAGGGCGTTGTCGGGAAGGCGGTAATAGTAAAGTTGAACAATGGGACTGACTACAGGGGCGACTTGACATGCTTGGACGGGTACATGAGAGAAAATCGAGATTTGTTTTTCCTTTTTTTTTTTTCGTAGTAAACCACGATAGTGTGTCCTCGTACTTAAAAACACCTCATCAACTGCTGTTTCGGTTCCCTTTCGTCCCCATAACAAACTGACATTCCCAAAACGACCAAAACCAGGTACATGAACGTGGTCCTGGACAATGCACAGGAATTTAGCCCAACCGGTGCTGTGGTCGCAAACTACTCAAGTAACTTGTTCCTCCGAGGGAACAATGTTCTCTACATATCAGCAGACGAAGGGGATGGGGAAAGGTAAAGACGAACCATTTGTATCACACAACGACCGACAGAAGAACAAGTACAACTCTGACAAAATATTACTTGATTACAGAGTAGAACGCCAACGCGCAACCGCAACATGATAAAAAGCATGCAGCCTGAAGACCTCCTGCATTGGCGAAAGCAGGGGACAACGAGCATGCGATCACGGCGATTGTTCGATCATCATGGAACAACCGATCCCGTATTTGCATTCGCTCTTGCTGTCAAAGTGGTCAAAAGATCTGTCAGACAAGCACAAAAAAGGATCAGAAGAAACGCCCCTGTCAAATTCGTTGGGCTGGATCCAAGAGAAAAGAGAATTTTGAAAGTACATCACGTTGATCTTCCACCTCTGAAGAGATCACGGTGAAGAAGAAGAAACCAGAGTTTGAAAGCAAGGTGGAATTTCTGCGATCATCTTCTGACGTACTTACCAGAGGGCCGGGCAAATCCAAAAATTTCGCCCACTTGCAACCTGACAGATCCCCATGGAACCTATCAGCTACTTAGAACAATTACAATTTTATTCGAACGCCTCTTTGAAAATCTGGATCATGTTAGTTTTCTCTATTTCACACAGCGACGCATTTGGTATCTACTACTTACATCTATTGATGGTGCAGGCTTCTTGATTGCATTCACACTGCTGAGCTAGACATTTTGGTCTTGTGTTTTAGACCTTTGCGCGCGCCCACTTCTTGCGGAGATAAAAGATCGAAGTTCATTTTATTGAAGAACATTTGATAAGTACTTTATTTCCCCTTACAACTGTGAACCCCGCGGAAAATTATTGATCCTTTCTTCACGACGATCAAAATGGCGGCCATGACACAGCAACAGCAGCCCTCCATCGTGATTAAGAAGTCCGGTGTCTCCGACAACAACGCCGACTCGGGTTACGGGCTTTTCTGCAACGTGCCCATCGAACAGAATGCCGTCATCTTCCAGGACACACCGCTGTTTTCCCTGCAGCATACGGGAAACCGCAGGTTCTGCACCAACTGCGCGTACTGCAGTAGGTTTGTACCGTGCATCGGGACGCAGTTGGAATCAATGTTTGGCGATGAGCCGCATTTCCAGCCGATGCTCGAGAAAATACTACCGTACGTGGAAAAATGGCAGAGTGGACTCGGCGTATAAAGTTTGTTTTCATCTTGCATAGAAAGTTTGATGATGTTGTACTCGGGATCTGCAATAGCAACAGGCAGAAGCAGAGCAACAAATTTTCCATGACATATTTCAACTTTTTCCACCGACCTCAATCGATATCAACAGGCCGCCTCCACCATGGTGAAATGCCAGTGCGGCGAGCGGTACTGCAGCGAGCAGTGCCGCCTCGCGGACTGGACGCATTCGCACGAGATTCTGTGCGTTGCGAGTTGCGAATCCCAGACCGACGCCTATCCTGAGTAAAAACGTCCCCACACCAGAGTTTTGCAAAGACAGGAAGACTTGTAATGTGCATCCCCTTGAGAGCCATTTCCAATCGTGTTTTGGAATTTGTGATGCTGTGAACAGGATGAGCAGATGAATCTGTGACGCGGCTGCACTTGCTAACCTGCACTACACTGCGGAATGCAACTTGTCATGCGTGACTCACAAAACTCCTAGGCTTGTGTTGCAAAATCCCCATCCTGACTCTGGTGTGGGGACGTTTTTACTCAGGATAACGCCCTTGTGGAGTTCAAGATGCACTCGATCGAATTCATAGAAACCATGATGCTGGCAGCAAAGGTTATGGCGCATTTGGTGCAGAAGGTGAGGAGAGGGATAAATCTAAATGCGGCGGGAAATAATAACTCGTCTGGATCATCGTCTTCCTCCTCTTCTTCCTCTACTTCCTCGGTTCCGCAACAGCAACAGCAACAGCAGCAACTTCCACCTCCGTCTATGAAACTTTTAATGCAGGAACTTCTCGAGTTTTGCCACGGGGATTTCCTCGACGTTTGTCGGCCGCCCCCGAACCGCCCGAAAGACGACGAGTTTAAGAAGGAAACTGCTCAAACGCTGTCCCAGGGTTTTTTCTTACTCAAGTCCCACTTCGCGAAATTTTTCAATTCCGAGTGTCAACACAACAAGCAGCTGGCCCGTGAATTGGAGTTGCTTTTTGCAGACGAGAAATTTTTCACGAAAATCCTCGGATTGTTCGAGGTCTGCAACGTGGATTTACAGGTGGACAGCTTTCTCACCCCGTTTTTCGCGAACCACTTCGCCAACGTGGCGAACCAAAAGAACGTATGAATTGCAAAAGTGTCTGGGTCTGGAAAATGCAAGGTTTGTTATGCAGGTTACGCATGACCCAGAAGGTTGGAATGCGGGCTCTGGCATCACAAGTTTGGAGAAGGGGGCTCCTCGATGCTTATTCCGCATGAGAAATCTTGCGTTCGAGTAGCCAAAAGTGGGAGCTTTTGCTGGTCATGCAATACAGATTTTTGTGTCGATCAGATCTAGCATGACAAACTCAGATTCTTCCGGACCCAGACATATTTGCATTTGATAGAACGCAGACGAAGCGGCTGCGTACGAGGAATTACTGCGGTCGCGGGAGGTTTTAACGAGATGCGTCTGGGACGACAGTATCACGGGGAATTACGACGTGGATGATGACGAAGAGTTCGAAGACGACGAGGACGAGGAGGGCATGGAAGAAGAAGGTCAAGAACAGCAGAGTAGAAAAATGAACAACGCCGAAGATAACGGCCTCGAATGCGTGGATTGCCCCCCGGAGGAGATGACTTTGGAAGAAGCCGGTGGCAACGGGATCCCGGACTTTCTGTGGGAGCAAATCCGCGCGGAGGTTGCGGCCATTTCCGGGGCAGATTTGCTGGCCAAGGAGTGGCCGGCCTACCACGCGACGGCCTTCTCCGCGAAGATCGCGCGCTGCAACCACAGCTGCGAACCGAACATGAAATTCTTCTTCGACAACGGGAATCACGTCATGTCCGCGCGCGCCCTGCGGCCCATCCGCGCCGGGGAGGAGTTGTTCGTCTGCTACGTGGAGGACAGCGATCCGGTGGAAAAGCGGCAAAAAATGCTGCGCGAATACGGCTTCGACTGTCGCTGCGTGCGGTGCGTACGCGAACTCGCGACGGGTCTGGGTGGGGCGTAGGGTGTTGACGACGTGGGAGTACTTAGTTGATTTTGGGGTGATCCTGCTATGCTGCCCCGGCGCTCCCGGAGGTGATGCTGATGGCACAATTGACACATATTGCAAAGGCAAAAGCACTGCCAGCGCAAGCTTGCTCTGTTTCTATTCCGTGCCAAATCGCGATGCGCAGAATGAAAACACCACATGGATCATGTGTAGTGGTACAGTACTCGGAAAAAGAAGATCAAACTACTCAAGGCACCGATAAATACAAAAACAAAAGCAAATCCACCACCTCGTCCGGGTGATGTTATTATATGGACGACCCGCCATTCATTATCATTCATCCCATCGGATGGCTTGCCTCCATGCGACATAAAGTGTTCTCTTTAGAAGACCTGGGACGGCGAAGATATTTACCAAGTCTACACGTATTTCAATTTTTTCCGTTTTCATCTGCGTCCCTCTCCCTGTATGTCATCTAGCCGCGCTTTGGTTTTGTTGCTGGTTTCATGTTTTCATGCCGCTCCTGCCTCGTTTCATGCTGTTTCCGTGCCGTTCCTGCTCGATCCGGGTGACACATGCAAACGCATTGCGAAGGAATGCTTTGTTCTGCTTCTGGCTCCGGCGGAAATTATAAGACGACGGCACGACCGCATGAGCGACACCGATGCGCTGTAAGTACAACTTGCAAATAGACCAAATTCACGACTAGACCTCGTCCTCAGCAGGGTTGTATGATTTAGACCAATGTATACATGTTTCAGCTGGCAGTTTGCAGCTGTTCTTTCCGTCTGGTTTTCAACACGAACGCCCTCGTCCGTGTTTTCCCGCCGATCTCTACTTGCATTCAGCCACCACTACTCTTTTGAAAACCACCAGCGCAAGCGCCGCGTCTAACTGTGTATAAGTAAATGAATTGAGATGAAAGAATGTGAATGACGACTGGAACTGGTGCAAGGGTATGAAAAGTGTTCATGTTGGTTACTGCTCCTGCCCAGGAGGGAGCAAAGGATCACTAGGGAACAAAGGATCGGGCGTTCCCGACTGCAAGGGATCTGCATGGCCATGGAATGTAGCCTTTATTACTCACCATCTCAGCCCAGTACTTGCCTGCTCTAGTGTTTTTTCGTTTTCTTTTGTTTCGTTTCTTCATTCGTGCGTGTTATCCTTATCTTACGCATATGTATTGCAAGAAGCAAACAGGGCCTTGTTGCCACAGACGCCGTTTTCTGTTTTCTGAAACTGATCTCCAGATGCTCATCCTGCATGATCGACACTGCTGCCACAAGCAGTACTACTACTAGCACACTTGTGATCGACATTCAAGAACATAAAAGTAAGTCAACAACACATCATGTCTTCCTCTTCGTCCTCGTCTTTACGTAGTGACGTAGATAATCGCTCGACTTTGTCCCCCCACACGACCACCACCAGCCTCTTCTCTTGCTGCGCGCAGTGGTTCCGGCTTCAGGGAGACCCGTTCTACACCAAAATCTCCAACTATGGAAGCGTCAGGTTTGAAATCGTCAAAGTTGAAATACTTTGTAATGCATAAAATGCATGACCCGAGGTACGTGCGTTGCAGAGCGGGCAAATGAGGCCGATTGTCAGCCTGTTTGGGGTTACAGCTCCAGCTGCTAAAGTAGCATGAGAAAATCGCTCTTCTCTGCCTAAACAGCATGACAGACTGGATTTAGGGACCACCGAAATTTGTCATGCGCCACTTGGAAACTGGGTTCCAACTGGTATCCATTTTATGCATGACAAATTATTTCAACTTTGTCGATTTCAACTCTGACACATCCATACCAGCACCCTGAAAAAAGGCCGGGCGATCACGCTCAACGACCTCCCGCCACTCGCGCGCGAAGATGCTTTTGGCGATACTAGCGAAATAGAACCACGACCGGGCACTTCTTCATCTAAAGCTCGTCCGGCTACCGACAAGCAAAGCGGGAATGGTAATGATGTTGATGCCGGAAACGAAGAACAGCCTCAGCAGCACCAAGCGACACCAGGACAACATCCACCTTCTCCTCCCCGCCGCTTCCGCGAGGAGGTATTCCACCGGGAGAAGGGCCATTTGCTCTTCGGCGCACTGTATAAAATGCAAATATGTCTGGGTCTGGAAACCTGTGATGTTGAAGTGTGCATGATGGAAACACTTCCGAATGCAGGAGCCCAGCATGACAACTTTCCGGAGCGCTTTCTCATAGGCAGTGCGCATGAGAAACTGCTTTCATTCTTGCATGACAAAAATGGCTGCGGCTTTTGTCGGTTAAGTATGCAATACAGATTTCCCAGGAGTGTAAAGCTAGCATTACAAGTTCAACCATCGAGACCCAGACACATTTGCACTTGATACACTGTTGCAACTAACCGAGGTCTGTTGGCGGTTGTCGATCCCGCTTGCCATCTACGCACTGCTGCACAGCATAAGGAAGGGCGACCGCGAGGACGCCCTCTTTTTTCCATCCGGGGTTGGCAGAAACGGCGAGGATGCGGCTGCGCAGCTTATCAAAGTGAGAAAAGCCCCCTCCCCATATTGAACCGGGAACTTATGTTGCTGGATTTGTGTACACAACTAAGGTCTGTCTTGCTGGAGAGGACTGCAGGCATGTGCCGAGCCTGAGGCGAGAGGTTTTGACGTAGGCGACTAGCATGGCAGATGTCTGCGCTGTAAGCCCAGCAGCATCGCAAACCGCCTGCATAAACATAATGCGACGGACTCTCTGGCTTTGCCTTCTCGGAAGACAGGCCGGATTTGTGGTGACAAATGTGCATCACAAATTTTCAGACGAATGCGCTTTGAATATGGGAAGGGGGGATTTTTCCTTACGATACAGCTGTCCCCCATTTCGGAGCTGGTGGCGCATGTGGAAAACGATCTTGGTTATCAAATGTAAAAATGTCTGGGTCTGGAAGAATCCGAAATTTGTTATGCTGTTTTTGCATGACACAGAATGTCTGTCATGAAAGCCCTAGTATCACAGATTTCAAGAGGCCTTCCTGATGCCTATTCCGCATGACAAATCCCCTCCACGCGTAGCACAAACCGGACTCCTCTTGCTGGTCATGCAATACAGAATTTTTTAGAGTCCAGAGTTAGCATCACAAGTTCCAACCTTCCAGACCCAGACATTTTTGCAATCCATATTGGTCAACATGGAACAAGTGAAGATGAACATCTACAAGCGCATACCAGTACACCAGGAGCAGAGTTTTTAGCAGACAACAGCAACACCATCCCCCACTCCTCCCACGCCGCCTTCTCTTACGTGGTCCTCCTCTACCTCGCCTTGGTGATGAGCTGCGTTGCGCAAAACTGGGCGGTGCACACAAATATGCGGCTCGCGGTCCGGATTCGCGCGTATCTGATTCACAGGTGTTTTCTCTCGACTTTTGACCTTCACAAGACGGTGGGGCAGCAGGACGTCGGTAGCTCGGGCACGGCAGCTGCGGGGGGAACTACAGATAGAGGTGGGGACACCAAGGATGTTGAAAAGAGTAAAGATGAAGTACTAGTACCATCCCGTCGCTTATCCACACAGCTGCAAAACGCTGAGAAGCGCTTGTCCATCCAGCACCGAAGCTCCTTCGCTTCCAACTGCGCCAGTCCGGATGCGGTCCCCGGGTTGGCGGTAGAAAATGAGATCAGACCACTGGTTGACGTAGGTCCTCAGACAAAGGAACGGGGGTCTTCACCTGGTGCGCACCCGCCCCTTACACAACGGGGAGAAGAAGACCCCGACGAGGACCGCGCGGCCATTGCGACCATATGAATTGCAAAAGTATCACACTCGTATAAATGCATGACAAATTCCCTCAGCGCGAGACATAAAATTTGTAATGCGGATTTACCTTGAGAAAATATATTGTAATGCATAATTGCCATACGAGTACGATGCTTTTGCAATGCATAGACCAACCTGATCTGCAACGAGTCGCAGCGCTTCGTTATGCGTTGCAAATATGTGGTCTGGGTCTGGAAACTTGTGATGCTGTGTGGCGTACCATGAGGTGGCCACAAGTGCTGGCTCAGCATGACAAGTTTCCGAGCTGCAGCTTCTAGGTGTTGCCTATTCTGCATGACAGTGCGCGTTTCTGCATGACAGAAAAGCGTGGCTCATGGGTAGCGTGCGTGACAGGTTTAAGAGTCATGCCACACAAGCATGACAAACGTGCACTCTTCCAGACCCAGGCATATTTGCGCTTGATATTCGTCGACGCCGCGCAAAACCTGCACCAAGTCTGGGGCGCGCCGTTGCTGGTCTTAGCGTCGGCTGCGTTTCTTTTCGAATTGTTAACCCTCGTCCCAGCCGCGCTCTACCTCGCGATTCTGACACTTTCCGGACCGCTCGGCTTCATCTGGAGCAAGTGCCTGTTTCGTGCGAAGCACAAGCGGGCGACCTACACGGAGCAGCGGCTGCGGCTCTGCGACGAGGTTTTGTCGAACATCCGGATAGTGTATGACAGTCAACAACCCCCCCTCATCTCATTTGTATTTTTGCATGAACTGCAATACAAACGCCAGCTACCCATACCCACCTGGAGCTTGCGCATTACAAATTTATGTGCCTCGTACTGTAGTACTGTATGTTTGGGCTTTCGAAATTTGTCATGCAAACAGTGCCACAGCAGGGAAGCGACTGGATTTGGGATTTTGCATGACAAATGGGTGGGACTGGGAGGGGGGGGTTGTGCGCTGTCATATACTGAAATACTTCGTGTGGGAAAAGGCGTACTTTGACAAGATCGAAAAATTACGAGACGAAGAAAACAAGCAAGCCTTGAAACAGAACTGCATTTTCGCGTCGAACGCCACGCAAATCGTCTGTATGCCCTTTGTATCTTGTGCAAAAGTATCGTACTCGTGCTAATGGCAGTTATGCATTAGAGGCCGTACGATTAATGGGCCCCCTTTTCGATACCGAAAAGGGGGGGGTAGGTGCGGTCGGTCGTCTGGCGGGTCGTATCCAGAAATGGCCGGGTGACCAGTTTTTCTTTTCGGACTTCAAAAATCTAAATCCGCAACTTCCCGCCCCGGCAAAAAAGCTCTCGTTTTGTTTACTGCGGTTTCTCAGCGTGTCTCTCTTCTGCTGCGGTTTCTGCGGCGTGGCTGGAACAGAATGAAACAGAACAACAGAAATTTCTTGGGAGGGCGCGCGCGGGCGGCGCGCGCGGATCGGCATACGGATGCAACAACAGAAAACGGTTAAAGCGCGTGATGCGCGCGCGCAAACTGAAAAAAAGCCCGCGGCGCGCGCTGGTGTGTGCGTGCAGCGGAGAACATGCAGCGGAGAACGTGCCGCCCCAGTGGTCGAAGTGGCCGTCTCAGCTGCTTTTCCAAATGCAGGAAGTGCTGGGATGGTCGCTTCAACAGCCCGAGGGTGGTTGTGCAATGCTGCGTTCTAAGTAGCTGCCTCCTGGTGGTCTATTGCGTCGCAGCACTGTTTTTGTGCAATAGAGTTACTTCGCAGGAGAAGAAGCTTCGTCGTGATGCATCGCGAACAGCTTTCGTTTTTGAGTAATAGAGCTGCTCCACAGTGGGTTTACTTCTACAAACTGCGCCCAAGTTACTGCGAAGCAGTTCTTTTTTTCCGCTGTAGGTCCACGGTCTACGTCTACAGCTACCAACTGGGATTGTTATCAAGTTGGAGATGATTTACTCCAGGGTAGCTGTGCTGCTGCTGGGTTCTGCGAAAGAAAGCCGCCCCCTTTGTCTTGGGAGAAACGGGGCCGGCTTTATTTTGAGAAGCAGAAAGCGCGTCGCTTACGCTTTGCTTCTCTTGCGCTTTTTTTTTTTGAAAGAAAAAGAACAAACAAGAACTCGCTCCATAGCGTCGGCGCTGTGTACTTTGCGCACGGTAGTGCGCGTCACAATCCAGCGAAGCTAGCTGTAGCTGGGCACCGCATGTGGCTGCGCTTTTGAAAAAACAAAGCGGCGAAAGGTGTCAAGCGCGCCGTGCCGCCCGGATTCAGATTCGCGATAGGTTTCGCGATAAACAGCCCCCGGATTTAGAAAAGGGGGGCGTGGGGGGGTAAGCTCGATCAGATTCCCGCTTCTACCCCCCTTTTCGGTATCGAAAAGGGGGTCGATTAATCGTACAGCCTCTTACAAATCTAGTTGCTAAGGTAGATCCTCATTACAAATTTGGTTTGTAATGCTGACCCGATTTGTATTACAATTTGAGTAGGCGTGTGCCTGTAGGCGTTAATTCGGGGTGGGTTGGTTGGTCGGTTGGTTGGTTATGCAAATGCTGAAGACGGCGGGCCGTCGCGGGTTATAGAAAAACATTCTTCCGGAGTCGCAGTGCGTGGCGAGGTCGACGTGCGTCTGGTTTGCGTTTGGTGGTGGACGTATTGTGGCGGAGACATATTCGGCGTCGCGGTGTCGCTATTTCGCTTATCCTGATGTACGTGAGTCTGTCGACGACGTTCTGCTTCCCACAATCGAAGCTGGAGAAAGTTGTGCTTTGATATCGGGAATGAGATGCACGCTACCCACCTACCTCCCTACCTACCTACCTCGTGATACTGACGCTCCTCTCGTCCATTCATAATCAACCGAAACAAAAAAGATCACGCCCTCCTTCGTGGCTGAGCAGTGGGTAGGTGGGTTGGTTGGTCGTCATTGGACAATGATGCGTCCGCGTGTCCTCCAGGTGTGGGCGATTTTCACTTGCGGGGCGCAACGGAGGCGCGTCTACACCTACCTTCCCACCCACCTACTTCTTGATGCGTGTGACAACGAAAATGCGGGAGCTGGGGCAGCGCCCAGTTAGAGTGAAGTGATGAAGAACTACAACTGCTCAGAGACAGTCTTGGCTGCAGGCCGGCGACGCCTGGCCCGTGTGTGGTGGCCCGCAAAGGCTCCCGCGTAAACGGTTTGCTATCGCGGGCACCGAAATGGGTGAAATGATGCCCATCCTGATGAAAAGCGCCCCGCCCGTAAAGGGCGGTCTTTGATCTAGCAGCCTGTGGCGCTTTTAGTTGCCCGGGGCCCATCGGCGCGGCACGGCCACAACGCCGACCGCATCCGCGGGGCGCCACTTGAAGTCTAGAACCCCACTGCTATGGCAGCTTTTAGATTTCCCCTCGCAAGTGATCGGGGTTTTAGTTGCGATAGAGTGAACTACATACACTGAGGTAGGCGATACGTCTATGCGCGGCGCTTCTCCACCCTCGCCACAAAGCGCACTGCGTGCGCAGGCCAGGGCCAGAGAGAACGAGCTGCGACATTTTTCTTCCTCCCGCCGAAGGAGCTCGGCTTCATCTTGTGAGAATGAAACGAACCAAGCCAGCGCACCAATGAAGGCCTGACCCTGAGGCAGAGGATTTGTTTTTCTTTTCTCGTTGTGATTGTGCCACTCACAACAAAGTCACTGAGGATCAGAATCAATTTGAGAACCAAGAACAAACTTAAGTGCCTGGGATCGCATTGGGTGCAAGTATGTCTGTGTCTGGTCGAAGCGTTGAACCTTTAGGGCGCGCCCTCACCCCTGCCAGGGAAGGTGGGTGGGTGGGTCGGCATGTGTGGTCAGCAGGCAGCGCATGCTTGCTCACCCGTGCCAAGGCAGGTGGGTCGGTAGGTCGGTAGGCGTGGCCAGCAGGCAGCGCATGCTCACCCGTGCCAAGGTAGGTGGGCCGGGAGGTCGGTAGGCGTGGCCAATAGGCAAGGCACACTCGCCCCACCCCCCCACCAGGCAGGTGGGTGGGTAGGTCGGTAGGCGTGGCCAATAGGCAGCACACGCCTGCCCCCCCCCACCCGGCAGGTGGGTGGGTAGGTCGGTAGGCGTGGCCAATAGGCAACGCACGCGCGCCCCACCCTCCCCACCAGGCAGAGGGGTGGGTAGGTCGTTGGGCGTGGCCAATAGACAACGCACGCTCACCCCACCCGCCCACCAGGCAAGTGGTTGGGTAGGCCGGTAGGTGTGGCCAATGAATGCATAGGCCGCGCACCCTTGCCCCCCGCACCAGGCAGGTGGGTGGGTAGGTCGGTAGGCGTGGCCAATAGGCAACGCAAGCTCGGCCCACCCACCCACCCGGCAGGTGGGTGGGTGGGTCGGTAGGCGTGGTCACCGATCTCCTCTGGGTGGAAAGGGGTAGGTAGGTAGTTGGGTCGGCGCGATCACGGTAGTACGATCGTAAAGAGAGGCGGTAGGTGGGTAGGTAGGCAGCTTCAACGGTGATAGTAGTTAGATGAATCTCAGAAAAACACAAGATACAGCGCAGCGGGTTTGGTTCCACGGGAAATTTGCATAACCAACCAACCGACCAACCAACCCACCCCGAATTAACGCCTACAGGCCCACGCCTATTGTACAATTTATACTACGCGCGATACTTTTGCAATTCATACTTGCTCGCCCAGGCGGTGTGTTTGTTGACGTACGTGTTTCTCGTTGTCGGAAACGAAGAAGCGGTGGGGGAGGGGGAAAAAGTGAAGCAACTCACCCCGGAAATGACCTTCTGCCTGCTCGGTTTCACGATGATCCTACGGTTCCCGTTGCAGCAGATGGGGCAAATTTGGGGAAACGCCACGCAGTGCTACTACGTGTTGCAGAAGGCGGAAGCGTTTTTGCAGACAAGCTCGATAGGTGAAAACTATCGTCGTGGTGGGACAGCGTCTACTTCATGTCAGGTAGGAACGGAAAAGCAAGCGAATCTTCTGGAGGAAGAGAAAAAAACAGCGGGTAAAATAACCGAACTACTGAAAAACAGAAACACTCCTGCGACGCAAAGCAGGAGCAGCAGCAGCACAACAACAGCTGCAAGCCCTGCTACTACAATCCTCTTCGACGTCGACGGAGCTGATGTTAGGTGGACGGCGGATGAAAAATTAACCATGCAAGCAGGCAAAAGAAACGAAGGTCAAGAACGTGTCGACGCAAAGGTTGTGCTGGAAAAGAACAAAGAAACAAAGCTACAACTTCATAGGACCGGGTCCGGCACATCATCAGCATCCTCCTCGTCGGGAGGTGGACCACCTTCTTCAAACGTAGTCCTGTCAAACCTATCAAATGCAAAAATGTCTCGGTCTGGAAGGTTGCCGGGTTTGTCATGCACATTTTGCATGACCCAGGATTGTTTGTGATGTATGCCCTACCATCACAGATTTCAGAACACTTCCTGCTGCCTAGTCCGCATGAAAGATGCCCTCCCCGCGTAGCACAAACTAGACTCCTCTTGCTGATATATGCAATACAGATTTTTTCAGAGTCCAAAGTTAGCATCACAAGCTCCAACCTTCCAGACCCAGACATTCTTGCATTTGATAAAACCTGAAAGTTCAAATCCAGTCTGGCGACCTCGTGGAGGTCACGGGAAAGACCGGGGCGGGAAAAACTGCTTTTCTCCACACCTTACTCGGTGACACGAACATCACGCCAACTTCTGCGGTGAACAGAAATGCTTTGGAAATCAAAAAATCCGTAGAGCACAATGTTCACTTGCTCTACGTGAGTCAAACGCCCTGGATCAGAAACGCGACGATTTTCGACAATGTGGTTTTCTTTCTAACGAAGCCGGCTCTGTATTCATCATCCGGCAATATTGAAACTGATAAAAAGCAGGATGAGAGTTTTTATCCTTATCGTTTCAGATCGACAGACAGGATCAACGAAAAATTCCACCGAAAGTGTTACACCGAGGCGGTCTTTGTCGCGAACCTGGAGCCTATCACAGGAAAAAGTGTGTAACATTAACGTTTTTCACGGATTGCAATCATGCATCACAAATGTAGCCCAATATGCATGCTATGCATGACAAATTCTGACACGTCTTGTGATGCATTTCTGCATCACAAATTCCAAATGACATTTTTTCTTGTGATAGAGCCGGACATCGCAACCTTTGCGCAAAGGGACGAGATATCCTGTGCAAAAGTATCGTACTCGTAGTAATCGCAGTTATGCATTACAAATCTAGTTGGTTAGGTAAATCCGCATTACAAATTCAAGCTGTAATGCTAAGCCAATTTGTATTGCGATTTATACTAGTACGATACTTTTGCAATGCATACGAGACGGAGATCGGGGAGCGCGGGGTCACTATGCAATGCAAAAGCATCGGGTACTAGTACAATTTGCATTACAAATTTGCTCAGCATGAGAAACGCAATTTGTAATGCTGTTTTATCTTAGGAAGAAGATTTGTCATGCATACTTGCAATTAGAATTAGTACGAGTGCGATACTTCTGCACTGGATAGGCACGTTGTCCGGCGGCCAGAAAATGCGGATCGCGCTGGTATGAGAGTGCACAACTCCCCTTCCCCTCATTTGTGTTGCATGAACAGCGACACAAGCGCTGGCAAAGATGCAGCTTTCGCATGACAGATATCTCGAAAGCCAAAAGAGCATTACAATCCTCTAGGAATTTGTCATGCAAAAGCTGCATCTTTGCACGCGCTTGTGTTGCAGTTGCTGTTCATGCAACACAAATGAGGGGGAGGGGGAGTTGTGCACTCTCATAGGTGGCCCGAGCGGTGTATTGCGGACTCTTTCACCACTACTGCGGTCTAGAGGAGGAGGAGCGGCGGGTCGTGGGAGGTGATGATGATGATGATGTTGACTGGAAACTGTCCAAATCTGCGGCCTCTGCAGCAAGTACCTCGTCTTGTCACCTCGTTTTCCTTCTCGACGACGTCTTCGCCGCGTTAGATGCGGGCACCGCGGTTTTGGTCGCCAAAAACCTCCTGGAATTGAAGCATAGGCTGGAACAAAATCAAAATTTGCCAAGTACAACAAAATCCTCGTCTTCATCTAGCAAACGAACACCTGGACGAGCTGTTGTTCCAGCAAAGAAGAAGACCACTGTCACCATCATCTGTGCCGGAAATCTCTGTGGCGCGGCCCTCCGAACCGCTCACGCGCGAGCGGGCGTGTGTCTACCAGCCATGGCGGTACAAAAGATACACATCGACGCGGATTCCGGTATCCGGTGCGAATTTTCATCCGTACACGTAGAAATGCGGTGTCTGCATGACAAGCCTCGCATTCGATCCTCGTCAGCATGACAGGAGGTGTTGCGCTTCAAGTTGGCGTCGAAATTTGTGATGCATTTTGTACTTGGGTGTGCGGGAAATTAATTGCATTGCATATGCGGAGGACAGGTGAAACACACGGAGGACTGGTTGGTGAATGACAATGAGCGCGGTACTTCTGAGGGCACAATAATACCGGGGACGATGAAGCAGAGTCCCTGCATTCTGCCAAATCCAGGTACTGTTCCTGGTGCAATACTGAATCTTCAAACCGCGGCGGCGGCCTCATGTAGGTCCGGAACAGGTGGAGGCCCAGAAGGTGATGACCTCCACACAGAGACAGACACTACAGCCAAACCTACAGCTTCCACCGGTGGGGTATGGCGTTCTCAAATGTTACATTCTCAACTGTTACATGATTTGTTATGCAAAGTTGCAATCAGACTCAGAGTCGACACGATCAAGCTGCTTCGCATTACAAATTCTCGAAGAGCCCAACAGGCTGAGAATCTGTGCGAAATCTGTCATGCAAGACGCGCAAGGTCCCCTCTTTCTGTGTTGCCGTTCTTGCATCACAAATCCATGGAACAGTTGAGGATGTAACAGTTGAGAACGCCATATGGAGCAGGAGCTTTGATGACCCGGGAAGACGACTCCGGCTCCATCGTGTCCCTCCGCGGTGCCATGTGGAATTGGTTCGTTGCGCTCGGTATCAAATGCAAATATGTCTGGGTCTGGAAACTTGTGATGCTAAAATGTGGATGATGGAAACAGTTCCGAATGCAACCCAGCATGACAACTTTGCAGAACGCTTTCCCATACTAGGCAATCCGCATGAGAAACTTCGTCTCTGCATGTACAAAAGAGGCTGCGACTTTTGTTGGTTATGCAATACAGATTTTCTAGGTGTGGAAAGCAAGCATTACAAGTTGCATCCTACCAGACCCAGACATATTTGCAATCCATACTCGGCGCGTTTATCCCGATTGGCGTGTTCAGTGTCATCTCCATGTACATTGAGCGGTTTGTCTTTATCTCTGTCGTATCAAATGTAAAAATGTCTGGGTCTGGAATAATGCAACTTGTCATGCTGTTTTTGCACTCTAAAAAAGTTTGTATTGCATAACCAGCAAGAGGGGCACAATTTGTGCTACACGGATAGGGCATTTCTCATGCGGAAGGTGCATCAGGAAGCTTTCTAAAAATCTGCGATGCTAGGCCATGCATTACAGGCATCATGGGTCATGAGAAATATGCATGACAAATCTTGCACTCTTCCAGACCCAGACACTTTTGCATTTGATATGTCGACCGCACGGTCAAGACCTGGTGCGGGCTAGCAGGCGCGTTATCAGCAGGAGGTGGGTCTGATACCTCAGCGTCCGCAGCGGAAATTGTCGCGGCGGATGCAGCTCATCTTGACAACAACCCAGCGGCTCACGACGATGCGAGTACTATCAGCGAGTCCTCCGAGTCTATGGCCACCATCTACATCCGGCTTACCATAATCGCTTGCATCTGTTGCGCCTTGACCCGCTATCTCGTGCGAAAGCATCGCACTCGTAGTAATTCTAATTACAGCTATGCATTACAAATCTCCCTCTGAAACTGAATTAGCATGACAAATTCCATTTCTAATGCTGAGCAAATCTGTAATGCGATTTCTAGTACTGCGATGCTTTTGCATTTCATACCCGCTTTTCCTTCGCGATCGTCTGTACCAGGGCGGGAAAAAAGCTCTTCGCGCAGATGTTTATCAGAGTGCGCAACCCGTCCCCCTCCGCCTCATTTGTATGGCATGAACAGCAATACAAACAGCAGCACACGTGGAGCAGGTGCATGACAAATTCATGTGCCTAGTGTAGTACTGTTTGGGCTTCCGGAACCTGTCATGTAAACAGTGCCACAGGGAAGCACTTGGATTTGGGCTTTTGCATGACAAAAGAGGGGGAGGCGGAGTTGTGCACTCCCATAATGTTCGCGAGTATTTTAGAAGCCCCCTGCCACTGGTTTGATTCCACGCCAATCGGGAGGATCACGAATCGGTTATCCTTCGACACAGAAAACGTCGACACGGTCCTTTTATCAACAGCAAATATCCCTGGCTGTCTGGAAGGATCCAACTTGTGATGCTGTCTTTTGATATCTAGAAAAATCTGTATTGCATGACCAGCAGGAGGAGTCCAGTTTGTTCGACGTGGAGAGGGCATTTAATATTCTCATGCGGAATAGGCATCAGGAAGGGTAGTTCTAAAAATCTGTGATGCTAGGGCATACATCACAGACAATCATGGGTGATGCAGAACCTGCATGACAAACCTGGCAGTCTTCCAGACGACCCAGGAGACATATTTGCAATGGATACCTTTTCACCAAAGTCTACCCGGCGACGGTCTGTATCTCCTGGGTTCTCGGCGCTCTGGCGGTAATTATGACGGTGTTATGCATTGCAAAAGTATCGTACTAGTATAAATCGCATGACAAATTTGCGCAGCATGAGAAATAAAATTTGTAATGCGAATTTACCTGAAGAGAAAGATTTGTAATGTATGATTGCAATACGAGTGCGATAGTTTTGCAGTGCATAGCTGCTGTATCCGTACAACTTCATCATCTTGCCGTTTTTCGTGCTGGGTTCCTGGTACTGCATCTACTGTGCCCGCGTGGGGATCGTCCAAATTCAGCGTTTGGACAACGTGTCCCGCTCACCCATCTATCCTGTGCAAAAAATTCGTACTCGTATTGCAATCATGCATTTACAAATCTTTTTTTCAAGGTAGATCCGCATTACAAATTTTACTTCTCATCATGCTGAGGAAATTTGTAATGCATTTATAGGAGTGCGATACTTTTGCAGTGTATACCATCGCGTCGCTGACGAAGGAAGCGCTGTGTGAAATGCATATATGTCTGGGTCAGGAAAGTTGTGATGCAAGTCCGTGAATGATACAGCCCAGCGCACTGTAATGCACCGCCAAGAAGCATGACAGATCGTATTTCCGTGCTGCGTGTGTGTTGCGTATTCCGCACTAGAAAGAGAAAGAAAAACTGCGGCTTTGCATGACATGCAGGAGAAGCTCTGCTTCTTTGCCACGCAATACAGAGCTCAGAGTAATGCCAGATCAGCATACGAAATTTTGAAACATTCCAGACCCGCCAGACACATTTGTTTTGCATACGCTGCAGGGCAGGCTGATAATAGCCGTTTTCCACAACGAGGAAAAGTACCAGAAGAAGATGTGCAAGTTGCTGAACCAGAACACGTATGCAGTGCACAAGCATCGTACTAGTAGAAATGGCATGACAAATTTTATCAGCATGAGAAAGCAAATTTGTAATGGGGATTTGACGTGAGAAAGAAATTTGTAATGCGTGACTGCGATTAAGTAGTACGAGTACGATACTTTTGCAATGCATAACACGCAAGCCTTGTTCGCCTTCAACTCCGCGTCGAGGTGGTTGGGAGTCCGAGTGGAATTTGTCGTAGTGACCACGACGTTCTTCGTTCTACTCGCCTGCGTCTGGCTCCAGTTGCCAGCGGAGCAACTCGGGTTCTCCCTGATTTGGTGCTTGTCGCTTGGGATCTCGATGGCCTTTTTGAGTATATCGATGTCTTCTGCCGAGGCGGCGTTCACTTCGGTCGAACGGTTGACGGAGTACAGCGGGGCGCATGTTCCGAATGAAGGTAAGCGGAAGGACGCACTGGTAGAGGACAATGGTGTGGATGTTGACGAAATTAAAGATTCTACTGCCGTTAAAGCGATCGCAGACAGGAGCTGCACTGAAGTTGATGTTGGATGGGCACCATCATCTCACGACGATCAGGACCACCACGACCATTTCCGCAACCTACTATCCAGGAAAAAACATCCATCCCCATCCATATTTTGCATGGCAAATAGCGGACTCTATGCATGTTTTGTATGACAAACTGGATGGGGATGGCATGAGTGTTTTTTCCTGGATACCTACCACACGAAGAACACACCGCAACCACCACCCGTCGCGCATCCGTATGGAGCAGCTTTAAGCTACTGCTGAGGAAGATCAGAAGTTTGTTCGTTCTCTTGTGGCAAAAAATTATCAGTCTGCTTCCGCATCGAGTCCGGGAGTGGCGGATCTTTTCGTCGGATCGATCTGAAAACTACCCAACAGCGGCTGACATCACAGCTACTCCGGGAGGGGGAGCAAGAGCCGCCAGTCGTTCCATTCTCCTGAACGATTTCAGCTCCAAAGACCTCCACGGCGAAACGGCGACTACGACGCCCGTGCACATCAAAAAGGGGTTGCTGATTTCTAACTTAAGACTTCGCTACCGCCAGGAGCTGCCCGACACGCTACACAACATCTCCTTCTATTTGAATCCGGGGGAGAGGTGCGCGGTGGTTGGAAGAACGGGCGCCGGGAAGTCGAGCTTAACCGCGGCATTGTTTCGACTCGCAGAGGACGTGACCGCGAGGGTGTGCAGCATAAACGGGGTCGATTTGCTCAAAGACTTACCCGTGGACTCGGCAAGGAAGAGACTGGGGATCATCGCCCATATGAAAGCCTCAGGTTGGAAATCCTCAAAGTGAAAATAGCTTGTAATGCAAAAAACCACTCCAGTTGAAGCGCCACTTCTATGTGGCGCATGACAAATTTCCATGGCACTCAAATCATGTCTGTCATGCTGGGTAAGGCAAAGGGGTGCCCTTTTGTTCTGCTATTCAGAACTCCAATTCTTCACCCCTAGAAGGACAATAATCGGCCTCTATTGCGTCCTCTGCAGCACAGTCTTTTTTGCATCGCATATCGTGCATCAAAAGTGATTTCCACTTTGAGAATTTTCATTATGAGGCTTTCATAGCCCAATCCGCGCACGTTTTCGGCGGTGTCACTCTACGTTACAATCTCGATCCATTCGACGAATTCACCGATCAGGAATGTGTCCAGGCGTTGAAATTGGCGCATTTCCCAGTCTACGCGTTGCAAATGTAGTATCGTACTTCTCGTATACCAAATTGCACTTATGCACGACAAAAACAAATGCAGTAGCAGTTTCTGTACCTGAATCAGCATGACAATATTGATTTCAGTTTTCGTCTTAAGAAAATCACTTGGCATGCAGTTTATACTAGTACGATGCTTAATATTTTCCACTGGATATAGTCTTGAAGAACGACAACAGCCAGGTGAACTTGAACTTGCTGGCGAGTGGTGGTGGAAGCACCAGTGGTCTTCAAAATGAGGAAGACGAGGATGTTGAACGGGAACTGCTGCTCGCAGCGGATATCGGCATTACAATCAAACCGGCAAATAGAAACTATAATTCCGAGCCGGAGCCAGAAGACGAGCAGTATCGTGTTTCCAGTTGCAGTACCGCGGTGCCGGCTTTTCGACAAACCGCGATTTCCTCCTGCAATTCGTTGGCGTCGTTAGGAGGCTACTTTGGTGAGGACCAGCAGACCAGTGCAGACGTTGACGCACGAGCACTGGAAACAAGAACCGCTCCAGCACTTTCGCAAGTAAGGACCACCACGCAGAGGACTACAGGCAGGGTAACATTACCAGATCCGACTGTTGTCTATAATCTGCCAAGGAATACAACTACCGCTGTCCTCGGGCAGACAAGCGAAACGGAAACAACGTCGACTTCGACCACTTCCAAGCCGACCCAGTGGGTCACCTCCAAGCGAAGCAGTAGGCATACCCGGTTTACAACTTCCAACTTTTGGTCGAGCCCCAGCCCACCCATTCTAAGTTCTCCCCCCTCGCCCGGCGGCGATCTGCTAGCGGGCGGTGCGGTTGCGGGGAACGGGCTGGAGTTGGTCCCTGTCGCGAGTGTTGTTCAGCAGCAGAAGAAAATAAATAACCGACCACAAATAATGACAACTATCGCGGACTTGGATGAGCACGCGCGCGCTCTGGGGATCGATACGAATAAGAATAGCAACGACAATGTTGAGACGCGGCAAGGCAAGGTCGTCTCTCCTCCTGTTTCTGATGTTGATCGGAATGAATATACTAGTAAACGCCCTTCCAGGAGTACAAGTACAGCCATGGCTATCAAACAAAAAAGGTTCGTCACGATCACTCATGCGCATTTTTGCAATACAAAATTGGCTGTCATGCGTAAAAATGCATGACAGCTAAGCTTCATAGGGGATTTCCCTAGTGTTTCTGCAATACAAGGAAAACTTGTGATGCTAAAAAAATTTGTAATGCAAAACCTGCAAGTTAGTGACTGTGACAAACTTTTTTCTTTCCATAATGGCAGCAGAAACAGCTGGAACCACGACACCTGCGAAAGAGACGCGTAAAAAACCTTTTTCAACAACATCCCAGCCACAGTACTTTGAAATAGGCTCGCCCGTGCTCGACGACGAGCTTTACTACAGCGTTTTGAACCGGAAGTTGCAATCCGAAGGGAGCTATGCACTGCAAAAATGTCTGGGTCTGGAAGGTTGGAACTTGTCATGCTAAATCTGAATCACGCAAAAACCTGTGTTGCGTGATTACCAAATGCTGCCCACTTTTGATCAAGTTGAGAGGCAGTTTCTCATGCAGGATAGGCATGATAGTGATCTCGCGGAATCTGTCATGCTAGGTCCTCCATTACAGATCATGTGGGTCATGGAAGACCTGCATGACAAGTCGAGCAAAGTTCCAGACCCAGACGCTTTTGCATTTGATAGGACCGACCTCTCCGTGGGAGAAAGGCAGCTGCTTTGCCTCGCCCGGGTGCTGCTCCGGAAGCCGGAGCTACTGATCTGCGACGAAGCCACTGCGTCGGTAGATTTCGAAACGGACAAAAAAGTGCAGGAGTCGCTCCGGGATTGGAGCAAGGAACACGGGAACGCGATTGTGTTGACTATTGCGCATCGATTGGAAACCGTGGCAGATTACGATAAGGTATAGTGTTAGAACAAAAAGTTCTCAAGAAGATCTTGTCAACACGCGATTTTATTTCTAAGGGCGCACGAGGACTGTGATAGTGATTTGGATTTCGATTTCAACAATTATTTTTCAAATATTGTTCTTGAAAACCGAATCAATTGTACCAGGTCCTTGTCTTGGACAACGGTCACGTTGCAGAATTCGGGGATCTGCAGGACCTTGCGCACCGTCCCAATGGGATTTTTGCGGGCATGGTTTCACGCAGCAAGGAACTCGGGAATCGGAGGTGATGAAAGTAAGAACCGGTCCAGTAGAGTGCGAAAAGAATAAGAACTTGGGCGCTGTTCTTGGGAAACAACAGAGATGTATTACTGATTTTTGGTCTCTACTGACAATTTTAGTGAGAGGACCCGGCGAAGATCATCTTCTACCAGTAATTTTGTTTCTTTTCTTCAAATGTTTCCGTCTTGCCGCCCATCAGGGTCAGCTTGCGAGGAACCCCATTTTGATATAATCTATGTCAATGAAGTTGTATTCTCACAAGTCATGCATACGACACACCGCTTACGCTGTTTGCTTTTACCGTTTTTTGGAGTAGAGTATATCTTCAAATAGAAAACGAGAATCAGCAAATGCCGAACAATGAACCTTGCTTCTGAGAGACACTGAAATAGATTCACAACTAACTGAATTTTCCTGTAACATTTTTGTCAATGCACCTCTACATCAGAATTACATGATCATGTACTTGGCACACGGTACTAGAGTGGTTCATCAATACAGACTCAGATTTTCCTCGTTGCGGACGTTGTGCAGAAAATCAAGAATGCATCAAGGCTTGTGCGGATAAGCAGCTGATGGTGTACACGAAGCTAAAGGCCAATACTGCGAAGTCTTGCTTATGGTGGCCCCTTCTACAAGCATGAAAACTAGTCTTGGCGATTTTTTTGACCAAGCTCGCGAGGAGAGAAAGAGATCTCCACATGGGAAAACTTTGCACAATTGACCCTAGACCTGGCTCCTCGCTTTTCGATCTAAGTACTTTGCGCATTTTTGAGGGTAGATACGTAGTAGGACGGATCCAGATCCAGGGCATCCGGCATGTAGTGTTTGCGGCACTGATGTAGAAGTAGTTTTTCCCAAAGAGCGTCGATGGTGATCCGCATTTCCATTTGTGTGGCCGGCGGCGTAATCTTCAGTTCTACTAGAACGAATGGCAACATCCATGAAGACGGCAACTTTTTGATAGTAGCTTTCTGATTTCTAGATCTTGATCCTGTTATACGAAGTTTGTTGCGAGGATCCTATGCAGAAGTCTGTAGACATTGCTTTGGAGCTCACTTTTTTGTTTTGTTTCGCGTTAAAAAAAGCAAGAGGTCGTGATACGTTCAGCAGCGGACGAGTAAAAGTTTGCTCTAGTAAAGGCAAAGCGGCAGATGAAAGGTTTTTTTAGAAATCAAATGTTAAACAAACATTCTACTTGCTCATTAATCTTTCTCCGAAAATAGTTCTAAATACTGGTGGCGACTTAAAAGTTAGAGCTTGAACTTGGAAACAAACCCAAATAGCAGCTGTCTATTGGACGACGACCTGTTTTTGTTTAGCGGTAGATAAAGTGACACTAGCTACTTCCCATTTCAGAAGTTTTTTCTCTCACCAAGAAATTTGTTTCGATGTACAAGAATTCATTTTCTTATTATTCTGTTGTCGTATAATTGCTCATTCCTTGTTATTGTTTTGAACGGCAAGCGCGAGGCTGATCTTGATCTATCAGAGGCAACAAAACCTCCTGCAACACCATGCCGGGCACCAATTACGGCATGAATCCCGCCCGTTCTCGGGGCTACAACACCTACGCCAGCAACCGCAATGGCCGCTACATCGAACAGGACACGGCTACGACCCAGCAAAACAATGCTCCGACCCAGCGGACCACTGCGTATAATAGCAGTCGCCGCAACTCGTTTCACGAAAACGAGACTTACGAGAAGGAACGCACGAAGTCCGTGGAGGTGGATCTGAAAAAGCGGACGGATAACAGTTACAGCAAGATCGAGCTGAAGGGCAACGGAAATTATCGGAAGCGAGACAATTACGAGGAGGAGAACGCGTCCTCTATGCAAAACGTGGTGCTGAAACCGAACTACTCGTCGGCTTATAAGGTACTTAAAGAAGAACTAGAGTGCAATTATCACTAGAAGTGAATGCATCTTCAAAAGTTTCGTGCTCGGCCAGTGCATTTTCGCAAATGTTGAAATTTTTGAATCAGGAATGCCATAGCATTTTCGGCATCAGAATAAATTGAAATTGGCAATGGATACAAGAACGCAAATGACGACAGCAACGCTCGAACTACGAAGATGACTATGGAAGTCAGAAATACGCGGCGGTGGATGACGACTCTGAAATGCGGTATGGGAACAGAGGTATATCAGACGGTGAGTCTAGCATTACAGAATCTTCGTCTGTGTTGCAGGACGAGGTGGGACGTCGAAGCATGTTTCTTCATCTGCTAGCAGCACTGTGGATGTGAAATTGTATAAGAAGTTTTTGCAACAGCAAAAAAGCCTTACGCATTCATTGAAAATTGCCTGCACCACAGATGCCAACGCCGGCGTGACTTTGAAGTCCCGGCGCCAAGCGGAGGAGATGAAGCACACAACGACCGGCGACCGGTCGTCTCGCGACGGAGCCATCATCTCCCAACGCACGGGCAACAACCTGAACCAGCGTGGCCGCGGGAACTTCCAACGGTCGGATGAGGTTGGGATCGGCGGACGCGGCACTGGAAATCGCACCTTTGAAATCGACGACGAATTAGACTACGGGCAGGAAAATCAAGATCTCCAAATCAAGCCGCGTACCCTAGCCGAGGTTAACAACGAGATGAACGCCAATGTCCACCATACCGATGACCCCTTCGACCGCCCCTTCGAGCCGCGCCAAGATAATTACCCGGGAGCGGGACAAGGAGGTTCCGATGACGAAGAGGGAAGTACTGGCGGTGGAGGACACTATATCACAAGAAAAAAGTGTTACAGTTACATATTTGTAGTCTATTCAGCAACACAAATTTTTCTGCATGGGGGAGAAAACTTGTAATGCAGAAATCCTACGGGAAAACAAGACGAGGCTCCTAGTATGCATATCCGGCATGACAGAGCTTGTCTGTCTTGCTTGGCCTGCAGCACAATACGTAACTGTGACACTTTTTTTCTTGCGATACGCTACGCGAAAGTTTCCCTGCAACCCGCCCCGCGACTCCGGACGGGGGGCTTGCGCCCGGTGCCGCGACAGATCCAAGTTCCGGCAGAGCTGTTGGAAGAGAAAAAAGCGGAGGATAATGATATCATGGTGGAGGAGGATTTCAGAGATCAAAACGCTTCGTCCCCAGCGGAAGAACAAGAAGGAGTTCTTGGGCAACTACAGGATCATGGTGGAATTAATGCTGAGCAAGATGAAGAACTCCCCCGGCTGCGCGACCTCATTGTGCCGCAGGACCAAGAGCAAGAGCCGCAGCATTCGCCCGTGACCGACCATCGTGACGAGAACAAGGCCCAGCGCCGGGAAAATCGACGCAAACGCCGGGAGGAACGCAAAGGTCGTGAACAGGAAAAAGGAGGAGATCACGACCAGTGGGACAGCAGTCCCCCGCCCGCTCCGGAGTCGGCGTTCAGGCAGAACAATGATCAGGATTTTATTGTTGAGCAAGATGCTCCTCATGAGTACGGTGGCCAACGAGCGTACCAGGGCTACGACCGAGTCGATCATGCAGCTCAAGACAAAGAGCTTCTGAAGGAGGCTGCCGCCCAGCTCGCGGACGGAGATATTAACGACGGCGACCAAGAAGATGCGGCGATCTGCAGGGAGCTGCTGGAAACGGTCGATGAAAAAAATCCGAACGATGCGTCGACGAAAAACTACCAGCAGCGGAAAAACGACAAAAACCGATCGCCCAGCCGGTCCGGGGACCGCGGAAGAGCGGGTGGTCGGGATCATGAGGACTACGGACCGCGCGGCCGGCGTGAGGGCGAGCGTGGCACCCGGAATGAGCGTGATCGTGAAGGACCAGATGGTCATCAGCACCGTCGTCGGGGACGAGACTCGCGAAACAAAACCAGACGCGGGCGTGACGAGCACCAGCGAGGTCGTAGCTTCGAGGTTGAAGTTGAAGAAGAGAAAGACAATAAAGACGATGAGGCCATCGCCCGACCCCGAGATGCCACTAGAAACCGGGACGATCGGCGGAACGCGTCCGGCGGAGGTGGAGGACGGCGCGCCGGGGGCAGGTACTACGAAAGAGGTGTCCGGGAGGAGGTTGAAGAAGAAAATAATCAAGATCGTCGGCGTCGAAAAGACGAGGATGAAGAAATTCATCCCCGTCGTGGGCGTGATCAAGTGACGCAGCGTCGCCAATCGGTGGCGCAATATGAAGTGGTCGAAGAGGTGAAGCAAGAAGATGTCGCCCGTGGTCGACGTGCTGAAAACAAGCGTGGTCGGTACGACGATCGGGAAGAAGAGGTAAACCGTCGCGGAAATAACGAGCGCCGAGATAAACGGGACCAGGAAGTTGTGGAGCAAGACGGCACAACTGGCCGAGAAGTAGAGCCTGCTGGTGAAGAACGCCGTCGTCGGGGTGGTACTAGAGACGACAGTCGCGGCCGGCGTGAACGCCGTGGTGAACAACACACGACAGCTGGTGAGCTGCAGCAAGCAGAGGACAATCTGCGTGTTGCTGAAACGAGCAAAGACGAGCGCGGCTACCGAGGCCGGGATCGGGATCGCCGCAGCAGCCAAGAAGAACAGCACCAGCGGGAAGACATCGAGGATAATGCAGACAATTACAAGCGTCGTGGCGGGGGGTCAGACCGTGGAACTGGACGGAAAAATGAGCGGTACAATAAACGGGGCGATCGTGTTGAATCCACCGCTAAGGAGGAAGAGCCAGACGTCGGTTATCGTCGCGGGCAGCATGAGGAACAACGGGACAAAAAGCAACATCAGTACGAGGTTGAAGAGGATGAAGACCGTCGTGGTCGTCGGGGTAAAAAGGACAAGGAGAACGAAGATCGCGAACCCCGTGGTCGTGGGCGGGAAGGACTAGACAAGAGTCCGCAAAAAGAAGATGAAGATCAGCCGCGGGGCCGCAGTCGTGATCGCGCTCGTGATCATGTTGAGCAACATCAAGAGCAGGAAGTAGGCACGAGAGGTCGGCAAGAGAGTCGTGGACGTCGGCGCAATAAGACTCGCGAAGACGAACAACAGACCCGTGCTGGTACTACTACTCGAAAGGAGGAACACGACGATCGTGAGGATGGGCGTGGACGACCCCGCAGAAACGCGTCCTCTACCCATCGCCGCGAGGTGGACGTTGTAGAGGAGCGCGGTGCCCGTGGTCACCGGCGGACGAGAGACGATGATCATCACGAAGTTGTAGAGAAGCAGAACGACCGCTCTCTTTCGGGAGGACGAGGCCGTCGAGGTGCAGCAAACACGTCTATGACTGTGCACAACTCCCACTCCCCCTCATTTGTGATGCAAGTTACCAAATCCACTCCTCTCCATGCCTTGAACACACCGTTTGCATCACAAGCTCTGGTCGTCCAAAGAGCACTATACTCTTCTGCAGATTTGTCATGCAAAACCTGCACTCTTGCTGACGCTTGTATTGCTGTTCACGCCATACAAATGAGGCGGAGGGGGAGTTGTGCACAGTCATAACGTCGCGTGATGCTGCAGAGAAAACAAAAACTCGTCATGGCCGAGAGCTGCAAGAGGAGGAGGAAGTTGGCGTGAACCGCAAGAATCGTCGCGCTTCGGTCGTGGAACTCGAGGCTGATGGTGGTCACAGGCGTGGTCGCCGTGAAACGCTCGCTGCTCCTCGAGAAGTGGCAGACGAGGAGAAGGAACTTCTGGATCGGCCCCGCGATAAAGGGCGCGGCAAAGACGAAGAACATCATGGTGGCACACGACGCGGGCGGAATAAAGAAGACAACTCTCGTGGCCGCGGGGCCGCGCATGTTCAAGAGCGCGAAGGGGAAAAAAACGACTATCGCCAGGGCCGCGACCGGGAACAGTTGCGCCAGCGCCATGACACACTCGCCGTTGCTCCTTCCCGCCGCGGGCAGCAAACTGCAGGAGCGAAAAAGTACGAAATCGAAGAGGATGAACGCAGCCGCAGCAGAGAACGGCGTGGACGTGACCGTGACCGTGACCAGAACCGTGGGTCGCCGCGAGAAGAACAAGAAGAGGAAGGTGGAGCGCGACGAACCGCCCGTGAGCGTGATAATGGTGCCGAGGCCAAACAAGCGAACGACGGGAATACGAATAGTGGTCGCAAGCAGGTACAAGTACGGGAACAGCGAGACGAGGATGTTTTGTCCTCTTCCGTCGAAGAGCAAGAAGTTCCGGAGCAACATATCAAAGTGAAAAATGCCACCACCTCCGAATTTGGGAGCATTTGTATTGCAAACCTTTCCAAATGAAACACTCGCCCTCTTGCATCTATCAGCATCACAGATTTTCAAGCGGGAATAGCAAAAATTTGCATTGCAAAAGACCCCAGCAAGAGTGGCGCTTGTCATGCAAGCGATGGGATACACGCCTAGACTCTGCATCAGAAAGATGCATACTTCTTGCATGCATGACAAAAAGTTTTCATTTGGCAACCTCCCATCACAAATTTTTGCGACTTTGGGTGTGGGGGGCATAATTTTTCACTGCAATACAACAGCCTGGATCCTCCAGTCGCCGTCACGCGGAGAAACAGAACAGTAAATCTGTGCGGGCGGTGGAGGACGAAGACGAGGTTCGTCGAAAGGAGCAGGTGGATAAAGCTCAGGAAAAGGAAAAGTCCGATATGAGAGTGCACAACTCGTCCCCCTGCTCCCCCTCATTTGTCATGCAAAATACGTACTTAAATCCACCCTTTGCCTCTTGGCACCTTTCATCTGGTAGATCAAACAGCACTACAATGACAGGTTCATCTGGTAGATCAAACATGACAGGTTCATCTGGTAGATCAAACAGCACTACAATCTACTCGGGTGAATTTGTCATGCAAAACCCGCATTCTTTCCGACGCTTGTGTTGCTGCTCATGCAATACAAATGAGGGGAAGGGGGAGTGGTGCACTTTCATATCCGACTCCCCCGGAGCAGGCGTCCACCTCCGTCGTAACAAGGCGGCTTCCTCGAAGGAGCACGCGACTAAGGCTGACAAGAAACTAGCTATCCTGTGCAAAAGTATCGCACTCGTATAAATGCAAGTCTTGCATTACAAATCTTGTTCCCAAAGCAAATCTGCATTACAAATTTTATTTCTCATGCTGAGGAAATTTGTAATGCATTTGCTGTAAATGCATTACAAATTTCAAGAGTGCGCCACTTTTGCAAATCATACTAGCCCGCAAGAAACAGCAGGATCAGAAAAAAAAGGAGGCGAAAGAGCGGGGGAATATTAAACACAAGACTTCTACGCAGAAGAAGAAAAAGCAGCCGGTGAAGCAGCAGCAGAAAGTGGAATCGACAAGCTCGAGCGATTCCGATGATTCCTCGTCGTCTAGCGATTCCGATGATTCCGAATCCGAGAAGCAGCGAAAAGCGGCCTTGAAAACGGCTAGCAAGGACCAAAACATCAATTCTGGAACCGCCTCCGCGTCGGCTTGCTCCTCGGCGATGAATGCTGCGGGTACCAGCAATACGGATGATTTGAAGAAGCGGAAAGCAGAGTTGCTTCGCGACAAACTCGGGGATCGGAAAAAATTGAAAAAGAATCTTCAGGAGGAAAGCGCCGAGGGGGAGGTGAATAAAAGAGAAAATGTCCTCGAAGGCAGTGCTGGCACGACCATGGATGTTGGCGCACCGGGAGGTAACAATCATATGGACACAACTAACCTGTCTACCACCCGCACTACGCCGACCAACGCGAAGCACCAACAGCTGACCGAGCAGCAGGCCGCAAAGGAAAAAAGTAGTGCGCAACAGCAACAAAAGCAACAGCAGGGTACTGGTGGTGGCGGTGTTCAACACCAGCAACAGCAGAAATCTACTATGCACTGCAAAAGCATCGTACGTTGTAATAACTGTATTCCAAATTAGTTCAGCGTGACAAACGGAATTTGTCATGTAGTTTTACCTTAGGATGGAGATTTGTAATGCATGACTGCGAGGATTACTACGAGCGCGATACTTTTGCACTGCATATCTACCTCCGGTCCGCCCCCGGCTGCGCAGGTGTCCCTGGAGCCGGGGCAGATCTACAATTTGTCCAATATCAGCCTGCACATCAACGTGATATCCTGTGCAAAAATATCGTACTCGTATAAATGCATTACAAGTTTCCTCAGCAAGAAAAATAAGATTTGTGATGCGGATTTACCTCAGGAAAGAAATTTGTAATGCATGATGCAATACGAGTGCGATACTTTTGCACATGATACGTGAAAGGGTTTAACCAGTGGTACGGGGACAATTCCTTACTCGAGATTCCCTTTATATGGAAGCGTCAGGATTGAAATCGTCAAAGTTGAAATAGTTTGATGCATAAAATGCTAGACGCAATGGGCCTGTCTTGCAGAGCAGGCAACTGAGGCCGATTGTAAGCCTGTTTGGGGTGTGAGATAGCGCTGCTAAAACAGCATGACAAAAGCAGTCTTCTCTGTCCAAACAGCATGACAAATCGGATTTCCATGCTGTCAAAATTTGTCATGCGTCACTTGCAAACTGGGCTCCAGCTGGTATCGCTTTATTGCATTACAGATTCTTTCAACTTTGACGATTTCGATCCTGACACTCCCATACTTGAAAAAGATCGAGGAAGCCCGTAACAACATCATCACGATTTTCGAAAAGCCACGGCACATCGTGGAACACGAAAAAATATCCCGTGCAAAAGTATCGTACTCGTATTGCAATCATGCATTACAAATCTTTTCCCTAAGGTAAATCAGCATTACAAATTTTATTTCTCATGCTGAGGAAATTTGTATATCCATTTATACGAGTGCGATACTTTCGCACTGCATGAAAAATCGTGGACTTACAGCGGGCGGCCATGAAGAAGGTACAGGAGGAGAAGATGCTGCAGGATAGAAATACTAAGCGTAATTCGACATCCGTAGGAGACCACCCAGGGCAAGAAGCTGTGGACAACAGCACGCCGGCGAGCGGGCAGCAGCAGCCTCTGCAAGACGAGCAGGGGCAAGTTATTTCTCCGGAAAATCAGAAGGTAGGCGGCGATGGAGACAAAAAAGAAGACGACTCCTCGTCGTCCAGCAGCGATGACAGCTCTGACGACGATGACGAGGGCGAGGAGCAGGATGCTGAAAAAGAAAACAAGCCGGCGAACAAAAATAATCCTGCTGCTTCGGCGGAGCTCGGACCGGCAAAAAACGACAACAAAACCATTGCTCAGGAAGAAGACGCCGCCGCAGCGGTTCTTGCTCCCGAAAAAGGAGAACCTCAACCAGAGCACCAGCAACCGTCCGGTCGTGGCCGACGCAGCCCCGACAGCAAACAACTCGGGAACAGCCGTCGGGGTGGTCGAGAAGAGAACAAAGGAGGTCGCGAGGAGAATAACAAGAAGCACAGTGGAGAAAATAAGCCAGCTGCTCGTGGCGACAGCCGCGGAAATAGAGGTGCGACGTCGAAGAAGAAGCCCTCAGCTGCACCCGTCGAGGAAAATAAAGGCGAGACTACCCGGCGCGGCAGGAACAAGTCGGCCTCCGGGCGGCGGCGCGGGAAGGAACGAGAGGAAGATAAAGAGGGCGCGGCAGCTGGTGGTTACCAGAATACTGGACGAGGACGCGACGGTCCTACAAACAAACGGTCTCGGTCCAAGAATAAACCTGCTTCGCAATCTCCGGAAGGAGACCACAAAGACCGGGCCCGCGGCGGCATGACGACGCGGAATGGCGGACGCAATCATGCCACGACCCGCAATGGGGGGTTGACAACAAGAAACAACAACCGGAGTGGCAGTGTTGCGAAATACGAAATCGAGGAAGAGGAAGAAGACCGCGCCAAAGACGAGCATGGTAATAAAAAACGTAAGATTGAGATCAAACGCCGCGAGGACAAGCATGACAAAGATAAGGATTTTTATCATGACGGTCATCGTCCACGAAAGGACAATGCCAGTCCTGTTCCGGGAGAAACTTCGGAGGAGCGCAACAAGCGTGAGTACCAGGCTATGTACAACAGCAAACCGTATGGAGCGGTTCTCAAACGTTTTACATTGTTTGCGTGTTAGATGTGTGGTTTTTCACGCGATGAAATTCCAATTACGATTACCATCAGCATCCATCCGTTCGATCAAGCTACTTCGCACAACAAGTTGTTCTCGATGCAGCGCTTAACTACAGCGGGGAAATATTAATCCGTTCCAAATTTGTAATGCAAAAGGTGCAATTTACCCGTCCCGTACCCCGCCCTTTCAGTTTTGGTTTTCCTACATCATAAATTCATGTGACAGCTGACAATGTGAAGACGCTTGAGAATTCCATAAACCGCCGGAGGCCCGCATGAGCGACCGGTACGTAAATGACGAAACGGTGGAAATGCTTCGGAAAAAGCAGGAGGAGGAGCAACAAAAACGCGCAGCACAGTTACGCCGGCGGAGCAGCCACGGAAGTGGAGAGCAGGAAGCGAGCCGCGGCCCCTTTGGAGGAGGTGGTACAAGTAGAGGGGGTTATGGCCGGGACCATGAGTATGGTGGAAATAGAGAACACGAGCGGAAGGACGACCACTACGAGCGGGATGAAGAAAGGGGCGGTAGAAGTACCAGTAAGGTGAGAACTGGGTCTACAAGGGAGTACTACGGAAAGAATAATGGTACTAACAAGGGGAACAAAAATCACAGTTCCCCAAACCGGAACTACAAAGGTGGGAATTCGAACAATTATGATCGGAACCACAGCAAGAACGAACGCGAACATCAACGCGAGGATATGAATTATAATAACGGTGGCAAGACGACGCGCAACCGACCGAGCCAACGGGCGCCGCAGGAGTACGGGAAGGGCCAGGGCAAGACGCAGGCGCCGCGCGAGTACGGACACAAGGGAGGGGGAAGGAAATATAGCAACAATTACAACGACGACAAGAACATCAGTAACCGCGGCGGTGAACATAAACGGGCGGGAAAGGCGCCGGCGGAATATCGGAGATATTAGAATCATTTGCAGGTTACAGAGAAAAAAGGCTTTTTCGAAAATCCGGCGACCAAATTCAAATACTACTCATAGTCGGAAAATGAAACCCTCCGTTGACGTTGTAAAGTTAGTTTACAACTCGGAACAAGTAACGTGCGGGAGGACACAGGCCACAGCACAACAGCTTACCTAGTAAGAAAACATAAGGACTTCCTTCGTTGTACACGTACTTTATCAAGTACATAGCAAGTGTTGACATAACGAAACTCCCTCGGTTTTTACTTACCCGCCCCTGTTCGAGGCCAATATTAGAATTGCACGAGCAATAAACAGGCGCTTTTGTGTGTCTGCCATGAACGGCAAACGCAATCGAAGTCGGAAAGGACAAAGCCGTTCATGCAACTACACTCGTTTCAAGAACAAAAAAACAGAAGAAGTGGCTCGCTCCGGTTATTCAAAAAACCAAAAAAAAATAAAGCGACGACCACCTTTTTTTAATCTTTACAAAATCAAAAAAATGATGAAAATCCAAGATTTGATACCACGTCGCCCGAGTTGATTGTGGAATTATTTACTACTCGCCCCTTCACACAAATTACCCCATTTATTTTTTGAGCGCTCAGAAACAGAAGTGGCACAGCCACCTCAACTCGAACTTTTAGAATGCTGGTTTGTCCTGTTTTTGTCGGCTTGGGTTTCTCGTCGGTCGTGTTGTGCAGTAACTAATGATAAGATAGACGAGCCATCAACAGTTGTTCTTGATCTAGGTTTATTTGGATCTTGTTCTGGTTGTTGTTTTCTTTGCATGAAGATTTGAATTTCTCGGGCAAGCAAGCTACACAGGATCGGAAGTTTTACCCTGCTCCCTGGAAAAAGAAAAAATAAGACAGATCCAGAAGATGAAAAAGAAGATTGCTGTGCAGCTTCTTGTGCTACATAGCATAAAGAATGCCGGAAAATAAACGAAGAAAAGATCCATTTCGTGAACCTCTCTGGTTCGTGTTAGTACAGATGGATCGATGTGGCCGTGGTCCCCATGATGAAAATAAGCGCCACGCACTGTATTGTGTTGATCATCCCTGAAATGCATTTGCATATCCAAAGAAATATGATCCGGAGCTGAAGTATCAAGTAGCTCAAGCAGCTCATGGTCTGGACAGAAGCGCGTGATAAAAATGATCCGCAAATTGCGAAGGAAGCTCTTAAATGGCTCGGGTCTTTCTCTTTCTAGGTACTAGCATTCTGCAGCAAGTAGAATTGTTCACGCGGATTTTGAGTATTTTCCTTCATGCGACCCACATATAACTACAGGAACCGCTGAAATTTAGGAAACAACTTTAAACGCCATAGCAACTAGACCTATTCCTATTACCCACGCACCTGTTTTGATGCCATCATCATGCTTTAGCTTTTTCTAGCGACAATTTTTTCTGTGAAGTTTTTCAACATAGTCTCACGACAGTGCATACGCGCAGTTCACTGTCCTCTTTTTACAGACTCAGTCGATGATAAATAGTTCGCAGCTTTTGCAAATTTATTTGAACGTAGCAGCAGCAGCTTGAGTACATCGTTTACTATGATTTCACTTAGCCATTGATACAAAAAAGACCGACGCCACTACCTCTTTTTTGTATCTTCCTATTTTTTGATCCGCAGCTTCTAAAACTGCAATATAAAAGTTCTTTACCTATCAAAAAACACCTGTCGCTGCTGCTGTTACATCACACAACCCGCAGCGCTGACAGAATTTCCATGCACCTATTTTTCGGGAATAACGATGAGCCCAGAAGTCACTGCGCATCTACCTACCGTCGATGTCATTGACGGTGTGCCATTCCCCTCTCACGAGGGGCAGCAGATTCTTGTATCCACCGCCGCAGCGGGGGCAGGAGCAGGCGTTGCAGCAGCTAGAAGTAGCAACGGCGGGTTTCTCGCGCCGGTGACGAGTCATGTGATCGCACAAGAACATGGTCACGACGTCACGAGAGGCACAGGAGTTGTCCCAGATTCAAGTACATCGACAATTCACCACGCCATAATCAACCACGCGGCCGCGGCAGGGCAGACCCATCAGCAAGATCCCGGGCAAGGCTCCTTACCCGTCGCAGACCCGTTCCCAACCGACGTCAATCTCCCGGGCCAAGCCGCCTTGGCCTGGACGTCCGTCGCCGCCTTCGTCGGCTTTTTCACGCTGGTGACGCTCTTTTCCGTGCTGCTCACCCGGAAAGCCAAGTCGTACGACGATGAGGTGCTGGAGAAGCAGAAATCTTTGTGGTTTTACAACTGGCTAGCGAACTTCAATTGGGACTTGGCCGCGGCGATTCTATTCACGGTCGGGGAATTCATCATTTTCGGCGTGGAATGTAAACACTACGGACAGTGCGTGTACGAGGAGAAAAAGGGCTATGGGGATTGCTTTGAGCGCTACGGGCTCAGCATGCTGGGCACCTTTGTCGTCACGTTCGGGGTTATTGCGTATTGATTTTTATCAGATAGATGTTTTTTTTAGAATGATGTTGTGTAAAAATTTCGCTTACTTTGTTTCATCTCCCTGAGAGGACTACTGCCACAACCCTCAAATGAAAGGTCAAGCTAGACGAGATTTCCTACATGAACGAAGAAATTTGTCATGCATCTTGATCTACTTCTGATAAGCAAAATCATCCCCCTTTTTATCAGGTGGTTCGTGGGCATTCTGACTTCTGATATGGCGTTCTCAACTGTTACATTCTCAGCTGTTACATGATTTGTCATGCAAATTTGCCACCAAGATCGCCACGATTAAGCTGCTTCGCATGACAAATATCCGAAGGGCTAAACAGCATCTAACTCTGTGCCAAATTTGTAATGCAAAAGGCGCAAGCTTCCCCCTTTCACTTTCGCCATGCTTGCATCACAAACTCATGTAACAGTTGAGAATGTAACAGTTGAGAACGCCATATCTGACGAGTTGACCGTTGAGGTCGAGGAGCGGGAGGACGACGAAGAGGTATCCTGTGCAAAAGTATCGTACTCGTATTGCAATCATGCATTACAAATCTTGTTCTTGTGCTAAATCCGCATTACAAATTTTACTTCTCATGCTGAGGAAATTTGTGATGCATTTATACGAGTACGATACTTTTGCAGTTGATAAGAGGAGGAAGAAAACGAAGTTCAGCTAAACGAAAAGAAGGTCCGCACGGCGAGTTCGATGTCGCAAAACGCGATAAACATGATTCGCGACCAGCAGATGAACACACTCTTACCCCACTCCGCGCCGAAAACGCTTCGGATCCACAACGATAGGAATAAGATGAAGGACGGGCTAAACCGCGAATTGCGTCTGTCGCAGACGACTGGGTTGTACAATAAAGACGCTGGTGGCGGGGCTACTTCTTCTGGTATGCAGACCGGTGGACAACAACAAGGTGGACCAGGTGATAGAATTAGAAATTACAACAGAAACTTTACTGGTGGAAAAGGAAATGGAATTATCGGAGGTGGTTCCGAGATGAATAACAACGGAAGAAATTTTTATCGTGCTGGGCAACATCAAGACGGCAGAAATTTCTCCACCAAGAACCGGGATCAGAACGATAATTTTTCTAGGAACAAACCCGGCGAAGGTGGTGGAAACTACTATCACCAGCCGGGTCCTTCAAATGCGAAAGCGCGGCACCAACTCAGGCTGAACATCGGTGCGGACCGCGGGAAGCGCATAAAGGCCGCGTGGGGGATGAAGTTCCACCCCAGTCCACCGGCAAACCCGGCGAACTACCAAGGAGCCGGAAATCATGGAAATGCTTTTCAGGGGTGCAGCCCACGAGGAATGAATAACGACTTTCGCGGGGCGCACGAAGATCTCGTGCCGGGCGGGACGCCAAATTTTTACCTGAACACCACACTGGCAAGCTTGCCAAGAAGTATTTTTGGATAATTGATTTCATCTACCGCTTGTATTTTGGGTTACTCGTGCATAAAAAGAAAAACTACACTTGATCAATCATAAAACTTCTGTTCTTTCCCGTCCTATCGATCAATGAAACTATCAAAACCTCTACATCAATTTTTGTCAAATTATAACTTCAATATTATGCAAATGCACGACAGCCTCCGTCTTCTCCGAGCCGGTCGACGCCTACAAATCCGACGCTTTTTACAAGAAGCAGTCCATATGTAGTTTCGATGGCGCACCGACCAACGCAGCGGCTGACCACAATAATACCAGCACGACAAGGGGAGCAGGGCAGCAAACAGGAGCAAGCAATAGTTCGCAGGCGGCCGGATGTACAAATGCAGCGGATCTACTCGCGCTGCAAGAACAGCAAACAACCGATAATTTCCTGGAGAACATCAACCAGCATCCGAGCTGCGCCTCCAGCACGACGTCAGCCAGCCATCAGCAGCAACATCCTTTTCCGAATATCAAATGCAAAAGTATCGTACTCGTATAAATGCATTGCAAATTTTCTCAGCATGAGAAATAAAATTCGTCATGCTGATTTACTTTAGGAAAAATATTTGTAATGTAAGACTTGCATCGTATGATGTCGATACTTTCGCAGTTCATACCGAAGATCGATTCCACGCTGTTGGAAGAAAACGCCGCCACGTGGTGCGTCGGCGATAACGCGGCGCAGCACCAGCAGGCAAGCGCAAGTAAGAATCAGCAGTACAACAATCTTCATCGAGGATATCCAGGAAAAAAACTGTGTAAGTGTTGAAAATGTGTAGGAAGAGCAGCATCACAAATTCCCTTTGCATTACAGGGAAATAAACCTGGCATGCGCAGCTAGTATCAGTGGAAACGCGTATGAAAGCGGCCTATAACTACGCAGATCCAGCATGACAGGTGATAACTGTTTTACATAGTTCCGCATCACAGATTTGTTACACTCACATAGTTTTTTTCTCGCATAGAGGAGAAGAGCACCAGAACTTATCGCCGGTGATGTCCGACCACGAAGAGCAGCTCCTATCCTGAGTAAAAGCGTCCCCACCTCCCCAGAGTTGTCATGCAAATGCGCAATGACAGGAATCGATTTGTAATGCGCAGCTCCATGAGAGGCATTGTTTCCAATCGTGTTTTGGAATTTGTATTTGTAATGCTGTAAACAGGATGAGAAAAGAGCTTTCTCATGCGGCGTTCCTTGCCAACCAGCACTACACTGCAGAGGGAAACTTGTCATGCACAGCTCCCAAAACTTGGATACTTGTGTTGCTAGATTCCAAACTTGGCTATGGGGTCGTGGGGACGTTTTTGCTTAGGATAGCTCCAGGACTTGATTGTGTTCGACACCCCGATCTTAAACCACGAAGTAGATCATTTGTTCCAACTGGAAAATAACCAAAGCCAACACCACAACTACCAGCCGCTGCAGCTGCAACAGCAAGAATTAGTAGAGCCGCTTTTTGTTCAAGTTCAACAGTCGTCAACACCTACACCGATCGAGCGCGCCGATCATCAAGTTCTTGCTGTAGATCACCGATCAGAACAACAGACGCCAGATATCCGGAGTGAAAACGTCCCCACCCCATAGTTGTAAAATGCAAATCTACATGCTGAGAATGTTTCTCATGCGGAGCCCCATGGGCAGTGTTTTCTTGTCGTGTTTCGAAATTTGTCATGCTCCAATCTCCATGATATGCTAGATCTGTGATGCTGCTGAACTTGCTAAACAGGATTAATACACTACGAGGCCACACTTGTCATGCGCAACAGCCAAAGCTTGGTGATTTGTCTAGCAGACTTGACTATGGGGTGGGGGCGTTCTTACACAGGATACCAAATCTACTGCTTTCCAGCCCTCTGGGGCCCTTCGGGCTCCACGGGAAACCGGCTTCGGAGGGGATTTTGATCCCGCCGTCCCCGCTCGGTGGAGGAGGTGCACAGCACGGTAGCAGCAGTACTGGACGTATGGTAGAAGACGTAGACCACCAGCATCATCATCATCATGTGGAGGAGGAGATAAAACGGGGGACAAGTAGAAGTACCGACGGACCACAGGAAGATCATTTTGCCGCGGAACAAGCAGGGGACAATTTTCGAATTTCCGGGAATATGACAGCGAACGAGCAGGCACGACAGGCGTTGTTGGGAAATGATGATGAAGAGGACAGAAATAATAGTTATGCTGCACGTGGTAGAAGTCCTTACGAAGGAGACAACAGCATGCCACCTCCGCGAAGCTGAACTGGTATTGCAAAAAGGTATGGCGGTCCTAGTCTTCCTTCATCACGCCACGAGCACGAACGCAGTCGTGCCGGCCACTGACTCGCGGACATGCCACCGACTACTAACTACACATCAGCTGTTACAACTGTATACAACTACGCTCATCATCTCACGACCATCTTCCAAAACCAAATCCAAACCTGCCGAGTGGCTCTCGAACAAAATGTTGCCGCGCCAACAACCTCTACAAGAACCAGTTCACCTTGGAGTTAAAACAGTAAAAAACAAAAAAACTGAAGATCACGAGAAAGAACGGGCGGAAAGTCGTTCGCTGAAGACGCGTTGCTTCTGTGACTTCAAATTCCTCTCAATTGGTCGCTCACGACCTCCAAATGTGTTCATGTATAAGTGCGCCGAAGAGCAGTAGAAGATCAGCATTAGCATATGAACATATTGGCTCGATGTGTCGTGTGTCCATTGATCGATGTTTGACGTCGTGGTGGTGGAGGTTTTTTATTGCTCTTCTGTAGTTCTTTTTCGTTCCGATTCCGACGCTTTTGTTCTTTTCAACGCTTGCTCGCCAGCGCCTGTCATCTGTTTTGCCCTTTTGTATGATCTTGATGTTCTTTCTGATGCGTTGACTCCTAATATCTTCGTGTTCGTTCCCCCCCGGCCCCGCCGAGTCCTCGTCTGGCCATGACTCCGGGCACCGGTACCCTCCGGCGCGGCCGTGCTCGCGCGAATCCTGCCGGCTTGCTCCAGCGGAGTGCGCATTTCACCGCGGCGGACTACCAACCATTACATGGAAACCAGCGTCTGCATAATTTCCGGTGGAACTTTCTCTCCTTCCTCCTCCTCTTCTCAACATTTTACTCATGCTTCGCCACCAAGACCATCGTTTTCAGCTACGACAAGCGCGATTTCGACGAAGTGCCCTGGCTGGCCGGGTTCCGCGAGGTCAACGGGCTTTATGCGTACCGCTGGGGCTATGAGTACCGGTTCTACGACCGGACGAGGTTTCACTCCGACGTTATGGCGCAAACGTGGGTGAAGGTGTTTATACATCGCAAACGCATCGCGCACGTACTAGTAGTTGTAGTCATTGCATGACAAATTTTTTCAGCATTAAAAATGAAACTTGTCGTGCTGAATGACCTAGGAAACCAGATTTGTCATGGGTGACTGCAATCAGAAGTACGGGGGCGAGAATTTTGCGGTGGATAGTGTTTCTCGGGTATCAACTGGTGATCGAGGAGTTTGGCGCTTGCGGGCACGATATCAAATGCAAATATGTCTGGGTCTGGAAACTTGGGATGCTAGTTTGTGAATGATGGGCGTGCTGCAATACACTACCGCGCATGGCAAGTTTTTGAGTCCCTATGTGTTTCGCTTTGCGCATGGCAAACTGCGTTTTTCTTTTTGCATGACAGACAGGAGGGCTTTTTCCTCCTGCTCACGCATTACAGATTCAACTGTCGTGTGAGACAAGCATGACAAACTTGCATTCTTCCAGACCCAGACACTTTTGCAGTTGATACACGACGCCATGGAGGAGCTGAAAACAACCATTCTAGGAGAGGAACTTTACCAAAAAGTGGTCCAGCCACACTCTTTATTCTGAGTAAAAACGTCCCCGTGATCCGCCCAGAGTTGTCATGCAAATCTGCATGCCAATCAAAAAACAAAAAGTTCGTCATGCGGAGCCCCATGAAAAACGTTTTCTAGTCGTGTTTTGCAATTTGTGATGCTAGAATCAGCATGATATGCTAGATCTGTTATGCTTCGGAACTAGCTAAACAGGATTACACTACGAGGACAATATAATAAACTTGTCATGCGAAACAACCAAAGCTGGTTGATTTGTCTAGCAGATTTCCCATCTTGACGCTAGTGTGGTGACATAATTTTTGCTCAGGATACTCTTTCGACCACTACTACGCGGACGACGAGGACTATGGGAGTGTCAGGATTGAAATCCACAAAGTTGAAATAACTTGTAATGCATAAAATGGATGAAAGTTGTGACCCAGTTTTCAAGTGGCGCATGACAAATTTGGGTAGAGACGAACTCTAGTTTGTCATGCTGTTTGGGTAAGGAAGACGCCTTTTGTCGTGCTATTTTAGCAGCTCGGTTTCTATCCCTCAACAGGCTTACAATCTGCCTCACTGACCTACTCTGCAAGACAGGCACTCTGTGGGCTGCATTTTTTGCATCACAAATTATTTCAACTCTGACGATTTCGATCCTGACACTCCCATAAGGACAAAGTGGAGAAAATCCGACCGGACCCGAAGTACTTGAAGCATAGAGGGTATGAAAGCCTCAGGTTGGAAATCCTCAAAGTGGAAATAATTTGTAATGCAAAAAAAGAACGACGCCAGTTGAAGCGCCATTAGTAGTCGGCGCATGACAAATTTCCCAGGCACTTAAAGCATGTCTGTCATGCAGGTTAAGGCAAAGGGGTGCCCTTCTGTCGTGCTAAGCAGCACAAGCACTCCGATTCTTCACCCCTAGCAGGACAATAGTCGGCCTCCATTGCGTCCTCTGCAATACAGTCTTTTTTGCGTCGCATTTCATGCATCACAAATCATTTCCACTTTGAGGGTTTCCATTCTGAGGCTTTCATAGAGGGTCGCGACTGTTCCTCGGGGATTTCATGTCGGGGAAGACAGAGAAAGAGCTGCATTTGGCGCAGCAATGCGACAACGACTTCCATATCAAATGCAAAAATGTCTGGGTCTGGAAGAGTGCCAGGTTTGTCATGCATATTTTGCATAACCCATGATGCCTGTAATGCATGACCTAGCATCACAGATCGGAAACGGCCTTCTGATGCGTATCCCGCATGAGAAGCGCCGACTCCGCGCAGGTGCACAAACTGAACTCCTCTTGCTGGTCATGCAGTACACATTTTTTCACCTTCCAAAGACAGCATCACAAGTTGCAACCTTCCAGACCCAGACATATTTGCATTCCATATTCCAAATTATGTTCCTTGACTCCGACGCGGTGTGGCACGCGCATGAAATTATCCTGTGTAAAAACGTCCCCACCCCAGAGTCAAGATGGGGATCTCGCAACACAAATCTCGAAACATTGGCAGTCACGCATGACAAGTTCTTGCAGGCCGTAGTGTAGTGAAGGTTGGCAACGACGCCCGCATTGTAAATCCATCTAATTATGCTGTTTACAGCATTACAAATTCCAAAACACGAACGGAAATGCCTATCATTGGCGGGATGCGCATCACAAATGGTTCTGTCATTGCAAATCTGCATGACAATAATTCTGGGGAGGTGGGGACGTTTTAACTCGGGATAGAAATTTCGGTTGAGTCCCTCTTTCCGGAGGAACTGCTAAAAACCGGGGGGATGATCGCGACGGCCGCAGACGTATTCATTGCAAAAGTATCGTACGCGTAGTAATTGCAGTCATGCATTACAAATTTATTTTTTTCTAAGCTAAATCCGCATGACAAATTCCATTTGTCATGCTGAGCGAATTTGTATTGCAATTACTACTAGTACTACGATACTTTTGCAATTCATAAGACGTTTCTGGCGTTGGCGTGCCGTTACCGCATACCAACGCGTGGGTTGTCCGGGGAGAGTTGGGTCGGGAGTATCTGCGGAAGTGGCGGTTATGGGAGTGTCAGGATTGAAATCGACAAAGTTGAAATATAAATAAGTAACTTGTAATGCACAAAATCGATACCAGTTGGAAGCCCAATTTCCAAGCGGCGCATGACAAATTTCGGCACCGTCTATTAAATCCAGGCTCTCATGCTGTTTAGGGGCCCCAGAAGGCGTCTTTTGTCATGCTACTTTAGCAGCTCTATCGCAGACCACAAACAGGCTGACTGTCGGCCACACTTATCATCCCTGCAAGAGAGGCACTGCAAGCGTTGCAATTTATGCATCACAAACCATTTCAACTTTGACGATTTCGATCCTGACGCTTCCATAGCGGTATCAGTTCAAGTACATCCGGCACATGTGGACACTATGAAAGCCTCAGGTTGGAAATCTTCACAGTGAAAGTAATTTGTAATGCAAAAAGACGACTCCGGTTGAAGCGCCATTTCTAGTCGGCGCATCACAAATCTCCCGGGCACTCAAAGCATGTCTGTCATGCTGGTTCGTGCAAGGGGGTGCCCTTCTCTCGTGCTAGTCAGCACCCCAATTCTTAATCCGTAAGAAGGACAATAGTCGGCCTCAGTTGTGTCCTCTGCAATACAGTCTCTTTTGCGTCGCATTTCATGCATCGCAAATTTAAATTGTTTCCACTTTGAGGATTTCCGTTCTGAGGCTTTCATAGACACAAACGGCCGGGGAAATGGACACCTGCGCCGGGGAAAAGAGGTGGAAATGTACCAGCTTTGTGTTGGAGAAGAAGGAAAACTTCGACGAGGAGAGAGCAACTACGCAGCTTGCGTCTTCATCTTCAGCCTCACCAAGTTCAACTTCTAGCGCCGGCGCAACTACAGAAGTAACCGCCCTCCATATCCTGAGTAAAAACGTACCCACACCAGAGTCAGGATGGGGATTTTGCAACACAAACCTAGGAGTTTTGTGAGTCACGCATGACAAGTTGCACTCCGCAGTGTAGTGCAGGTTAGCAAGTGCTGCAGCCGCGTCACAGATTCATCTGCTCATCCTGTTCACAGCATCACAAATTCCAAAACACGATTGGAAATGGCTCTCATGCGGATGCGCATTACAAGTCTTCCTGTCTTTGCAAATCTGCATTACAACTCTGGCGTGGGTACGTTTTTACTCAGGATACTCCAGAAGTCTCTCACCGCCGCAGCCCCGCGGGACTGCATCTACCCCTACCACTATCCTATGTAACAACGTCCCCACGCCATACGTCAAGATGGGGAATCGGCTAGACAAATCCACAAGTTTTGGCTGATTTGCATGACAAATTTGGGCTCGCCGCGTAGTTCTGTTTGAGGTACTAGCTCAGCAGCATCACAGATCTAGTATATCGTGCTGATTGGACCTTGACAAATTCCAAAAAACGGCCAGAGAGTGCTTCTCATGGGGCTCCGCATGAGAAACATTCTCAGCATGCAGATTTGCATTACAACTATGGCGTGGGGACGTTTGTAAATACGATAACCACGGCTACGACCCCATGTCGCTGCTGTCTCTCATAGCGGAGTCGGCCTATTGGGACGAGAAAACCCACCGCGTGAAGTTCCGCGGTTTCGAGATTCCCGCGTGGTCGAGAATGAATCTATGAGAGCAGTGCACAACTACTCCCCCTCGTTCTCATGAATTTCTCATGCAAAACACCACCTCCAGACTCTCCCCCCTGTCACTACTATGCATGACAAGTTCTGGTAGGAGCCCAAATTATAGCACTACTACATTCCTCCAAACTAAATTTGTCATGCAAAACCGGCATTCTTGCTGATGCTTGTATTGCCGTCCATGCTACGCAAATGAGGGGGAGGGGGACGAGTTGTGTACTGTTATAGAATCTCCCCGCCCCCTGGAACATCGCGGTTCGACCGATGCCTAACGGGAAATGGGTGAATGGAACGCTGGGGCACCACTTATGGACGTGTCAGAGTTGAAATCGACAAAGTTGAAATAATTTGCCATGCATAAAATGGATGCCAGTTTGAACCCAGTTTTCAAGTGGCGCATGACAAATTTTGGTGGTCCCTAAATCCAGTTTGTCATGCTGTTTGGGCAAAGAAGAGCGATTTTTTCATGCTACTCTAGCTGCTCGATCTGTAACCCCAAACAGGCTGGCAATCGGCTTCACTTGCCTGCTTTGCAACACACGTACCTCGGGTCATGCATTTTATGCATTACAAATTATTTCAACTTTGACGATTTCAAACCTGACGCTTCCATACCACTTCCTGACCCTCGAACACGACGACACGGAGCTGACGTACAGACGATGGAATGCAAATATGCCTGAATGTCTGGAGGGTACCAACTTGTGATGCTGTCTTTGGACGCTAACAAAATCTGTATTGCATGAAGACCTTTGCGCTACGCGGAAATAGTTCACTTTGCGCTACGCGGAGTGGGCATTATTTCTCATGTGGAATACGCATCGGAAGGCACCTGAAAATAGATCTGTGATGCTAGGTCATGCATTACAGGCACGATGGGTTGTGCCAAATATGCATGACAAACCTGGCAATCATCCAGAGTCCAGACATATTTGCATTTGATACAGACAGAACCAGTACTACATCTGGTGGAAAAGACGCAGATCAGGGTTGAAGACGAAGAAGTGGTGGGTGACGCCTTCATCTACTACGAGTGCTGCAGCTACACCATATCTAGGAAAAAACACCCATCCCCATCCATGTTCTTTTGCATGAGAAAGTACGCTGGAAGTGATGTTGCATGTTGTTGAGCATGACAAATTGGATGGTGGAGTTGGGCGGGATGGGTCTTTATTTGTGGATACACGAACAGGTGGCGCGACTACAACCTCTGGTGCAGAGTCGACAACAGATGAAATCTATGAAAACGAATTGCAAAAGTATCGTACTTGTATAAATGCATATACAAATTTCCTCGGCATGGGAAATGAAATTTGTAATGCGGATTTACCTTAGGAAAAAGATTTGTGATGCATGATTGCAATACGAGTGCGATCCTTTTGCACAGGATGAAATCAAGCAGTGCTCCGCCCAGTCCCACGACGCGCAGTGCGTGGCCGATTTGATCAAGCAGCGCGGGGAAGATTTTCTGAAGACCCTCGGCCGCGAGCAGCTGCTGACCCATCAGGTCGCCGGGAACCCGACTATGAAAACGGATTTCATGATGAAAATGATGGGCCACGACTTGATCGACCACGACCCGAATTCCCGCGCGCCGGAGCTCCGCCCGACGTTCACGGTGAAAAGGCCACTGCTCTCTGTATGAAAGCCTCAGGTTGGAAATCCTCAAAGTGGAAATAATTTGTAATGCAAAAAAACGATTCCAGTTCGAACGCCATTTGTAGTCGGCGCATGACAAATTTCCCGGGTTGTACTCAAAACGTGTCTGTGATGCTAGTTAGGCAAAGGGGTGCCCTTCTGTCGTGCTAATCAGCAGCCCAATTCTGAACCCGTAGAAGCACAATAGTCGGCCTCCATTGCGTCCTCTGCAATACAGGGGCTTTTGCGTAGCATTGCATGCGTCACAAATTATTTCCACTTTGAGGATTTCCAACCTGAGGCTTTCATACTCTGCCGGTGTGGAGGACGAGGAGAACGAGAAAACATTATCGGAATACAACGAGAGATCCATGGACAGCAAGCAGGCTCTCGTCGGCCTCGCGACCCACATGCACCTGTCAGAACACGGGGAGCACGACGCGTCGGTAATGAACACGAGAAGGATACTGCAAGGAAAAATCCCCCCTCTTGATACTGAAAGTGCACCAGTCTGAAATTTTGTGATGCAGATTTGTGACCACAAATCGGGTCTGTCTTGCAGGAAGGCGCGCGCAGGCTGTCCGCCACGTTATGCAGGCGCGTTGTAATGCTGTAAGGCCTACAGGGCAGCCGCCTACCATGCTAGGCTCCTACGCGAAAAGGTCCGCTCCTGGGTTTAGGATCTGCGTGCAGTCCTCTACTTCTGCAAGAACACAAATTTGATTTGTGTATCCAAATCCAGCGTCAGAAATTCGGTTTTGCGATGGGGAGGGGGGATTTTTCCTTTTGAGAGAGGAACGACAACAAGAAGATGGTCACCATCGCGGACAAATCCTACCCGGTCGTCTACCCGGTGCGGTGGGTTCTCTGTGCGCACTTCCACTGGAAGAACTATCGCAAGAAAAAACTGTTTCACTGTGAACCTGTGATGCAGAGAACGAAACGCCAAAGTGTTTGTCTTGCTACACCTGCAACACAATGGATTATTAACCGTGTTTTCCCTTGGGAAACGCGCATGGCAAATTTTCTGTGCCATGTGTAACAAACTTGTGACGCAGATCTTGCAATAAAACCATCACAGTGAAACAGTTTTTTCCTGCGATAAGAACCGGGCGAACTACACTATGCACAACTGCGACCAGCAGCGCTACACGCCGCTGACGTTTCTGTATTTCACGGATGAATACATGCGGAGACACTGGTACGCAAGAAAAAAACTGTGTAAGTGTAACTCTGTGATGCAGAACATGCAACAGAGTCACACCTGTCATGCCAGGCAACCACGAAGTCCTCTTTTCGTGTTCGTCTTCCCTCAGGAGCCACGCATGACAGGTTTTCTCTGGTGATGTCATGTAGAGCATATTTGTGATGCTGTCAGCCAAAGAAAGTTACAGTAACACAGTTTTTTTCTTCCATAACTGGCCCGCCGTGAAGTTCACCAGCAGGCCGAGCTGGCTGCTGCGGATCGACCGGTTGAAGCTGGAGCAGGAGGAGGCGTATCAAATGCCAATATGTCTGGGTTTGGAAGGATACAAGCTTGTCATGCTGCCTCTGGATTCTACAAAAATCTGTATTGCATGAGCAGCAACAGCAGTCCAGTTTTGATTACGCAGACAGAGTATTACTTCTCATGCGGTAGAGGCATGAGGAAGCCGAAGCCCTCGCATCAAAATCTGTGATGCTAGGGCATGCATCGCAGACAAGACATCCCGGGTCTTCCAAAATCTACATGACAAACTCCTACACCCTTCCGGACCCAAACACTTTTGCAGTTGATAAGGCGGATAGGCGGATCCTAACCGAGCCTGATTTACTTGAGAAAAACGTCACGCTGCGAAAACTGAAAGACACCTGGATCGAGCCGGAGGCCAAGCAGCGCAGCGAGTTGATCACGCTGTTCGAGTATCCTCAGCAAAAACGGGCGGGCCCACACCCCATAGTCAACGATTCTTGGTAAATTTGCAATACAAGAAGTTTCCAAGTTAAAGTTTTGGAAGTTATGCAGCATGAGGACAAGTGTAGTGCGGCTTGTGCTTACGCTTAGCGAGGACAGCCGCATCACAAAGATGCCTGCTCATTCCGCTTACTGCATTACAAATCCCAGAACACGACTACAAAGGAATCCCTCTCATGCGGAGGACGCGAATCTCCGTGACAACTATGGGATCAGGCCGTTGTTTTTACACAGGATAACGAGCGGTGGGCCTACGCGGGCCTGTTGAAGTCCGTACAAAGAGCGCCGGTGGAGGTGGGCCTGTATCCGCAGGGAGATTTGGGGGTGTTTGAAAAGATCGCCAGGATATTCCTATGCATTGCAAAAGTACAGTACTTCTCGTATATAAATGCATTACAAATTTCCTCAGCATGAGAAATAAAATTTGTAATGCTGATTTACCTATAACAGAAAGATTTTGCATGTGTGACGTAATGAGTACGATACTTTTGCGCTCGATAATTCCCGAGCACGGCGAACGTGTTTGGGCGGGACGAGCATTTTCCGGTGTTGAAGCCGTCCGAAGTGCAGGAAGTGATCGACCTGCAAGATGCGCTGGAGCACGGGCCGTTTGAGAAGATTGACGAAACCTTGCTGTTGGAGGAAACCTTGGCAAGGGCGGAGTCGAAGGGAGCGCTGGTGTTGGATTTGGCATAGCTTAGTGAAGGGAGGGTCCTTGCGTTATTGTTGAAATAATCGCTTTCCATTGGCTTGTTTTGAGCAAGGAAAGTAGGTAGGGTGATATGGATGTTGTAGACTGCGCTTTTATAATTTCTGGTTTTTCTGGATGTTGCAGCTTCATTTGCAGTCCGTCGCATCGTCTCCAACAGGCTGTTGCACCACAGAAGCGTCATGCCGATGATCCCTAGCGTTTTCTTCGACCGTCGGACGGTCGGCGCGTGCTGTGTGCATGCTCCTAGCGTTAGTTTTGTTCGGCCGGCGGGGCGGAGCGGGCCACCTGGCTCCACTCTTTCTATTTTCAGTGCATTGGTCCAGCCCCAGTAGTTACCCCGCCGTCTTTTCGCCAATAGGCTGGCTGCAACGCGCAATGCATTCGCATTCCCAGCGAAGCAGATGATCATGCTCATGCGTTGCAAGCTCGTGTCGGTGTGGCCGCCTGATTCAGATACGTGATTTCAGGCCATGGTAATGAATGGGTGGCAAACTACGACCACTATGTCTTGCTAGAGCTGCGACTTCTGGTCGTGTGTCTTGATGCCTTAGAGTATTCATTATTGACGCTTGCGTAGGCATGTGTGATCCACGGAAGTAGACGATGAAAATCTCCTCCTTATGTCGTGCTCGTGCCTCGGGCTCGGCACAACTGCAACTCGCTTTGGTTTAATTATTTCCTTTTCGTCATTTACATTTACTTAACGACACGACCGCATAGCCGGCCCCCAGTAAAAACCGCTTCGTAGACGACCTGATTTTGAGCTGCAGAGGATCGGCCCCAAGAACCATGGTCACCAGGAGCTCGTGTGGGTCAGTTTCCATTCTATGGACTCGCACTGTTCGCCTTTTATGCTTTTTGTGTAGTTGTTCCTGTGTCGCAGGAGCGTCATCGCGCGCCGAGCTAGATGGACCAGCGACAGCACCCGACCGCCCACCGGTCGTTCCTCGCCGCACTATCATCTTCTCCTATGACCGCCGCGACGATGAGGAAATTCCGTTTCTCCCTGGCTTCCGCAGGGTCAATAGCCTCTACGCCGAGCGACATGAAGATTATGAGTACCGGTTTTACCAATCGAGCAGTTTCGACGATCTCGTTCCGCCGACCTGGATTAAGGTGTTCCTTGCGAACGCGATTTTCGAAGAAGTACTACTTGGAAAACAAGCTACAGGAGCGGCGTCGTGTCGTGCTGCCGACACTTCTTCTTCGAGTTCCTCTCCCAACATCAAGAAGGTTAGGAAAACTCCAACTTCTACGCCCCCGGCTGCACATGCCGTTGATGCTGAAACAGTGGCAAAAATAAGAGAGACGGTGACAACAAAGGCAGGCACGTACGTGACAACGAACTCAAAAAGAACCTCTGGTGCCAGCAGCTCTTCGTGTTTGGCAGCTACCGAAACCGGCACGAGGACTACCAGCGTAGCAATTGCAACTTCTAAGAACGATTATCCTGAGTAAAAACGTACCCACACCAGAGTCAGGATGAGGATTTTGCAACGCAAACCTATGTGTTTTGTGAGTCACGCATGACAAGGCGCACTATGCAGCGTAGTGCAGGTTAGCAAATGCAGCCGCATCACAGATTCATCTGCTCATCCTGTTCACAGCATCACAAATTCCAAAACACGACTGGAAATGGCTCTCATCGGGTTGCGCATTACAAGTCTTCCTGTCTTTGCAAATCTGCATTACAACTCTGGCGTGGGTACGTTTTTACTCAGGATAACGATATCCAGGTCCTCTTCCTCGACTCCGATGCAGTGTGGCATGCGCACGACGTTCGATTAGAGGAACTTTTCCCGGAATCTATGGCCCCGGACTACGGCTTCGTCGTCGGCCCATCAGACGCGGACGGCAGGAGTTTGTTTCTCCCGCACACGAATTCCTTCCTGGCACGCGGGGAGCGGGGGTTTCAGTTGTTGCGATATTGGAAACAGCACTACTTGGAGAGTGTGAGAAAACTTTGGTTTGTTTTCGCGAAAAATCATGGAGACGGCAGCGAGACTGAAATGAGTGTGGCGCCTCCACAGAAGTGGGAACCCGCTCCGGATCCCTCATCAGCAGGTGAAGCAACGCTACTGCATCAGCGGCAAGACTCCGAAATCCGTGCCCGGGAGCTGCAGTGGAAGTGTTTCTATGATCCGGCTGCAAGAAGAAGAAAAACCGCGGCCAATGTTGGCAGTGAGGTGGGTGTTGATGAACTAGCAAGCAGTACTACTGGTACTGGAAGCAAGGCTGCGCCGACAACCACCACTACGACCTGTTCCTACCCATACTACGGGTACGATCCTTTGTCTCTGCTGCTCCTCATGAAGCGTTTTCCGGACGGGTTTGCGGTGCTGCCCTGGAGTCGGCTGAACAACTACTTTCCTTGGACCGTGGGGGTCAGGAGAATGACCAGTAGAATGCTCGGTAGAAGAAACGGGGAACAAGAAATACACTACTTGACGCTGGAGCACGACGATAATGGTCTCCTTGTACCTGCTTCATCACCTTCCTCATCTTCGACTTGCGCAGTCGGTGCTGCTAGCAGCGGTCATCACAAGTCTTATGAAGGCCTCAGAATGGAAATCCTCAAAGTGGAAATAATTTCTGATGCATGGAATGCGACGCAAGAGAGACTGTATTGCAGAGGACGCAATGGAGGCCGACTATTATCCTGCTAGGGGTGAAGAATTGGAGTGCTGCTTAGCACGAGAGAAGGGCACCCCTTTGCCTTAACCTGCATGACAGACATGCTTTAAGTGCCCGGGAAATTTGTCATGCGCCGACTACAATAAATGGCGCTTCAACTGGAGTCGTTTTTTTGCATATACAAAGTATTTCCACTTTGAGGATTTCCAATCTGAGGCTTTCATACGTCAATCTTCGATCGTCCGTGGATCGACGGCCCGCAGAATTTGAACTTTCAAACTCTATGCATTGCAAATACTATGTCTAGGTCTGGAAGAGGATCCAAACTTGTCATGCTGTGTTTGGATTCTAAAAAAATCTGTATTGCGTGAACAGCAAATAAAGAGGTCCAGTTTTCGCGACGGCGAGAGGGCATTTCTCATGCTGTATAGGCATCAGGAAGCCCTCACAAAATCTGTGATGCTAGAACATGGATCACAGACATCAGGAGTAATGCAACATGTGCATGGCAAACCTTGCATCCTTCCAGACCCGGACTACATATTTGCATTTGATAAACACCCCTTCTTTCAGCTGGCACTGGTGGTGACGGCTTTGCGTCAACACGCAGCTTTTTTTCAACATCCGTTGGGCCATTTGCATCTTCTTCTTCTCTATCTCCCGCGAAGAAAATGCAGTCGCTGAGCCACAACTTGGAAATGAAAAAGATCACGGCAGAGTACAATGGGAGGAAGACGGTCGCAAGGTACGTTGGGACGACGAGAAAACAGGCAGAAGTATGGGAGTGTCAGAATTGAAATCGTTAAAGTTGAAATAGTTTGTCATGTAGAAAATGCAACGCAAAGGCTGCCTCTAGTGCAGAGGACGCAAGGGAGGCAGATTGCAGTGCTGGTAAGGGTCGAGAATTGGGCTGCTGACTAGCATCACAGATGGGAGCCCCTTTGCCCTGAACAGCATGACAAACTCGCTTTCGGTATGGACAAAATTTGTCATGCACCGACTAGAAACTGCGGGTCCAACTGGTATCCATTTTCTGCATCACAAACTATTTCAACTTTGACGATTTCAATCCTGACGCTTCCATAAGAAGTAGTAGACCAGTATAGCCATCTTCCCGTTCCCCGTCGCGACTGGGTCCTCTGCAGCCACTTCCACTGGAAGGACCGTTATGAATTGCAAAAATGTCTGGGTCTGGAAGATTGCAACTTGTCATGGTAAATCTGAAGCATGCAAAAATCTGTGTTGCATGAGTGCCAAAAGCTGTCCACTTTTGACCAAGTTGGAGCGGAGTTTCTCATGCAGAATAGGCATGGCAGAGGCCTCGCTGAGTCTGTCATGCTAAGTCCCGCATTCCAGACCTCATGGGTGATGGAAAATCTGCATGACAAGTCTCCACTCTTCCAGACCCAGACATTTTTACATTTGATAACCGTGCGTGGGCGGCGAATGAGCAACGGTTGGGATTCCGCTCCTTCTATGCATAATTGCAACTATGTCATCCGGGTCTGGAAGGATGCAACTTGTGAAGAAGATGTAGCTACCACTGGACTCGTCTCCATCAAATCTGTGTATTGCATGAACAGCGAAAGAGGTCCAGTTTTTGCTACGCCGAGAGGAGCCGTTTCTCATGCGGTATAGAGATAAGAATGCCCTCACAAAGTCTGTGATGCTAGAGCAGGCTTCACATCAGACATCATGGGTCATGCAAATTGTGCATGACAGACGTTACACTCGTCTTCCAGGCGGAGACATAGTTGCACTTCATACCCTCCTGTACCTAGCTTTCGCCGCGGAGTACATGGGACGCTACTGGTATACGAAGAAAAAAGCTCGTGTAAGTATAACTCTGTGATGCAGAAAATCCAAAACAGTTACACTTGTCATGCTCATGCTAGCCAGTTATAGTGATAGCGTTCTCTTTTCTCCCTTTTTTTTCACATACTGTGTAGCTGCGCATGACAGGATAGTTTCTCTGTCATTCAGGGCAAATTTGTCATGCTCTTACCGCAAGACACCTATCCTACGCTAACACAGTTTTTTTCTTGCATAAGTGGCCACAAATACCCTTCTATCGTGAGAAAAAAGTGTTACTGCAGTGACACACCTTGTTGCAAGACAAGCAAGACAGACAACGCAACCTCTGACTCTGTCATGCCGGAAATAATGCTCCTTCCCAGCCTCATTTATATGCGTGATTTCTCTTATAAGCTGCGCCGTCCAACAGGTTTTTCTTTTTTCCTCCACGCAGAGCAAGTTTGTGTCGCTGTTGAAATTCCAACATCAAATGTGTAACTGTGACACGTTTTTTCTGGGATACCCTCCGCGCCATTCCGGCGTGGTTAGAGCGAGGGTTTGAATTTATCAGCGAACGACATGATCATGAACGAGGACCTGGCACAGCTGTTGGACGGAGCAGCAAGAACGCAACGTCCGCAAGGACAGAAGATGGCACGGGGGACAACTATCCTGTGCAAAAGTATCGTACTCGTAGTCATCGCAGCTATGCATTACAAATCTAGTTGGTTAGGTAAATCCGCATTGCAAATTTGATTTGTAATGCTGAGCCAACTTGTATTGCGATTTGTACTAGTACGATACTTTTGCAATGCATAACACTATGGGAACTACAACCTCAAGCGTGACAACTGCACATCAGGTCGTCCTGTCCCAACAAGAAGACGCGCTCTACCGCCTGCTTCGTGATCGGGTACGGCAGTTTGAGGGCTGGGCTGTGGTAAAGGCTTTGACGACACTGCAGAAGAGAAAACTAAGTGAGCACTTCTTTCCGAGGGAGTTGTTTTTTGAAAATGAGCAGTTCGAGAAGTCGGAGATTATGCATAATATGCAGAACTGGAATTACACCCATGAAATGAAAATCGTTGACGACTTCCACGATGGAATGCTGATGACTGTCACCACGATGGCCGCTCACGATCCCAGTGATAGTGATCAAGGAAGTCTGAAGATGACAACGGGACGTCGAGATCCTGACGTTGAAAAGTACCTTCGTGAAAATTTTTTGGTGCCTCATGAAGCAGATGGTGACACCAACGGTCGTGTAGTTGCACTCTCCTCTGAAGATGTTGCCGGATATTGTGCTATTTGCGGTCAACCTCGTTGTACAAGGACCACGTTTTCAGGGTCCTTGTCCTGACCTGTACCGCAGGTTTGGCAGCTTGAGTTCGTCTTTCTTCTATTTGCTCCTGTCCTCCTAGTAAGTGGGCTACGTGCCTCACTATACTGTAAAAAGATCCCGCGAGGCTATCTGATCGATTGAGAGACGAGGCTGTCTTGCCAGAGAAGCTGACTTCTTAGCTGCACTTACGCTCTTGACGATGAAAATGCGTAAGCTACGACGTTGTTGGCCTTGACAGTACTTACTAAACTCCTGAGCAGCACAGGAGATGAAGTGCAACCCTATCAAAGTTGTTCATCCGTGAGCTGGTTGTATTGTTCAAATCATCTTCTTAAAATCTTTATTTCTCATGGGAGTACTAGATGTAGAAGTTGCAAAGCATCTTCTTCGCAAGAAGAACAAGAAGGAGCACAAAATCCTATTCGCATGTCCTCCAAGTGAGACTACTTATCGTCCTGATTGCGCAGTGGTCATGGTCTTTCAGTAGCCAGTGTAGTCGTGGGCACGAAGAGCATCATTGCGGACGAGAAGGAGAGGTGGACAACGACAAACGTCGACATTTTACTTCGGAGGCGAGGACGAGTGCAGGAAGAACTTCTACATGGCGAGGACGAGTGCAGGAAGAACTACTACAGGGCTTGAACAATTTCATCGATTGCCAGAAAAGAAATTGTGATAACACGCACGGAAAAACCGCGCCACCAACTTCCCGATTTTTAAGTATGTCCACGACCCGACGCGGCGCCTCGCCGCCGCGGTCCTGGCCCCAACATTTAAACCACAATATGAGAGTGTCAGAATCGAAATTGACAAAATCGAAAAATTTGTGATGCACAAAATCGATGTCAGTTGGAGCCTCAGTTTCTAAGTGGCGCATGACAAATTTTGGGAGAATCCAAATCCAGTCTGTCATGGTGTTTGGGCAAAGAAGACTCCTCCTGTCATGCTACTCTTGCAGCACATTGCATACCCCTGCCAAACAGGCTCAGAATCGGTCTCATTTATTTCCTGCTCCCCAATACAGGCCTTCAGTGCCCTACATTTTACGCATCACAAATTTTTTCGATTTTGTCGATTTCGATCCTGACACATCCATACACAAGGAAAGGAAAATGGTCATGCAGCAGAGCAGCATCTTCGACGACGGCGGCCCCTCAAACGCGAGCATCTATGACCCGAGGAGGCAAAGGGTAAGTACAGAAGTAGATTTTGATGATGCAATTGTTCCCTGCACATACAGCAGGAGGAGCATGAGTGCAGTCACTGAGTCATGTCGTTTTGCAATTCTGGTGCATGAAGGTGCAATGGCTGCCACGAATACCAATCTGTATCAATACTGCAGGAAGTCCTGTGGAACGTGAACAAGCAGGCCCAGGCGGAATTCGTTCCCAACCTAGAAATATCCTGTGCAAAAGTATCGCACTCGTATAAATGCAGGTCTTGCATTGCAAATAATTTTCTTAAGGTAAATCAGCATGGCAAATTTTATTTTTCATGCTGAGAAAATTTGTAATGCATTTATACAAGTACGATACTTTTGGAGTTCATAAGAAATGCCAACCGCCCAGCAAATAAAGATCGCGCACTCGGTATCAGGGTGTCAGGATCGAAATCAACAACATCAAAAAATGTGTGACTGTGATGCACAAAATCGGTGCTAGTTTAGAGATAGAAACGCTGTCTGTAGTCGGCGCATGACAAATTTCCCCCGTCCTGGAAAAGCGGATCTGTCATGCGTTTGACGCAAAAGAGCTCCCTTCTGTCATGCTAGTCAGCACCAGCCTGACCCTTACCAGGGCTATAATCTTCCGCCTTCATCCTTGCATCCTCTGCAATAGAGTCGCTGTTTGTGTCGCACTTTAATTATGCGTTACAGATTATTTCGACTTTGTTGATTTCGGTCCTGACGCTTCCATACTCCGGGGGGCATGGACTGATCTGCGGCGATATGAACTGCAAAAGTATCGTATTCGTATAAATGCATTACAAATTTTCTCAGCAAGAGAAATAAAATTTGTCATGCTGATTTACCTTAAGAAAAATATTTGTAATGCAAGGCTTGCATTTATACGAAACGAGTACGATACTTTTGCACAGGATAGGCGACGGGATTTCCGAACGGGATGCAATATGAATTGCAAATATGTCTCGGTCTGGAAAATTTCAACTTGTCATGCTAAATCCGAATCATGCAAAAATCTGTGTTGCATGAGTGCAAAAAGCTGTCGACTTTCGACCAAGTTGGGAGGGAGTTTCTCATGCAGGGTATTAGGCATGACAGTGACCTCACAGAGTCTGTCGTGCTAGATCCCGCATTCCAGACCTCAGGGGTCATGGAAACCCTGCATGACAAGTTTACAGTCCTCCAGACCCAGACATATTTGCAGTTGATATGCGAAGAGGAAGTCCGAATTGCAGCTGCTCCCGGGAGGGCACGCAGCAAGCTCGTCCAAGGTGAGAAATATCAAAAGTTTGTGTTTGTGATGCTACAAAAAATAAAATAAAATTTTCGCATGCCCGATAAAGTAAAAAACGAAGATGACAGTTCAAACTATCTCAGGAAGGACGCGACTTTTGGGAGGCTAGTAGGGCGTTCGGGGCTGCAGCGAGCAAAGGTGACTATGGGAGTGTCCTCAGGATTGAACTCGACAAAGTTGAAATAACTTGTAATGCATAAAATGGATACCAGTTGGAATCCCAATTTCTAAGCAGTGCATGACAAATGTAGGCACCGTCTAAATCCAGTTTGCCATGCTGTTTGAGGACAGAAGGCGTCTTTTGAGATGCTACTTTAGCAGCTCTATCGCAGACCCCAAACAGGCTGACAGTCGGCCCCACGTGCCATCCCTGCAAGAGAGACACTTCACGCCTTGCAATTTATGCATGAGAAATTATTTCAACTTTGACGATTTCAATCCTGACGCCCCCATAGTGACCGCATGACCTTTAACGGGGCCACAACGGTCCCGCCCAAAAACACGAACATCGAGGCGGCAAGGGTGCTTATTAAATGTAAAAATGTCTGGGTCTGGTTCTGGAAGAATGCAAGTTTGTCATGCTTGTCTGGCATGACTCGAGAATCTGTGTTGCATAGGCACGAAAGGGCCCTCTTATCTGTCATGCAAAAACGCAGTTTGCCATGCGAAATACGTAAGACATGGCAGCCAAAAAATTTGTCATGCATAGCAGCGCATACGCATTGCAGTGCGTCTATCATTCTCATTCATTTCTAGCATGACAAGTTTCCAGACCCAGACATTTTTGCAGTTGATAGTGCTGCGGCAGAGACAACACAACTCGACCGTGTTTGGGGTATGATTTGAAATTGAATTTGTTCTGGTTGTTTCTTTCGCAAGAACATGAGTTCTATGTTTCGTATACGTAGTAGACGGATCGTGAGTGTAGTTGCAGTCGCTGCTGTGATGTGTAAGTACGTGTAGTGAATAAAAGCAGCTTATGTGATGTGATCAGGAGAGATGAACTCCATCTTCCTTCTTCTCAGGCCGACTTCGATCCGAGCACGAAAGCGCGTTCTGCAGAAGGTTTTGACCACGGGTGGCATGAGGGGATAATAAGCTCTGCAGCAACATAAGTATCGTACAACTAGTATGAATTGCATTACAAATTGACTTCGCATTAAAGATCAAATTTGTAATGCGGATTTGCCGTAAGAAAAAGATTTGTAATGCATAAACGCCATTAGTACAACAAGGGCGATACTTGTTTCGCAATGCATAGATAAACCTCGAAGACAGCTTGATCCCCGCCAACGCGAACTTTCTCGCGCACCCATATCCTGTGCAAAAGTATCGTACTTGTATTGCAGTCATGCATTACAAATCTTTTCCTTGAGGTGAATCAGCATTACAAATTTTATTTCTCATGCTGAGGAGATTTGTAATGCATTTAAATTTATACGAGTACGATACTTTTGCACAGGATAACCCAGTGAAAGTATCAACCGCAAAAATGTCTGGGTCTGGAAGGATGCAACTTGTGATGCTGCATTTGGATGTCTAAAAAATTTGTGTTGCAACGAGCAGCAAAAGGAGCCTAATTTTTGCTAAGCGGTGGAGAAGGCATTTGTCATGCGGAATAGGCATCAGCAAGCCCTCTAAAAATCTGCGATGCTAAATCATGCATTAGAGGCACCATGGATCATACAAAATATGCATGACAAGTCTCAGACTCTTCCACACCCAGACACTTTTGCACTTGATAGAAGGCCAACCGCGACGCGGAGAAGTCCGCGGCAGAGCGGTTTATGGATTGCAAAAATGTGTGGGTCTGGAAAGATGCAACTTGTCATGCGCATTTTATATCATGAAAAAATCTGTCATGCTCGGGGAGCAAAAGCAGCGAGCCCCTTTTCTGGTCTCCGAAAGAAGGGATTTGTCATGTGGATTAGGCATTGAGAGTCCTGCCCAAAAGAACCTGTGTTGCTGGGGCTTGCATGCCAGACTTTCTGTGTGACGCAGACTCTGCATCACAAACATTTGCAATCTTCCAGACTCAGACTGACATATTTGCATTTGATACGGTTCTATCCTGTGCAAAAGCAGCGCACAACTCGCGCAAATTGCAGTCTGGCATGACGAATCTGCTTGCTTATTTTACCTTAATCTGCATGACTATCACGATTTATATTTTGTGAGGAAATTTGTCAAGCAAAAAATGCATCAAGCTGTACCTCCTAGAAAAAGTGCGATCTGCGCGATCGTTTTGCAATGCATAGGTTCCACGGGAATTTGCACTCCCGGGAAGTGGAAGGTGAGATGCACGAGCGGAAAAAATTCGAACCGCCTGAAGACCCGAGAAGACACAAGGAGAAAAACTTCTCGGACATTTTCGGTATAACGACCTGGCTTCTATCGCTTTTGTGATTTTTATTTTTTTTCACACACGGACACGACACCTTTGAAGGCATTTTTTACCATTCTTATTTTTTTTCTGGTAGTTTCGTAGTTTGTCGTGCGTGCTGCCGTGCTTATTCGCGAACAAGATGAACCGACGAAATCGATTTAATAACGTGTACTTTGCTAGGTCCCGTCGACCCGAATCTTCATCGAAAAAAAGTGGTCCAGCGCGAGGAAGCCCTCGGTACCTTATCGCAAGAAAAAACTGGCTCAGTCTCAACTTGCAATTTATGCAGAACTTCTTCCAGCAGACGACTGTTTGTGATGCTGAGGACATGCAACAAGAAGTGCGCCTTTGCGTTCTAAAGCCTCAGAGTTTTTTTGATTTTATTGCTGAGTCTGCATATACAGGTTTGAGACTGAGACAATTTTTTCTCATGAGATACCTACCCAGCCGACCACTACCACATCAAGTCAGAAATTTCCGCGAGAAACCTCACCGGGCACCGATCAGACGACTTTAAAACGGCGAGAGAAATATGCATTGCAAATATGTCTGGGTCTCTGGAAATTTGTAATGCTAAATGTGAATGAGAGTTCCACTGCAATACGGAGCCAAGCATGACAAATTTTTGGGCTCCTATGTGTTGCGTGTTTCGCATGGCAAACTGCGTTTTTGCACGACAGGCAAAGGGGCCGCTTCGTCCTCATGCATCACAGATTCTTGAGTCATGTCAGACATGCATGACAAACGTAGCAATCTTCCAGACCCAGACACATTTGCATTTGATAAGAAAGGAAGATGCACAACATGTTCGGAAATGAACACCATGTGTTTGGCAGCTATGCATTGCAAAAGTATCGCACTCGTGGTAATTGCAGTCAACATGCATTGCATTTGCAAATCCTTGTCTCAAGGTAAATCCGCATTACGAATTACATTTCTCATGCTGAGCAAATTTGTAATGCATTCATACGAGTGCTATACTTTTGCAGTTCATAGCAGCGGCATGACGGCAAATTTAGCGGAGGTGCCGGAGCGACGGTCCAGCGCAATAAACGAGTTTGTGTACTTATAGATAAGTACACATTGTGATGGTTTTTTCTCTTCTTGATTGTTGAATTATGCATACTGTGCTATGTTGTTCCTCAATCCTCATGGAACAAGTGCTTGTCATGCCGTTCTTCTTGCACCCCATGACACAAAAAATGCACTTGACAACATCATGCACCCGACGACCGTATCAATTATGAAAACAGTGCCTGCAGTGCCATCCGCGACGGCATGTCTCAGGCGGCGGAGGTTCTGCGCGAACAGCGGGCGATGCCCGCCTCTTCCCGACCGCAAACGCACCACGGTATGAAATGCAAAACAAGAAGTATCGCACTCGTACTAATTGCGGTTATGCATTACAAATTTGATTTGTAATGCTGAGCCAATTCGCAATTCATACTAGTTCTAGTACGATACTTTTGCAATGCATACAAGGCCGGAAAGTGCAAGAATTGTCCGGCAACGGGTATGTTTCGCAGCTCTCCGAAAAAGACTATGTCCAGTCCTCCAAATATGGAAGCGTCAGGTTTGCAATAGCAATCGTCAAAGTTGAAATAATTTGTAATGCATAAAATGCATGACCCGAGGTACGTGTGTTGCAGAGCAGGCAAGTGAGGCCGATTGTAAGCCTGTTTGGGGTTGCAGCTCGAGCTGCTAAAGTAGCATGAGAAAATCGCCCTTCTTTGCCTAAACAGCATGAAAAACTGGATTTAGGGACCACCGAAATTTATCATGCGCCACTTGGAAACTGGGTTCCAACTGGCATCCATTCTATGCATGACAAACCATTTCAACTTTGTCGATTTCGATCCTGACACATCCATACCAAAGCTCGGCAGCTCGGTATTCTGAAGAACCAAGACGATGGCAGCTGGGTGACGCACGCCGGACAGAAAGCCTGGCGCGGGGCGCAGGGGGAAATTATTGTGGGTCCGAGCGAAAAAATGTTAAACGGCGCGGTGGACGATATGCCGAGGGTATGGCATTCTAAATTGTTACATTCTCAACTGTTACATGAATTTGCAATGCAAGCATAGCAAAAGTCAAAGGGGGAGGATTGCACCACTAGCATTACAAATTCCGCACAGATTTAAATGTTGTGTAGCCCTTCGGGAATTTGTCATGCGAAGTCGCTGCGCCGTGTGGATGATGATGTTGGTTTTGCATGACAAATCGTGTAACAGTTGAGAACATAACGTTTGAGAACGCTACAGAGGGAATTGCCCGGGTACGGTCCTGCCGACACGCGGAAGCAGTTGGAATTGCGGGGAAACTTTTGAAGAAAATTTTTTCGGTAAGATAAGTAACTCATTTTAGACACGAAATGTAAATTATGTCGCTTCCTGCTTTCCCTCATCTGATCATCGACATCGTCCATGCCTTCTATACATTAGGTTCTGGCATGATTGAAGATGTTGTTGATGAACTGTAAGGACTACTATTAACGCTATGTTGAACAAGTTCCTTGTCCTTCTGTACATGGATGAACAGCTCAATGGTTGGTTTTGCTTGAATAACGTGCTCGAGTCGAGCTGGTGCTGGTACTCACCATGATAGAAAACACGACGACCCTTCGTCACATTGCTGTGTGCTGGCTGGCCCAGAATCATCTTCCTACGAAACTTGAGTACATGTATGTAAAAGTAGTTCGACAAGAATCAAAATGCAGTCACTGAGCAAGTGCGGTAAGAGAGTGGCTGGCGGAATAGCATCTCTGATCGTTTTATGCAAAGATCTGGATCTCTCAGATGATCGTGAACAAAATTATACTCAAGCTGATCCGACACCGACGCAGATCGCAAGTTCGATTTGTCTGCCTCGAGAAAAATGTAATAGCTCTCCACAACATCTGGATCTGAGAAGAAAAGACTCTCACTGATCACTCAACGTACTAACAACGAGCATGCTGTGCAAATGAAAGATCCGCAGAACAAAAAAACTGACACTGAGACGAAACCGAAAGGATAACGCCAAGGATCAAAATTCAGCTTCTATCGTTTAACTCCAATATCGTAAAAATTTAAGCTATTTTTTTCCGAAACGCACACAGGACGAAGAGAAAGACGACAACGAACCATCACGAAACTTTTTCCGCTAGAAATTGCGAACACAGTAACCCATGTACAGCAAGTTCATCAAATAGTAGTCCCTGCATAGCTAAGAGCGAGAAGAAGTTTAGTTTCTGGTAGCTTGCTCAAACTCTACTGTTTTCTTCTTTTGCTCTGATGAGCGCCGTCGTATATTATTCTAGTCATATTTATGCAAATCTCGTTTTCTGAAGATCATTATCGGTCGAGAAAATGGCGACGAGCACCTTGGTCCAGAACTTGGCCGCCAACCCGGAGGCGGCCGCACAGTGCCTCCTGGAGCGGCTCCGGTCCGACAAGCCGGACGAAGGGCTTTTCCAACTCCGCGAAGCCATCAAAGCCGGCCCGGAACAGTGTCAGCTGCTGGACGAGTATCTGCACTTGAGTCCGCGGTGTGAAGAGCTGTTCAAATTGCTCGAGTTAGGAACACCACGAGCAACAACGTTCCTCGAAGGCTCGAACAAGAACAGCAAGAAGCTGCGCCGGAGCAATGACATCAAGGATGTTGCAGGAGCTGGTGATGATGTTGTGACAAATGAATCTCTACATGAAAAGGAAAACGACGTCGACAAGAAGGGGGACATAATTCAAGATCACGCGCAAATTGGTGGAAATTCTAATTCAGACTACCAGCGACAGCTCTGCGTTTCCCTGGTCATCGACATTTTTGGCGCGATTCTGGTATGGATTGCAAATATGTCTGGGTCTGGAAGAGTGGAACTTGTAATGCAGGTCTCACATTCCTGTAGAATTTGTATTGCATGACCACCAAAATACGCAGCCTCTTTTGTCTACACGAAAACGCAGTTTCTCATGCGGGCTGTGCATCAGAAAGCGTTCTGGAAAGTTGTCATGCTTGGGTCTGCATTCGGAATTGCTTCCATCATTCACACTTTAGCATCACAAGTTTCCAGACCCAGACACTTTTGCAGTTGATATCTGATTCTATACGGTGCCTGGCGAAAACCTGTTTTGACCGAATTATTGCAGTACAAAGCCACCGCTGGGGCGGCTCAGGGCCTGCAGCAACTGCTTTTGGGAGCAGGCAGTCTCGGGGTCGGGACGGTCGTCCCGAAAAATGCAAATGCTGGATCATCTTCATCGTCTTCGACAAATTCAAATCAAATCTCCTCGTCCCGGCACCACCATCATCATCAATCCGGAAACAACAACATTGCGGAAATTGTAACCAACCGATTATTGGAGCAGCAGAATATGTCGACAATTCACCAATTTCTCGCAATTCAAGTTCAGTCCAAGGAGAAAAGCAAGCAGGTCCGCACCGCGGCGGTGTTCCGGTATCGAATGCAAATTATGTTTCGGTCTGGAAGGTTGCAACTTGTAATGCTGTTTTTGGATTTCAAAAAAAATTGTATTGCATGACCAGGAACAGCAGTCCAGTTTCTGCTACACGGACGAGAGGGCATTTATTTCTCATGCGGTTTAGGCATCAGGAAGCCGTCTCAAAATCTGTGAAGATGCTAGAGCATGCATGCATTACAGGCATCATGGATCATACAAAATGTGCATGACAAATCTGGCAGTCTTCCAGACCCAAACATATTTGCATTTGATATCCGGCTGTTGTGCGCCATTTCCGCGGTGAGTAAGCAGGCGGCGAGAACTTTGCTGTATCGGTTCCCGTTCGAGCAGACCGCTGCAGGTCTTGGGACAAGCGATGGGAAAAGCAAGAGGCACACCAACGGCAATGCTTCGAAACCAACCACCGGTATCAACGTGTTTTCCAAAGCCCTGCAGCAGCAACTGGACGCGTTTGATTCGGAAACCGTGATGACAAAATTGCTCCAAAGTCTGGAGAGCCACTGCGTTTTCCAGGTCAGCGACAAGCTTGGGGTGACGCTCCGCGGGCTCACTTGTTTCGAGGCGGAGCTGTACTTCAAGGACTCGGACGTGGACCCCACAGGGTGCATAGACGACTACACCAGAGAGGTGTTGGACGAACAGAGGGTTACAGAACTGCTCGCCGACGCGGACGTACAGGGGCTGGCGATGAAGGAAATCAAGAAAAGGACCAATACACAAGATCCAGACACGACGACACGGCTGGACGAAGAAACAGAGCAACTAGTTGTACTACCTCGAAAGAATAAAACAACTTCATCTACAACCCAGACTACATTGAGAAACAAGTTCTGGCCCAATCTGTTTAATCTGTTCGGGAATTCTGTGCTGTTCCTGTACCTGGACTGGGTGAAAATCTGCCTCGAGTACGACGACAGCGACATTGCCATGGTGCTTCTGAAATCGCTGATGAGCGCGAACGTCTTTCCAGCGTTGGCGAAATTCTGCTGCAGCGGTGGAAATAATACGGAAGGAGAGGTACAACTAGTCGAGCAGCAAGCACGACTTCAGGCCGCTCCCGACAACATCAGCAGCGAATCCATCTTTCCGGCCGTCGACTTTCTCAATTTAATCGACACGAAATTGTTGAAGCCGAAGCATTTGCCAAGGCTGGGGAAATTGTTTTTCCTCAACAACCGCGCGATGTCCGCGCTGACAAACAGTATTTGGGCAAACAATAGTAGAAAAACCCAAACGTTGTTGAATAAGGGCAGCAAGAAGATGAGAACCAAAAACAGTAAAGTGGTCAAGAAATTATCTTCGACATCCAAAATCGCCGCACGAAATTCCTCCGCTGCCCTTCGTCGGCTCTTGACCCTGACCCGAAAAACGCAGGAAGACCTCCTGAACCGGAGTCTGCAGAACCAGCGAAAACGGGAGGCGAAGCAGGCCAGTGGCGCAAAGCGTGTATCCGGAGCAAAAACGTACCCACACCATAGTCAAGTTGGGGAATCGGCTAGACAAATCCACAAGTTTTGGCTGTTTTGCATGACAAATTTGGATTTGTAGTGTAGTGCTGTTTGAGCTAGCTCAGCAGAATCACAGAGCTAGCATACCATGCTGATTGGAGAATGACAAATTGCAAAACACGATTGGAAAATGCTTCTCATGTGGCTCCGCATGAGAAACATTTTCAGCATGCAGATTTGCATTACAACTCTGGTGTGGGTACGTTTTTACTCAGGATAGCGTGTTCGCTTTCACTATGCATTGCAAATATGTCTGGGTCTGGAAGAATGCAAACTTGTGAAGCGCATTTCATAACACATAAGAACCTCTCATGCATAAGCAGCAAAGAAAAGCTGCCCACTTTCTGTCACCAAAATCGGGCATTTGTGATGTAGATTCGGCATTGCGGAAGCTTCTCGAAACCTCTGATGCTAGAGCTTCCACGCCAGCCCTTCCTTGTCATGCAAAAGCAGCATGACTCTTCCAGACCCAGACATTTTCGCATTTGATATTCACCACACGGAGACCAATTTTTTCGAGCCGGAGAGCGGACAAACTCTCGGGCGGCCGGAGGTGACCAGACTACATGCGGACGACGCGAAGGAGAGCGGAGACATCGAAACGGACGAGGAAAGGGAAGCGTTGCTGAATCCGATTAACCTCGTGGTTTTCCCACTAGAAGTATTATCCGCCGGAACCGGAGGTAGAACTACATCAGATGGAACAATATGTTCACCTCGTTTTTTCCGCGGGCGAGAAGGAAAAAACATCGCAGTTTTCACGAAGCAACACCAAATGAACCAATCATCGAAGTTTTCTGTTTCCCTCCAGCAAACTCTGTTCCGCGTCCTCTCCTCCTTCTGCACGAACCGCGTGCTGTTCCGGGGCGACAAGGACATGCAGACGCTGCAGCAAGTTCTCATAGACCTCCCGGTCCTGCGCAGCGAATACGCGAGGGACTTGCTGCTTGCGGTTTTGGGCGACACGCGCCAGACACCCGAATTTGTCAACGACACGCTGACAAAGCTAAAACAACTTAATACGGAGACGACCGCTGGTGGTGCTAGTGGTACAAGTAGCACTAGTTCATCAATATTGAACTCCTCGCACGCGGCCCCCACGCCCACTTCTAACACCTCAGCTCGCCTCTTTCGCTTCTACACGGAGCTGTTTCAAAATCCGAAGATCAGCAAAAAGATAACCGCCTTGCCGAAGGGGTTGGGAAAACAAAGCTTGACCAGCACGATCCGTGCGCTCGAGCAGCTCGTTTCCAAGTGCTGCACGACGAGGATATCGTCGGGAGGTGCTACAACTACGTCAACGGCATCTGAATTATCCACTAGTACAAGTTTTTCATTTATTCCGCAAAGCCTGGAAGCCCACGCGGAATCATTGGAGCAGGCGTTGTACCTGATCCGGACGCTGTTAAAGCACGTCGTGGTGTGTCAGAAGATGCAGAATTCGAGTTTTGTCACGGAGATTCTGCAGAATTTACCAGAAGCGGAGGAAATCGTGAAACTGTTCCCGCTGTGCATGTCCGGGTTTGAGGTAAGTGTAGAACACTACTACGAGCAGCAGAAGAAGAGGGAGGAGGAAAACAAAAATATGAAAGGTGGGAAAATGAATTCAAGAACATCTACTTCTGCTCGGCAAAAAAATCAAACGCTCGGCGAGGGTGACAGCGACGACGATGATGACCTTGACATTCATATGGTCGATCCGAATCAGACTGAAGCTGTGCTGGAAATAAACGAGGACGACGAAGGGGAAGAACAACAAAATAAAGCAGGCTGTGCAGATGAACCAGATGAAGATGCAGACATGTCCAACGACGAGGGAAGCGAGATATTAAAAACCGAGAAATTATCATCCGAAGTAGAGGAGGTGATTTTCGTGAGAAAAAATGCGGTGAAAATCCAGAACCGGCTGTTCGCCGCCTGGTGCTCCGTAATGGAGGCGTTTTTGTGTGTGCTTGGCCCGAGCAGTGTGCGGTTCGACTTCACGAAGCCGCTTTCTTCACTGGGTAATAGTATTATGCCGACGAAATTTCTGCTGGAGTTCGCCGGAGATGAAACGAGAAAGCAACGGGTTCTGGTCTATTTGAACCTCCTGCACACCCGGGTGTTTAACTGCGCAGAGAAAGCGATAGTAGGCGACAAGTACTTCCTCCATTACGTGAATGCGCTAGCGAAATTGATGCGTACAGAGGACCAATCCCTAGAAGCGGATCTGTTTGACAACACGATGCACAACGTCATGCTCTCTGAGCAGAAACAAGCGGTCAAGTGCCGCGCCCGAGACCTGCTGTTGTCGGCCTGTCTTTCCAGCGGGGTCTTCAAAAACGTCTTCGACGAGAAAAGGGTCGAGAAATTGAAGTTGAAACCGGACACCGCACCATCAAAGGACATCTTCGAGTTGGCAGTCACGGTGGACGGGTTTTTTAACAACTTCAACTGTGAAGGTGACGATGAGGCGGAAATGGAAATGGAAAGTGCCAGAAGTTGTGCTACTTCGACTTGTTCCGTCCAGCACTCGGCTGAGGTGTTCTCCAAGTTGGTCGAAGAGGCCTTTCGCGTTCGCGCCGCGTTGTACGCAGAGGACAGCAAGAAGAAAGACCAGGAGTCAACAGACCAGAACCCGCCACAGAACTACAACCAGGAGCCCCCAACAACATCTCCCGCACGGCTTCTCTCGCCCTTCGTCGTTGCTCTGCTGAAGAGGATTGTGTACTTGACATATTGCAAGGGCGCATTTGCAGTAGAAGAAGACGAGGAACTACAACAAGATGAAGAAGAGGATAAGAACGCGGATAGTAAGGAGGAACAGGACGTAGCGAAAACGGAACAAAAAGTAGACCATGGTGCGGCCTCGCCTGCTGGTGTGATGGTGATGGAGGTCGTTGTAGAAGACGATGCAACTAATACGACGACCCGAGGACAACTTCTCGCAGCAGGAGCTGCGAAGATTGATGATGCGGCTGAGGACGAGGGCAGCAATTGGAATTGCAATGAGAATGGTGCGCAAGAAGAAAATAACAATGGCACCAGCAACATCGGGGAAGTGGACCTAGAAGATTCATCGGATGAGGACTCGGACTCTGAGGGTGCGACAGGAGTCATACAGGTTAGGAACAATCGAGGAGCAGGAGTAGATCCTGCGCCATCTGTAGTAGTAGTTGTGCCCAGAAATATTAGCAGCGGTGGTGTGCGTGTGCCTCAACCGCAAGATGATCAAGAGTCGTCCCCGACGGCGTCGAGAACTATTAAACCAGCTAAAACTTCTTCCACACGACGAGGACCAAGCTCGGCCACTTCTACTCCTACTCCGGTGGAGCGAATGAACCGGCGAGAGGGGGCTTTGCTGTTGGACGTCTTAAATCGTTTACTCGTCTGGCACGAGGACTTGAGCAACCGCCGTGACGAGGCAGAGAGGGAAAAATTAAACCAGCTTCCGTCGTTTGCGTATCGGGTGTCGTTGTTTTTGCTGACAGAGTACGCGACCCGCGACGAAAAGTTCTCCGCCACCACCGGCGTGGCGCATCAGGACCGCGAGAACGCGGCGCGGAAAGCCGCGGGGGAGGAGAATTTTTTCGGGAAGGGCTCGCGGCTGGCAAAATTGATGGATTGGATTCTACCTGGAAAAATGGGAATCAAGAAGAACATGATCGTGGTCACCGACGATAGTTGTGGCACAACTTCTCTAGCGGACGAAAAGGAAGGAGATGATGAGGAAAACGAGGAAAACAGCACCTCAGCTGAAGCTGAAGCTGGTTCGCAGGATGTTTCCGGTAGAGGTACTACAAAGCGTGGTCAAGCTACGAAAAATATTAATCACCTCGAATACTACCGGGCCCGAATCTACGCCAACGCACTTCTGTGGCACGTTCGAAAAATGACGGCGGAGATTCCGACCAGGACGTCGTCGAGTAACAAAATTTATTTCCCGCGCCCTCCCTGCGAAGATATGGTCGAGAGAAAACTGCAGAAGCTCACCCTCGGAAACAGAGAGCCCGATGGAATAGATTGTTCCTCTCCTGCCATGCTGGTCAAGGAAACTTGCGGCTTTATCGAAAGCAACTTCTTCCAGCTGCACCCCTGGACCGCGGCCGAGCTACGCACGTGGTTCGCGATACCAGAGCTCATGTTGGATCTCATGTTGACAAATAACGATAATGCTACAACAACCGACGAGGAGGAGGAGCAGCCTGGAAATCCTCCTCCTTCGCCGACGAAAACCCTGCCGGAGCAGCTCGTTCAGCACTTTCTGCTCGCGAGAGGAGGAGAAGTTCATCAAGTTGGTGAAATTTTTAGAGAGGCAGACGGAACATCAAACACGAACCAGTTGCACGAAGCCGAAAGTAACGACGACGGCGGCGACGAGGGCACCAGGAGGAGCTCCTTTGTAGCGCACAGCGAGGACCCTTCTATGGTCGCCACGACCTCTTCTGGTACATCCGACAACAGCATCAACAGTCCACCGTTGGTGCTGTGCAAGAACGAAGACTATACCAGCAGCGGTAAAACCAAATCCAAAAGTCTGAGAAATTCCATCGTCCGCGGCTGCCGGTCTAACCTTATGATCACACCGGAACTGTTACTGCAGAACCTGCTGTCCATTCGCGAAAAGAAACTAGTACACGACGCTAATGCTTCTGATACTTCATCGTCCGAAGATTTCTTGCAACAAGACTTCTTTCAACAAGACGAAACGGAGGAAAAAACCTTCACCCTTCCCTGGCTCGCCCGGCACCTCCTGTTGAACGTCGTCAATCCGCGCTACCGGCGGAAAATTTTGAAGAACCTCACGGCAGAGTTTGTCGCGTTTCAGCAGCAACAGAACAAAGCGAAGGACAGTGGTACTAGCAGCTGCAGAGATCCAATTGTTAAAAATATTGTCACGAATCCAGCTAGTGTCAATTTCCTCCTGCAAGCCACCTCCAGAGATGAACATGAAGAGTCTTTCGCGACGGTGGCGAAGAAGGTCTATGACGAACAGCTGAACCACCCGGACATTTTGGTCGCCGTGCTGAAAAATTTCCTTCAGAAGCCGGAACCCAGGCAAGCGATGGCGGAGCTGGAAAGACGGTTGAAAATAAACTTGGTCTACTTCTGCTCCCACCAGAGTGGCGAAGCTGCAGGGGACCACGGAAGGGCCGGTATGAACAGTGGCAGAGGTGAAAAACAAGATGCACCTGCTTGCAATATCCTTGGAGGATCGTTCGAAGACGCTGAAGAGCAGGACCCAAAAGCGCACCCGGCGTATGACCTCGCGCTCGTCCAGTTGGTTAGACCTGACCTTCTGAGGAACCGCCGGCGTGTAGGAAGTACCAGACCTGCTGAAATTGTAGAAGAGCAAATTACAGCTATGACGAAAAAAGAGAACGCAAGCGAGCAGTTGGAGGAGTTGGTATTGGCTCTGTGCGAAACCCTGACTGCCTACGTACTCTCAGTGCCGCACGGAACACCAGTCACGGACGAGGATGATAAAGCGGATAAACAGGACGACGAAGCGAAACTGGACGTCGACGAAGCGCAACAGGATGACGAAGCAGGAGCGCAAGACCTACTTGTAGAGCCGGCGACTAAAAAAAGGAAGGTTGTTGTTCACCGAGAGGAAATGGACATGGACAGCATCAGCAAGCCAGAGGAAGATGGCCACGAACAAGTGACACTGTCGTCCAACCGATTCTGGCCCAAAAACAAGTTGTCCTTGGCGGGGTATGTCACTTTTCTGAAAAGGGACCTCTTGCCCGCGCTACTGGGGATGATCGCCGGGTTTTGTGACAACGACGACGTCGAGGAAAATAGATGTACAACATCAAGGAACAAAATTTATTCTGCTGCAAGGAACCAGCGTCTTCTGGTTGTCCTCAAGCTGATGTTTCTCCTACCGCACGTGGACCGCAGTGGACAAATATCCACCCGCAACGGCCAAAAAGTCAGGACTGAGGAGGAGTTAAAGGAACAGCTGCGGAGAAGTACGAGCCCCCTTGGCGCTCCTCCAGGAGTAAAGCTGGCAGACAAAATTGCGGAAGTAGTAGCTCAAGAACAAAGCGACGCTCCTCCAAAAGTAGATCTGGAAATAATATCGAGAGTGGTGCAAAACTTCCTCGCTGCCTACCTCCGGGACGAAACATCTTTATTTCCGAAAGAAATCTTCAACGACGGCCTTGATGGTTCAGTGAGCACGTTTATCAAATGCAAAAATGTCTGGGTCCGGAAGATTTCCAGGTTTGTCATGCATATTTCGCATGGGCTATGATGCCTGTAGTGCATGATCTAGCATGACAGATTTTTTGCGGGAATCTTGATGCCTATCCCGCATGACAAATGCCCGCTCCGCGGAGCAAAAACTGGACGCCTCTTGCTGCTCATGCAATACAGATTTTTGTGGGTTCCAAAAATAGCATCACAAGTTGCATTCTTCCAGACCCAGACATATTTGCAATGCATAACGTTCCATCAGCGCATGTGGTTTCAGCTGCGCCTTCAGGAGGGGTCTGCGGTGGATCAAAAGATTGAACGCGAAACGATGCTGAACGTGGTGGGCAAGCTGAATAGGAACAGCAACGACGAGGTATTATGATGTTGTTGACAATATTGCTTTATACTTTTTATGCAAGAACAATCTACAGAATTTTGGTTTTTCTTTTCTGTTGTCTTCAAACACATGACAACTAACAACTGCTGGGTCAAGGTCAACAAAAGGAAACGCAACAAATACAAAAAGATAAAATTAAGCTATAAGTAGCATTTCCACACCATGAACTAAACAGGCAACGACCTCGGACCACGGCAAGATCGAAGATCCTGAGATCAAGCTTTTCCACGCGTCTTTGACAAACGATTTTGAACTGCAAAAGGCGGCGTATTTCGGCTTCTTGTCTTTTGTTAACCAGACGTATTGGGACGAAAGCAGACCAAATAAAGCAAAACAGCAGCACGACGAGGAAAAGGAACAAGCAGCACAAGAAGACGGTGCAAAAATAAAGACTTCTGTCTGCCTAGACACACAACTCGCAGATGAGTTTTATTTCCAAAAAGAACGATCACGCAGCGTGCGTTTCACACCGCCGGACCTGTGGTTGCAGTACCTGTTGCCCGGAGTGCTGCGGAGTTGCTGGTGCACGGAAGAAGAAGAAGAAGAAGTACAAGGAGATGTTGTTGACACAGGAGCAGGAGAACAAAAAACGAGCAAAAAAGCACAACTCGCCGTCACCCCTGCCACCGTGGACGTGCTCGAAAAGATCGACGATGATGAAATTTTTCTGCCCCTGGCATTTGACTACTTGGAACAAATCGTAGCCCCGGTTTGTGCATCACTGTTCGTGCAATCTACTACCTCTTCCCTGGATAGTTCAAGTTCATCAACTTCCCGCGAAGCGACAGATTATAGCCTGGAGGTTTTGGACCGAGCTGAAACTACTATCGTGAAAAACCTGGTCGGAAGCTCGAACTTCCTACCCCAGGCGCGGAGGATCGCAGCACGGGCGGCGAGAGCAGCGCTCTGGTATCCGGTGAGCAGGAAGAAGATGAAGAAAAAGAAGGGGGAAAAAAATGACGAAAAGAACAAAACCAACGGATTTTTAACAGAAGAGATTTCAAGTACGTCGACTCGCAAGTGCGAAAAGCAGTCTTTTCTCAAGTACAACGACAAAAGAAAGCTGCCCTGTGAATGGAACCTGCAACTCCTGAGCTTTTTCCAGCAACTCCCTGATAAACAAGTACCAGACGCCAACGACATAAACAAGATCTCGGACCTCTTTCTCCCCTACAACGCCTCCCTCTCGACTGCCGACCAGGAAATGTACGACCTGGCGGCCTTCTGCGAACACGCCTTCGACCAGGTGGTGCCTCTGTGGGGAGGGGCAAAAGAGGTTTTCCTTGGAAAGCAAGAAAACTACCAAACGGTGGAATTGCAACTGTTGCAGGTGTTAGAGCCGAACCGACTGCGCTACACCTTGGAACACCTTTACCCGCACCTGGACGACTGGTACAATTCTGCAAATCAGCAGGCGACAAAAACGACAGAAATAACTGCTGAGATGACCAGGACCAGCAGCGCGGCGCACCAAATACTGAACCCCTCAACATCTTCGAAGACTTTATTTGACACCGCAACGGCCTACGATCTCCGGGTGCTGTTTCGCACGCTGTATCGGGAACTGCTCCAACATGGCGATGATACCGACGAGGAGTTGACGCGAGTTCTGAAGCCCAACTTGAACCTCCAGCCGTTGTACCAATCGACCCTTTTCCCGCTGCTCCTCGCAAGTCTGGGCATGCGGTGCGACACGGTGCGCAGCCTGGCTCTCAACGTCTTAGCGGTGCTGCACAGCGCACAGCCGGAGATTGTGGAAAGTTTTCGGAAAATTTGTACCGCTAACGGTGGACGATCCTCGGAGAAAGACAAGGAGGACTTGGAAGGGGTTAACAAAGACGTCGACATGGAAAGAAGAACGCGAGAAGAAGTAGAGGCTGACGTCGCTATGGAGGTGGACGGGGAAGAGCAACAGGAGGATGACATCCAAAACGACAATACGAAACTATCGCAAAAGACGCAGCTTTCCGCTAACCTCGAAAAGAACCTCGCGGCTGCCCCGATTCAGATCGCGATGCTGCTCGACCAGGTCCGCAATTCTTTGCTGCCCTTGGCGTCTGCATCAACTTCAGAAGCAACTTCTACCGTGGTCGAGCCCATCAACCCTGTTTTCGCCATGTTTTTCGCGAAATCGGCTCAGTTGTTTCTCCTGCACGATAGTTCTTCCGGTTCCTCGACGACGAGTGTGTTGAACAATGCCGGAACTTCTTCTACAAGTACAACAGCATTCAACACCTCCCATCTGATCCACAGCAACAACTTATTTCGCAAAGTGGCGAAGTTGTTCAACACCCGGCCGGACTTCCCGACCGACGAAAACACGCCGCAAAATTTGAACTGGGTCTTAGATTTGTGGAAGTCGGAAGATGCAGAGCACGCGATCGAAGAAAAGCGCTTCCTCCTCAATATAGTGAAGCACTCCGGGCACCGTGGGTACTTGCCACTGAAAAACGGGAAAAAGATGCAGCAAATCCTTGCGGAATCCGGGTCCAGCGAAATCTGCCCGTTCACGGTATTTGCCGAGGTGGTTGCCGCGGTCAGCGCTTTGGTACCGTCCGAGTCGCTTCATATGGTTTCTTCTAGGGACGAGGACGACGAGAAAACAGGGAATAATTATGGGGGCTGTACTCCTTCTTCTACAGGAGCTTGTTCTACTTCCCAAAAGCAAGTTCTCGAACTCCTAAACCAACACGGTCTGTTGGATTGGGTTTTGTCCAATGCGGACTGTGCTCGACGGTGGGACGGCAACTGGAAACTGTACCGCGTAGTGCTGGAGAAGCTGGCGATGCTCGTGCAAAGATTGTTTGACGCGTACGTGGTTTTTTGTTCCTCGCTGCTGGGCGAGCAGAAAGTCAAACACGACAAGGCGGTCGTCCAACGTGAAAAAAACTACAACCCAAGGGTTGTAGACAGCAGCAAGATGAACAGCACGACCTGCATTGTCGTGGCTGCACCCAAAATTATAAGTAAAAAGCGGAGAAGCACAACAGCATCAAGTGGGGACAACTACGAGGGTCATGACGAAGACTACCACGGAAGAAATCTTAAACTGAAGCAGGTTTTTGAAACAGTACTATCGAAGCTGACCAAGGAACACAACCTGACGATGCAAAAGTTGCGGGAACTGCATGGAGATCCTGGTGGAGTAGAAGACGAGCAGGAGGACAAAACTGGGAAAATTCTGTGCAAGTTGCGGTCAAACATCAGAATGTTGGCCTAAAGTTGTGATGTACCCTTCAATAGTGACATGAAAGATGCGCATACCTGCTACGTGAAAGATTTTCCACTTTTCGGTCACTACAGTCAGCATTTTTTTGCAAGTTTCCTCATGCAGTCAAGTCTTTTCTGGAAAAAAAATGAACAAACCTAATCATGGACATAACACGACATAGCACATAATTGAAGACGCCGCATAGAAGAATGATCACTTTCGAAGATGCTGTAAAACGAAAACCCGGCCGTGTTTTCCACGCTTGGAGGACTTGCAGCACTGTATTGATGTGCTGTGCGGACTGTTCGTATTGGGTCCCAACCAGAAAAAGAGGCTCTGTCTCTATGCCTATATGGAGAAAACTACCGTGGATCCTCTTTGTCTTTCTCATCATTATACGTATTATTTCACGAGGAGGAGCGGAAGGAAGATCTAGACTAAGAGTAAGATTGTCTGTTTGAGTAGTAGACAAGCGTAGTGAAGAAGATGATGATCCTCGTGTCAGCGTGCTTGCCAACGACAAGGCAGAAGATCTAGTTTTACTGCATTCGGCGCATTGATGATCGTGTCAACACCAACAGAGATCCTCACACTTCCTGAACGAGGCTCGTGCTGATACTTTTCGTTCGCGGCTCCTTCCGGCGTTGAGCCTTTACCAGTACTACAATGTCGGATGGCGAGAACTCGAATCACGAGTCTTTAAATGTAGTTGATTCAGATTCTGTAATACTGCTTTATTTCAGGCGGCATTCTTCTATGCTTTAATTCTTTCAGCATAACGATAAAGCGATCTGCTCTGGGCGTTTTGCATTTGTTTTTTTGCGCCGCAGGGATGATTATCCACGCAGCTATGCATGCGCGTTCAGCTTGATGTCTAGTTCACATTTGAGTTGCCTCTTAAGAAATCAACATTTCAATATACCTTAAACGCCATTTTTGATTCTTGCCGCGGCAGCGTGCGATCGTCCCGATAGCGAACGATACATCTCTTCTGTGCAAATATGGTTGCAGGAGTAAAAACCAGAATACAAGAACACTTTTGAAAATTTTGAACGATGACATCGTGAATGACTTTGCAGCATGTAATATTAAGCTTCACGCATTGTATTTGATATGATTGCGAACTTCGCTAGAAGACGACCATCATCAGCATTATCTTACGTGGAATGATAGCAAAACAAAACGAAAAACGATCAATATGTGAATAAGAAGAAGAAAGACATAAAGCGTTCCTCAGATCGATTATATGTTGGCAAAACTACTGGTATACGTATACCACTGATTGTGATTTCCAAAATCTTCAATCTTTTCCCATAAACCATATCTATAAACCGACCCGGCGAAATAAAAACAGCATTCTACTTCAAAATGTCGAAGAAGTCAACCATCTCGATGAGCCCTGGTCTCACATTGAAGACCCGCGGCTTATCACCATCTTATCGGACGAAGGCGAGATCATTCAGCTGCCTCCGCAAAGTCCTCTTCGCAACAATTTGTTCCCTCCCAGCCGGCGCGGTCAGTGTGCAGCTGCGTCGCGCTAGCAGCTCCCAAGATGCCAGTGCGCGGGTCCTCGTGGAGCAGCAACGGCCATCAACAGGAGGGGCAGCATCTCCCTTTCAACAGCCGCAAGTAGAGGACTATCAGCACAGAGGTCCACATCCTGCACCAGTTTTTGACCAAACAACGAGCCCTCACCACCTATCCGCGGCGCACCTTCGGCTTCACGACGCGCACCAAACACAACTGCACAACTCTACAACTGCTCAACAGCAATATATTCTGCAGCAACAAGCGGAACAACTTCTAGCTCAAGTTGTCCCGGCGGGCAACATGGAGCACGCGATCCAATTTATCCGGCAGCTCGAGTTTACGATGCAACACCTGCAACCCGGACAAACCAAGGAGTACGCGTTGTTACTGCAGAAACTAACCGACATGCGCCAGCAAGTGCATCAGTACTATGAACAGCAGCGCGACCACGAGGAACGCTACAGACAAATCGCCCTGCAGCAGGCCGCCGCAGCAGCCGCTAACCAGGTCGGAGGACGAGTGGAGAACACCAGACTGGAGCCGATGCAATCGTGGGGGGCCTCCTCGTCCTCCGCACATCAGGGTCTTGAAAATCATGCTGCTTTGTATCAAGATCAACATCAACATGCTACAAGTTCCCCCTCCCGCTCACCGCAAATCGCTCCTACAGGGTCGCCTGGTGCTTCCCCGTCCTGCACTTTCATCCCGGCCGACACCGGGGGCACGGGCGGCACGAGCTCTGTTGCTGGTTTTTCGCCTCTTTTATCCCAGACGGTGAGCGCCACGCCCTCGCCACAGATCACCGCTACTCTACCGCCCGGTGCTCCACCCGGCCTGGAGAGCATGGGAGGTGGTGGTGGACCATCAACTGCTACACCTAGTGGAGCTGCTGCTTTTGATGCACCCCATCAAATGCTTCTGCCGCCCAATCTCACGCTGCAGCAGCAGCAGCAGTACTGTGCGGACGCAGCCGCGGCGGCCCCTCTGTTTGCGGCTGCAGTAGCCGCAGCTGGAGCTGCTGGTGAACAACAACCACTAGCAACTGCTGGCATCACTAGTGGTACGCCAACAGCTCATGCGCAAGTGAAGGCGAAGCAGCAGGGCGACTATGACTACACCCCAGACCCCAACCTTGCACTTGCGCACATTGACGGCGCAGCGAAGGTCTACGTCTGTGTCTGTGCTGACAATGATCCAAAAGAAGAACTACAAGGAGGTGCAGCTACTGGTAACAATGTTGTCACTGAAAACGTGCAACATACCGACAACAGTCAGCCTAGCAAGGTACTGGAACAACTTTTCTCGGCCTCGTCTGCACCGGTCATGGGCGCCTCTCCTGGCCAACATTCGTCGGAGTATCAGGGGCAGCTGGTGCACGACGAAGCTGGTGTCACAGCCCCTTCTACAAGTGGGGTTGTCATGGTTCACGAAACACTGTCGCTGGAGCAAGTGGAGCAGCGCATGCGTGCGCAGCAACAGGAACAGCAGCAAAAGCAACAGCAACAGCAGCAGTTCGCGCAACAGGCAGAAAAGCGGCGGCAAGAATTTAATGAGGCGATTCAAAAAGCGCGCAGTTGGTGGCAGGAACACCAGGAGAAGGAAAAGGAACTGCAAGCGCAGCAAACAAGCGGAAAGGAAAGTAAAGTATCCGACGCCGCTTTGAACGAAAGATTCAAACAGGCCTACGCCAACAGTCTGAGCCGGCAAATGGCTCTGGGGATGGAAGTGATCGCAAATAATGCCGATGCTCCGGTCGCGGTGTCTTCCTCCGCTTCCACTGCAGCAGCCGGACCAGGTTTGATTTCTGGTACAGGAACTACAAATTCCGTCGTGCACGAGCAGTTGAAGCAGCATCATGGAAACCACCTTTTTGGAGTCCTCGACAATCAGGTGGAACACCAGCAACAACCGGAACCACCGACCTCTCCGTCCTCGCTCAACGCCGCTGCGACACAGTTCACGCCGGGACAATCCTATCACTCCTCCGTCCCGGGGCCTCCGCCTGCACATATGTATCACGCAGCGACGCCCGCCCCGGGAGCAGGTGCTAGTACTGCCACTAGCAGTGGCGTTGGGTTGTCGCATCTTCATCATGCTCAACACCTCCCTCAGCCGCCCCAACATGCTCCTTCAGTGCCGTTCCTGAGCGGTATCAAGGGAGCCGGTTCGATGAATGCACCTGCCCCGACCTCCGCACCGTCTTCGCCACTACGCGCTTCCGCTGCGCCCTACCCGGGAACAGCTGCTGCTTCCCGCGCCTCGCCCTATCCGGCGGTGCAACAACATCAAATGATAACGAATGTAGGGTCTTTGGCCCCGATCGGGCAGCACCACTTGACGCTGCCGCCGAAGGATGAGGACATGCCGGGTAAAAATAAGGGTGGGCAGAGCCAATTCAAACGACCGTTCGAGCTGGTGGAGGAGGAGCAGGAGGTCGTCGAGGCATCCCCGTCAAGGTGGAACCTTATGCTTTGCAAATTTAGATGTGTCTGGGTCTGGAAAGAAGCAAACTTCTGATGCGGATTCTGAAACGACGAAAAACAAAAATCTGTGTTGCAGAGTCAGCAAAACATGTGCCGCCTCCAGTGGATGGTATTTTGTCTCCAGGGAAGGTATAATCTCTCATGCAAACTAGGAATGGAGAGGCTCCTGCGGAATTCGTCACGCTCTTCTTTGTTTTCCAGCCCTTCGCGCAGATGCAAAAACCGCATGAAAAGTGGCTGGCTTGTTCCAGACCCAGACATATTTGCATTCGATAAAGGTCAACGCCTTCATGGCTGGGCCAGATGTCGCAGGTTCGTGGTTTGACTTTTTTATCTCCCGTAAGAGATTATGATTGGTGGTTTATTTTTCAGGGTCGCCGCATGACAGACTTTGGGTTTGCGATTTTTGATAGCAAAACTCTCACAACTTTTTCTCCTCGTCGTGTTTCCGTTCCAATCCCCATCCACAGATAAAGACTGCGAAACCAAAAACAGATCTCGTCAAGAAATCCAGCACGGCTTCTACTGCGCCTCTTCAGCCACAAGGACAAGAGATCTGGCACGGAACAACCGGTGTTCCGCCCAGCCAGGTACTTGTACACCCCGCCAAAGCGGAAGCCGACAAAGCCAACGATTCTTGGTGGACCGGCTCCGAGGCAAATCCCTGGGGAGCAGGGTCCTCGCCACATCGACGCAAAACCAGCGATAACCTTACCGTTGCCACAACGGCAAGTAACAGCACCGGGGAAGTTCTAACTGGAGGACCTACTCGTGCTCATCATGGAACATCTTCTGTTGCCCCTGCTGCAACGGCACAACCTGATCGGCTACCAAAAATGGGGCAGGAAGTAGATCACGAGGATCCGGGCAGTGGTCTGTTTTATCGCGACGGCATCATAAATCCTGAATACTATGAAACTTTTGAAGAAGATGGACGAGATGACGAAGAGGCGCCGATAGAATGGGCAGATTGGCACCAAGAGGATGAGGAGTCGGAACTGCAGCAAGTAGTAGACCCTGCTCTGCAGGCCGGTGCTGTTGACCTTGTTCCTTGGCAGACTCGAGAGCCGAAAGACTGGCGACAGAAAGCGCAGCGGGAATCGGCACAGCCCTCTTTGGTATAGAAATTTGATCCGAGAAGTGCTGGCTCAGTGTGATTTTTAGAGTTTGTTGATGCATGCACATGATCATCTTCATCAAATACAAATGACTTCTCGATAGTATGATCCTCTTCTCGATCGCAAAAAAAAAAAAAACAGAACAGGGAAGTACGAGATGCGAACGAGTAGACACCTCAAAATATTTTGACAATGTGGATGTCGCTCTTTTTGACCATGGTGCAGCACTTTCCGCATTTAACACCACCAGCAAGGGTACAAGCAGTTCTATTCCAGCAGCAAGACAAAAAGAATTCCTACTTCCTGTTGTTCCTGCATTGATGTCTTCATCAGATCAGAAAACAAGTACTTCCTCCAAACAAATCATAAGCACAACAACGACGACCGGTATTGAGCACAGGGTACACAATCGCCCTAGCGCTGGCGGCACCAGTTCCTCTTCTAACACGCGGAGCAATTTCAATTTGCTCTCTTCATCGCATCACCCGACGCATTTCTATTGTCCAACACAAACAATCGACACTGCTGCTATTGGTGGCTCCGGTTGTTGTAACTACGCATCAAAATCAAAAACAATGACCGGTGACATGGAAGCACAGGAGCGGGAAATGAAGGCCGATATTTTGTGTCGATTGCTAGCGGAACGCGAAGATCGTAGTGTGCTGCATTCATCATGGAGATTATAAGCGTCCGGAGTCACGTGGTTTTCAATCGATCGTGAACGAAGGCGACCCTTCAGGTAAATTTATCTCATTTTTGCACGTAGCTTCATTCTGAGTCTGAAAAGATCATAAAACGCCTGCAAACCAGAATTCCAGAGAACATCCAATCAGTTTTTCTTGTACTAAGTGCCAGTATGTGCATGTGATCTGAGGCGAAATACGAATACCCCAGGTACGATATTCCTCTTTCGTCCGGAGCGTGTGTTGCAAGGTGCTTCTAGCCGCCATGCCGCAGGTCCGGCCAGAGGCACAGCATGGAGCGTCGTGTGGATCTGGTTCAGGTTCTGCTGATGTTGAGTCTACAGGCACTGTAAAAATCTTAAAACGATTTTTGTACACGACTCTTAATGAACTACGACGAGCGCCTGCCGTTAGATCAGAATGAGAAATGTGATACAAGTACAACGATGAAAATAAGAATAGAAAAAAATCAAACCATACGCTGTAGATGAAGCAAGGCAACCATAAAAACTTGTGAACAATAATACTACATTGTTTTCCACGAAATTTTTGCAAAAATATAGATTAGATGTCGCTAAGCACTTCGGATCCACATTAATTATGCCGTACTGGAAAATACCGTAATGAAGTCGCTTGCTTGTCTTCAAGCTCGTGGTTGATGGAACAACAGCTCTATTGATGAGCGACATACATCTTCAGTAGCTGCTGTTTACTGAAGGCGCAGGAGCTCGGTCTGATTGAATACTTTTGAAGATGTTTTTCGAAGATGAATTCAATCGCATTGTGGTTGATGGCATTGGTTGATCCTTGTTACCTGCTGCGCTTCTGTTGAGCTAAGTAGTGTGTGTGTGCGGCGAAGTAGTACCGAGTCAGTGATTGTGGACTCTGATGCGATGTTCGACCAGCACAGAACCTCTAGTGATAAAAGATAAAGTGAGATCCTCCAGAAGTCAGTCGTGGTGTATCTGGAAAAAAGAAAAAGTTTTAATTCAGCTCATCTCGTAGAAGTGCAACCGACCGAGATGTTGAAGTTCCTAAACGTTCCTATTCTCCTGTTCTAGGTCTTATTTTCTGCTCTTCTGATCATATGTTGGTGAAATTGTGATGAGCTGCGAAGATCACGTTGTGCATAGGTCAAGATCACAAATCTCTTCACGATCGTTCGGTTGGAAGTATTACATCAAGGTCAAATCAAGGGCTCTTCTGTTCCTGCTTGTGCTTTATTGCTCACCTCAGTGTACAACAAGTAACTCGTCGAATCAGGACATGCACGTGTTGGTGTTGGCGCACTATTGTTGACCCCGTAGGCCTATTTTTAGAACTAAGAGTATTATCGTGCAAGCGTTCCCTTGTTCAGCACATTCGAGTCAGAGAAGTGGAAGTCATATTCCGAATACTAGAGTAAGTAGAATTCGAGGATGGCGAAAAAAAAATCGAAAACGAGAAAAAAAGCCGCGAAGAAGAAAACCGCTGGCGATGCTGCTCACCAGCAAGCGGGAGTTTCGTCTGCGGGCGCCATCGTGTCGAAAAAAAGCGACCAACAGGGTCTACTGCTCCGTGAACAGGAGAAAATTTCTCCGGTCACTGCTACACCAGCAACAGGGACAAGAACAGACACGCGAGCTTTTTCGTCGCAATTATGTGCTGACCAGGCCAAAGATTTTTTGTGGGGAATCTGTGACCAGTTCTTCAACGTCGCGACTTTTTGTGGGGAATCTGCGACCAAGAACCAGGAGCAGGCACAGCAAGGCGATAAAGCAAATGCGCCGGAATTTCTGAATCGCATTGCTCCATCACCGAGCGAAGGTGCCAATGGTCCGGCAGCTGTAAAAAACGTCATTGATGATGACCTCTTCGACCGCGCGCACTACATGCTTTTCGCCAATACTTCTAGCACGACGACGGGAACTACAGGCACTTCTATCACGGACGAACTAAACGTAAAAGATGCTGATCCACCTGGAGGTGTCGCAAGAACGGCAGCCGCTGCAACGCATGCTACATCAACCCTAAAGATGACGAAGACCACCGAAAGAACTCTTTCCCCCCCAGCAGCTCCCACCCTCTCTCCCAACCTTCCCATCGGCCACTCCTGGTGGAAGCCGGTGGATATCAAATGCAAAAATGTCTGGGTCTGCAAGAATGCAAGTCCAAAAATGTCATGCTTGTCTGGCATGACTTTTTCTTTTAAATCTGTGATGCATGAGCAGGAAAAGGGCCTATTGCCTGTCATGCAAAAACGCAGTTTGTCATTCAAAAAACGAAACACACAGCAGCGCAAAAACAAAAACTTGTCATGCCGGGTTGCATATTGTAGTGCGCCCACAATTCGTAGATTTGCGTCACAAGTTTCCAGACCCAGGCATAAGTATTTGGAATGCATAGTGGATGCACCAGCGACAAACCCCTGCGAAGAGCTTGCGGACAAGGTGTTCTCTTATTGGAAACAGCATCTCAAGCTAGATGACACTGTGTTTCAACATGATGCGCCGACGGCTTCAACAACAGCGTCCACCACTCAACTACCAGAAGATGTGTTGGGCGTCGAGTGGTGGATCCAAGTGGCGGATTCGAGAAAACGCCAAGGGAAAGATTTTCATTGGGACCGGGATGAGGCGCAAGAATTTTTTGAGAATAATCGAGGAGCCCGGGGGAAGATGAACAGCGACGATAAACAACAAACCGACTGCCCCTTCCTGGCCACCGTCACCTACCTTTCCGAGCCGAACCGCAAGACGAACAGCTTTGCGCCCACTATCGTGCTGAATGCCGTGCCCTTTGATCACTTTTTATCGGGAGCAGCTACAAGTTGTACTAGCCCCAGCAACAGCTCAACACAGAACAAGAACGCGGATGATGGGAACGGCAACGGCATCGACGGGAGTATTGATGTCGTTAACCAGGAGAAAATAAATCAGGATGAGAGCACAACGAAAAGAACCCTTTCTACTACGCAACAAGGCGTCTCGAAAGGCCTGATTTCGTACCCGCGAAAAGGAAAACACATCGCCTTCTCCGGAAATTTTTTGCACGGTATTCCAGCCGAATTTGCTGTGAAAGAACCTGCACATGCCACCGGCGGTGGTCGCGCTCTGAAAAAAACCAAGATTGGAAATAAAAAGTTTGGATCAGGAGCAAGGAAGACAGATCTGAAAAACGTTGGCCGCTCTGGTGCGCCGAAAAATCCGTCCTTGGACCGCGATCCCCCCAGAGTGACGTTTCTCGCGAACCTGTGGCTGGGCCGGCGACCAAGGGATGTCCCGACGTTTGGCGAGTGGAAACAAGAACGGGATGCTGTACCAAATGTAAAAATGTCTGGGTCTGGAAACTTGTGATGCTGGGTAGCGTCTCATGATGAGGCCACAAGTGCTGGCTCAGCATGACAAGTTTCTGAGCTTCTAGGTGTTGCCTATTCTGCATGACAAACTGCGTTTCTGCATCAAAGAAAAATGGAGCTCTTGGGTAACGTGCATGACAGATTTAAGAGTCATGCCAGACAAGCATGACAAACATACATTCTTCCAGACCCAGACATTTTTACAGTTGATATGCTGACCTCTGGCTGGGCCGGCGACCAAGCGGAGTCCCGACGTTTGACGAATGGAAAGAAGAAGAACGGGATGCTGACAGAATAAACATTTTCGACGCTGATGCGCGACATGGACATGCGATAAATCCACTTGACTGTAATACCAAGGAGCTAGATGATGGCCAGCGACAGGAACGTCCTCGTCCTGCTCAGCCACGTGCAAAGGCGAACCCACCTGCTCCGCCCACCAATTTCTTTCGAAACATTGTTGACAGCAGAAGTTGCTCTTCCTCTTGTGCGCCAGGGGGTGCCGGCAAGAACAGTTGTACAATCGCCGAGCCCGAGGCCCCCGCATTGATAACGGCGCCCATTAAAGAACGCACCTCTGGCAGCAGTTGTGACGCCGCTGATAGAAATTCATCCATATTCAACGTGAAACTCACAGAAGCAGACGTCAGGGACGCGGCAGGGTTTCCGTTTGTGCACTCGAAACGATTGAAGAAGATGAAAAAGCGGGAAACGAGGAATATGAAGAAAAAGAGAAAACTTACAAACGACAATCATGACCGTGACGAAACCGATGAACAACAGGATACCTCCGTCGACCCAGCTCTACATCACGACGAAAATTACTGCCTGTGGCTCCCATTTCCGAAGAAGAAAATCTTGACGGCACAAGATTCTCTACATGTGGATTTCGAGCTTTTCGACACGCCGATGATGACGAAAACGAATACAACATGCGAGAAGATCGAGGAGATCGATAAAAATGCGACCACAACAACTACCGACGAGATAACGTGTAATATTACAACTTCTGATGCTGACGATGACGAAGATTGTCCACCGATACATCACTGCTTCATTGAGCGACAATGACCGACAACACGATAATTATCACACACATAACAAAAGAATGTTTCCGAAGAAAAACAACAGAATGCTTCCGGTGTAGAAGGACTCAAACTCATAAATATTCAACGCAGGCGGATATGATCTCGCCATTAATTTCTTCGTGTTCAATTCCATTATCATCAGGTAATCGGATACTCATTCGAAATCATAAGAAAAAACAGATCAAAGAAAGAATCAGGAGATCGAATTTGGATTTAGATTTTTCTTCCACATTCTCCAATTCGCTTTTTATTTCAATGGATTTATTCTCATTCATATTCATATGTGTTATTTGGAATCGATATCGTGGTCTATCTGATAATCAGGGATGAGAATATCGATCGAAATGAATATGTGTCATCTTAATTGAGTCTGAAAGAAAAAGAATATCACCCGGAGCCGCGCCCTGCGGGGCTTTTGCTAAAAAACGCCTAAAAATTTTACGGGCCGCGCCAAAAGCCGGGACCCAAGCAGCCGGATCATCACATGGCGAGAGCGGCCACAAAGTTGGCCACAAGGCGCGCCTACCCGCCCGGGGGTCGGCATCGAAGCAGAACGACGGCCGCTTTCCGGCAAAGGCCAAGCGGGCAGGCACGCCCGCCCCGGACAAAGAGGCGGGCGCGGCACCGGACACAATTAGCGAAATCCGCGGCCGCCTTGAAGGGGGAAAAGGCAACACGCCCTGCGTGCCCAGGGCCAGGGCGGTGTTCCGGGGCGTGGTCCACGCGAACGCGCCATCCTTCGCCCGGGCCTCGCGAAGTTAAGAGTCGGGGAAAAATAAGACGGCGCCAAGGAGCCGGGCCGCGGGTCCTTGAGGCCGCCTATTCCGCCCACTATCGGCGGGCTTATTTTCACGGCCCGAAAGTTGGCGGGCGCCTTTTTTGCGATTTCGTGTGCGATTTCAGTGCGCAAAAAAATAAAAGAAAAAATAAGAAAAAAAATAAGACCCCCCGGCCCGTGGCCGCGCGCGCAATAGTTGGGGAAATAAGAGAAAAAGTAAGAGTTATTTTAGGCGAAAAAAATAAGAGAAAAAAATAAGACTTAAAAGTAAGACACAAAAGTAAGACCAAAAAGTAAGACCAAAAAATAAGACCACAAAGTAAGACCGAAAAGTAAGACCAAAAAGTAAGACCAAAAAGCAAGACACAAAAACGGGCCAAGAAAATAAGAGCTTGGTCAGCCAGCCAGCCCCAGGCAAATTCGGGCCAATAGAATCAGCGTAAAAAAGCATTAATAAAAAAGCTGCGCCGGGTTTCGCCCCATTGGTTTCGTGTATTGATTGGCCAGGGACTTGCTTTGCGGAATTCCCGGAGGGCGCCGCGCGGTTCCCCCTTGGGGGAAATTAATGGAGCCCGGCGCCCCCTTCTTTTGTTCCCTAGGCCAACGGGTTCCGCGTTTGGGTTTTGTGTCCGTCGCGAGGGTGTAGCCCTGCCCTTTGCCTTGCCGAAATCCCCCGGCCTGCCGCCGGGGACGGGTTTCGGCGGGTTGCTTCTCGGGTGGCGTTTTCGTGGTTGTGTTTCTCGGCCCGGGGGCTGGGTTTTGCCTTGTTTTTCCCCACGGGGCCCGAGGGGGTAGGGTGTCGCCCGCCGGTACCGGGAAGCCGATTCCGGCCCAACCTGTGGCCTTTGGCTGGTAGCGGGGCCCTTCTGGGCCAGAAGGGGTCGAGGGTTTTTGCAGAGGCGGCGGCAGGACTTGCGACGTTTTTCGCAAGATCTCGCGGCCAGACCTCTGCAATAATTTTTGCAATAACCTTTGCAATAAAATTTGCAATAAAAGTTGCATTAATTTGAAAACAAGGCGAATCCTTAGGGATTTCGCACCCCCAACAAATTAATGCAAATTTTAATGCAAAATTAAACCACAAATTAAACAAAATTTAAACCACAAACTAAAACAATAACCACAGCGGAAAAGCAAACTGGAGAAATCCGAAAACTCGCAGTGTTTTGGGCGCGGTTTGCACAGCAAACGGGGTGGCCCGGGGCTTTTGTTTTTGGGCGCCGTTTTTGTGGAGTAGGTTTTTGTGGCGCAACCCTTGTGGCCCCTGTAGTGTCTTGTCTTGGCCCTTTGCGGGGTTTTCTTTGGGCTTCCGTTTGAAGCTATGCCAGGGTTGCCCCCCTGTGTTGCATTTGTTTCATAGGACTGTGGGGGGTTTTGGTTTGCCCCATTTTGTTGCCGGGCCCTGCTTCCGTTTCGTGATCGGGCGCAGAAGCCTTGGGCGCGATGGGCCCGCAGGCAGTCGGCCCCGGTTGTCCTCGCGCGGCCGCAGCCACCGCCTGTGTTCGCCCCCTGTCTGTTTGGGCCATGTGCCGCGCCTTCCCCCTGGCCATTTGCGCCGGCATTTTGGCGCATTTGTTTGGCCCCCCTCCCGCTTTGAGATTAATGCTTTTCCAAACCAAATTAAAAGCGGGCAGCTTGCCCGGGGCCGGCAGCCTGAGCTTGGACGCGGCCGCTAATTAGAGCGCAGCAAAGGTCTCGCGCACAAGGGTGACACCCCGCCAGCTTTCTCCCAATTCCGGAAGTGCGCCAGGTGGGCGGCCACAATGCAACAGAGACTCACGAAGAGTAAAACGGGGCGAAGCCAGAAGCGAAAGCCTGTGCCGGAAAGGGCGAAGGCCATCCCGCAAGGCGTGGCGCCGGATGAAGAATATCAGTCAGAGAGCCCGCGGGCCGCGGGAGGCACTAAATCCCAGCTAATTTTTGCGGGATTTCCCCGAAGCCCTTAGGGCGGGCGGTGGTTTTCCTCCTCGGGCGTTGAAGGTTCCCGGGCCCGCAGGGTTCCACCCTTTTCCACCGCGCCCGGGGGGCCGGGTTTTTTTCAAATCCCCCCGTTGGCCCCGCGTGTGTTTTTCAATGAAAAGCCACGACGGAAATTAAAGTTTAAAAATTAGGGCCGTTTGCAGGGGATTCGGAATTTCGAACGCCGCGGGGGCTTCTTTGGTATTTTCGTACCCGGGTGGCCCCGAAGGTGGAGGGCAGCGCTCGTGGTCTGGTTTTCATGGGGGCCCTCGGATTTTCGGCTTGGGTTGTGAAGACCTGGGCCGTGTGGCCAATGTTGCTATCCCTGCACCCTATCCCTGTTTCGTTCTTTCGCAAAGCCATTGTCGTTGGGCTTTTCGAAAGCGTTCTATTTTTGGGCTTTAGGTCGTATTCTATTTTGGACTTCTAAACGTGCTCGCTGTTTTGCTTTCTATTTTTCTGCGGGATTCGCGTGTTCGGCAGCTGTCTTTTCAACTTCTATTTTTCGCGACACTGGAGATTTCCAAAGGAAATCCTCCAAGGCGCGAATTTAGAAGTTGAAAAGCAGCCGCTCGAACATGCGAATCCCGCAAAAAATAGAAAGCAAAATAGAAGCACGATTTAGAAGCCAAAATAGAATACGATTTAGAACCCAAAAATAGAACACGATTTAGAATACGAAAATAGAACATGATTTAGAATACGAAAATAGAAGCAGAATTAGAATAGAAAATAAAGCCCAAAAATAGAAACAAAATTAGCCGCAGAATTAGCAGCGAAAATAGCCGCCCGCGGGGGGTGTTTCGTATGGCTGTAACTGGGTGGGGTGTTCAATGGTTGACTTTGCTTTTCGGGCGGTTTTGGGATTTGGGGTTTTGCTTTGTGGGAATTCATCCTGTGCGAGATTGCCGGCGTTGCCATGCTCCATGTGTAGAAGGCGGCCTGCTTCTCGTTGTTTTGTTTTTCTTGTCCTGGAGCCCCTCTCCTGATTGTTTTGGGACCTCGCGCGCGGCAACTTGCGTTGTCGCTTTTTCGGGCTTGGGCCTTCAACTATTATCCCGCTTGTCGGGGTTTGAAAAAATCCCGCAGAAATTAGCTGGAAATTAGCGGCCGCCACCACCCCGGGGTTTCTAACTGAAAGAATATAATCAGGCCGGGTCTGGAATTTTTTTTTTTTTTGAAAATTTGGAATATGAATAGTTATATCAAACGGGCCCGGGGCCTAATTCCATTTCAAACCAACTTCAAACTCATTTCAAACATTTTCGAAATTGCGCTTTTCAGATAAGAGTGAGCGGCCTGCTTGGGCTCTCCGAAGCCCTCACCGACGGCGCCAAAGGGGGCCGCTTTGGAACGCAGGAGAGCCCAATCTTCAGCCAGCAAACAATCCTGCCACACTATTATAGAGTCCTCCCTAGGCTAAATTGGAAGGACATACCGCCACGAATGTCCCCAGTCAAAGAACCCGAATTCCAGTGCCTGCGCCCCCCGCGGCCCTGCGTAAGAAATACATAATTCCCCAAAATAGCAACTGCCACCCCTCTTGCATGCCGGCAGAAAGGGTCCCCGGGGCTCTCGTCGCGGGGACCTTCATGCCCCTACCTTCGAAACACCTCCACCGGGGCCCCGCCTGTTGTTGCACATGCCACACACAGCGGCGCAACGCGACAGATGTGCCCGTGCCTGGCTGCCTCCGAGCAGACCCATCAGACCCCAATGCGCGAGCAGCCCAGGCCCAACGACCACAACAAGCAACCGGGGGGCAACCCGACAGGTAGAGCTCAGCGCCCGGGCTACAGCAGGCGTTGATCTCCATTCAAGTCAGGTGGCCAGCATTCGCCGGCGCGAAGCGCCGGCCCCAGCAGAAGCGGGGACGACCTCACAAAAAGACGACTGCAATCCGGCGTTTGAAGTTGGTTCGAAAAATCCAATCCGCCGTTTGAAGTTGGTTCGAAAAACCCAATCCGGCGTTTGAAGTTGGTCCGAAAAGTCCAATCCGCCGTTTGAAGTTGACCGGAAAAACCCAATCCACAGTCCGAACCAAATTCAGTCCAAAAAAGTCTGGGCCTGGATTCTAACATGGCGGATTTTTTTGGACTGTTTTCGGATTGACCTGGATTGCTGCCGGATTGTCTGTCGGACTGATCTGGACTGCCTGCTTTCGCAGTGCGGGTCTTCGGCTGCTAGAAAGAGCAACCGCCGCCGCCTGCGCTCGCTCGGCGCCCCAATGGCAGCCAACAGGCGCGCCGCCTCTTGCGCCTTTGGAGGGGCGGAGGGTCGCAAGATTAGGCTTCTCCGACTGCGCTTTCCGCTTGCAGCAGCAGCAACATTAAGACCAAGCGCAGAAGCCAGGGGGAGCTGGCTTGGACGTTCGCAAGACACTACTTGCCCCTCCTCCCTCGGCGGTCCGCCTCACGCCAAAAGCTGGCGCGCATTTATATGGCGCAGGAGATGAAAGCAAGCCTCTGCTGTGCCTTGGCCGTGCTGTCGCCTACTCGGCCACCCTGGACGGAGCGGCGCTCGCCCTCATGGCTAAGCATGGAGAAAATGAACCGCATTAATAACGCGGCGCCCATCATTGATTTGTCTGCTTCCATGTAGCTAGCCTTGCCCTACTTGGCGCCGGGGCGCGTCTATAAATGGCCCAAGTCGTCAGCGCACAAGTGCGGCGGGCCACATGCAAAGCTGGAAACAGATTTGTAAAGAGCGCAAGGGTTTTCGTCTTTCCTTTTTTTGAGTAAGAGAACCGCGCGCCCTCCAAAGAAGCAGACACTTGTAGTGGCAAGAATGCATCCCCCATGTTGAACCAAATGAAGCTAAAAGCACTCCTCTGCCACCTTGCGACCCGCTTTTCCCGAAAATCAAGGCAGGACTTCTTCGATTTTCAAAATGTTTGAAATCAGTTTGAAGTTGTTTTTAATGCATTTTTAGGCCGGGCTCGTTTGCGTTAATGAATAGTTGCAAAGTTTCGAAATAAAATCACTCATAATCAATTTCTGAAATGAATCTGGGATCTGTATTCTATGATATCGAGTTGGAAATATTTTTCAAAATAATTTTTGGGTGTTGATATTTCCAAGATCTTTCTCATTAAATGGATTCAATTGTTTGGAATCAGGAATACAAGTTTTCAAATATTTTTTTATTCAATATTCCTTGGATAGGATTTTTTGAAAAAATGAAAAATAATGTGCATGGAGAAATGAAAAATCGGATGAGGAATATTTACAAGATATCGATATGTGATAAATTGATATTTTCCCGAAAATTTTTCCTGAAAATTTTTGGAAAATCTTTCATAAATTTGATTTGAATCATTGAGAATCTGAAAAAAATTCTTCTTCAATGAAACGACTTTCATAGAAAATTCTTATTTGAAACATATGGATTTCTTATCATATTGTAATTCTTAATTCTCGAAATAGAATCTGAAGAAAATTACAAGATTTTATGATTTTATCACCCCCATTTTCATTGCTTTGAAAAATTCATTGAAATATTTTAAAGAAATTTCACCCGATAAATGCTTTTTTTTTATTGAATTCAGAGAACAGAGACGAGATATGGATCCCGAAATAGAACAGAAATGAAACCCAACAAAAACAGGAAAGAAAATTATCAAGTGATAAGATCGAATTTGATCATTAGAATCTCATCCTTTCATTTTATCAGAGAAAATTTCAATCGGTATCATGAATCCAATCAAGATAATCAGGAGAAAAAAAAAGAGACCGGCACGCGTTGAGGCCTAGACTTTTAATCACGACGCTACGATGAGGGTTAGTATTTTTGTGTCCAACATACCCTCGGGGAAAAAAGGGGGCCCCCGCCTCCCGCCCTCTCGCCCGCTGGGCATCCCGCCTCCGCAGGGGGCCCCCGCGCTTCCGGCTCCGCAGGGGGCCCCCGGCCTTCTCCCGGCCGGGCCGCCCGCGGGAGGCCGGACGGGGCCACCCACCGTCCTTCTCCACGGTAAGTCCCTCCCGCGCGTAGGGGGCCCGCGGCCCCCACCTTTGGCACCCAAGGGGGCCCCCCGCCTTTCTCTCCCGCCCGCAGGGGGCCCCCGGCCTTTTTCACCTGCCCGCGGGGGGCCTCCGTGTTGGTCTGGGTCCGCCGCCTTCTTTTCCCACTCGCATGCAAGGCCTCCTGTCGCACGCGTACATCGCTCCACACCCACAACAGGGGAAGCGCAGCGGGGGCCCGCCGCGCAGTCGGCCCCGCTGCCGCAGGCAGCGAGCTCGCCCTGGTGTCCTGCCGTCCCAAGCGGCAACACATTCATGGGGCCCGTGCGGCTGAAGTGAACCACTAGCGCCGCTTAGGCCTCTGCGCGGGGTCAACCGCAAATACGCGGCCGAAATGAACCAGTAGGCCCGCCCAGGAGGCCTCTGCGCGGGGTCAACCACAAGTACGCGGCTGGAGCAGGGCAGACATACGCAAAGGCCCGCGAATAACGCCTGAACACAGGGCGACGGTTAGGTGGGAACGCGGGCACAGAGTTGGGCACGCTGGCGCGCTGTGTGCGGTCGCCGACGTGGAAGTGCTGCCCGCGCGTGCCGAGGTGATCGGCCTGCGCAGGTGGCGGGGGGCCTCTGCAAGAATTAGGGGCAACAGCCGTAATGGGTTTTGACTAGTGTGCGTGTTGGTTAGGAAGACCGCCTGAGCTTTGTTTTCGTGGAATACGCCTGATCGCTTTGTGCGGGGGAGGGTTGTCAATGCGCCATATTGACAACCCCAACCACAAAGCTACCAGCGAAGACGGGGGGGGAAGATACTACCAAGCACTTGACCAGCGTCGGCGCGACAAGTCGCCAACATGTGCCACCGCGCGCAAAGATGGACACCGCCCGCATATGCGCCCACGCGCACCAGCGTGGGCGCGCCGGAAATACTGCCCACATGCGCCAGCGCGCGACCTGCCGTACGACCTGCCGTGCAACTCGGGCCATACCATCGCGATGCGCAAGGCAAAGCGTGCAACTGTTGCACGGGTTGCATGCGTTTCCTGGACATCTCGGAAGGCCCATACCGCCCTGGTTCGGCGCAAAGTGTTGGGATAGCTGCATGGCGAGTTGCACCGTGCAACTTGCCGTGCAACTCGGGCCATACCATCGCGATTCGCAAGGCAAAACGTGAAAAAGTTGCACGAGTTGCGCAGGTTTTCGGGACATCTCGGAAGGCCCATACCGTCCTGGTTCAGCGCGAAATGCTGCGAAAGTTGCACGGCGAGTTGCACCGTGCAACCCGCCGTGCAACTCGGCCATACCGTCGCGATTCGCAGCAAAAACGTGGAAAAGTTGCACGAGTTGCACAGGTTCCCGGGAAATCTCGGAAGGCGAAAACTCCGGGACCCCGGAAAGACGTGACGAACGGCAAAGCGAGCGGATTGGAAATCCGTGCTGCCGCGAATTTCCAATCCGCATGGTATGGTGGGCGTTGGGCAGTAAAGTCGCTATGTTTTCATAGCCTGAAAAAAGGCGCTCCACGAGGGTACTACGCCCGGGTATATACGCAAGGTTTGACCCAAATCACGATGCTACTACGAATAATTCTAGGCCTCAGCGCGTAGCGTACCGTTCTGGAAAATATTTGTTGTTGTGGATTGTGGAAGCTCTGCACGAAGATAATGCAACGTCGAATGAGGATGCAGCTGCTGTTGGGAAGATACAATGATCACGTGAACGAACAAATGAAACACGAATGACGAGAAGTTGTGGGAACGACTACTTTTGGACGACAAAAAAAATGAAGCAAACGAACAAACGAAAACGTGCACGACAACACCACGGAAACTTTCTTTTGCAGCTATCTAAATTTCTTAGAATAGAGACTTCACCGACATCGACGATCCGCCACGATAGGGTACTCACGCACCTCTGTTTATTTGTTTGAGCGTGTTTTATTGCGCTATCAAACCGACCACTGAGAGAAACTGCAATACCGCCGTTAGAAGAAAAGTAGAAGGGACGCTTCAGTGTCGTGTGCAACGTTGACGAGCTGAAGATCTGATCAAGGCGGCAAAACAAGTAGAAAACACTTTTCTCGAGTTTCCGATCCGGAAGTCAATCCTGCAAAAGAAGCAAGTGCTCGGCAAGCGCTACTAGATCTAGATGTACGTGTACTACAACTCCTTCTCTCGCCACAAGGGGGCGCGCTTTTTTGTTGCTGAAAAAATTGTACAATGCTTTCATCATGTCTTCGTCATTTTTTTCCTTCTACCTTCGAAACCGAGGAAATATGCTAATGCAGCTAGATGCTGTAGCTACGCTGTTCTTATATCACTTCCATTCTTTACTTTTTTACTCATCTATCCCATGTTAGTTCACTCTCGTCTCGTGCTTCAAAAGTTTCTTGAAATTTGTTACGCTTGATCTTGGTGTTGTAAAAACCATCTGAAAATCAGTACTGTAGTATGCCGATCTGAGATATTCATAAGAAGTAAATAAGCAGTGCGGTAAAAAATCATACTTCAGAAAAGGGATACACTACGTAGCGATTAAGAAACAATGCTTGTGCTTTATCCACAGCTGTTGCTTGCACTGGGTGTTCATCTAATCAATGTTCCACTTTGTTTTCCTCCAAAACATACTCAAAACAAATGCCACAGACAGTGACAATTTGTCTTCGATAAAAAAGACCCATTTCTGCGCAGAAATTCAGTCAACACCGGTTCGCAGGTGCCAAGGGTGACATCTCCGAAGGCGGTGACAGGCATGCGGCCTGGCTGCGCACAGGTTCTTCACGTTTGAGCAAAGCTAGACGTAGGCCTTACAACCCAATCCAAGGAACAAGGCTTAATACTAGTTTTTCTTTCTACGGTTCTCATCATCCAAGGGCACGCTGCCTCTGTGGAAACGTCGAGAAGCGTTTATGTATTTAAACTTCCATTACCATTACGTACCGCCAAGACATTAGATAGAAGTAATGCACGAAATCAATTCAACTCGCCTAGCCCTAGCCATAGATATTATCTTTCCATCCTCATGGTGTCGCCCTTGCTTTTCTTCTTGGATTTAACAGTAGATCCTCTTTTGCTACTCCGCGCGCTTTTCGGCTGCTTGGCAGTGGTCCTGCCTCCCGATTGTTTTGCCCTTGCCGCTTTCTTCCTGCCAGTAACCGTTCTGCTTCTGGCATCCCGACGGGTACGGGGCGCAAGCGTCATATGCACTCCCCGCTCCTGAGCACTGAACGAAAGCTCTGCACCAGAGGCCCATGGCTCAATGTAGCTGTGGTAGATGTCTTCCACCACTTCGCGAAACATTTCGAGGACGTGCATTTCCTGCTCGGAGTTCTTTGGCTGTGCGTCGGCATGCAATTTTCCGTCGGCTGAACATGTTTTCGGGCGGCTGATAGACAAGCGCGAAAGCCTCCTCTCCAAGACGTTCATCTCGTCGGGGCTGCAGTTGCTACTGAGTTTTTTATCCTCCTGCCACGTCGCTTCCTCGTGGTCCACCTCCCGCAGGCGCTGCACGCACGCAAACGCACCGTGGCCGGGCGATGGGCACGAAACGATCAGGCGGTCGCCCTGTGGGGAACAAAACTCAGCCTCCTTGACATACAGCTTGTCCTGGACCCGCACCTCGCACGGCGAGAGGTTGTAGCGAAAGACGCCACTGGTGATGGCGCTCTCGGTCCCTTCGTCTCTCTCATTGCGACGCACCTCCTCGCTAACGAGCTCCACCAGGCGTGCCCACGTGCCCGGCTCTTCACACCGGGGGCTCACGTCCGTGGTAGTAGAATTAGCAACTTGTTGCAGCGCCAGGTCGTCTCCCGAGAAGCTGCAGCAGGTCTGCGCACTGCTGGGTCTGGCGCAATGTGTTGCAGCTGGCGTCCCGTCCTCCAAGCAGTACTGAAAGAGACTTGCTGCTTCTTGTGTGCCGACATGATCTTCTCGTGGCGCCTCGAACCGAGTGGTGCTGGCCGGAAAGGTTCGTTGCATGACGGCCAGCGCCGCCAGGATGGCTAGGAGGGAAACAACATCTTTCGGCGTCGCCGGGCCACGCCCCCACGACCCCCGAAGGCTGCCGAACTTTGCTGCCACGGCGCTCTTGATTTTTCCGAAGAGCCCACGGACGGTGCGTGAAGAAGGTTCTTCGCGCTCCAAAACCTGTCTGCCACCCTGTGGCGGACTTTCGTCCCACCCAGCACCCTGATTTTTTACCTCCGGCAGAGCTTCTGTCATAACTCCAACCTCTTGCGTGGCAGGCACCGCTGCGCCGTCCCTGTTTCCTCCTTGTAAAGCAGATTGGGAGCCCGTCGTGCCGATGCGCTTACTTTCCCTCTTGTCGATGACAGCTTGCAGAACAGCATCAAGGCGAATTTCCATTTCCTTCTCCCACAGCGGCAGAATTTGCGGGGAGGCCACAGCGGTCGTCCCGCCAGGGAGGAGCGTGCTCCAGTATCACGATGCAAACATTCCGCGACCGGAAGTCAATCTTTCAAGTACAACAACCTACTCGCGTCACTAAATGGTGTATAAATTCCTTTTCTCAGTAGCCCTTAATGCAAAGTGACATGACGAATGCTCTGAAGCCGCATGACTCCTGGCCGGGAAAGTAGTGCGTGCACTTCATACGGCATCCAACTTCTCCGACAGTTTCTGCAATTCCCTGTCACGCCGCAAACCCTTGCTGCCAGTTTTCCAAGGTCCGCGTCCGTCTGCCGAAAGAGATCGGACGAGCTTCTCCAGCTGCGCTTTTTCTCGCTTGGAGGGGTCGCCTGCAAGTACCAAACTCGGAGGAGGCGTCTTCGCGCGAGCAGGCAGACGACCGCGCACGCGTTGGCCGCCGATATCGTGCTGCTGTGCTGGAGCTGCACGGCAAGGGGCAATTGTTCGTGCCCTACCCGCCTCGTCCGTAGCGAACGTGGCGGGGGCCGCCCGGGACGAGGTCTCCTGCGCGTCGTCGTTCAAAAGTTCCTCACCAGATTCTTGTGGCAATGTCTCATGACTTGCGCCCGTCACCTGACGCGTCAAATTATCACGCACGAAACCCCATGCTGACGCGCCAGCAAACTCGCACCTAATCTGCACTTGGCGACAGGCAACCTGATTCTCCTGCAGCAGTGACTTAATTGTCAACTCAAAGCGATCGCCCATAAAGCGCAAGCCTGGCCCCACAAGTCGTCTTTCTGTCTTGAGGTCCCCGTCCTCCATTACTTCGTCCGGTGTGTGCCCAGATATTTCAAACTCCCTCCGAGCGTATGCAAAAACCTTTTGCAACAGGTAGTTGGATACCTCACATTGAGGCTGGAGTTTCTGCTCATGGGCGGAGCGGCTGGCCAGCTCGTCTTCTGTCGGCCCTGCCAGGGCGACAACGCCGGTCAAAAAAGAGTACTCGCTGTCCCGGACAAGCAAGAGCGTCTGTTGTAGAATTACGAATCTTCAAAACTTTTTATTCGTTCACATTGGGCGAAACTGAATCTGAGAAATAGAGCGTTATAACATACTCTGTTATTCTTCTTGTACTCGTTCAAAACATATATATTTTTGCGGAAATCATCAATACCTGCAGCCCGGCGGTGCCTTCGAACATGACTGGTAGCGTTATCATAGGGTGGCTGAAGGCATCGTTTGGAAGTTTTGCGATTTCTGCTGTGATGCGGCTCTTGAACGCACCCTTCTCGATTGCGGTATGAACACCGAGATCCCTACTCCACCACGTCCCTAAAAACCTGATCGGTTGGACATCCTGGCCGTCCTCGCCGGGAGACGTGGGTGAGTCAGAGCGAAGCAGGCCAAAAAAGGATAGTCCTGTGCTTTTCGTGTTGCCCCCAGCTGGTGGGCTTCTGTGGCCGCCAAAAAAGCCGCCCCCGCCAGGATTATATGGAGGCGACGAACCTCCACTGGCGCCGCCACCACCGAACTGCCCGCCGTGTGGGTGATACGGTGGCGATCCTGAAGTGTTTCCATCACTATTCCCACCTCCAGGTGAGCCACCAGATGGACCACCAGGCGGAGGTTGCGGTGGTCCTGCACCTGTTTGACATGAATGTAAAAAAAAATAAAAACCGATCTTGATATGCGTGCCTCGTGCCAAGAAGCATAGGAACACCGTCAGCCCTGCGTCAAATCGCAGCTAGGCAGTCTTCACGAAAAGCAATGTAGCACACGAAGATCGTCGTCCGTATCCTCTTTCCATACTATGCGCAGGGTACAGTTGCAGCACGCTTCAGTCCTTGCAAAGGTCCGAAAACTGCAAAAACGCTAGCAACCGCATCAGAAAACGAAAACCAAACTACTATAAATAGAATAAATACAGAGACACATAATCAACTAGAAGTACGTGAAGAAGGCAACGGTACCTGCAGTACTGGCGCCTCCGGAGACTTCTCCTGCGTCCTCATCAAATAGTTCCATTTGAATGAATCGGCGCGATTTTCTGAAATACGGACCGGGGGTGAGGCTGTAGAGAACTCGATCCGGAGCGTTGAGTGGCCTCACCCCCTCCAACAGGCTGGCCTTCCGATCTGCAAACAATAACGGGGTCGGGAGGCTCTCGGACGCCGGCGCCGATCCACCAATAGAGACACGCACGCTGTCGAAGCAAAGATAACCACGCCTTGTATTAGACTTCATTGCACTGAGTTTGATAGATACGCAAATCAGAAACATGGTCATCCTTTGGCGATTAAGTACGTATCAGGATGGATCGACGCGCCCCGGTAAAACATAAACTGTATGGCCTTGTTGCACCGCTACGCGACGGACGTGTATGTCAACATACTTCTATGTCATACATGTAAGTATGTCATCTCTATAGGATGGAGATAGGACAGGCATGTGGACCAAAATGCAAAATGAAGATTTCGGGCGATGGCATCTTTCAGAAGGGATACACACCGCTGGCCACGAAGCCGAACGGAATTTTGCTGCCGTTTTTGTCTTTCCAATACTTCTCGACATAGGCATCCATTGCAGCCCCTGCTACCCTTTGTACCGTCCCCATGTTGTGAGTCGAACTGACAGGCAATGCGGGGGAGATCAAGACGGGGTCGTCAGCGTCACTGAGTTTCACAACGAGCTTAAAAAACGAAATACTGGGACTTAGGTCTGGCTCTTCACCTGTTGTAAATGGGATTGGATCGAACGTTGACGAAACTATCAGCACGGTCGAAAGTGAATGCGCCTCACATTTAGAAAAAACTACCAATCTCAAGCAGATGACGACGGGGCACTCAGAGACAGTAAGTCTTTGCAACTCTTTGATACGAGCAAAGCGCCGAGTGTACTGTGTCCTGAGTGTCTGAACATAGAAGACCAGTGCCACAAATACAAAGCGTGAGTAGGCATCTAACTTGAGTCACATCATCAATCATCATTATGCGCATGGTGCTTTTCACGTAGAATGAAAATATCGTATTGCACAAAGAATCTAACGCGTAGACACGTAATAATAGGATGAAAAGACAAGACTACGACACTACCTCCAGGCATTGCGCAGCGATGTACTGCCTCCCCCAAGCGATCTTGGACATCGCTATCTCTGAGAAGGTCCGCGTTTTGGGCAATAGCGGTGTTTCGACTAGCTCTGGCTTTGCGACGTGGGGCAGCATCAGTGTTGCTGGTGTAATCAATGTCGCTTTCACCTGTGGGGCTGTACATCACGTGCATCAGCCGGCAATATCGAAGTAGCTTTCCGCGGTGCGAAACAATGTGACTCTGGTCGTCACCGAGACCCTTCAACAAAGCCTGGCTCCATTTCCACGCGCCAGCACGCGCGCCCCTGGATGTGTGTCCTGTGATGTGGAGTGTAACTTTCAACTTGTGCGATGAAAAGAGCGTTCTTCGCAGTGTCAGTGTCACAAAAGGTAGCGCGCATCTTCTGAAAAATGCAACGACGAAGTAAACTACTTCAATCAAATAACAACAGAAAAGTATAACTCAGGGCTGAAAGGTTGCTATTGATGTACCATTGCATATCACTTGCGGAAGAAAATCTACTTACGCTGCCAAACTACAGGCACGTGGCACAAAAACTGAATAGAATGTTTTTACGAATGCATGTCGGCACGAGCGCTAGCTGCTCACTTTCGACGAAAATTGTTTGGTCCGGCCCTTCGTCAAACCCAAAAATATGATGGTAACACGATTCCAAATCCAGCTTCCAATTTTCGATTCGCCTCTGCAAGACTGTTTCTCCATCTCTTTCGGCAATTTTCCGCACAATCAATTTCAACGCAAGATCCATGTCAACTCCAGTTCGTCGTCCTGGAAGAAGAGCGCCACTTCTGGGATCCGTCCGCAGGTCTCGGAATTGCCGTCCGAAAATTGCCCAGAGATGCGACATAATTTCATTCACAGCGACATCTGTCAACTCACTACCAAGACGTTCTTTCAGCTCGTCCTCGCCGATTCGAACGAAAACTTCGATCACACTGTCACAGCCGTCTTCTACCCCTCTTCCGCATTTCAGTTGTTTCCTCGCACTCTCCTTCCACGACTCGACACCATGCTGCCGAGCCTGTCCACTCCTGCTGGCGGCAAGACGTTGAAAAGCGCCTACTTGCAACGTCCACAATACAAGCAGGAAAAACCACCGCAACACCACGAAGGAGAAAACATCGCCTTCTCGTCTATTGCGCATCGACATGTTTGACAAGGCCCACGATGAAGAGACTAAAACTTGTAGTTATAATATGTAGTTATCAAAACAAACAAATGTCGGCCCTACAGCTTTCATGAAAATTAGTACTTTCTAAGTACGTCCTAAAACCAGGCTTCTAGTATCACAAACAAATTGTAACTTGCAAATATTTTTTTTTGTACAAATTGTAACTGAAGAGGCATGCAGAAGTCAAAAAACGGCGTAAGAGGATGGCTGTGGCTGCTGCTTCTCCCGTCGTCTCGGACTTTTCCTGCCAATCACGAGCAACACTGAAAATACTTTGGATCAAGATGTGAAGCTTAGAATTATCAAAATAGGCACACAACTCTCATTTGCTGAACCCGAGGGAAAAGAAAAAATCGAAAAATGCGTCTTTTGATCCTCGACCCTATTTAATAACAGAAAATTATTCCTTGATCCGATGGATTTTACCGTACGAGATTTGACGCACGGATCACGAGTGCTGCCTTCTGTTAGAATTGCATGGAAACGCCATCCCTAAGTTTTTGCATCAATTTCGTAATCGAGATCCCTGATTTCCATTTCGATTTCTATGACCACTGGGTGCCTCACAAACGCGCTCACGCCAGCGTACTCTTGCGAGAAACATCGGTGTTCTCTACATCGCACAGAGCGCTTGCTCCCCAGCGCGGGTTTTTTCTTTATTTTCCAAGATAAATACAAACCTTCGCTTCGCCCTCGTAAAAACATGAGTGGATTAGTAAGACAATGAACTTTCCGTGATACGAACAATATCTTTTGTTGCTCACGAGTCGCGTTCTTCCTCTGGTGACAAGTTGTCACGAGCAACTGCGGAAGAAGCTACTCGCTATTCAGATTGTGTATCGTGCCTTCATGCAGCTTCATCCCCTTGTGGTGTATATTGTGACTGCAGGAGAAAAGTGCGTATTTTAGCAATGCAGTGACGCTACGTTCTGCGCTATCTCATCTTTTTGTATCAATGAATCATACAGACCTCAAAATTTTACAAATGTATCTAAATATGGGTCAGCCGGTTGCTTGTACGTGTAGTGCGACGATGTGTAAATAGAAGGGCTAGCAGGTGCCGAATCTTCACCTTCAATGCGGAAAAACTGCAAAGTCGCATTTGAGTTTATTCAGTGCCCATGCAGCCCGAAAGTGAAAATATAGAAATAGGTTTCCGGTTGTAGGGCAGCCGAAGATGCTTGCTGCAGCAAGAGCAAAAAGTATCTTTATCTTAACGTAATCCATGACATGCAGCAGCTGCAGGTCTCTTTATATATTTGCAGCAGCAACTATTACACGCAGCAAGGCTCGAGGCAATGCAGCCAGTAATGGCTCAATAGCTCCAGGACGACGAGGCCTTTGCTGGTGCAGAGTTTGGCGTCCTTAGGTACAGTTCCATTTTTGGTCTGGCAAGAGACTTTGTACGCACAGACTCAGAATCGGCGCACAGCGTTGCGGCCTGCTCTCTCTAGCAAAGATCGTCGGCAATTCTTGTCGGGTTCACGACCAAGAACCTCCCTGGATTCGCGGCTAGGATTTCCGGAACAGGTTTTCCTCCACGCTTTTTACTGTTGTAAGCAGTTGTGTCACGAAGCCGCTTGGCATGAAATGTGCGCCAATCCCACTGAAACTGTTCGTATGACCAGCGCAAGTCGACCCCATCACTACCGTCGCGCCACCGCTTGGCGTATTTGCGAAATAGCTTACGAAAATTGGGGTGCCAATCCTCCCGAATCTCCTCCGCTACAGAAAGGCCATACTCGTATTCAGCACCGACCCAATATTCGACGAAGGGGTTGATGCAGTAACCTGCACATTTTTTGGATTTGGTTTTGGTACGGTTGCCTCTATAATACATGGATCTGGCGAAGGATTTCCTGCATAAAATGATGAAACAAAACACAGTTGCGTGATACTGCTTTCTGCAAAAATATTCGCCTCGATGCTACCTAGGATATCAAGTGAATAAGTGTACCAATTTTGACTTGGAAGTCCCGGGTTTCATAAACTTCCGTGTGCTTCTGAAAAAGTAGCTCTGTGGCCATCGCAAGTCGACACCTAGCATCTAGTAATTCACGGTCCGGTATGGAAGCAAAACAACATTAGTGCCCCAGCTACCACTGCATGACTACGGTGACCGGGGATGATAGATAAGCGTCGTAATGAGGACGATCCCAGTCGGTAATGCCCGCAAGCTGAATGCATCTATCTGGAGGGGCAAACCGAAACCGACATGAGCACCCTACATTTCGATTATTTCACTTGCAATTTAATAAGAGAGGCACTGACGTTTGTTTTACTTTGATATGAGGGTTCGAAGCCATGTCTACGGCACGTCTGGTGTTGCGGCCCCAGTAAAACGCACGCGCCCGCGGCGGATTCCATACAACGAGTTTGCGCTGCTTCGCGGACGACGTTTCGGCAGCTACACCGCCGGACGCGGCAGAATCCGGTCGAAGAGATGTTTTGTGTGGCCGGCGCGATCGAACGTCTTCATGAAAAAAATCGAGCACCTCACGAAAGAATGATATGTCATTCCTGTGACACCCCTTGGAAAGCTTTCTCTTTCCGTAGTTCTCCCTCATGGAAAACATGCGGTTCTGCGTCTGCAAATGCCCTGCCGCAGGGTTGCAGGTCTCCGCCGCCATCGTCATTAGAAGGCGCACCTGAAATGGGAGTCCAAAATGGAAGATCATGATATAGATAAACATTTATGAAGTGTCGTAAAAATGGCTACTGCTCATGCAGATTTGCTGGTGCACCCAGCAGGCTATTTTTGCACAAGAACAGATATATGAAAATGAATATAAAAGAATGAAGACGCTGATAAAGAAAGCAGTAGTACGCTCCATGTGGTGCCGGATTCAGACAGTATCTGTGGTTCCTCTATAGGGTCGTCATCTTCCTCGATGCGTTTGCGATAGTCTTTCAGAAAATCCTTGCCCTTATCTACCCCCGCATTCCAGAAGTCCCGAGGCTTCTTCTTCCCCAAACGATCGCGTAAAACTTCCAGAAAAAGATCCTCACAACTTTCAGTGCGATTTTCCAGAAGCAGGTCATTCTTGTTCTGCTCAATGGCTGCCGCTCTGACCTTGGCATTGAGCGTATCTTTCCTATCCGCGTTCGATTTGCTTGTTTGCAACCAAGATGCGACATCTGTCGGTGCCAGAAAACTCAGGACCCCTTGGGTTTCGCGTAATAATTTGCTTCTTCCAAACATCAGTAAGGCCTCCTCGGAACCCCGTATGTGGTCCACGAAATCTTTTCTTGCAACCGTGCGAGCGTCTTGTGCTGTTGTCTCAAGGGGCGCAGTTGTCTCATCTTCCTGCGCCTCTTTACCTGCGCATACAATCAATGATGGTCTCCTTTTCTTTGCTTTAGTAGAATTCAACAAGCATATCCGAATGCTAAAAGCGCAAGTTCTATGTATATAAAACCAAAACTGACACAAGACGTTGATACGTTGCAGTCCGCTGTCCGAAGATTCTGAGGCGCTTTTCTCTTGCGTAACATCCGAAGATCGAACCCAAATGCTAGCTGCGTCAGAGGGGAAACCTCCCTCCTGGATCGCGGCATTTGGAACTGGAGAACCCTGTGCTGCTGGTTTAATCTCGACGACTGATACCGCACTTGCCGTGCGGAAAACCAGCACAGACCCAGCAAGAAAATGGATTTGTGGGTAGAGGTAGAGCGACATAATTAGGGAAAACGGCCACGGCATATTCATGGCTTTAAGCATATTCAACTTAATTTTAGTTTTACATGTGAAGGAAAAGTAAAAAATAAAACTTATCAAAACCAAAAGTGAATGGCAAAGCCTGCCATGTACAGTTATTCTTGTGGGTAGATATGATTGATGGCCGAGTTGTTGCCTCACGGTTCAGCATTTCACATGGAATTCACATTATTGTACAAAAATCTTATTTTCTCAACATCATTCGCGCTATTCTACAGGGAATACAACAGCTCCTGAAAGAACAATTTCTGTACGGCAGTCCTCGATATAGGAAAAGATATCAACAGCAACATATTTGATCGGCCTGTTTCTCGACATAAATAATAACACTTTTTCGCCATAACGCAGCTCCTTGTCCTTATGCTATAGAGAACGAATTGCCATTGCGCTTCTAGAACTTCTCTTCCTACACTGCTTTGTCAAACTAAGTAAATTAATAGATCCTTTCGACCAGAACGGTTCTATTGAATGCAGTGAGGATCATAACGAGCCGACATTGACATAGACAGTCAACTTATTTATATTCTAACGGTTCTGCTCGAAATACTAAATAGCGGAACTGCATAATAGCTTGATTGTTTATGTTTTTCTTTCCCTCGCGAATGGCGAGACTCGGATCAAATTCTTGGCGAAATCGGACCAGATCGTCCAACAAGCGTGTGATGATTGAGCTCCCAGACGACACTCTTCCAGAATTCCATGAGCCAGGGGCATACCTCCTGTCGCTATCGAATCAAATTCCACTTCCCCTCGGTCCACTTCCACCAGAAGCCAGAGCGTCCATGAGCACTGCCTACTCTCCGTATAAGAGTGAAACAGCCCTAGTTTCCATGCTTCGAGAATGCATTGCATCGATTTCAACAGCTACAACTTGGCATGGAAGTTATGAGATCTGCGTCCCAGGAGGCCACCCCCGCCGCCAGCACATACAGATTTAGAGTCGTGAGAACAGCACCAGTTGCAAGCAACAAAAACAAGTCGTCGTGTCGAGGGAAGATAAACACTAGCGCGCTCCTTCAGTTAGTACGCAGTGCCTTGTGGCTAAAAATTTTGCTCATCTTCATCACTTCTCGTCCGTGTACTTCATATATATATAAATACTTCACATCGCCTAGCCGTGGCCCAGACCGGCCGGACCTGTTGCAGATTGCGAAGACGTCGCTAAACTCCTCCTTACGCCATTTCTTGCCGGCGCTCCACTACTTAAGATAGACCCTCTCTCACTTCGAGCTGGACGAGCTACTGTGCGCGGACTCCCAGCAGACCCTCCCTCGCTTGGAGCTGGAGATACTGAACGTGAACGCGAATGCGAACTCGCAACAGACCCTCTTTCGCTGGGAGCTGGAGATACTGAACGTGAACGCGAACGCGAACTCGCAACAGACCCTTGCTCACTTGGAACTGGAGATAGTGCACGAGGACTCGCAACAGACCCATGCTCACTTGGAACTGGAGATAGTGCACGCGGACTCGGACAGGGTGACCAGGGTGTTGGCGGACACGATTCTGGCTCAGGTTGCACTGTGAGCATTTCGATACGATGCAAGAGCTCTTTGAAGGTCATCCTGATGTCTTTGAGTTTGTTGTCAAATCCATGGTATACCCAAGCCTGCAACCCGTCATCGTATCCGCGATCTGGTTTGGGGTGAAAGTGTATTTTTGCTTCGGGGATCTGAAATGTTGGATGCGGGTTCTCGGGTGTGGGCTCAGGCAGTGCCCGCCACTGGTTCAGGAGCCACATATATCTGAAGTGGTGATAGCTCCACTCCGCACTGCTTCCGTCAGACTTTTCAAGCCAGAAATTCGCCCTCATACGAAAATCTTTTTGAAATTCATAGTGCCATTGCGCCGGAACTGCTGAGTCCCCAGGCTGTATGAAACCAAAAGCAACTGATATATCATCGCGCCTACTTGCTGCAATGCTGTAAAGCTGATTGCTCGATGGTTGTCCGGCTACACCTTGCGATGGGCTCACAGGGTAACGCGGCGCTTACTCACTTGGACTTGCAGCGAAATATGCAACGTATACTAACGCTTGGGCAAGTATTGCTCGTTGATTCTGATTATAGATATATCACTAGTTTTGCTGCTCGTATCTGAAAGCCGATACTTCTTCCAAAGTTGCGCTTCTGGCCAGAACAACGGCATCTCGTTTCCCGGCTTCGGATTGAGACAATAACCTGTTGTATGATATGTGTGCACAGCATGCAAGCAAAGCTGTTCCTGTTACACTATTTCCACGCCCCTAACAATGGTCAGTGCACAAAATGACTGAAAATTGGTGTCGTAGTTGTTCAAAAAAACAGTGTGACATTGAATTCGGAAACTAAGTACCATGGGGGACGTGAAATCTAGTGGCGGAGAAACCGGAGACGACAGGCGATGCCTGGAAGAGGTATTCTGCAACCATGCCAATACGACAACGGTGCTCACGAACATTAGCGTAGGCGGTCTGAGTCTTGGGAAGGAGCCACTCCGACCCCGAAGCCAAAGCACCACCGTGCAGCTTTGGATCGTGCCAAACAACAATGCTTCGCCCAGTGCCGGACCCACCAGGTGCAGCATGGCTCTGCTCATGAAAGAAGTCCCACACCTGCGAAAAGAAAAGCAGGTCCTTGCGTGCGCACCCCTCTGCTAGGCGATCCGACGTGTAGTGCTGGACGACTCTTAAGGGCCATTTCTGTGCCATCCGACTATACTCGGCCATCCTGCTCAGGTCGTAGTTGACCAAACAGAAGGGCATCATGGCCATAATAATCCCGATCTGAAAAGTGTATTAAAATGAAAGTCCTTGTTTTATTCTTTGCAGCCCATCAGACGCATCACATTCATCATCATAGTTTTATCATTTCGAATCATCATACACATATATTATCTCCCCGAGTACGAGGAGTAGCAGCATGTAGCCTAGCGCATTTCAAATCAAATCGAACTGCGCCTAGAGCCTGCCCTGGTGCTCCCGCGGACCTTTCTCATTTACTTCTTGGTAAGCACAAGCAAAGGGTGAGCCTCATCGACAAAGGCATCATCAAATAATCTGTACCGTCCAATCATTCGCGTGCAGATATTTCTCTTCTCCTTGCAAGTTGCGGATACCAGCATCTTTGTCTTCTGCGTAATGGCGAGCGAGCTGCGCATTGGCCTCTGCAACGTGATCCCGACCTCCATCAACGTCAGCATTCCAGAAGTCCTTCGGTGTAAAACCCGCCATGCTTCCACCATCCAAAGTCTGCAGCTTCTCAGCCAAAAACTCTACGAAAAGGTCCTCGCAGCTGTGCCGGCGCTCCTCTAGCGCGGCCACCGGTAACTCGGGTAGCATTGTCGTCGCTGGGGGAACTAGTGCTGGTCCAATTGTTCTGCTCACTATTTCTGTTCCAGTAAGAGCGAAAATGGATGAAGAGCTAGAACTGCCTCCGCCAGAAGCTGTCGCACTTCCGGAAGTCGGCGCGCTGCTCCCCTCAAATGCCGCTTTTGTGCCACTGCCGGCATCCTGTGCTGCGCCAGGCTGCACTTGGTTTCCGCCACTCGGTTCCGCAGAACCAGCTCCAACATCTGTCGGCCAACCTGGTCCGGTACCTCCTCGTCTTTCGGGGGTGGCCGAGTGGGCCGGCCTCGGTGAGGTCGCAGGTGGACTCAAACTTCGCGATGGCAGTCTTGTACCCTGCTCACGGTCGACGTCTCGACCCCTGGGTGCCGCGGTTCCAGACACGCCAATTTGCGGTGCGATTCCGCTTGTTTCAACACCAGTTCCCTCTTGCGCTCCAGGTTCAGGAAGATCCCTGCTGTCACCCTCCTGGGGTGGACGGGGCGGGGGCGGCCTCGTCGTACTGGCACTAGTGGCGGATAAACTACCGTCGCGGACTTCATGTTGTTCCGGCGGATTATTTTGGTTCCCATTCTCTGTGCCTGAAGCAACTTGCGGCCGATTCACACCGCCATCACGGCTCGGATTGGACGTTGAAGCGGAATGGCCGGCATCGTGGCTGCTTCCCGTACCCCCAGCTGCAGATGGGTCCCCAGTTCGAGCACTTCCCACATCGAGACTTCCAGTGGCGGACGATGGTTCAGAACCGGCAGCTGCACCTGGCTGCGTTTCAGTGCTTCGCGACCCTTCCCTTTGATGTTCGGCCTCCTGTGAAGCTAGGGTGGAAGCTGCAGGGCTGTTCTCCTGCTCTTCCGCCTGACGAGTAGTGCCAGTCTGCGTGGTTTCCTCTCGTTCGCGGCCTCCAGGCACTGGCTGTGCCGATTGGTTTTCGTCCCTGTGGGTCGTTTCGTGCGCTGCTGGGTCACTCGAACTTTCTGTCCGGCCACCTCCCATAGGAGATGATGACGCAGACGGGGCACCAGCCGAAGCAGTCTCAACTTCAGGTGCTGCTCGACCTGCTTGAGCTTCCGGGTCAGCTGCAGTTGTGGGCGATGGAAGATTTGCTGCACTCGGTTCAACAGGAACTGCCGCTTGAGCCGGCACCGTCGCAGCGGGAAGCACTGTTGGTGGGCTGGCGGAGGCAGAAGCTGCAACCTGTGCAGCAGAAGCTGCAACCGGTGTAGTAGCAGAAGCGGAAGTGACCGGTGCTGGTTTTGGCGCTGCTGCACCACCCGTCGGTGCTGCAGGTTTTGGTTTTGGTTTCGCCGGCGCCAGAAACTCCGCTCCGGAAACGGGTCCCGGGGGGAAGAGGCTCAACAAGCCCGATGAAGGACTCGCAGGAGGAACAGGTTGCTGCAAAGGAGCGGTGGTTCCGGCATTCCCGCTCTGACCATCATTTCCTCGACCTGTTGGTGGGCCGCTCGGGTTCCCTCCAGGTGAAGTGCCACCACCCCCGCCACCGCCTCCATCCCCGTTGAAGATTCTCGTCGGGACTAAAATGTTTGGTTTATGCCAGCCGCCGAAGCCGCCAAACGGATACTCATCACCGTCCCCTGAAGATCCCAGCTCTGCTTTCTGTTTGTTCCCCTCGCTCACGTTGCCCATATGGACTGCCAAGCCCGTAGCGCCCGCGAAAAGACAAACAGCGATGATGGTGATGATGATGGTTGAGAGCGATGAGGCCAGGAAAGCGGCGCAAGGAGATAGAGTGGAAGATGTCGATGATGAAGAGGGATCTTCTGTCATGGAATGAAATTTGTCTTCTTGCGACGGTTCCTCATTATCGTCACGTGCAAAACTTGGCGTCGTGTCTCGCTGCCCGGTGTCGAAGGTTTGTGTTGCAGAAGTTAGCGATGCTGTTTTGTTGTTTTCCAAAGCAAAATCTTCGGAAGCGGCGCCTTGCGCCTGCTGCTGCTGCTGCGACATCAATGCCAAACCTTTCTCAGCATTTTCATCCAACTCATGCTCTTCCTCCGAGGACGATGCCAGCTCTGGCTCGTGTTCTTCTGCTACTTCATTTGCGAGATCTCGGATATTTTTGTCGCTTCTCATTTTCTTTTCTTCACCACCCGACTCCAGCACCTCCTTCTCGATTTGGCACGTAGCGCCGCCGCCATCATCCAGGTTTCCAAGTCCGTCCTGTCGTCGTGCCAATAGCTCCGCTTTCTCCGCACCCGTAGCACCGAAAGAAGTCGAGTTGCAGGAGTAGTTCATCTCTTGTTTCGCCAACAACGGTAGCGACGTCTGCTCGATAAATTCCTCTTCGTAAATGTCCGACAGCCGATGGCCCTCCCATTTCGTCGTTTTTCCCTTTATGTCTTCTTCATTGACCAGGTTTTTCGGCATTTTCAGCAGCTTTTGATTCCTTCTCGTCTTGGTGGTCCCTTGGCATGGCTGAACATTCGCATCGTACTGCTCGTCTCCCATTTCCAAATACTTCAACACCGTCTGCGCGTCCCAACGCCGCTCCCAGCGCCACCGCAGCGTGGCCTGCAGTAGAGAGACCAGATGGCCGAATAACTGCGCGTCTTGCTCTTCCCACCGCCGAGATTTCGAGTACAGAATCCGGACCCGGGAATCCGCCACGGCGAACTGCGCCCGCATCCCACACCCCTCTAAATGCTCGTACGGCGCTCGACCGTACAATAATTGGTAGAGGATGATCCCCAACGCCCAAACATCGGCAGCCGGTCGCATCTTCAAACTCGCCGATCCCTCATCCGGCTGGTAGAACGCCTCGGGCGGCATGTAGCGGGGCGTACCGCACTGGCGATCGCGGGAGACGTGGGTGATTCCCTCGTCTTTATTGATCCCTCTCGCGAGGCCGAAATCAGAGACCTTCACGATGTTGTCCACGATGAGGAAATTCGCCGGTTTGAGATCAAAGTGGATCAACCCGAGGCTGTGAATCGCCACGACGCCCGCGACCATGTCGCGCCAGAGGTTGCGAATGTCGTAAATGGAGAAAATTTCGTAGTTTTTCCGGAGGAAGGAATGAAGATTGGGTATGGGAGGGGAAAGAAGGTGCTTCAGTTGTTCAACCAGTTCCAGTTGATGTACTGCAGATATTTTGTCGTGCGGAAAAAAAAACGGCAAATTCCATCCGGCTACGGCTTCAGTCGCAACATGGGAAGACATAGATATAATAAGCTTCCCGCACTGCTGCATCTTATCCAAGTTTATTCCGCATCACAAAAATAGATACAACTTCTGTACGATTCAAACCAACAGAAACACTTCCCTTCCATACCACAGTCCGCGAACTCCAGCAAAATGTGGATCGCCAGGTCTTTCGGAAAAAATTTCGCTTCCCCGATCATCCTCACTACCCGCAGCTCGTCTGCGCTGTGGCCAGCATTGCCCTTCCCCCCTGCGCTCGCACGATTTTTGTCCCGCAAAGCCCGCAGCCAGTTTACCTCCATGGCAAACGAACGCATTTGCCGCGCGTCCCGTGCGTAGACGACCTTCAATGCGTATCGGGTGGCGGATAGCTGAGAAGCTTTCATCTCCCTGTCGCGACCGTTGCCGCTGCTTCCAATGCCACCACTTCGCGACGCGTCACGATTGCAGCTGTAGTTGCCACGACTGCCCGAGGCTGTAGTAGTTGAGCCTCCGTCTACCACACAAGTTCGCAAATCTAGGCACTCGAACACTTCTGCCGACCCGCCCTTCCCAATCCGCTTCACAACTTCGAGCAATAAAGTCGGCTTGTTGAAGTCCACGTGATGGTTGTCAACCACCTCTTCGCCCATGCAGATGACCATTCCTGGGCCAACGCGGGCGGTGGCGGTCACGTCGATTTTTTTGCGCTGAATGAAGGCAACCGTGGAGAGTAGCGAGTCGTTTTCTTGGTACGAAGTCCGGCAGTCCTCGTCGTTGAAATACTCGGGCAGGTCGCTTGGGGAGTTGATAAAAGGGGCGCTGTGGCGCCCATAAACGGGGATGCTGGCTACGGGGGTGGAAAGTACAGGCTCAGGAGGTGACAGATTCGCCACTTTATTCGCGTTCGCAGGACACACATCTGGGAGATTGCCGTTGGGTCCACCATCATGATCCCGGGCGTCGTTGCCCCTCTGGAGCTTGCCATTAGGTGCGGGAGGAGTGTCAATCTTTTCCGCGCGCCGAGGTGGAATCTGTGTGGACTCCGGGACAACAGGGTCGTGGCGGGTCTGCTCAGCCTTGTCGCCGCACCACCTCGATCCAGAGCTAGTAGTGTCGCGAGGATTTTTTCTATGTATTTGAAGACCATGCTGATCATGCGCTTCTTTCTGGTGTGCGTCTTGAGCAACGAGCCCTTGGCCTTCTTGCTGCTTCTGGTGGAGCATTGGCTTCGCAGTTCGCTGTCCTCGGTTGTATTCACGGTGCTCAATCGTGAAACCCACTCCCTGCTTGCGGTCACCGTTTGATGTATCCACAACAGCCACCTTTGGCAGGTCCGCCTGGTAGATAAAGTCTTGAAGTCCTTGACGCTGGTCGTTCTCGACAGCATTTCGCTGATATCGTTCTTGCGGTGCCGGCGCTGCCGCTGTGGCATTTTCGTAGTCGGCATTGCTATCGAAACTGGTTTCTCTGTTTTCCAGCCGCCCTCTGGCTGTGTGGAAGTAGTTGCGCTTCTTGTCACTATACGCATCAGTGAGGCCAGCATGGTCAACATTTCTCACCCTCGGAGCCGAGGAATAACAGCTCTCGGTTTCTCTGTTCGGATTGTAGGCCGTCGACGAAAAATCGTCTCTTGTCGACGGCCGGATATCAACATAGCCGCGGCCGGGCCGCGCAGCGGCAGCCGCTCCTGTCCTGCTTATCACATCGTCTTCAATCGTACTCGTCGCAGCCGGCCTCCTGGCGTCGTCTTGCTCCTGAAAGTAGGAGCTTCCATGATTGCCGGCGGACAAGGTGGTGTTCACTTCTACGCCGTCGTAGGAGATCGCGTTTCGCTCTCGAGCGTAAGGGTCGCGCGGAACAAGAACATTACCCCGCTCTTGTGGCAGATCGTCCTGCTCGTCCCGTGCAGCTTGGCACTCGTAAGCAGCCTGTTCATGATCTCGAACACCTTCTCCTTGTTGTCCCACGCCGGTTCCTGCATTTGTATTTCCATTTGCGCCCCGTGCAGGCCAAACTCTCGCCTCGAAGTCTACTGTGGTCGCAGTATGCAACGCCGACGTTGCCTGTGTCGGAACTGGGGCGACGGGTAAAGGATAGCTTGGGACATCGTGCTCTTCTTGGACGAAGTGCGCATTGTTTTTTTCGAAGCGTCTAATATTGCCCGGCTCTGCTAAGTCGCGGCCGGCGGCATTAGTAGCCCTACCCTGATCTGGATGGTCGTGAGGGTGAAAATTACGTCGGCCAGATGGAATCACGGGTCGTGGGGGATTGTCTTTCTGCTCGAAATGGTGGCTGTGCTGGTCGTCGCCCATAGGGTAAATCTCCAGGTCGTCGCACCACAGAAGGAGCAGTCACTGGCTAGTAGGTAATAATAAAGGGGTGATACTGCTCTGCCTGTCGATATAGTAGTTGTCGCGCCGATATTTTACGAACTTGTTTTACTCGAAACAATGTAGTACCAAGAAACCATTTCCGGGGAACAAGAGGCGATACTGCATGCGGCACGATGTGGACCTCGTTCAGGAAACTGCTCGTCCCCGATGCGCTCTTCCGCTTTTATTCCTGTCCTTCGGACCTCCACCAGGGATTACGAGATTGTAAGGCTTTCAGAGACGTCGATAAACTTGCCCGCGCGAAAACCTTCTCTCGGGTTTGGCAGAAAACTGTCCATCCGTGCTGTGCGTTCCACTGTGCAAAACTCCTGTCTAAAGATTAAAACTGGTCGCAGAATTATGTATAACGTAGTCGTGTGAAACTGAAACCGGTCGAAAATGCTGTTAGTTATCTAAAAAAATATTCTTTTGCAACTCATGAAACTGGGATATGATAGCAACGTGGTGCCTTTGTGATTGATAATCATCAGGAGCACAACATGTGTTGACAGAAAAACTCCCAAGTGCCAGTCATCATACACTCAACCAGAAACATTGCCGTTCAAAGGCAGTTCCATAGAATCATCTAGGGCTATATCTATCTACTGAAAAAATGGTCACCATATTACCGCGACTACAACTTCCCGTGCCTGAAGCGATGAAAAACGAATTTTTATCAAACGAGGAAATAAAGCGCATCACCAACAGCAGTGAGACGATGCCACGACGGGCAGCGATCTGACAAAACGACTATCAAATCACGATTAGATTTTTATATGAGAACGATTTCAATTTGAGTTTTGTCTGCGACAAGGAGCAGGCGATTACACCATCAAGCACTAATGAGTCGAAATGGTTCGTTCATGTAGTCGGTGAAACACGATGAATTTATTTCGATTTGCATCTACTGTGTTAAAAGCCTCGTAGTAGTGCCATTTCTCTATTGTCTCAAGCGGCATTTTTTCGAAAAGATGAGCTGCCAGCCGGTACTGCAACATCATCAAGAGCTTTGCTCTGATGGAATCGCACTGCCAGGTTCGCAGCCAGTTGCAATTCAGTAACACTTCTCAGTATAGCAAATGCAAGCCACTACAGAAATGAGGTCCATTGCCCTGCATGCTGCAGAATCGATTTTGAGGCTTGGTCAGCGAGTGCAGGGACGATATGATCGTTGAACAGAAAAATCATTTATGAGCACAATGGATGATGATCATTTCTCTATCTGAGACCACCTGGGAGGGTAGTACACAAAACCTCTAGGGAGTTTTGGCATACACCAGAAGCCTCCGAATCGTATTTCCCATCGTCTCCGCCTGTTGCGTATTTTTCGCCAAACTAACTGCACGAGCCTCGGCTATTAGAAGTGCAACGCAATTTTCTCATTTTTGACAAAGAAAAGCTAGGTAGTCGCTCTTGGAGTTGCAACTTTATTAAGTCGTCAAACAGCTGCGACACTGATAGTGCCTCGGTCGTGCTCCCCGTTGTTCTGGCTCTCGTCGTCGCGCCATGAAATAAGTTCTACAGTTGCTTTTCCGAAATCTCTATCTCTTCCCGCTGCAGCTCCCAAGAGGAAGATCCTACCATAGCTAGCATCCGGTACTGCCAGATGCCTTGCAGCGTTGCAGAACAGCCAAAACAAGTCGAGCAGCATATATTTATAATATATCTGGTGCACGACCATTACAAGAAATCGATAAATTACAAGAATACTGTGAGTAAGAGTGCATTGTGTCAAATAGAAAAAACTTTCTGGGAATACTTTTTCCGGCAGTGTCGCAACTAGAAATGTCGTCGTTAAAAGGTGAGACGATGAAAACCAAAACAGCCGTTGTTCTACTTCTACTTCTTCGGGAAGATAGTAACTGCTTCGGTTTCTGTTACCGGCCCATCGTCGTGTGAAAAAGTACAGATTTCCCTTTCGCTTTCGATGCAAGTGCAACAGACAATGCTTTGGTTGGACAGCTGATGACCTAACTACAACTTTTATTAGGTTCAAAATACTAAAAAAACTCCGCTTTGACGTCGTGATAAACTCAAATTGCAAATCCGTCGAAAAATGCATTTTCCGGTCGTGTGAAACAGGTAAAAAATACGTCGCATATTTTTTCCTCGAACCAGATACAAGCACGGTGCTGGTATCCACCTCTTGTCGTGTGTCTACCGCTTCAGTAGTAACTTCCGTTGTTTGGTTGCATACTTGCAGCGCCACCTCGTGGAACTTCCCCAACATCGGCTGATGAAGAAGAAGAAGACAAAGCTTCCACCGCCACCGCCGCTGCTTCTCCTTGCCCTTCCTCCCACGCCTCCAATTTGGCAAAAAGTTCCCGGTTGTTGTTCAAGTTCAACTTGATCACCTTTGCCAGCCGCAGGTTGTTTTGCTGCTCACAATACGTCAGCCCGGTGCTGAGTAACTGCTTCGCCTTTTGCAAATGGTGCAGCAGCTTCGCCTCATCCGGTTGTTCCTTTTCGTCCTCGTAACTCGCCCGGCCGAGGTGAGTAGATGCGAAGTTTGTGAGGAGAACGATGTAGGAGTTGATACTCGTAGCGACAGTTGTAGCCGGAGCGATATCGGGTGTTGTTGGTCCCCTATCCGCCTCTTGGCTTATCTCACTTGTTCTCCTAGTAGCGACAGCTGCGTGACCACCCGCTGCGTAGTTACTATTCTCCGTAGTACTTCCCCCACGAGCTACTTGTTGGAACAATTCGTGCCCCTTCGCTTCCCAAATCTCGACCGCCTGGCTGAAATAGAGTTCCGTCGGCTATCGCGAGGAAAAATCCCCCCTCCCCATATCGAAGAGGTACGTCGCAGAAAATTTGCAATGCTGATTTGCGACCACAATTCATCCCTGTCCTGCAAGAAGGCAACTCCACAGGCTCCGCCGCATTATGTCGGCGGTTTGTGATACTGTTGGGTCTACAGCGCAGACGTTTCTCATGCTGCGCGCCTAGGCCAGAACCTCGCTACTCAGGCTTGATATGGGCCTGCAGTCCTCTCCAGCAAGACAAATCTGATTTGCGTACGCAAATCCAGCATCACAGAGTTCGTTTCGATATGGGGCGGGGGGATTTCTCATTTTGATATCGGCGTCAACGTGTTTTCGTACCGTTCGTAATCGGAAACACCGCTTTCATCGGCATCCCGGCGCAGGGAAATACCTGTAAAGCGTGAAATAAACCGCTTTTTATTGGGGAAAGTGTTTGACATGCACAGAAAACAGTCCCGATTGATTCGCCATGCACACATCAAGAAAGAGAAACACAGTATATCACAACAAGCATATGTTACCTAGATTCACCAGCGCTCTAGCTTCAAACTGCCAGTCTAGCCCCTCCAGCTCCCGTTTACTCAACTCCAATGCTTGGCGGTAGTGAATTTCCGCGGCGTCTCTGTCGTCCAACGACATGTAGCAGGAGCCAAACGCGGTCAAGCAGTCATATGGATTGCAAATATGTCTGGGTCCTCCGGAAGGATGCCAACTTGTGATGCTGCCTTTGGATTCTACACAGAATTTGTATTGCATCAAAAGGAAAAGCGGTCACGTTTTTGCTACGCGTAGAGGGCATTTCTCATGCAGTATGGGCAACATCAGAAAGCTCTCACTAAATCTGTGATGCTAGGGCATGCATCACAGCCGGTAGGGCGTAGGCAAAGTGTGCATGACAAACGTCTACACTCATCCAGACCCAGACATATTTGCAATGCATAAGTCAAACGTACCGACGAAATCGCTGTGGAGGTGGGCTATGCGCAAAGCTTGTTTCAAATCCTCCATATCCAAGAAAAAAACTGTGTTAGTGTAACTTTCTTGGAGGAATAGCATCACAAGTTTGCTCTGCATGACAGAGAGAGCCTGTCATGCGCGGCTTGTACGTGGAAACACGTACGAAAAGAGCCTCTGATGCATGTCCAGCATCACAGGTGTAATTGTCTTGCATCGTCTGCAACACAAAGTTACACTTACACAGTTTTTTTCTTGGATACTCCAGCGCTTCCTTGCAATCCGAGGAAAGCCGCATCTTTTCCTTGCAGTTCGCTAAGTAGCGGTACGCGTGGCCCTGCAATTTCTCGTCGGTCTCACACAGCTGAAAGGCCTGCTGGAAGACGGTTAAGGCTAAACGGAACTCGTTCTGGTGAAACAAAGTGCCCGCTTGGTCGAAGAGGATCTGGACTTGTTTTTCTTTTGGTAAGGAGTGGAAATCGTTCAACACTGGTTGCTGGGACGAGGAGGAGGAGGAGCTTCTATTGCTACCTGCGGAAGTACTATTATCGGTCTTGTCGTTATGAGAGTGCACAACTCCCCCTCCCCCTCAACATTTGTATAGCATGAAGAACGGCAATACAAGCATCAGCAAAAATGCCGGTTTTGCATGACAAATCTACACTGGATTGTAGTGCTTTTTGGGCTACCAAACCTTGCTATGCAAACAGTGCCAAGAGGCAAAGGGTGGATTTGCCACTTTGCATGACAAATCAGGGGGAGGGGGAGTTGTGCACTGTCATAGTCGTCAAAAATCCGTTTGCGATTCTTCAAAAACCCCGAACCGAAATCTTGCTTTTTACTTCTTGCTTTATTCCCTGCTGCAATACCGCTGCTGCTGCTGCTAGTCCCAATAGAAGAGCCAGTGCCTGCATTTATTTTCAACGCGCCGTCACCTTCTTGTTTCTCCAAATTTTTCGCCAAGAGGGAGAGCTGTTTTTTGTTGGCAAAAATTTCGACCCCGTACCGGATTTTCTCCTTTTCCTCGTTTTCCACGATCTTGATGACTTTTCCGATTTCTCCGTTGTATTCCGGTTTTTTTGCGAGGTCTTTGATCTTCACTCGGTCGTGAAGTTGGAAGGCGGAGGGTGGTTCTGTTGCTGTAGCAGCAGCAGTGGGCGCCGGTGGAGTAGCAACACGAGGCTCTTCTTCCCCTGAACCTTGCTCCGCACCACCGCTACCAGGAGCCACGGACTCGGGCGCAGCCTCCGCGGAAGGTGGAATAGGTCGTCCAGCAGCAGGTGATTGCTCTTTCCTCTCCTCATCCTTCTGTATGGGTGCGGCTGTACCCGATAATATGGTGTTCTGCGAAACTGCGGTGGTTGTCGTCCCGTCTGTGCTCCTACTGGCGCTGCTGCCTTTCTGGCCACAGGCACCGCAGACGGTCTGTACGGCCCGCAGCAAGGGTTGCAGCATTCTGACAGTTTGTTCTTTGTTTTTTAACTTGAGCTTTAGTTTCCAATATCTTTACCTGCGCTTCCTCTATCCTCGCAGCTGTTTATAGCGTTTTTCCACGCGCTCACAAATGTGTCTGTTCAACAGCTCCTCACCACTGCCCGTCTTCCTTGCAGAAATTCGATCTCTCTGTACGTGTTGCGAGAAAGATGAGATGAATAAGTATGAGAACGACTCGGATATTATTACGCAGAAAGAGTGAGCTGACTACTGTCTCTTCGAGTACACCGCAACACAGCTCGCCACGCGGTTGTGTGATATCATCAAACACAGGTGGCTACAAACACACTCCCGGATCTTTCTAGGTCGCAGCAGCACCACTACCGTAAGTACATGCCACTGAAGAAAATTAATTCTGGAATTCGTTTTACATCAACGTACCGGGAAAAAATGATTCTGTAGGTGCCTTGGGAGCATCAGCCTGGTGTTTCGCGGTCAAAGAACTTCAACTTCAAGTGCACGTGAAAAGTGCATAGAGAGGATAAAAAGCGTATTCAAAAATCCAGCACCCCCCTCGCCCTCGCCAGCACCACATCCTCCCGACTCGCGCCGAACGCTGGGAGGTCGTCTTTGGCGATGAAGAACTGCTGCGGTTTTTCTCCTGCTTCTTTGGCATCGTGGTCGTCGTGTTCTACATTCCCGTATCAAACGTAAAAATGACTGGGTCTGGAAGAGTCCATGTTTGTCATGCGTGTCTGGCATGACTCTCAAATCTGTCATGCACGTTACCCAAGAGCGCAACTTTTCTGTCATGCAAGTAGTAGCAGTACTATTTAACTCCTGGCGGGTGGGCGTTAGAACAGATTTAGCCTCTGCCAATACCTGGGCGTTAGAACAGATTTAGCCTCTGCCGATACCCCTAGGTGGAGACCCGGTCCACGTCCTAACTACCACCCGGCAGTCTGTCATGCAGAATAGGCAACACCTAGAAGCTCAGAAACTTCTCATGCTGAGCCAGCACTTGTGGCCTCCTCATGATAAGCCGCCCAGCATCACAAGTTTCCAGACCCAGACATTTTTCCACTTGATATCCCGCCCAGCGGCCGCATCATTCCGCCCAGCAAGGATGTCTCCCCGTTCTTGAAATCAATCGCGCACTTGATGTTGTCGAACGAGGGATTTATCAGATGCAAAAATGTCTGGATCTGGAAGATTTTGAGCCTTGTGATGCACGTTTTGCATGAGCCGCGATGTCTGTGATGCATGCCCTAGCATCGCAGATGTTTTAAGGGCATCTTGATGCCTATTCCGCATGACAAACGCCCTCCCCGCGTAGCAAAAATCGCATTCCCTTTGCTGCTCACGCAATACAGCTTTTTTTGAAATCCAAATGCAGCATCACAAGTTGCATTCTTCCAGACCCAGACACTTCTTCATTTGATAGGATTATCATTTCTACTATCATCTTCTCCACCACCACTCCGCAACATCCTCCCAAACAGCTTCTCCGCCGCCCATCCCTTCCGGGCCTCCACGACAAATTTCGCGCTTCGACTCGGCGTCACCGCGTTCAAGTCGTCGGCTTTGGCCTGTTTGAAATCGACCAAATCATTCTTGGAGTCGCACCACAGAATGTCCAGATCGATGAAAGTCTGCTTCATCCAGAACCCACGCGCGCCGTGGTTGTTGTTATCGTCGTGTTCCCACTGGAAGATCATCCCCGCGTCTTTACCGGGACGAGGATTTGTTATTTGTGAAAAATCTGCTGTTTCTGAAGTAGAAGAAGAAGAGTCAAGTTGTTTTTCCTCTTCCACCGCAGCGCCTTCCGCCGACCGCAGCTCGTGCCGGAACATCAGTCCCTGCATGAAGTGCGAAAAATCCCGCGGGATCTCCACGGGCAGTGTCGCGAGGACTTCGTCCGTCAGGCTGTTTGTGAAGACGACATCTGCGTCGTGGCGTAAGGGGGGCGGCTCGGGACGGGCTGTGCGAGATGAGAAGGCTGTAACTTTTTGCCCGTTCTCCGCCCTGCTGTGGTTTTTCCTCGTTCTTTTCAGGAAAAAACCCGTGCCGGCTACCGTGGAAAAATTGAGCTGCAGGAACAAGGCAATCGCGTGGAGGAGACGCGGCGAAGATCTGAGAGAACAAGACATTTTTTTTCCTTGTCCTCGATCCTCAATCCTACATCAAATGAAAACTCCGCTACTCTCTCTTGCGCGCAGAGAGCGCGGAAGGAAGCAAAGCCCCCTGCTCTTCTTCTCTTTTGTTCGCGACAATTACGTTGAAAGCGTGTTGATTTATTGCAGCTTTTATTTTGTCTGAAAAAAAAGTCGACTCTGATTCACCGGATCAATTATATTCCGAATATATCTTCAAATCCTGTTGACGAAGATCATTATGCAGCTGCTCATGCATGCAAATGTTCAGAATCTTCACCGACCTAAATCGATCCCAATGCCTAGGCCTTCGGAGCCTCATGATCGGAATCCTTAGGGTCTTGCTGATGATGATGATGATGCCCGACCTGATCCCCATCATGGAAATGCTTAGGCCAGCCCTACAGCTGGCGGGGTCCCGAACCTTTGAGGCTTTTCCCATCTCCCTCAGGTCGTTGGCAGCTGGTGGACACAAGTCACGAAGCTGACCCCCTAGGATTTTGAACATTCTCAGCCCCTTTCGGCTTGCTTTGAATTTCGTGGCCTGTGTTCCTTCAACACTGCCAAGCCCTTAACAAGATGCCCAAAATGTCCCGCCACAAGTTGCGCAAGGCTTTGCGCAAATGCGAAGCGCGTGCCAGCCGCATCGAGCGCGCTGGGGCTCGCCTTCGTTCGAAGCTGGGCGACGCGCTTCAGGGTGCCACGGGATCCGACTCCGAGGAGACGAGCACGGACACGGACGGAAACGGGACGCCTCCGAACCTGCCCCCGCGTCCTCCTTCTCCTGGTCGCGAAACCCCCGGCCCCACCTCTTACCACCTCAACACCCCGGACAGCCTGAACAGGAACACCCCGCCCCTGTTATTCCGATCCATCTCCAAACGAACCCCCTAGAGATTCTGATATGGAGTCATTTAGTTTTCTCACCTCCATACCAATAGACTCTATTGGTATGGAGGTTGGGAAAAATTATTTAGAACATGAGCCTGCATGAGCCGGCGGGTTCTCCGGTCGATCGTCGCGCAACAAATTGAGGGAGGCAAATAAAAGGCGCCATTTGCCTGCAATATTTCTCGCGTTCTTTCATCGTTGTTGTGACTCAGCACCGACAACTTACTGGCGTTTTTCTGCCTTTGCTCGTCTATGTCATTGTCCATCTCCATGCAGATTATGTTCCTATCATGTAATTTCATACTTTCGGTTGTCCTCCACCTTGGGACGCGCGTTAAATTCGCGAAAAAATATTGTAAAACGAACTTTTACTTTATTTTAGGTATTTGCAAGTTTGCGATGATGATACTTATTTGTTGAAGCTGCGTCAGTACTGGTATGTCGATCATAATTCCATAAGTAGATGCGAAGTTTTTAAGAAAGTGCTAGGACGTTGAAGATGTTAAAATTGCATGTTCCGTCAAAATGAAAACCGAACTCGGTAGGACGCCGGACCCTTCATTCTTTCAAGTCACAATGAAGTCAAAGCAGAAGCCAAATCAGAATAAACCCTTTTCTCTACATAAAAACACAAACCCATCAAGAAGGCTCGGATCCACTCACTCTCTTCGTAACATCGACACTCAGCGGCAATTCGGGCACGGTCCTCGTTGCTTGTCAATGTCTTCTCGGAAACCCTGGTTGCTCTTCTGGAGCTGTGCATGCTATGCATTGCAAAAGTGCTACGGTGACGCGCTTTCTAGTAGAAATTGCATCACGAATAATTTTCTCAAATTGAGGAGTATGTAAAAGTTGATGCAATGCTGATCTGCCTTAAGAGAGAGGTCTGTCATGCAATGACTGCAATTCGTTTTGGTGAGAACAAGAGTAAGTGCGTCGAAATGACTTTTGCAATTCATAGAATCATCGCCTTTTTACCGAACCCCTTTTTTTGAGGTGTCGGCGCCGAGGGGGCAGCTCCACCTGCGGGCAGCGGAGCAACAGGACCAGTGCTGGGGTCCTGCGGTGCAACAGCAGCTTGCGGGACATACTGCAACGACCCCGACGGTCCCTGGGCAAGAACATGTTGCTGCGGCTGCGGAGGCATCGCCGGTCCCTGCGGAACGAGCGGTTGTTGCGGAGGTAGCGCGCGCCGGTGTATTATGCCATGCCAAGCTGGAACAAAAATCTCGAGTCGTGGAACAATGGAACCGGCCGGAATTTCTCGTCCTGCGTAAATCGCAATAGCGCGCCGCGCTATTGCCATTTACACAGGACGAGAAATTTTGTAATGGGCGCGGCAGAGCCTAAAAAGCACTTCCACTTGCTCTACTCCAAGTATTTCTGCTTCTGCATGGCTAATTGTAAATCTAGTGGGCAGAATGATTCCGAGGGCGGTTTGGAGTGCTAGGGCTTTGTGTTTGTCATCCTAAGTACAGACTGCATGATAAGGCTACTAGTAGCCGTAGCCAGATCGTCCACCAGTTTTTCTTTTTGCATCACAAATTCAAATTCAAGTTGCTCCACCAGTTGAGATCATTGTCCCAGCTGAGCAAGCCATACGGTGGTGGTGGTGCCGGCCTTGCTTTTTTCCGTGACCGTGGTCAACGGAGAGCAGCGAAGTCGACGGCGCAGGAGGAGCAGATGCCGCCGCGGCCGTCAAGGTGGAAGTAGAAGCGCGGACGCTGGCAGTGCCTATCGAAGAAGCACAAGCAGCGTCGTTTTCCTGGTCTTGGTCGTGGCTCTGGTAGCCAGAAGAAGCATCAAGCTTGTAGTTTTTCTTCCCCCCGCGAAGGTTCCCCCTGCGGGACGACGAGTCGGCTCCGACAAGCAGCGGGACCGCCACACAAGCACCGGCCACGAGTCGTGACGCAGAAGGACGAAACATGTTCTGGGTTCGCGCAGCCGAGTGAAGTAAAAGGTGGAAAAACTTACAACTTCGATTTTCTCTTTATTTCAATAGTTTCGGTGTCGAAATGAAAATGCTGCACCTGCACCTCCGTAGCAGGGGAAAATAAAGTTCAAGCTCGTGCAGTTTCAAACTAGTACAGGGTCTCACTTGCGAGCGCCAGCACTTTCAAGTGCTTTCTTGCTTTGTCTTCGAAAGTTTTAGACTTAAGAGCCTGTTGGTAATGATAATGAATTTTTAACATGTGCGTTTTGTAGTTTCTCTACATTGGTCGTGCAAACGCAAAAATCGTTGTGAAGAAATGTCTTCAAAAATGCATGAGCCAGAAGATTCACCGTGGTACGACGACTATCGCGCTGGTTGTCCTGTTGACTGCAATACCGAGAAGACAAACAAATCTCATCAACCGAATGAGCTTCAGCACGCCCAAGGATGAACTAGTCGAAAGCACGCTGTACCTAACCGAAATAACAATGAGACCGAAAATGATTTAGATTTTCCGTCACACGACCGACGACGTCGAAAACCACCATCACCACAACCGATATGACCATACTCAGACAAACTTATTCCGCAAGAGACAGACAAAAAATCCGACGCCGACCGAAAACGAGATTATAGTAGAGGTACAACGACCGACGCCAGGATGGCTGACATTGAAATTGATGATAGATTTACCGAATAAAGTAGAAGATGTGCAAATCTCCCTATGAGTGCAACCTGCTAGGAGCACGACATGATGGCAATAGTAGGCTGGCCATTGTATCCATCAACGCAACTCCTCGTTGCATGTGCGTTCGCTGGTACGTGTTTTAGTTTTTACTTCGCCTTATCGAAGGTGCTGCGCATCACAAATTGGAGACCCGAGAAAACAGAGGAATTGCTGCCCACGCGCGCCACTGCTAGCGACAAACTCGACAAAACAGCCGGGGGCGCCATCAGTGGAACAGAACAAGCGGTGGAGCTGCTGCCCGCGAAGGCTGTTGCGCATGACAAATTGGAGGAGCCGAAGCTGTTGCGCATGACAAATTGGGGAGTCGATAAAACAGGGGAACTGCTGCCCACGCGCGCCACTGCGCATTACAAACTCAATAAAACAGCCGGGGGCGCTATCCGGGAAACAAAACAAGCAGTGGAGTTGTTGCCCGCGCTCGCTGCAGCACGTGACAGTTTTGAGAAGCCAGCTCCTGAGCTTGTTGGGGCCGCGTTCAATAATACTGTGGACCCTGTTACAGCAACCTCGGCCTGCGACACAATGGAAGTTCAGCGACGAGAGTTACTTTCTTCTTCGCCGGCTCGAGATGGTGACTTACTGCAGCTTGGGGATGAACTTGACACAGGGCCTGGCTGCTTTTCTTTGGGATGCAAGAGTGACGAAACAGGAGCTGAGTCCGGGCATTGCGATGTTTGCGTTCAAAAGTGCCATTGTCCGGATATCCATCCTTCTTCGCCGCTCGCCGCTAACAGAAGTGCCTCGCAGCAGGACGGTGAGCTACTGCAGCCTGTCGCCGAGTTTGTTCTCAGTCGTGAGAAAGCAGCCTCGTCGAGCGCCATCCGGGAAGCAGAGCAGAGAGGTGAATTGCCGCCCACGTGTGCCGTTGCGCATCACAGATTCGGGAAACCTTTGTCGGACGTTAAACGGGGCGCAGAACAAGCAGTGGAACGGCTGCCCACGAGTGCCGCTGCGCATGACATATGGGAGAAACCAGCGCTGGGCGTTACGGTCACCTGGGGCTCAGAACAAGCTGCGGCATTGCCGCCCAAGCGCGCCGCTGCGCATTACAGATTTCTGCAGCCGGCTCATCTTCCTTGCGAGACAGAAGCGCAACCACTGGCGAGCATTAGCCCAACAACTACTGACGAGCAGCAAGGGCGAAGCATTGTTTGGCGCGGCGCCAATCAACATCACTTGCAATCACCACAAATAACAGGACAACGGACCACGCTAACAGATGGAGACACGGTTCCTGCAGTATATTCAGGATCTTCTTCTTCCTTTATGGAGTCCTCGCGAACTACCTGCAGTAGGGCCACAGGCCATCGTGGAAATAGTTCTCAGCTGTCCACCCACGACGGTATACTTGCGGAGACGGGATTGGGTGTTAACCGCGTTGATCTTGCAGCCCCGTCGTGCAGAGGCCAGAACAGCACAGAGCATAGCTGCGTTGCTGCTGACCAAGTATCAGCAAAAGACTATGCTTCGTCGGCGGACAGCACTACTACGGCGCCATCTGAACCTGAACTGCCAGAGCATGGAGAGCAGCCTGCAGGGCCTGAGGGCAGTAGTGTTGCGCTTCACGTGGGGCCTGTCAATATGAAAGCTTCCACGTCAGTGCGGCCGCAGGCAATAACAGCAACTGGCGGAGACGGAGGAGGTAACGCTGACCCGCAAATTCAAGGCCACAGAAATGCAATGAAGCAAATCGAACAGGATAGGGCGAGGCTTCTTAAGGAATGGGAAGAGCAGCAAAAGTCCGAAATTGACTGGGAGCCGTTCCCTGAACTCGCCGAAAGTGTGTACGACCCGCCGCCGCTGGTCGGGCACGGAAGAATGAAGTTCGCACGCATAAACATGTGTGGCGCTGGCAGGGATAGTGACAGGCTTAGGCATTGTCTGCGTGTTGCGAGCATTCGGCGCTACGATGCTATCATGCTCAGTGAATTTGAGTACCACAAGAAGTCGCTTCATTCTTCCAGAACGCGCGGGGAAGCTGTTGCCACCGAACTTACAAAGCGAAACGAGCAGGATTCCTATGCTGTTGGCGACGGGATAGGAGATGCCCCCGTGGAGGATGACTCTGACTATGGTGTTGCTGACCTTGACCAGGGCGATCGCGTTGAAGAGATGACTGATGACGACATTCCGGAAGACGATGCGGATCTTGTTCCAGGTGGGCGCGAGAACTCCGGCGACAGCAGCGAGAAGCATCGATGGCTTCGGAAAAAGGATTTTGATTTGCTGTGGATAAATGGAGCTGGTATCCTCATCACCGGAATTACATTGAGAAAGCAACTTGGCAGGGGCCCAATTCCAGCGAACCTGGTACGCGCTAGAGAGCGAGTAGTGGCAGTAGCTTTCCCGGAGATCGTCCTCTCTGCCTACTATGCGCCGACATCGGGATCGAAGCCGCATGCAGTGAAGGCCTTCGACCGCAGCCTCGCAAACACGGCGAAGGACTTCAAAAAAATGAAGAAAGAAAAGTGGAAGATGTTGTTGATGGGTGGCGACCTCAATGCACACATTGGAGCAGGATCCGACGAGTATGCAAGCTCCTGCATTAGTGGCGGCTTCGGGAGCAAGGTTACCTCGCAGAGGGGGCATCAAGTTGCCGCAAACTTGGTTTCCATGAATTTAGTGCTTGCCGGCTCATGGTTCAAGGCGGACAACTACCACACCTACCGAGGGAAAACAGAAATCGATCACTGGCTGACATTGGGAAAGCAGGCGGAAAAAATTCGATCGCATCGAAGATTCTCACTTGGGGGTCGCAACCGGGACGACGCTGCGCCTTTTGCTCCAGTATCTTTCGACCACTCCGCTATCGAGATTGCCTGCGATGTGAAATCCTTTCAGAGGCTGCGTGAGGAAGGGGTAGCGAGGAAGGCACTAACTAAGGGCATCCTCAATGAGATTCCGGGCGAAACAAGGGACCACGTCAACAAGTGCTTGCAGCGGCGTCACAGCGCGGGCAAAATAAGTAACTTGGAGCAGCTGCAGGACTATCTAATCGAGATCGCGCCTATGCTTACCGGGAAAACGAGAAGAACAATTCCGCGCGCTACGTCGGAACAGCTGCTCGAATCTGCCAAGTCGAAGGCGCGAATGTGGCAACTTTTTAGAGAAGAAAAAGTAAGAAAGAGCGACCGCGCGTGTCATATAACCCCCGCACAGTCCCGCGCCCAGTACAATGCGGTGGGGAATTCGCCCCTTCACAAAGACCAACCGCTTCCGATCGACAGCAGGTTGAAAGAAGTAGTGACGAAGCTCCGGCCGGAAACAGTCGCGGAGCTGGACGCACCGGTGGAGGCAGAGGAGCTTGCGCAGGCGATTCGTCACATGGCGCAAGGAGGCAAGGCCAAAGACGTGCACGGACTCACCCCGCAAATCCTGAAGCACTTCAGTGATGATTCGGTGGAAGTGATCGCGGGAATTATCAGCACCGAGATGGACACGAGGCCCCTCTCGGAATTGGGAGAAAAATTTCATTTGTGTCGCGACATTCCGTTGCACAAGGGCAAAGGCGCAAGAAGTTCAGCCGATAACTATAGATTTTTGGTAATCAGTCCGTTACTCATGAAACTGGTTACGAAAATCTATTCGGACCGCCTATACAAGGCTCTCGAGGCCGTGGGTTACTTCAACGCCGAGCAGTTTGGATTCCGGGCGGGAGTAGGAACGCTGGACAGCCTTTTGGTGTTCAATCGAATACGCGAAGACTTCCGACACTTCTCTAAGTCCCCAACCTTTTACCGATTAGTGGCGACGCTCATCGACTTACGCAAGGCATTCCCTAGCCTCGATGAGAGATTGATGGAAGGCGTGTTTCGAGAACTCGGGTTGGGAGAATCAAGATGCTGGCAGGTGATAAGGTGCTCACATCGATCGGCGGCGCATATGTTTGAAGACAGCATACCACTTACCGTAAAAAACGGAACAAAGGAAGGCTGTGTATCTTCTCCCCTTTTGTTCTTGGTCTGCTATTCGGCTGTAATGCGGATTTTTCAGTTAGAGCGGCGGAAGTTACCGGAAGAAGCCTGGGGCGTTAGTTTGAGTGCAATGGACAAGGCGCGACACTGGGAAAGAAAAGAAAAAATTCACGAGCTGGCGAAAGCGGGAAAGAGAGCACTGCTCGGTGAAAATCAAGACGACACGCTAATAAAATTCTTGCTGGGCCGCCTTCTCTTTGCCGACGACGCCACCCTATTCTCGCAGGGGCAGGCTGCTGAGGTGCTGAAGCAGGTGGAGGACAATAGCGAGCGAATCAAGAAGAAGCTCGAGCCACTCAACAACGAACTGACCGAGCTGATGAGCAATGTCTTGAACCAGTGCGGGATGAGTGAGAACATGAGCAAGAGAATCATGGACGACATCACAAAAATTCAAACGCGAAGCCTCGGCGTGAACACGAACGACGACGCAGATATCCGCATAAAAATCTCAAAGGCTTGGTCGGCGTTTCATGCACTAAAGTCGACAGTTTCCGGGTTAACCGGCCTGACACAGCAGCGCAAGGGGGAACTGCTGATCATCGTGGTCCGCTCCATCATGATCTACGGCCTACAGGTCCGATTCGTCGGGGAGGACCACTCCAACCTGTTACAAACGGCGGAAACAAAAATGATGAAGATGTTCTTGGGGATACCGTTATGGGTACACGACCAAAACCAGGCCAGCTCGCGCAGCCTGCGGCGCAGAATGAAGATCCCTCCCATTCGTGCTCAAGTCAGGTACCTACAGCTGAAGACGATCGCGCATACTATGCGGAAACCAAAAAACGACTTGGTACGAGCGGCCCTGATCGGCAAATTTTATCCGCGAGCCAGCCCACCAGCGGAAGCAGATGCCTTGGGAGTTCCGCGGCTATGCCTGCATGACTACTACAGATCGGCGCAGGATCTGAAAGAGGTAGAGGCGCGGGAGAAGAAAATTCCTGACTTTTTTGGTGACGCGCTGGAGTTCCTTCGCAAAGAATGCAAATTGGGCCCGGAGGCTCTTCAGCTGCTGTGGGAGCCCATGGCGGAGGCGGACACGAGGAGACCACCACCTGCAGAAAATGAGCTGTCGTGCTACAAAGTCAACAAAAAGGTTTATTTCTGTTTGACTCGATGGGCCTTCATCCGGCAGACGGCAGAAGACTGGGCTGATGGTGACCAATTGCTAAAGATTGAGTTGGCGGCGAAGTATTTTTCTTCGTCACCGCTCGAGAAAATGAAAGACGAAATTCGTAAAGAGGGCGAAGAGCTGGGCTGGGACGACGACGCCGTGGCGGAAGAGCTGCAACAGATGATGAAGATTCCTGACGGCGCCCCGGAGCAAGTTTTTCACAGTGAGGAGTGCTTTTGGTGTTCGCGCAGCATCATTGGTTTCATGGGACTGGACTCGCAGGCGGAAGTTGATCGCAGAGAGTATTTTGACGAATTGGCCGAGAATCACCCCTCCTGTGGCATGCCTGCGCCCCTTCTCGAGCACCTGGAGCAACAGCATCCTGCCCGCTACCCTGTTGCTGATGACCCCATGCTACAGCGAATATTGGAAGTGAACCAGCATCAAGACGCCTTGCTAGATCAAAAAGTCAAGACGAATATACTGCAGCGGAATCCGGAAATTCGCGAACTGAAAAAGGGAGGAGGAAAGCACGCACACAAGAAAATTCGATGCATACCATGCGGCCTTACTTTTGTGGAGTCGGCGGGCGCCATGGAAAAGCATGCTGAGGACCACAGGAGCGGGAACTTCATAAAGGTGGGCTATAATTCTTCGCTGGATAAAAGGCCGCATGGGTCACAGAATCCTCCCAGTGTGTGTAGAACAGAGTATCACTACTGGTGCAGCGCAACAGGCAGGTACACATATGGAGGCCAAGGCAAGGCGTGGAAGATTTGTGTTCCCACCGATAACATGTTCACGAGTAGATCAGGAGAGCAGTACTTGAGGTGCAGGCACTGCAGGACTTACAAGCTACGATACGACCACAACGATCAGGAGTGGCACTGCCAGAATAGAGCACTAAACTGGTACGTCGGGAGGATGCGGAAACACCAAGACAAATGTAAGAACAAGCCCGCGCGGGGGAAGAAGAAGAAAAAAGACGAACCTGAAATAGAAGAAGGCAGCGATAGCGGCTCCGGCAGCTGCAATACTAACGATAATAAATAGATAGACTCTTTTATTTATCGTTTTACCCCGTTTTGATGGGTAATACTACTACTACTACCTTGTTCATTCAGACGATGACGATGGATGTCAATAAGGAATCGACAATCAGAAGCAATGCGCATAAAAGTGTCCAGAACCTAGTTTCGTTAGCGACAATTCAATCCATGCGTTGAAAAAAATCACCGCAGCAGGCATGACCGAGTTCCTTTGTTTCGGTTCAAACATGAGACTTTTCACCGCTGCGTAAGTGTATTTGGTCAGTACAACAACATAGAAGAACAAACAAAAAGCAAAAGACTCGACTAGCGTCAACGTCCATTCTGTTACTCACACTAGTACAGAGAGGTGGAATATATTCGACGGAGAAGGCGGGACGGCACAAGAACGGTCGCTGATGGATTTGGAGTCTTTGCTCCAGTGCAGCAGCACAATTGAAAGTAGGAATACGATTTCAACAAAAATCTACGTAAATAGCACGTTCGTTGGCAACATCTAAGAAGGTCGGACACGGATGATGAAATTGAAATTGTACCAAATCCCATAACAAGAAGATCAGCTCATGTATGAGGTAGTAACCCTCACTTTTTCTTCTGCTTTTTTGACGCCGGATCGGGTTTTTCTTTACTTCCATCCGTCTCCTCAGTCTTCTTGCGCTTGTTGGCTTTCGTCGTCGTAGAAGCTGATTGTTTGTCCTTCGCCTTGTTCGGATTCACCTTTTTTTCTTTTTCCTCTTGATTCTTCTTTACGTTTAGTGCGCCAGACGCGGTACTACTCTTGGACGTTTTGCTATTTTTCCCGTTGTTCATCTTCTTGCCTTGTTCCTCCTCTTGCTCTTATCACACAGAAAAAAGCTGGCAGGTCACATTTCTTTGTAATGCAAAAATAAATTGACAAAAAAACTTGTATTGCGTATTATCCTAAATAGCATGCTATGAGTCCGCCCATGACAGATTTTTCTGTGTATCTATTTTTGCATGACAAACATGCCCTGCCAGCTTTTTTCTCTGGGATAACTCTTTTTTCTGTGCAAGAATACGCTCGTCTTTCAGCTGTTGCTTCATCTTCTGCAGGGCCTCTTGCTGCAACCGCTGCTCGTCGGACATGACCATTTTTATGGATCTGTCAGGATTGAAATCGTCAAAGTTGAAATGATTTGTCATGCATAAAATGGATACCAGTTGGAAGCCCAATTTTCAAACGGCGCATGACAAATTTTCGGAGCACGACCGGAATCCCATTTGTCATGCTGTTTGGGCACAGAAGACTTTTTTTGTCATGCTCCTTCAGCAGCTCTATCCCAAACCCTAAATAAGCTCACAATCTGCCTCACTTGCCATCCCGGCAAGACAGGCACTCCATGCCTTGCATCTTATGCATGACAAACTATTTCAACTTTGACGATTTCGTTTCTGACACTTCCATAATTTTGAAGTCCGCATTAACTTTCTCCTCAAACTCCCCCCAGTGCCCCGTCGCGTGGTCGTTGGTGTATCGGTAGTCGTCCGTTTTCCGGGCGGACATTTTGATGTGGATCACGTCTTTTGCTTTTTTATCAAACCGCGGGGTCGCGTAGATATCCAGCGACGTGTTACTAATTCTCAGGGTACACGGCTCCTTCAACCAGCTGGCTTTTTGCAGGGCGTCATCCTTGGAGAGTCCGGTTTGCAACGCTGCTTCGTATTCTTTCTGGTTCACGACGCCGAACATGACCTGGTATGTAGAGGTATGAAAGATTGTAAGTAAGTAGTTATCTTCCGACATTTTTTTTTCGGCTCGCTTCTTAGCAATAAGAGCTGGAAGTTGGTGCATTGATGCACGAAGGAGCCATGTGCGTCGTGTCAGCAACAGCATGGTAGAAATTCAGTTCTTCATCTTCGTCGGTCGTGAAACGAAGCAGGTACAGGTAGTTGATTTCAACAAGACAATACTTCTAAACCGTTCACGTAGTCGTAGACGTAGTAGAGAAAAAATTTTGGGGAATAAGTACTATGTACCTCCAACAAATCCACATACGGCTGTACGTCCTGCTCTTTCAAAAACCAGCTATGAAATGCAAAAGTGTCTGGGTCTGGAAGATCAAGATTCTGGGACTTGTCATGCACGTTTTGCATGGGCCATGATGTCTGTGATGCATGCCCCAGCATCACAGACTTCTTGAGGGCTTCGTGATACCTATTCCGCATGACAAATGCCCTCTCCGCGTAGCCAAAATTGCATTCCCTTTGCTGCTTATGCAATACTTACAGGTTTTTTCGGAATCCAAATGCAGCATCACAAGTTCGGATTCTTCGAGACCCACACATTTTTGCAGTTGATACCACCAGTGCTTGGGCCAGTCTCGGAAGGGCAGGAAACCCAGTTTTCCGTAGCTCCTCTCCCCCTTCCCCCACAACTCCCGGCCCTTCACCCAGGTCAACGTTCGGCCTTCTAGGTGCCGCAGGTTTCCTCGCCCATGTCGCTTGGACGCCTCGCGCTCCTCCTTCCCGGTACGGTCCGCCTTTTTCGTTTTCATCTTTGTAGTAGTTGATGTCGGGGCAGCAGGAGGTGCAGGACCAGCTCCTGCTTCTTCTTGTTCGGCGTTCTTCTTGTCGTTCATCTCGGTGTTGACAACAGCAGCAGCAGTACCACCGCCTGCTTCTGCTTCTCCACCCGCTTGTTCGGTCATCCAAGTAATCCGGACGTTCCCCTCCTGGAGTTGCGCTTTCCGGGAGCAATCGCTGAAGCCGTGCAGTTCAAACATCCAGTCGTAGACGTGGAGCGGATACGCTTCGCAATCCTCTTTGTTGGGGCAGGAGCCCACGACGTCCTTCTTCTCCTTGAAGTTCGGGCCGAGTTTTTTCTTCGTAATTTCGATGATTCTGGCGAAGTCGTTTTTGGACTTGTCTGACCGGATGTAATTTTTCGTCCCGCGGTAGTTTTTGATGATTTCGTTTCCGTTCTCGTCGGTCACTGCAATGGCTAACTGCCCGTAAATGTTCGTCGCGCGGCGGAAGGTGTCCATCGCGAGCCGAGCTTCGTGGAGGTTTGGTGTGGGAGGGAAAAACGAAATCCGCGTGTTCATCTTCGTGGAGCCGATTTGTCGTGTGTGTTGTAATGTCCGATTGCATTACAGAACAAGAAGAGGTAGCTTTCAAATTCATATTTTAATTTTTTTGCGCGCCTCATGCATCACAAGAAATCGACAACAATCGGGAAGAACTACGCGACTATTTCATCTGCCTTGCATACGTGGCCCCATCGTCTCATACCCGAACGTGACAACTTTGGCGACGCTTTCCGGCACGGCTTTCGACGGGAGCGCGCACCCGTGTGGGTAACACACCGCGACCATGCGGCAACACTCCTGGAACTGGTCGTCTTTCCGGTTGTTGTATCAAATGTAAAAATGTCTGGGTCTGGAAGAATGCAACTTGTGATGCTGAATTTGGATTCCAAAAAAATCTGCATTGCATGAGCAGCAGAGGGAATACAATTTTTGCTACGCGTAGTAGTAGTAGTACCATTTAACTCCTGGCGGGTCGGCGTTAGAACAGATTTAGCCTCTGCCAATACCTGGGCGTTAGAACAGATTTAGCCTCTGCCGATACCCCTAGGTGGAGACGCGGCCCACTTCCTAACTACCACCCGGCTGCACCTGCAAAACCGCTATCGATTGCCTACGCGGAGAGGGAATTTGTCATGCGGAAAATAAATAGGCATCGCGAAGCCCTCAAAAAATCTGTGATGCTAGGGCATGCATCACAGACATCATGGCCAATGCAAAACATGAATGACAAGTCTCAGAATCTTCCAGACCCAGACACTTTCACGCTTGATATGTTGGCCGCGTCGAGGAGAAGCTGCGCCATCTCTGGCGAGTCGCAAAACTCCAGGTCGTCCACGTGTTGGATTTCTTTGGGCCGCAGACTTCGGTCCTTTGCCCAGGTGGCGGGAAACACAGGGGTGGTGCAATGGGGCAGGATGCCGTTGATATGCATTGCAAAAGTATCGCGCTGCAGTTTCACTAGTAGTAGAAATCGCTATCGCATGACAACTTTTCTCAGCTGCATTACAACTGAAATCTGTAGTGCGGCTTTCACTGAAAGACAAGATTTGTGCTTCATGCCTGGAATTAGTGCGAGCGCAATACAGCTTTTGCACAGAGGATAGTTAAAATCAGCGATCTTGTTCCGGCAGTCTACTCGCTTGAAGGGGAGGGCGATCCCGGCTAAGGATCCTCCCTCATCCAGATAGTCTACGTCGGCCGTGATAATCTGCTTTGTGTCCAGCTTCATGATGCGAATCGCTTCCAGTTTGTGCGCACTGTTCTTGCTGCTGGTAATGGCGGTCAATCCGGTTGGCTTGTTAATGTTGTTGCTTTTTCCATTTTTATTCGCAGTAGATGAGCTGCTACTCGACGACGACACACCTCCAGAAGCAGCGGCCCCGTGCTGGTTGCTGGAGTTTATTTTCCCCCGGCCACCCGTAGCACGGCCCGCCTTTTCTTCCCGCTCCGCGTCTTGCATTTTCCTGACCTCCTGCGCCCGGTTTCGGACTGCGGACTTGCAGTTGCCCGCAAAAGTGGGCACCCACTCGATTTTTACTGTTGGGTCGTCGACCTCATGCCCCTCCGCCATGACCCACGTCTGTCCGCCAATGAAGCCCCAACCGAAGCAAAACAGGCGGGAGGGGCCGAGGTTTCCGGCGTCGCAGTGTACGCGGGTAATGCCGCCTTTGTTGATGGTGCAAGAACTGTACCTGACAGTAGAGCATGGATTTTACTCATACTTGGGTTTTCCTTTTGAGGGAAATCAGTATAAATCGATGAGGATGTCACTCTACGTACGTATTAGAATAAAGCGTATATCACATGAAATGCAGCATGGCAGATGCATATCCAGATGCGAGGACATCAGAGTGCTGCAGTTTTCTTTTCCAAGCTGTGAAGGTGAAATAACATCACAAAGAAACCACAGCGCGCCATGTCTAGTACTAGTACCACCAATCCTTTGCGGTGCAGGTAAACGGTTCGCGCGTGGTGGCGGTCTTCATAATTGCGTTAATCAGAAAACTCATCTTGATCCCGCTCGGCTGATTCATCGTCTGTCCCAACTTCCCGACGGGTCGGCAGGAGACCAACCCCGTGTTGAGAAATTCTCGCAACTTCGTGACATCGTAACCCTGTTGCAATCGCGGCCCCAGTTTCTTCTTCTTGTTATTCATTTTCGAGGGTTCTTTCTCGTTTTGTTTTTCGTCATCATCCTCTTCGGCGCCGTTCTGGAGTTGTTGGTCTTCCTCTAGCTCGTCTTCAAACTGCTCCTTTTCGTCAACGATCCTGTGCAAAACTATCGCACTCGTATCGCAGTCATGCATTACAAATATTTTTCTTAAAGGTAAATCAGCATTGCAAATCTTATTTCTCATGCTGAGGAAATTTGTAATGCATTTATACGAGTACGATACTTTTGAAAGTCATATCAACCTCCTGGCCCTCCAAGTCAAACGACTCTTTTCCCTCATTGTCTTCCTGGCCGATCTATCAAATGCAAAAATGTCTGGGTCTGGAACACGTGGAACTTGTGTTGCGTGTCTTGCATTCCTGGAAAATCTGTGTTGCATGAGCAGCAAAAGAGGAGCTTCCTTTGTCATGCAAATAATGCGTGCTAGGCATCAGAACGCGTCGCAAAAACTTGTCATGCTTGGCTGCCATTGCAAGCGCTTCAATCATGCTCAATTCAGCATCACAGGTCTCCAGACCCGGACATATTTGCAATTCATACGATCCCGAGCTTGGCGGCGTTTTGTGCTTCTTCCTTCGTGTCGAGAAACACATTGTTTCGGGTCCAGGACTATGAACTGCAAAAGTATTGCACTCGTATAAAAAATGCATGACAAATTCCCTCAGCATGAGAAAAAATTTGCAATGCGGATAATGTACCTTGAGAAAAAAATTTGTAATGCTAATGCATGACTGCAATACAACGAGTACGATACTTCTGCACAGGATAAGGACTTCATAAACTTGATGTCCTTTACCTGTTCTACCAAAAACTCCCAGCGCTGCTTCTCGGTCATACCTGGTTTTTGATACTGCAATAGAAATTTTGATTTCACGATTCGTGCATGACAGACTTCTCTACTACTTGTTACAGCAGAAACTGTAAACGTGTCCTGTTTTACTTCACCCTCGAACTACAGCATGAATTGACTGTCACTTCTGTTTTTAAGCTGTACCAAACATGTATTCGAGTGATGAAGTACCTTTTTCCATCGCGAAGCACAAGTCGTCAAAGTTTTCCCGCTCCAACGCATCCAGTGCCTGCGCTCTGCCGCCCATCTTGCCGAATGCAGCGGTTTTTTTCTGGGTCAAAGCCCCCCGACGCGGCTCCTTCCGACCCGTGTTTCCCGCTTGGGCAAGGTGCATGTCGGGTTTTTGTTGTTCATTTTCTTTTTCGACGTTGTCCTGTGGTTTCTTCTTGATCTTGGTGTTGGTAGGTTGCTTAGTTGTAGTTCTACTCTTTGTGGTCGTCGCGCCGGACGAGGAAGACGAAGAAGACGCTGTTGTTTTTGCTTCAATTTTTGTGCTGTTGTCCTCTTTTGATGCTAGTTTCTGTTTCGACGCAGGTGCAGCACCAGCAGTTTTCATGGCCGCGGTCTTCATCGGGACTGCTTTTGTTGCGGTTTTCGCGGCTTCCGGCGGTCCCTCTGGCGCCTTGCTCTCGACCTCCTGAATGGCCTTCGCCGCTTTCCCGCCGCCCGTGTTCGCTGGCATCTTGTCGTGCGTCGTGAGTAGAAATGAAATCAATACAACCGCGATCAGGAAAAATGCAGCAATGAGCTAGTGCCTAATTATCTCTTTTCAATAGTATAGGCTCCGAAGAGTTGAAAAGATATTTAGAAAATCGAAAGCTCGGGACTCGACTCTCCGTTGGACTCGGTTCGTAACATCTTCCAGCAGTGAAGAAGAGGGCTAGAAGTAGTGTGGCGTGGTGCACCACGACGAGTACAGCTGGTTACTACTAGTACCTCCCCATAAGATAAGACCGCCAGGTGCAGCGTTGGGAGCAGGAAGGCGAAAGAATCTCAGAAGAGTTCTTGCGACTCATCGTCATCGGCCACAAAAACTAGAATTTTATACCTCTGTAGAATCGCTTCTCAGGTAGTGAAAGTAGTGATCCCGCTGCAACAGGGCAGTTGTACTAGGCGAATGAAGGTCAACATGGTCATGTTTGCTTTATCCGTCCGTGGCAGAGGGCCAGAACGGAGAACAAACTAAGTAGAAAAATACGCCGGCATCAACGCGCTCCTTTGTGCGCCAGCGCTAGCGCAATCCACTCACTCGGCAATAGCGTCGCTGTGCAATCTGTATTGGAACTGCTCTAAAAACTAGCAGATATTCAAAATCAAACCACGATGAAGTACAAGCGGGAGGTGAAGTAGGTAACGTCAAAGTTGATTTATTTCAAGAAGTGTCCTCTTTCGATAGTCTATTGCATTTCGGTCCCGATGATGCTGACTTTAGCAGACTTTTTCTAAAGTTGTATTTACCTAATAACAGCGATTGTTCGTTATCGTTTAAAAAAATCATCAATCCGGAAGTTCTTACGTGTTATTCTTATTGTTAGAGTGTTGTGTTCTTGTATTGACACGAGCGCTTGGCCGCTCAGCTTCTGGACTATTTCTATTGACAAGCAGGAGTTGTTTCAAAAAGTAAAAGTTCAAATTTCAATCTAGTGTAGCTATACACCGAAAAAACCAAACAGGAAAATTAATGATGTCGCTACTTTTTCGAGACAGAATCCAAATACAGGTAGTACAAGTGATGTGTTTTTCTCTTGTATCATAAAATACGTCTTTCGATGTGTTGTGTGTTGGAGTCCCAAAAAAAAATGACAAACGTTGTTCATTTGGATGTACATCTAGTACAACTTATTTCCCGGCAGAAAACATCCGTTTTTTTTCTGTTTTACCCTTCCTGCCAGTGCTCTCCCACAAGTGAGAGTGACAACGTCGAGCTACTATGCAAACTCCCCATCCGTATACGCGCCACTGGCATGGTGCTGTGACTTTCCCCCTAGCGTGAATGAGCTCATACCCGCACCAAACATGCCGGGTCCCGCCACCACTCCGCCACCCAGCATGCTATTTCCAGCACCGCCCGCCGCCCGACTACTGGAGCCCCCGGACCGCTCGCTCAGACTCCAGTCCCACCGCCCCGGCGGGCCGTCTTCCCTGCCTCGGTTCCAATCCAGCGGCAAATCCGTATTCACGTAGCTCGCGCCTAGTTCCACCAGCTTCTTCGTTTCGTGGTACGTATCTACATCGTCGTGCGCCAACCACACCCCGAGAATGCAATGATTTGCGATCTCCCGGACCTGTGTGGCATACTCGGTGGACAGAGTTGGCGTTTTCTGGATGTAAATTCCGTCCAGGGAGATGTTGGGGGTAACCCGCAAAAGCGGTTTCACGTGTTTCCGGTAGCTGAAATTTTTCGCGTTCAAGTACAGAATTTCGCCATAGAGATCCGGGGAAATTTGCGGCTTTTCCAATTCCAAATGGGAGTTGGTCAACAGCAGAAAATCTGGCCGCTGGATCTGGTTCGGGTTTAAATTGTTCGTGTCTTCGTGCTATGCATTGCAAAAGTATCGTACTCGTATAAATGCATCACATCAAATTTCCGCAGCATGAGAAATAAAATTTGTAATGCGGATTTAGCTTAAGAACAAGATTTGTAATGCATGATTGCAATACGAGTACGATACTTCTTTTGCACAGGATACCTCCGTGATCAAAGTTGTGTTGGTTTTTTCGAAATTCAAATTCACCGCTGCGGCCGCTTGCACGGCCGGACTCGGGCTCAGCGGCATATTATTCGCGGGGGATAAGTGCCCGGTACTAATCGCGCTGCTCTCGGATACCCCTAAAGGGAGCCCTAACGGGAGCTTTCCGGGAGTTGGATCTGGATTCGACGTATCGAATGCAAAAGTGTCTGGGTCTGGAAGGATGTAACTTGTGATGCTGCATTTGGATGTCTAAAAAATTTGTGTTGCATAAGCAGCAAAAGGATTCTGATTTTTGCTACGCGGGGAGGGCATTTGTCATGCGGAATAGGCATCAAGAATCCCTCAAAAAACCTGTGATGCTATGGCATGCATCACAGACATCATGTCTCACACAAACCGTGCATGACAAGTCTCAGAATCTTCCAGACCCAGTCATTTTTTGCAATGCATACGACGTCTCGACTAGGAAATCCCGCAACCTGCTATCTGGCGCGAACTGTTCCGTCGATCGTTCATTCGGAACAACTTTTCGCTTCGGGGAGAGGCTCAGCTCGCTCGTTCGGCTGATGCTGGTGTTCGTATTATTGTTTTCGGGAGCCTGCATAGAGACGTCGGGAGACCCACCGTTGAGCTCGTCGAGGAGGGGCTGGATCTGAGAGGAGATGAAGTGGAAGTTTTATATGCACTACAGCCGTTCTAAGAACGGCTGTTCTTGTGTGGAGCATTTACTTTTTTGATTCAGATAGTAGGTACGTTTTCGTACCGAATAAATTCATTTTCTACTACACGAAAGTGCAGCGTATGCAAATGCGAAAAACAATCTACCAGGAGTGTCATCATAAACCAGAAGTCAAACCTCTGCGGCCCACAGCTTCGCCAGTTCGCCCATGACGTACAGGTCAAAGCTCATAATCACGCCGACAGACTTCACCAGCGACAAGTCCTGTTTGATATGAATTGCAAAAGTATTGCACTCGCTCCTGCTCGTATTAATTCATTACAAATTTCCCCAGCTTGAGAAATGAAATTTGTAATGCTCAATAACCTTTAATGCATGATTGCAATACGAGTACGATACTTTTGCACAGGATATTTGAAGAGCTCTATCAAACGGTACACGGTCACCATCCCGGGCGAAGACAGATTTGACGTATTATTTTGTTGTTGCTCGGCAGCGCGCGTCGCAAAGGCCGCAAAGATGGAGCTGCTGCAGCCGTCGTCATCGTTCAGGTTTACGTTGACGCTACTGCCCTCGGCGTCTTGTCCCGAGATCGAGACGGTCACTGAGGTCGAGTGGTCGTCTGGCATGTGCAGGCCCGTGGCGATTATGCATTGCAAACATGTCTGGGTCTGGAAACTCGTGATGCAAGGAAGGAAGTAGTGAAAACACTGCAATGCGCTGCCCAGCATGACAAGTTTTGGCGTGGTTCTGAGTTGCGTACTCCGCATGAGATACTGCGTTGTTGCATGCCAGGCAAGAGGAGCTCTTCGCGGCCACGCGATACAGAGTTCGGAGTCATGCCAGACTAACATGACAAATCTCGCAATCTCCCAGACCCAAGCATATTTGCATTTCATAGCGGTCGAAGCGGTAATTTCGTTTTCCTCGAGTCGGAAACTCCCGTCCTTCGGATCGAGGTCGGGGGATGTGATCGTGATTTGCTTCGATAGTGCATTTGATAAAGGAGCGCCAAATGGATCAGGATCCAGGTTTTTTGAAGATGTTCCAAGCGTCATCGTGCCATTTTCGTCTTCTAGCATGAATTCGCTCGGTTGGTCACCGCGACTTGCACTTGTTTTATTCCCATATGGGGGCGGCGAGGTAACTTCTTTGTCTTCCCCTATCCCCGCCAAATTTGTGGGAGAAAAAGTCGGACTTCGGGAGGAAGACTTTTTGCTGCTCGACCGGGTTTCCGAGATGATATTACTGGAGGGCGTGGAACTTGACTTGTGGTCTGGCGTGCTACAGCAAGAGCTAGAAGAGCTGGGCTGCTGCAGTAAATTGTGACCACTCACTGGCTGCGCGGCAAGCCCCATGGGCTCTAGCGTGTAGTACAGCTTCTTTCCGAGCTTATTATTGATGTTGCCTGTAGTTTTCGAGGTCGACCTACTAGTACTGCTGTCATTATTTCCACCATTTATTTCCTTCTTATTCAAGTTGCCGCTTCTCGGTCTGGGTGGGCTGCCGCGCGGGTTCGGATTCGTGGTCACGTTGCCGTACTTCAGCTCGATGATCAGTTTCGCATTGTCAGAAATCGTATCCCGTGCAAAAGTATCGCACTCGTATAAATGCAAGTCTTGCATTACAAATCCTTTTCTTAAGGTAAATCCCCATTACAAATTTTATTTCTCATGCTGAGGGAATTTGTAATGCATTTATACGAATACGATACTTTTGCACAGGATAAATCGCCGCGGCAGAGTGGAGAACTTCGGTGAGCAACGGTGGTCTGACGCCCGAGCGTAACTATCAACTGTAAAAATGTCTGGGTCTGGAAACTTGTGATGCCAGTGTGTGAATGGTGGGCGCACTGCGTTATGCAGCCACGCATGACAAGTTTCTGAGGTCCTATGTGTTTCGCCTCCCGCATGACAAACTGCCTTTTTGCATGACAGGTAAGAGGCTGCCTTCCTGCTCATGCATTACAGATTCAAGAGTCATGTGAGACAAGCATGACAAATCTCGCAATCTCCCAGACCCAGACATATTTGCAGTGCATAGCAACGGCGTTTTCACAATTTGCCGGAAATCGAGTTCCCCGACGTCTTGATACAGCTTACTTTTCGCTTTTGTGTTTTGCCCAGCCGTGGTCGTCCCATCCGCGTTCACAATGTCCACCGGGCCGGCGAGGGGGGAGTCGAGGAGAGCCACCCTTTTCAAAGTGCTGTCGTGGGTGAGAATGATTTTTCCGTCCCGGGTGCAGATTACTATGAAATCATGCAAAAGCATCGTACTAGTACTATAAACCGCATGACAAATCTCCTCAACGTGATAAGTGAAACTTGTAATGCTAATGCGGATTGGACTTAAGAAAGAAATTTGTAATGCATGAACGCGATTAGTACGAGTATAATACTTTTGCAGTGCATAATTACGTCGCACTCGCAATAGGGTAAACCGGCCGACCAAGCGAGCTCGTAGGCCGGGAGGGAATTCTCCACCGGTCGGGCGTCGTCATTGCCATGAAACCCACGGTGAGAGACGATGGCATTGGCAAGACCTGATATAGATAAAAGTGGTTTGGAATTTTGTAATATTTTTGCAGTTGTACTAGCACGACCACATCACACGAGGCGGGTCGTTCTGGTTCTCCTGGTGTTTCTCCACTGACTATCATGCTAGATCCAGATCCAGAAGACGAAAATCATGTTTTTTTTTCAAAAGTCAGTATGAATGTAGTCCCTTACGGTTATCCAGAGACGCCACCGTGTCGTAGAGCCAGGAGATTTCCGACTTCAGATTGTATCAAAATGAAAAATCTCCCCTCCCCATATCAAAATGAAAATCTGTGATGCGGGATTTGTATACACAAATCGGCTCTGTCTTGCAGTAGAGGACTGCAGGCAGATGCACAGCCTGAATTATAGGAGCGTTTTGGTGTAGGCGCGTAGCAAGACTGGCATATCCTCTGCAGGCGATACAGCATTACAAACTGCCTGCACGACAGCGCAGCGGAGTCTCTGGCGTTGCCTTCGTGCAATACAGAGAAGATTTGTGGCCACAAATCAGCAACATCACAAATTTTATTCAGGAGTATCCCTTTTTAGTATGGGAAGGGGGAGTTTTTCCTTTCAATAGATTGTCCGACGGATTCGCTAGCGGGCTCGGTCTCTGTTCCCGGAAGACTTTCGTTCTGCTGTACGCCGAAAGCCTCGAACTCGACGACCCGTTTTTCCTCGACAACCGTAACTGCGACGTGGAGGTGTGCGGCCCGCGATAGAAGGAACGGTTCTGCTGCACTAGGTGCAGTAAGCTGGACGTACTGCGGTTATTGTCCTTCACCTGCAGCTGGGTCATGATCCCGCTGGAGGAATTTGTGCTTCCTTTACTGGTCCCTGCTTGTTGTCCAGCGAGATTGAAGCCCGACATGTTTTGCCTCGATGATTTCGGCTTTAGTAAATTCTGCTGCCGGTTCAGATCCATAAAGAGCACCTTCTTCGCGAGGACGCACAACTGCTCGCAGGTGGCGCCAAAGAAGGAGCAGTAGAGACTGGGAAGGAGAAGCTTGGCGGTGGCGCTTTTTTGTTTTGCGTTGTACTTGTACGGGATTGATGCAATACAAAATGAATCAGCAGCTGTTTGCACCGTCAAGAACGCCATCTATCATTGATCATATGGTGACCACTACACGCGCAAAAAATACAAAAAGGGTCAGGATGAAAAAGACAAAAAAGACAAAAACATATACAATTCCGGCCCCATGGTTTTGTCAAATTTTTTCACGGATTTCCGCAAGGCCGCGAAGTTGTCTTCCGCGAAGGAATGCAGAATTACCAGCAACGCGTCGTTCTTCCGGATTTCGTCCAAGTTTTCCGAGGACAGCTATGCATTGCAAAAGTATCGTCATAGTAGTAATTGCATTACAAATTGCCTGAGCATGACAAATGGAATTTATCATGCTGTTTTCCCTTGGGATGGAGATTTGTAATGCATAAATGCAATCAGTACGAGTGCGATACTTGTGCAATGCATAACAGCCTTTCCACGACAAACTCCAACGACTCCGCCCGGTTTATCCTGCTGTAGATCCAGGTCACCAGCTCGTACCACTTCTCCATAAACCACTTACTGACCTTATCCTATGTAAAAACGTCCCCACCCCAGAGTTGTCATGCTAAACAAAATGCGACACACTTTGCCCCCCCATTGTGCCATGGCCGCAGATGGCTTGAGACGCAGGGCGGGTGGGTCAGGCGGACACCAAAGTGCCATCGCCATCATCTCCCGGCCACTATATTCCAACTCTGTTATCGCCACCAGCCATACTTCGCAACCATCCATACTGTGCCAACTTGCCTACTGAACAACGCCTCACTTTTTTTGCCAACAGTTCCTTACTCTGATTCTCGCAAACCCCAGAGTTGTCATGCAGATTTTTTTTTTTTTTTTGATTAGGCCCCATCTTCATGTAAATTCATCACTTTTTTAAGCTAGGAGCCGGTGTGCGTTACTTAACATGTGAAATCTGATCTCACGAACACCGGCCTGCGACCAAGCAGGACCGGGCCGACACAATATTTCACACAGTTAAGCAGATGGCGCGGGTATCTGAGTGCTGTTTTTTTTTGTACCAAATTTAAACTTGTCGCCTGCCCCAGCAACTTGTTCTCGCTTCGCAGCCGTTCTCTCCCTCCGCTCCACACGCGTATCCCTGGTCCTCCACACGTTGGCCTAGTCCTCCCCGCTCTCCCCCTCCGCTCCACACGTTGGCCTAGTCCTCCTCGTCCTCCTGTAGCTCGAACGGTGCGCGCGGCTCCCCTCATTGGCACTTGTCTTGAGCCCCTGGCCATTTGTCCCGATTCCCTTGCCGTGTCCTCGCTGGCAGGCCGCGCCCCTGCCCCCGCTTTGCCGCGTTGTCTCCGATTCCGCGTTCGTTGTTCATGATGTTTTCTTTTTATCTCAGCCAAAAAATACTATACCCAACTACGACCCCATTTATGTATCGAAGTAGTTCCGGTTTCCTACCTTACCAGCACGGCTCTTCTTAGTCTTTTCTACATTCACGACCTACATACTTCCTTATCCTATATTACGCCCCCACCAGCCACTTGCTGGAAAAAAAAAGAACCGCGACACGGTTTTCCTGGATGTTTTGGAAAAAGCACAGCCGGTGGGGGGGGACCACAGGAGTCACCCCCCCGCTAGCTGCGCGGCTGTTGAAGTATCTGCTTCTACTTTTTACATGATGCTTGTCTACAATTTTATGTCTTACGTCGTAACTTCTTCACGTAGTACTTTCTTTCTTTAACGACGATTTACGTAGTACTTTCTTTCACGTACTTTCTTTCACAAAATGATGCAGATTTTAACTTGTGATGCAGATCTTGCAAAATCATTACTTACAGTGAAACAGTTTTTTCTTTGCATACACAGTGCGTTGAGTTGTCATGCAGATTTGCCATGACAGGAACATTTCTACTGATGCGCAACCCCATGACAGGCATTTCCAATCGTGTTTGAGAACTTGTAATGCTGTAAACAGGATCAGCAGGTCGATTTGTGATGCGGCTTTCCTTGCTAACTTGCACGACCTTACGGACTCCTAAAACTTGTCATGCGTGACTCCCAAAACTCCTAGGTTTGTGTTGCAAAATCCCCATCCTGACTCTGGTGGTGTGGGGACGCTTTTAATCAGGATATACCTTCTGCAGCTCGCCCTTCCAGATCGCGATAAATTGTTCCTTCTTCCGCTCCGCGAGTTGCGAGGCCCGGGCTCTTATGCTGTGCAAATATGTCTGGGTCTGGAAACTTGTAATGCTGGGTCAAGAATAGTGAAAGGTCACTGTAATGCACAGCCAAGCACGAGAAATATCTGCGCTACTTAGTGTTGCGCCTTCCGCATGACAAACTGTGCTTTTGCATGTTGACAAGCAAAGAAAAGGGTCTATTCTTGGACACGCAGCATCACAAACTCTTCAGTCAACATACCAGACAAGCATGACAATAAACCTTGCATCCTCCCAGACCCAGACGCAGACAGATTTGCGATCTATAGGCTTCGCGCGCTGCTCCCCGTGGTCCGAGCCGGTGGTACCGAAAGACTTCTCGGAGCCGGCATCCTCTTGGACTTGGTCTGGTGCAGCGGAACTAGATGCAGCAGGTTCTACTTGCACCAATCCGTTGGTATCCTGTGTACCAGTTGTACCCCCCAGTTCGGTCGCTGCCGTTACACTGCTTCCCCCTGCTGCACCGCCACCGCTTTTATTTCCGCTGCCGGCAGTCGTTCCTTCCTCTTTATCGGTCTGCGTGGCTGCATCCGTTTCCTCGATAATTTGCTTCAGCAATTCGTAATCGCAGTAGTACTCGGCCCAGGGCGCGTGCCGACTCACCTTTATGTGCTGCCCGAACCGCATTTTGGTCTTCTAATGTCCACCTCCGGGGGCGCGGAAATAGAACCGTAAGCAGAGATCCGAGGACGGTCGGTCTATTTTTTCAGACCGGTGGCAAAAACTTGTCGCTAGCTGCCGAAGAAGTATAATTTCCTCGTCATGCAGGGCAGCTGCGCGGCACGACGTAGAGCGCTGTACTTGTCTCGTCTACTAGGAGAAACAGGAGCAAAGAAGACAAGAGCAAGACGAAGACGATGAAGAAAAGTAATATGGAAAATAAAAAGTCAAAATCAGCCTGGTCTTTCACAAAATCATATACTTATCAACCGAGAAGAGCAGCACCGAGCCTAGCCAAGCGATGGACGGCGAGCGCATAACCAAAAACAGAAGCATATACATAGAAAGTACAAGCGTAATCACCGTCGACATTATAGTCGGCTTGAAATCAAATCATGGTGATCTTGAGAGACACAGGATCGCATTGAAAAGAAAAAAATAACGAATGCGACCATCCTTCACGATTTGCACATGACGAAGAGGAGGAACAGACGCTTTTTACCGACAAAGCGGTCCTGGACGAAGCCTTCCACCTTTTTTGTTGCAGATAATTCTTAACCACTGACGTCCGCATTACTACATGGAAAAGAAAATCATTGTCTGTACTGGAGCGTTCGTTCCACGAAGTACAAGGTCCAACATCTTGTTGGTGTAGTGGATGATGAAGTAGATCACAACTACTACTCTCCTACAAACAAATCTTCTTGTCCTCATGGGATAGAAAAGTCCGGACAAGAAGCCTCAACGCGTTGAACCGCTCCCACCACCACTTCCAGCACTCCCTTCACTTCCTGCCCGCCCGAACACGTGAATCCCCGTGCTGGTCTTCAAATTCCGCCGATGGATGTCGCTCTCGTCCATCAAATGCGCGTCCAAATTCCGGTGCACGCTCTGCAACACAAGCTGCGTCCAGTTCCTCGTTGCGAATTCCAAGTCCGAAACCATCTTTCTTGTTTTCTCCATCACGGGCCGGATCCGGTCGACGCTCGCCTGCGCATCGCCCACTTGGAGTTGAAAGTCCTGGAACTGCGTCTTCTTCACGCTAATCGGTTGGATGTTTTGCTCGCGGGTCTCACTCACCGCGGTCACGTTCGTTTTTTGCTGGAGTAACAGCTTACTCAGCGTAAAGTTCTTGGTTGTGGAGTTTTGCAGAATGGTGGCCACAGCCAGGGCCGTGGCGTTCCGCTTCTGGATATCCGTTTCAATGGAGCGGATATTCGAAATTGTCTGGTCGGCGGAGTGTTGCAGTGTGGAAACCCGGCTCTGCATCTGCGTGATGGCTTGACCGATTCGCTTCGTTTGCTGCTCGAAGAGATTCAGCTTTTCCGCCATCTCGGTCCGAGGCATGGCGTTCTGGGCGGTATCCTCTGTTTTGGTGCCGCTAATTGTTCTCATTTTGACCGCGATGATACAGAAGTGGTCCGGTGCGAAAAGAGCCGCAAAAAGTGCGAGACAGATCGGAAGAAAGCGGGAGCAGGACCTCCGCATGGTACAACGCGCGGCCCTGCTCTTCAGCAAGCGCACCATGCTGGCCGCAGTTACCCACCTACGGTCGACACTTCGCCTACGGGTCGCGTGCCGACCGAAATTATCCAGGAAAAAACACCCATCCCCATCCATGTTTTGCATGGCAAACGCTGGAAATTATGTATGTTTTGCATGACAAATTGGATGGAGATGGGTGTTTTTTCCTGGATAGGAGTATGCTTGAAACTACGACATTTTTTTTCCTGTTAAGTGAATGATCAATTCGTAACTCACTCCAAGTCACCAGTGTGAATGTAGAGAAAAAGGGAGAAATAAAACTAGAACTACAACATATAAAAGTGCGGGCGCGCATTCGGAAAACGGAATTCGAATTGCGCTCTTGGTATGATCCACTTGCGCTGTACAGTTCCACGCTACATTTCTTTCCAAAAGGTCCGTGCTGCTTCTTTCACTCGAATTCCAACAAGCCGGTTCCTGCTTCCATCGCTCGAAGCAAGTGAACTCAGAGAGACTCTCGTCCAGAACAGATAACAAAACGATTGTTCTATCCTGACCTCGCACGGCGCACAGCTCCAGCTGCGTTTGTGCTGGACGAGCCTCGTCCGCTGCTTCCCGGGAAATCCCGTTGACGCTGAGTCTGTCTTCCCTCGATAATCATCTGTGGTATGATGCTGACAGTAGACGCACCAGTACGAGCTTCGAATCGCAATCAATGGAAATAATGGCTTTCGGCTTTCTTTGCTCAATCAGAGAATCAACTTGTCCTTATCTGCCAAATTTTCTTGCAATTCCACGTGCTCCGACACCAGTTCCGCCATAACCCCGCAGTGTTGCGTTTCCGTCAGCAGCATTTTCCGCTCAAACTGCTCTGACGCCTGCAGCGCCTTCGTTTTCATCGTTTCTGACGCGATTTTCGAATCTTGATCTCCGAAGAAGATGTCCATCATTGTGATATCTTTCCTCCCTTGTTCATCATTCTCTCCACCTCCACCCAACTGCGCGAGGTAATTCTTGTAAAAATCGCTGTTCCGCAGCCACTCCCCACTCGTTCCCGCGCCGTCGCTGTCGCCGTGTAGCCAGTGAAACAGAACGATGTTCTCGATTTTCCCCATCCACCCGTTCCCTTCTACGACCGCCGCCGTGACGAATTTCTGCACGGAGTCGAGTAACGCCCATTGCGGCACTTTCGTGCTTCTTGGCAAGGGTCGAAAAGTTACTCGTTCTGTGTGGTCTAGCCAGTGCGCGAAGCATTTCTGGTCGTGCTCGTAGGGGTGCGAATACATCCAACTGATGACGTCGATGAGCCACGCAATGACCGCATCGGTCGCGCGGAAGTAGACGACGCCGTTGCAGATGCAGTGAGAGGCGAAAGACCCGGTGATAAGGATTTCAAGCGGTTGTGGTTTGATAGTTCTCGATTCTACTTCTGTTTTTTCACCTTCCGCCTTGGCCGGCGCCTCGATACTTTCTATCCGTGGCACTGGGTCGTCAGCTACTTATGCAAGAAAAAAACGCTGTTAGTGTAAATTTGTGATGCGCAATATGCAAGATGATTGTGTCTGTCATGCTTGGCATGCATCTTAGGGTCCATTACAGGCCGCTTTCACGTACCATCTGCGCATGACAGGTTTTTGCTGTCATGCCAGAAAATTTGTAATGCTGTTCCTCGAAAAAAGTTACACCTACAATGTTTTTTTCTTGGATACTACTCCGTTTTTATTCATGGGCCTCAAGGATTTCGCGGATTCGAACAAATGTGGCGTCGGGTCCTGGACAAAATACACGTCGAAATCGATCCAGAGGCTGTCAATTCCGTACTTCGCCAGTAGCAATGGTATGGTGAACTTCGAAACGATCGTGCGCGCCTCGCCGTAAACGCACGCCGGAGCATCGATAGAACTGGTCTCTTCTTCCTCAGACAGAGGTGGGGCCCTCGAGGATTCCTCCTCGTCCTCCTCCCCCTCTTTCCTTTTCCGTCGGTACACCGGAATCCCTGGATTCACCCTCTCTTCCGCGAGCCAGATGGTTTTGTAGGCCTTTTTGCACTCGTGAAACGCGGTCTTGTCCATCGCGAAGACGAGCAGGTTATTGTGAGGAAAAATCCCCCCTCCCCATATCGAAAAGGCATGTTTCCGAAAATTTGTGTTGCTGATTTGAGGTCACAAATCACGTCTGTCTTGCAAGAAGACAAGGGCAAAAGCTTCGCCCCCATTATGGAGGCGATTTGTCATGCTGTTAGGCCTAAAGCGGAGCCGTTTGCCATGCTGAACAACTAGACCGATACGCCCCTGCATAGCCTGGGGATCTGGCCGCGATGCCTTCCCGCAATACAGGGCCGATTTGTGTACACAAATCCCGCATCACAGATTTCCATTTCGATATGGGGCGGGGGGATTTTTCCCTTTGATACAGGTTGTTCTTCTGGACGGTCTGTTTGAACCGGAGCATGAAATTCTTCTATCAAATGCAAAAGTGTCTGGGTCTGGAACAAAGCAACTCGTCATGCTAAATCCGAATCATGTAAAAAAATCTGTGTTGCATGATTACAAAAAGCTGTCCACTTTTGACCTAATCGAGTTCGAGAGGCAGTTTCTCATGCAGGATAGGCATAATGATGATAGATATCTCACAGAATCTGTCATGCTATGTCCTTCATACCAGACCTCATGGGTCATGGAAAACCTGCATGACAACTCTGGCATTCTTCCAGACCCAGACATTTTTGCAGTCGATATCTTCAAATACCGGCTAAATTTCTCGCCCCAAACCATTACCGTGTAGGCGAACCCGATTCTCGGTAAATCTGCGACGTCGAGATTTAAGTTCAGTTTTTTGTTGTAAGTTGTCACAAACTCGTTCTTTCTGTTTCCATCCCACCAAACGTCCGGCAGTTTCATCAAACTCGAGAAAACCGCCCGGTGAAGCTCCGAGCCTCGTTGTGACAAGTAGCGCAGGGAATCAGCCAGTGGGAATTCCCCGCCCCAAAGCTTCTGCCGGATCGTCAGTTGTTCTTCTGGCTGATTTATTATTTTCATGGTGCTATGTGCTGGGTCGTCAGTTTCTGTAGCAGGTGGAGCTCCGAGAGGGATGAGAGCAGATAGAGCTGCGACCTCATTTTGTTCCGGGGGAGAGGAGAACGCAGTATTGGCGACACCTGTAGAAGCTGTACTCGGCTCCTTCCCATGATCATCTTCACGCACCACTATCCCCCGCTCCATGACCGGAGCCTCCAAAAACTGGTCCGATAAGAACTGCACCGCCCCTGCATCCCCTGCACAACAGCGGTCAGTTTTCTCCTTTTCGTCTTTCGCTTTTTCTACTTCTGCGATGATTTTTTCACTACTAGTGAATGCCCTTACCGTTTTTTTCCTGTTTACCAAACTTTTTTCCAGCAAAATATCTCCGTCCACCGGCACTGCTTTTGCGTTCAATTCCGCGATCAGATTCTGCATGGACACTTCTTGGACGAAGCTCCTATGAAATGCAAAAGTATCGTACTCGTAGTAATCGGATTTATGCATGACAAATCTTTTTCTTAGGTGAAATCCGCATTACAAGGTCAATTTGTAGTGCCAAGTCAATTTGTAATGCAATTTATACTACAACTACGTACGATGCTTTTGCATTTCATAGCTCCTGGAGTCCAACAACTCGTGGAGATGCAGGCCCAACAAAAAATCGTGCCGTATGGCGTTCTCAAACGTTACATTCTGAGCTGTTGCATGAATTTGTCATGCAAAACTACCTTGAGCCGGTAGAGGATCAAGCTGCTTCGCATGACAAATCTCCGGAGGGCTAAACAGCATCTAAAACCATGCCAAGTCTGTGATGCAAAAGCAGCAAGCTTGCACCTTTGACTGTTGCGGCTCTTGCATCACAAATTCATGCAACAGTTGAGAATGCACCGTTTGAGAACGCCATATGCCGCACGGTTCCCTTCAACGACCACAACATCGTAAAGTGCGGCCACTTGCTGAAGATCAGGTCTCCCATTTCCAGCCTTCGCAGCATAATCGCGTAATTGTATTCCCGCTCGACGAAATACGCGGATTCCGTCAGCATGCACATCTGCATCCGGAGTAGGATTAGAAAGGAAAACGCGTGCGGGCAGGACTCAATATCCGTATCGGAGTCCTTTTGGTAGATGAATTTGTACACCCCGTCGTGCCAGTCCACGTCGGACAATGGGATGGGTTCGTTTCTCCGATGGTCGTAAAAATAGTCAAGTAGTGAGGAAAAGTTCCCGGTGGTGTTCGTGTACTGCCTGGATTCCATATGACGGGGCACAGCCCTTCCCTCATTTGTCATGCAAAATACCCAATCCACCTATATGACTCTCGGCACTCTTTGCATGACAACTTCTGGTAGCCGAAATAGAACCACAATCCAGTTCAAATTTGTCATGCAAAACTGGGACTCTTGCTGATGCTTGTATTGCCGTTCATGCTATACAAATGAGGGGGATCATGTGCACTGTCATATTCCAAGTAGAACGTCTTCGACCGGAGGGGGTTTTTCGCCAGGGCCGCCCGGTGCCGTTCAGCAACTTCGGGATCCAGGGAATTCGTAAACCCCTTGCAGTTGATGTAGTCGTCCTGGCGCCAAAACCGAGCGATGGACGCGTTGCGGATGATTTCGTCGTGCATGAGGAAAAGCACAAACGGCCATTTGGACGCGAGCACAACCCGCATCGGCCATCGCGCGTACATTTCGATCATTTGGCCCTCGGCGTCTGACATCACCCAGCAGTGCCGCTCTTCCGCTTCACGCCTGTCTGTCGTGAGGAAGGAGAGGTGGAGTAGTGAGTGGGAGAAAAAGGGTAGCGGGGGCGCAAAACAAAACGAAATACGAACTCGAAGATTCCTCAGTACAACGCTTTCCATTTCAATACACTATCCGAAATTTCAAAGAGCTGAGTGTGAGTGCGTTGTAACATATTTCAGTGCGTACAGCTACAGCTAGAACATTAGAAAAAGCCCAAAAGACCAGCACCTTGAAAGCAGTGCCTGCTGCCCCTCGCCAGTCACGTCGGAATCGTCTGACGAGCCAGCAGCTATCTGGTCCAAAACTTGCTCGACTCCCGAATTCGCTCCGCCATGCGCGTCCCTGACCTGCGTCAAGCACCAGTGCAGTCTTATGCTGTAGTAGAACAGCATTCCCAGCGCGCACTCGTCTCCTAGAGGAAATCGCAAGTCCCAATTACTGTCCAAGGCAGCGTCGATGGTGTTGATGAATGGCGCGGAAATCGACGTAAGAACGTCCATATGCATTGCAGAAGTATCGTACTAGTAGTAATTGCATGACAAATTGCCTCAGCATGACAAGTGGAATTTTTCATGCTGATTAACCTTGGGAACGAGATTTGTAATGCATGACTGCGATCAGTACGAGTGCGATACAACTTTTGCACAGGATAATCCACGTACAGTCCCATGCCCTCCCGCGTCACTTTGTCGATCACCCCGATCCAGTCCGACCTTTCCTGTGTAAAAACGTCCCCACCCCAGAGTTGTAATGCAAATCTGCATGCTTAGAATGTTTCTCATGCGGAGACCCATGAGAGGCGTTTTCTAGTGGTGATTGGAGAGTGGTCATGCTCGAATCAGCATGACAAACTGGGTCTGTGATGCTGCTGCACTAGCTAAACGCGACTACATTGCGGGCCCACCTTTGTCATGCGCGACAGCCAAAGCATTAGGGATTTGTGTAGCAGATTTCTCATCTTGACATTGGTGTGGGAAAGTTTTTACTTAGGATACGACCACACCAAGCCCTTCGCAACGCTCTTCTTGTGCGTCTTCTGTCGGCAATCGTAGTCCACGAACCAAGGGACCTCTTGGGCGTGAACAAGCTGCAGGAGGGGGAAAGGTTGTGAAGATATTGTCGTGGGGTCGTGGAGAACATCTTCAAGGTAGCTTACCAGCACAGAAAAGGGGATCAGCGTAGCTAGCAGTGATACAACTACATGGAGCAGCGTAGTTGCGGGAGAACCATGAAGGCAAGCTGCAACTCCTCGTCTTCCCGTGCACCAGAAAGAGCCACTGTAGTTCAACATTGTTCGGCGCGGCGTGGCAGGTGACTGTAATGCTGCAGGACGTGCTGTTCTTCTTCTCAGCAGGGCCCACCTACCAGCACAGCTTCCTGGAGGACCGCAAGAACGTCGACGACTTGCTTTCATTTTATTTCTCATGACTTTTGCTCCTAATGATGCGGGAACATGATAAACAAATTCTCTTTTTTTATTCCAGCATAGATGAAGGGGTAGCAGCATCCACAAGTAAGCAAGCAGCTCCTTGGAACAGGACCACGAAGACGAGACCCGTCCCAATCGTAAATGAATCCGCGTACAGATCACCAGCAGTGAAGAACGACAGTAGTACTTAGAATAAAGTAGAAAACTGGTACGACCACAACCAAGCAGTATAGTTTCAACAAAAAACCGCATTTATTTTCGAAGTTGCCACCGAATGCAAAAACACGACGACTAACCTCCATGTGGGATCATCGATCATTATCCAGTGCAGCTGGAAAAAAAAAACAGCTGGACGAAGCGAAACGACCTTGTTTTTCTAAATGGAGATCTTCTGATCGAAGTCAAGAAAAACTCGGTCGGAACAAATAGCGGCATCGCCAGTTGTAGTACTCCGCGAGCGCCTGCTGGACCTGCTCCATGATGTTCGCGGCGTCCGATAGTACTCTTAGACCAGCGGGAGGAATAACAATACTAGCATCATTTTTTGTTTTTCCGGATGAAACTTCGTAGTAGTCCAATAAACAGGTGTCAAGGTCTTCACCATAGTATGGGCATGCTTGCGGAAAATAATTGCGATTCATTTTCCCTTCGGTGGCAAGCAGTTCATACTATTTTCATCGAAAAAAATGTTGGTAGAAGGTAGGAGGTTCTGGGCAGCAGGAGGACGACAGCGTAAAAAATCATAGCTGCGATTTTTGTATTCGTGGCCGACCACTGAAGGCGAAGGAGCGGGTTTAATATTTGGTAGAATTATAGAAGTCTCAACAGCAGGGAAGGAATGTCTTTCGGTCTGTCGCTTTTGTGGTGGAAAAAAAAGGTACGTATGAGGTTGACTAAAAAAAAGTAGTTGCAAAAATCAAAGAGTTCTTGCAGCACAACTACTTCTTCTCTCGGGTGAATAAAGGTATAGCTGGGATTGTTTTTGCCACAGGACGGGGAAGGCCTTGTTGTCCTAGTTGATGCCATCTACTCATGTAGACTATGACTGCAGACAAATAAAGGCTGTAACGCTGTTGCTCAGGCAGGGCGGTGAAGATCGGGGTGCTCCTGCGCACGTCGGGGTCGTCGTGTGAAAAAATAAAAGGCAGATTCATTCTGAGGCCTTGTCGTCAGCAGCAGATGAAGAAAGAGCGCAAGTTGTACTGGTTAAAAGTGACAGTCGCGTGGTTCCAAATTAGAAAGCAGCAGAAAGAATCATGCCTAAAAAAAGCGGAAGGGGCATGAAAATTGGTACTGTTACTGGGCAACGGAACTGAAACTGTGGCTGGGCAATAGCAGAAGAGTAAATGAGAAACAGGAAACGAGTTCTTGATGAGAACAAGTCAAACGTAGTTAAAGTTATGGAGAACGATGGATGTTGAGCTGCCACAAGACTGCTGCAACAAACTCGAGAAGATCATTAACATTATCTGATAGACATTGACACACATCATTATCATAAAACCATTTCACACATCCAAAACAAAAAAAAATCCGAGAGCAACGGTGTCGATTGGATGCATAAAGACTACATCAACAATTCAGCTGAAAAATACTTTTCGCCCTGAAAGTTCTATATTGTCTCTTCTAAAAATCACGCTTTGCAATAGCACTTGTGCTGTAGGAACTACCGCCTGCGGCCACTTCATCGGTAAGCACTACCACTACGTCTTACCTTGATGTTGATAGGCTGAGTTTCTACCACAAGCTTGACGTTGCTGAATTTATTCTGGTTACCAGCTTGAAGCAGGGTTTGGTTTATTCGCAGTAGGTGCTGCTACCACAAGCGCGCATAGTGGTAAGGGTAAGGATGAGATTTCGAAACGCCAAATTCTATACGAAGGAATGATGAAAACGAGGTGCAAAAATTGCTGAAACCTTACCATATCCGAAACCTTGCAACGCAATTTGTGTTTGGCATTCGTCTATAGCATTTCCATATCTGTATTTTGTAGGCAAAATTTGTCTGAACAAAGTCTATTATTCAGGACGAGTCTTGAGCCGCCTTTCATCTTGCTCTTCTTTTCTTGAAAAAAAGAGAAAGTATCGCTATATGATCCTCGGGATATTATTCTGCGAAAGAGTCCTGACGAGCATGTTGGCAGACAAAGGATGAAAGGTGACAACGACCAGGACATCACTATTCTTGATTTGCTTACTTATTTTCACTATCTTGATTTGTTTCCATAAATCTCTACAACTTCGGCCCTTTTCACGACCACCACCTAAACCTATGCAAAATCCAAAAGCTTCAGCTTTGCATGCTTCTCGTATTCCTCAAAGATCGATCAGACGCAGACCACTTCTAACCGTGTGTAGTACTAGGAGCGGCCGGGTAATCGTTGAATGTTCTTGCAAAAATGCGTCTGCTATATTAAGCTTTGAGCAATTGCAGGGGGTTCAGGGTTGGTGTTTGTGTTTGACGCGAGTGGCATGACAGATCCCCCCACTAGGAGGGAACCTTGTAGTTGGTCGCTGTACATGTAAAAAACAAGAAGTGATTTTTACAAGAAAAGACAATAAGTCGGACACACAGTTCGCCGTGTTCCACCCGCGAAACATGATTATAAAAAAATAACTTTATCTTCCCAATGGATAATACTTACAGGAGATAATGTCGCACTTTTTTATTTTGCCACTAAAAAGTTGTTTGGGAGTAGCGCTAGCGGCCACTAGAAAGAAGAAAAGATAAAAAAGAGTTGTATTCAGCTAATATATACGCAAGAATTTGCTTTCGTCGGTGCTTCGAAAGAATATAAATCCGTACGTCAATAGGAGGGCCGCCGGACGGTATGCTGGTTGCTGCTAGCGCTTACAGAAGAAATCGTAAAACAGATTCCTGTGCTTTAGTATTTGATAATGCAGTCATATTTAGTTCACCGCTAGCACTAGCTTTGAAAAAATTGAAACAAAGATGCCGAAGCAATTCTGAAAATAGTGGAACGTATAAACGAAGTTACATTGCTATTGCTTCTTTGTTTTTTATAACACCTCCAGGCGCAGGCGGAGCACCGTCATATAGTTTTTGTATTTGTTTTTGTGAAATGTCGAAATAGCTCAGTCGCTTTTCGGTGTCGTGTGCTGTCGAAGTCGCTTGGCAAAAAAGAAAAAGAAATATAGAAAAACACAAATCGATCAGCGAACAGAAAATGTTCAGCTAAACAAAAAACTTAAAGTGGACTTGATCTCTACGTAGCACTAGTGGTCGTCAATAGCCACTTGTGCCAGCTCCAAACGACCTCCCCGGCTCTTGATAAAATCAAGCTCAAGCCGCTGAAAATATCCTCTACATGATATACTTCCGCTCCGCATTTTTTCGGAAGATTTTCTCCAGGGTAATCCACGTATCCCGTGCAAGATCACGATACTCACCGGTATTAAGTTGCTTTTTTTGCAATTGTGCGAATGCCTAGGCCTAAAGAATCAATTATTCTTTTTCGGAACAAGGTTGTACATGTACTGTTAACCAGGTACAAATTTGGCCCTGACTCTGCACGACACCGTTGCAAATTGCGAGTGAACATCGTGATCTCACATATGGGATACCGGGTGCGCAGGTCCAATTTCTGGTTATCCCACGAAAAAAGTGTTACAGTTACACATTTGTAGGGAATTCAGCAACGCAAATTTCTCTGCATGAGAGAGAAAACTTGTAATGCAGAATTCCTACGGGAAAACACGTACGAAACGAGGCTCATATGCATATCCGGCATGACAGAGCTTGTCTGTCTTGCTTGGCCTGCAACACAATGTGTAACTGTAACACTTTTTTCTTGCGATACTGGTCCTCGCTGGACCAGTTCTGCGGAAAGCCCATGGTCCAGCAGCTCTCGCGTGACGACGGGCGGTCGCGGAGACCATGCTCCTCCAGATACGACTCCACGACGGCCTGAATGACGCGCTTCATCTGGATGCTGATCTTGTCCAGCGAGGGATTGTGGGTCACCTGAAAGCATTTTGTTCCACTGCGTCGTGCTCGTGTACTTTCATGCAATACCAATAGCAATACAACTAAAAGTAGCTGCCTTGGTTGTGTCATGATGCAAGCAGCACCAGCAGAGCACGAGCAGAATCTTCACAATCAGCACTCATGATCAAATAAACTACCTCGCCATCATTCCAACTGGTCGCGAACATGCAGCGGTCCGGGCCGAACCAGCGCAAGCACGCCTTGGTCAATTTCTCCTCGTGTCCGAGCAACTTGCAGTGCACGTGCCAGTATCCTGTGCAAAAGTATCGTATTCGTTTTCGTTTCGTACTGATTGCGTGCATGCATTACAAATCTTTTTGTTATGGCAAATCCGCATCACAGATCTTATTTGTAATGCTAAGTCAATTTGTAATGCAATTTACACTAGTACGATACTTTTGCAGTTCATAGCCGGTGTTTGGCGATCTTCTCCAGAATGGTCAAAACCTCCACCGGGTCGTGGGTCATCGTCGTACTCGCGGTCTTATCCTGTGCAAAAATATCGCGCTCGTTCTAATTGCAAATATGCATGACAAATCTCTCTCCAAAATTAAAACAGCATTACAAATTCCACTTTTCTTCTTGCCAAAATTTGTAATGCAATTTATACTAGTACGTTACTTTTGCAATGCATAGGTCTGCTGCTCTACTCCGGAGGCTACTTCTTCCTGCTCCAATCTCGCCTCCGCCTCTGTCAGCGCTTGGATCAGATTGAAAGACGACGTCGCGCCGGTAGTGGTCGTTGTAGTCCCAGTTTATGCAATACAATTTTTCATTTCCGCACATGTACGAAATGCATGACAAATTTTTTTTGCAAACTTGGAGTGAGCAACTTGTCATGCCGACTAAGGTTGAAGGTAAGTTTCGTCATGCGGAAACAGCATTTGTACGTGTACGGGAAAAATTTTACTGTGGATACTGTCCCTGACAATCCCGTGATAAAACTGTTCGAAGATAAGTCAATTTTAATCACGATTTCCGTACTGACCGTTTCCACCAATTCCAACACTTTCGGCAACTCCTTTTCCAAATTTTCCTCCTTCAAACAGATTTCGAAGACCAGTCGGCTATGCATTGCAAAAGTACCGTACTAGTAGAAAACGCAAGCGTGACAAATTCGCCTAGCATTACAGATGAAATTGGTAAATGTAGATTTACGTTAAGAAAGAGATTTGTAATGCGTGATGGCAATTACTTTTACTACGAGTGCCATACTTTTGTAATGCATACTGGTAGTTCTTGACCATCTGCACCGTGTCGTAAAAGGTTTTCTTCGTTTCCTCGTCATTTGCTAGCAAAAACGCTTCGTGCAGCTCCGGGTCGAGAATCACGCCCCGCAAGTATTACAGTGAAAAATGCTCCTACCGCAGAACTACTCAGCAGCATTTGTAATGCAAACCTTTCCAATGGAAACATTCCCCGTCTTCTATGTATCAGCATCACAAATTTTCCATGCTGAATAGCTCGAAGTTGTGTTGCGAAGGAGCCCAACAGCATGATGGTTTGTTATGCAGAGGATACCTGGCGTGCCTAGATTCTGCATCAGAGAGGCTCGCAGTCCTTAATAAATGCAAGACAAACAGCTTTCATTTGGAAGCTTCGCATGAGAAACTTGTGCACATTCCGGGGTGGAGGCATTTTTCATTGCAATAGCAAGCAGGCGTGGGTGCTGTCCGGTTCGGTGGAAAAGCGCTCGTTCAACTTCTTGATCAAAGATTCCACCCGGGACTTCGGGTCGCTTCCGTTTGTTTCCTGCAAGGAGGTATTTGGGGTCGTTGCTGTCGTGGTGTCGGACGTGGTTGTAGTTGAAGTGGTCTTGTTGTTCACAGAAGCTGTAGATGTTGCACCGTCGGGATTGGTTTTACTATTTGTCAAGCAGCTCAACCTGGCAACGATGGCGAAGAGGGGGTTGTGTTTGGAAGATAAGCGGTTGTTGGAGGACAGTTTCTGGGCCGTGAAAATTTCCTGTTCCTGCTGGTCCAACTGAAAAGCCGTTTTCTTTTCTCCCTCGGTCAATAGTGTTCCTCTTTTTTCACACTGGACAAACACGCACTTCTCCATGTCGGCGGTCTTGGCGAACTTTTTGTACTCGTCGTATTTTCCAGTGGCCGAGATGCCGCTCATTTCCGAGTCCACCACCCCGCACCTGTTAATGAACTCAAAGTAGCGGTCCGTGACCTGTTCCAGCGTCTGTTCCTCCTCCTCCTCCTCATCGCTAAGTGCGTGGCGGATGTCGTCTTCGTCTTCCTCCATGGTAGGCGTGGTACCGCGCTCCCAGGGGTGCGGAGACTTCTCGTGCTGCGGGGAAAGCAGGGTCGGCGTGGCGTCGGCTACCATCTTATATTGAGGGCGTGGTCGTCGTGTTTTAGAACAAGTAGTTTGGATTTTAGTACGGACAGAATTTATTTTCGTTGAAGAGTTTGTTGTAGAAGTACTCTCTTCTTTATCTTTGTTTTCGTCTCGTAGACGTAGAGAAGATACAAATATATTTCGTACTGGCAGCTGCTCAGTGTTAACAACTGCAACAGGACAAATTCGAATATCGGGCTTGAAGTTCGTCCGTGAGACAGGTGTTACTACGTTCTTTCAGCTCTGGTGGTGTTACTACCTTGTTGCCCTGTCTGCGTTTCAACTAGAACTACAACCTTCCTCGGTCACTACCTCGTCCTATTCTCAGTGGTTTTGATGTGTCATGAAGATTTTTGTGAAGGAGCACAAGCAAGTCAAGCGAGATGTGTAATAGGGGTGCTGCGAGAGTTTCTTGGGTAGTACTTAAGTGCCGGTTTATCATTATTGTGGAAGCTATAAACTTCATGATACGGCGGAAAAATATGGAAAAAAATCGAGGCGGGGAAAGTCAAGGCTTCCTGTCAAAAATGGAATAATAAACTGGGCCTTTGCCTTGCGTTCGCCGCACATCCATGCACTCGACTGAGAATCTTTAATTATTGTGCGTGTCGCGTTGATTCATTTTCATTTGAAGTTGGCGGTGGCAGGTAGGTCTTCTGAAAAATGCGTCCTACTTCCAAATAAGTAAATACATCGATGCTTACTGTTGCCAACACAGCATCAGCACCCGGAGACGGGGGAGGGCCACGCTGCGCTAGCTGGTCGGCGCAAATTCAACACGAACACGGGCACGGGCTCCCAATAAAAGTACTGCCGCTCGCACTCGTGGCGCCGGCGAGCTACCTTCAGCTTTATCCCGACCACCATCTTTCGTGCCCAGCAAGTAGATTTCGAAAAACATGCGGAGGGGCACCACGCGTTATACTCATTTACAGACGCCACCCCTTCATCCCCTGCCGCCGCCCCCCCGAGCCCCGCTCGAGGAAGGCCGGGCAACGAGGGGCCCAAGACATAGTGCTGACCCGACGGGGCAGCGCCATGCATCCTTCCAAGCATGGTTGGCGCGCGGCGGCTCCGGCCATGCGACACACACGGAACGCCCTGCGCTTGGAACGAAGGACGGGGCGCGCAACCCACGGCAACGCGGCGCGCTTGGTTTCTGCTTTCCCTTTTATTTTTTGTGGCAGGCGCGGGGGCGCGGCGGCCCCCAAGCGGTAGAACTCCGCCCCCCGCCCGCCACCGCGGAGGGCCGGAGGGAGTATGGGCGGCCCGGCCCGCCCGGGCCCGGCAAAAGGCTACAAGGGCGGGAGTTAATACTGAGTGAGGCGCTCCCGCCCGCCCCACGCGCCACAAGGAGAAGCGGCCGGGCCCCGGGCGGCCTCTCCCTTGGCGGCCTCGTCGCGCGCGCGCTGCAGCCAGCCGGTCGGCGCATTGCCGGCATGCCAATAGCCCCCGCTGCTGGTGGTCCAGAAAGGGATAGCGTGCAAGAGCCAAGAGCGGCACAGGGACCCAAAGATCCGGCCCGGGATGCGCGCTGTCTCGCCGCGGCCGGCCGCCGGTCGCCATCCGCGGCCGCCGCTGTCGCCACGCCCTTGCTGGCTGTGCCCGAACACACGGGGCGGCGGCGGCGCGGCGGCCTTCCGCCGCGGCCTAGATGCCTGCGCGTACGTCGCCGACGGCCCACGCCACCAACACCCCCGCGGGGGATTTCGTTCCCGCAGGAGGGTCCCAGAGAAGGGCCGGGGCCCCCCGGGGGCTACGTCGGCCACAGGGGGGATGGAAGGCTGCGGGCCGGCTGGTCGGCGTGCCCGGTAATCCGGGGGGGCCCACTCGCGGGGCAGTCCGCTTGGGGCTGTTCGCATCCTGAAGCGCCTCCAATGCGCCGTAGTCAAACGCAAACACGGGCCCGGTTCGGTTGAGGCCAACCAGAACACTTTACGAAAACAACCAATGCCCCGGGCTACTTCTGGCGGGTAGCCCGTACCGCGCCCGGCCGGCAATGATAGCCGTTTTCCAGCTGCTTGATGGGCCAGCTGCTTCTGTCTATCGGTTTTCTTTCCCCCGGGGTGTCGCAGAGGAAAGGATTGGCCGGCGGCCGCCGCAAAAAAGAACCAGGAAGGCGCTGGCAGCCCGTTCTCGACAGCCGACGACGCAGGCCGATCCTGCAGAACAAACACGGGCCCCCCTTGGGCCAGGGCTCTGCCCCGGCGCTTCTTGGCCGCCACCCAGCACGCAGGCCGGGAGGAAGGCGCAGCGGCCCCGCGGCCCGCCTCGCGGGCCCCGCCCCTTCCCAAAAGCCCAGGCGCGCGCGCATCTAGCGAAGGAAGCTACTTATCTGAAAGACTCGCCGCAACAAGAAACACAGAGGGAGAGGCCCGCGGAAGCGCGGAGAACATTGCACAATCGTGCCACGGTGCTCGTGTATTTTTGCTGAAGAGCTAGAGCGAAGATGTTTACTAGCACTAGCAGAACCATCAACTTCAGCTTTTTGTATACTTTTTTTTTCCGTTCACTTTAACAAACGCCAAGTTTTTTTAATCGTACGCCACCGCTTACGCTTTCGCGTGAATGAAATTGAAAGTCAAAGGCGTAGTACTAGTAAAATGCGCTTCATCATACTTCTGAGGTCTTCAAAATCGATGTGGTGGCAAAGCTAAAAAACCAAGTGTGCGCGCGTGCGTGTGAGGGCTCGACTTGTGCTGTTCATTTTCTCAGGAGCACGCGCGATCATGCAATTGCAATCTTATTTCTAATATTATGTCAGTCGGGATCTTCAACGTGAGCAATAAAATGAAAACAAAATGGTTCCACAGCTCGAAGATTGATATGTACTCTTCCATCATTTTCCGACGTGCTCATCACCTCCGCCTTCAGAGGCGCAGTGTGCACCTTGTCAGGGCTTGGAACGGTGCTTCGTTTCGTCCCACTCCCTGTGAGGTCTGCCGCCGGATTTATCCGTTAGCGTCCGTTACGACGAGTTGTTTAGCGGCAGAAAGAAGGCGAGCAGCAGGCTGCTGGCCATCGTATAACTTTAACCTGTATAATTCTTGTTGTCATATATCTATCAAGCATCAGACTGATGAAGCCGCGAGATCGCACTGCAACAAACCATCCCGAGTGAGACCCTGGCACGGGAGAAGAATGACCACTGCAACACGGGGTAGTAGACGAGACTCTGGAGCACATCGGGAGAAACCGCATCTGGTGTCAGTGTTTGGCCATTTTGAAGACTCCCGATTACACAGCCCCGAACTAGTACGTGTCCAATACTACCAATTCTTCGCACTGACAGAAAATATGGTCAGCGCGATCAGTATCCGCAATGAGAGTAGGGCGCCAGCAACATTTCCTCCCCGTCGTTGCTCGGTGGAAAGAAATGCAGCTCGTGTTGCAAATTATGGCTTCGGCGGCTCAGCAAGTACAGCTCATGCGCCTCCAACGCGGACTCACTTTGCTGCCGCAGTGCCTGACACTCGCTCTTTTGCCGCTGCAGCGCGAGAACGTCTGCGAGGGACCGCCCCCGTCCGCTATTCCGCCACGCAGAGATGGAAGTGGCGCCGCGGCCACGGTTCTTGCTGTTGCGCGGGGTGCCGCCGCGCGAGGAGGGGCTCAAGTCGTAGTATTGCCTGTGGTGATTGGGTTTGCGATCTTCTTGTTTTCTGGAAGCATTTACGGATGAAAGCCCAGAGGCATCCTGCTAAAAACAGCTTCTCACGTGAACTTTTGAATTCTACTTGCTCACATCACAAAGAAGTTCTTACGTTGGTCCCCCACCGCTCTTTCCGTCGAGGCACCGCAGTTCGCTTCCTTCCGATTCCAGTAAAGGCACGCCGCCCTCCGCTCTGCGGAAAGTTGCAACAGGTCCGCGGGCTCGAAATCGGTTCGTGAACAAGCGACAACATGCCGACAGAAACTTTCGTGCCGGGCAGAAACACTGCATCGCCCGATTAACGCAGTTGCCCGACCCCGTACTCCTACAGTTGCCGGACGAAGAGGACGAGGTCGCACCAAAATAACCTTGGTCATCTTCGTCGTCCGAAAAGTCGTCTGGGTTGGAGTCTACTTCTCGCTGCGGCCGGTCGCAAAACGAATGATCAGGGAATAGAGCAGGCGGCGGGTGGTGTTCTTGGGTCTTGTCGCCATTCACATGCGACACGGGGGACCTGCTATGGCAAGATGCTCGTCCATCAAAATCATATCCATCTAGCTCTGCAAAGTCTAGCCCACCAGGGTATTGCTGTTTTCCTCTTGTCCTGTGAAGCGCAGCTAAAGCGGTATCGGCGTGGGGAAGGAAGCTCCGATGGAGTTGAAAATGGAGTGATAGGGCATGCGCCACTGATGTAGCCAGCAGATATACGCGGAGGAGAAAACGAGTGCGCATAATGTGACATGAGACAGAGACCAGCACACAGCGCATGTCCGTCGTTACACGAGCGAGGTAATACGTTCCTAATTCCTTTTCTATCCAAAATCCGAATGGGGGAGCGGCCTGACTGGTTGCAACAAGTATGTGGCGCATGAACATGTCATCGCGACGCGTCCTGCGATGCAGATGAACTCGTCGGAAACGGGGGAGCTGTGAGAAGCTGACCTCACGTTCATCTGAACACAAATCGCGACAACACGCATCGGACGGCTACACAGCACTGCGACGTCGCGCAGTGGCGTTGAGAATTAATAGACGAACCACAGCGCCACACTGCCAAAATGAGCTTGCTTGCTGCCTGGCGCAAGTTATCGGCGCAGGCCGCACTTGCCTCGGGCCACCGACTAAAGCTGCGAAAGGCGGCAGCGCCCTGGCCACATTGAAAGACCAAAGGCGCGCGCGCGCACCGCCCCGGCCCGCGAACCTACGGGGCGAACGACGCGCCGACGGGGGGGCGGGCGGGCCCGCCGGCCGGCCAATCTCCCACACAACCAAAATCCGCCTAGCGGCCCGGGTCTTAATACATACAATACACCACACACGAGCCGGCCCAGAGTGAAGAGACAGAAGGGGCCTGGGTGGCTAGGCGCGCCCGCGACAGTTCGCTGCGCCCTGCCTCCCTGCGGCCTATCCAGAAAGGGCGCGGGGCGGGCGGGAGGGCCTCAGTTAGAAACCCCGGGGCGGTGGCGGCCGCTAATTTCCAGCTAATTTCTGCGGGATTTTTTCAAACCCCGACAAGCGGGATAATAGTTGAAGGCCCAAACCCGAAAAAGCGACAACGCAAGTTGCCGCGCGCGAGGTCCCAAAACAATCAGGAGAGGGGCTCCAGGACAAGAAAAACAAAACAACGAGAAGCAGGCCGTCTTCTACACATGGAGCATGGCAACGCCGGCAATCTCGCACAGGATGAATTCCCACAAAGCAAAACCCCAAATCCCAAAACCGCCCGAAAAGCAAAGTCACCCATTGAACACCCCACCCAGTTACAGCCATACGAAACACCCCCCGCGGGCGGCTATTTTCGCTGCTAATTCTGCGGCTAATTTTGTTTCTATTTTTGGGCTCTATTTTCTATTCTAATTTTGCTTCTATTTTCGTGTTCTAAGTCATGTTCTATTTTCGTATTCTAAATCGTGTTCTATTTTTGGGCTCTAAATCGTATTCTATTTTGGCTTCTAAATCGTGCTTCTATTTTGCTTTCTATTTTTTGCGGGATTCGCATGTTCGAGCGGCTGCTTTTCAACTTCTAAATTCGCGCTTTGGAGGATTTCCTTTGGAAATCTCCAGTGTCGCGAAAAATAGAAGTTGAGAAGACAGCTGCCGAACACGCGAATCCCGCAGAAAAATAGAAAGCAAAACAGCGAGCACGTTTAGAAGTCCAAAATAGAATACGACTTAAAGCCCAAAAATAGAACGCTTTCGAAAAGCCCAACGACAATGGCTTTGCGAAAGAACGAAACAGGGATAGGGTGCAGGGATAGCAACATTGGCCACACGGCCCAGGTCTTCACAACCCAAGCCGAAAATCCGAGGGCCCCCATGAAAACCAGACCACGAGCGCTGCCCTCCACCTTCGGGGCCACCCGGGTACGAAAATACCAAAGAAGCCCCCGCGGCGTTCGAAATTCCGAATCCCCTGCAAACGGCCCTAATTTTTAAATTTTAATTTCCGTCGTGGCTTTTCATTGAAAAACACACGCGGGGCCAACGGGGGGATTTGAAAAAAACCCGGCCCCCCGGGCGCGGTGGAAAAGGGTGGAACCCTGCGGGCCCGGGAACCTTCAGCGCCCGAGGAGGAAAACCACCGCCCGCCCTAAGGGCTTCGGGGAAATCCCGCAAAAATTAGCTGGGATTTAGTGCCTCCCGCGGCCCGCGGGCTCTCTGACTGAAGGGCCCCCCCTGCGGCGGCGCCCCTTCTTGCGCCCACTCTCCCGCAGAGAGAAACGGCGGCGCGCCGGCTGTTGCGTCCAACCGCTGCGCGCCCTGGCATCAATGGCGCCGCGTGTTCTCGCAACAAGCCCTTCATCTCCTCCAGGCGGCAACACCCGCCAACCGCTGGGGGGCCTTGGAGACCAGGCCGCGCGCGCGTCCGGGCAGCTGGCGCAGGCGCAGTCTTCGCGTGTAGTTGGAGCGCGCCGCGGGGCCGGGCGGGCGCACGTGCGAGCGTGCGACGGGCCGGGGGCGGCGGACCTCCGCGGCGAGTGCGAGCACGCTGCGCGGCTGGTTTGCTGCAAGCGCGAGCAGGCACCGGGCCCCCATCGCGGAGAGCCGCGCAGGGGCGGGGCTTCCGCGATCCCCAAACGCGCCCCCGATGGCCCTCCACTGTCTGGCTGCGCGCCCCAAGGCCTGCCGTCTGATTGGCCTGCCCCACAATCAACGAACCGCCCGCCAACGACTGCGAGGGGCCAGCGCCTTTAAGTGTGCCGCCGGCCCGGCGGGCGCCTTGCATCGCGCGGCCCCAAAAGACCGGGGGCCTTTTATTCTTTTTCAGGCCCTCCCTGCGGGCCCGCGCGCCTGTGCGTTGCGCCTGCCAAATCTAGGGCCGGCAAAACCCTGCGAAGCCTCTTGGGCCCACTCCAAGCGCGCGCGCATTGCCGCCGCACACGGGAACGCGCCGAACGCGCTCCGTTCCGAACCGTTCCTCTGCCTGTGGGGCCCTCGGGTTCGGGTCGCATTAATGTGCCGAGATGTGGCCCCTCGTCGGCCATGCAGGAGCCAGCGGCCGACCGCACTTCCACGGCCCCGCAAGGCGGCGCCCCTTGGACTCGGGCGCAACCGAGTAAGCGCCCGCGCTGGGGCGAAGTTGTCCAGCATCGACGCCGTCGCGGGCGCGTCCCATTTCATCACGCCGCCCGTCTTGATGGGGGCGGCAATGCACGGCGCGGCGCCTGTCCGGATAAAGGCAGCGCCGCCCTGCAGCTGTCCCGGCGCGGCGATGTTGATGCGGGACCGGATCGCCGCGGCGAAGGCGTTGGCTTTCGCGTTGTTCCGCTTGCGGGCCGCCAGCTCGGTCGGTCCAATTTAGCGGCTAAATTGGTGTACGGGGAGCAAGTACAGGCTCAAAAAGTTATGACGCAGAGCTTTTCATAGCGAACATAGCACAGCTCCAGGCCGAAGCAGAAGATGAGACGTTCAACGCTTTTGGTTCTTTCTGTGTGAAATCGGAAAATCTACTAGAAGCGCTACACTACTATGAGGCTCTTGCCTTGCACTATTGCTTGCTTCTTTCACATCCACATCTGCGACGTTCAGGGTTTTCATTTTCAGTGTATGCGGCTTCAGCATGTGTAGTTTAAAGATATCAAATTCTTTATAGACGAAGCTCGTTGCTCCTCATTTTCCATCACCATCGTCCCCATTCTCGGTTCTGCACTTATTTGTTATTTCTATCGACACACACATACGCCACCGGAATTGTACCGTCAGTCATCCTCGCTTTCCTCGTCTACTTCCCTTCTCGGGACATCAGGTTCGGGTTGACCCTCCTGACCCATCTGCAGCGCGTTGATGTCGTGGTCATTCTGTACCCGTGCCGCTTCGTACTGTTTGATCTTCTCCAGCACCTGCGGTTCCGCGGCCTTGCACAGCTTGCACAAGCACCGCACCCCGTAGTCCTGGCGGAGAATTTCGCATCTCGCTTCCGCTTCCAATGCGGTAAAGCGCTCCATGTAGGTTCCCAGAAAATCTATCAAAATCTCTTCCCCCGGGAGAATCGGCTTCAAGGCTTTCACCGTTATTCTCTGTTGTAGCACAGTTGGTGTTCTTTTTCCTGTTGGTGGACTTATTTGCTGGTGCTCATTTGCCGCGAGAGTTTGCGTTTGGTCTTGTTTCTCTGCAGCAAAAAAATTCTCCGAAAATTCCACAACCGCGTTCGGCTTGCAGCTGTGGTTTATCCTCGAAGCGAATTCGAAAACTCCTTGCGTGCAGTACACCATGAACTTCTCCGTTTGCACCACAATGACGAAAAAGAAAACGACGAAGCAAAACCCCAGGTGCAGCCAGGAGCTGAACGCGCTGTCCGGAAGCAGGAAGCCGCCGAGGTAGTAGGGTAGGGGTAAAAGCGGCAGTAGGTGTGCGAGTAGGAGCGAGAAGAATACCGGAAAACCGATGGCGTGGAGGAGGTAGTTCCAATGTCGATGTCGGTCCGTGAAAATCGTGAACGCACACTGTTCCCAGAAAATCCGACACTGGGTGTCTGTCATGTGTAGGTTGTTGGGCGGGATTTTTTCTTGCAGCTCTTGATGGGCGGATACTGTTGAAGATAGTTCATCCTGTGCGGTAGCGGAAAGCGAACCAGCAAGTCTACTTCCGGAGGTTGTGTTGTTTTCATGCCCTCCTGGAGGTGTAGAGGGCGTGCATGTAGTTGTGTATTTCAACACCAGTTCCTTGAATTTCTCCATCCGGTTGCTGAGGATTGGGTTCGCGCTGCCAGTGCTCACCTTCTCCGCCTGTAATTTTTCGTACAGTTTTAACAGATTGTTCCATCTCAGCGTCGCCGTGCCGCTCAACAAGTCTAAGGCGTCCGTTTGGAGAATGGCGTCTTCGGAAAAGATCACTTCCTTTGCCGCGAACCGCTTCGCAGCTAATACCGCGGTGTTCTTCCATTCCTTACTTGCGGCGCCAATGCGCTCGGACGAAGGCGGCTGCGTGGTGGGACGCCGCCCGAGTTTGATTGGGAGAGGCGTCATGTGTGCGTGCGCCTGCTGCTTGCTCTAAAGTATACTAGCGAATAGTACTCGCGTGGTGCGGCAGGCGCAGGAGCAATAATCAGTGGGTCGTGGTTTTCGAAAAGACATCACAAGATGAAGACACAAATGAAGAGTAGATCTCACGCGTCATAGCGTCACGGGAACGGCGGAGAAAGTCGAAGCAGACGAGATCTGTGTCGTGTACTAGTAAAAGAAGGCAAGCCAAAATGACGGACGAACACTCTCTTCCGCCGAATAGACTAGTGAACTGATCTAACTACCGGCTATCCGATTCATCGACAGGAAAGTCGCTTCTTCAAATCCATCGTTTGTTCAGGAATTGGGTTTCAAAGCGCTCTATATCTTTATCTGGAGGACGAGGACCTGATCGCGGTGCACTTGCAATAAGGCGTGGTGCGGGATTTTAGAAAGACACGGGGTACAACACCAGGATGAGACGTTGCAGAAGGAACAGGGGTCCTTCAATCGTAGAGCATGGAAGAGTTGATTCTTCTATTTGCGTAGGTTCGAAGTTGTCGCTCAAGCATTCTTTTTTGTGGTTCGTCAACGTGTCGCTTGCACAATTATTTGAGCAGTATCAGATCGTTATTATACTGATCTCATCTACTACACTAATCGAAGGCCCCTCAGGAGAACCTCCTCTGTTCCGGGAGAGGTGGTCCTTCCAGGCTATTATGCTCTGAGCCGCTTTTGTTCCTCCTGGTGGAGGCTCGGGCCCAGACCAGAAGAGGCAGACCGCTTCTTCCTCGGCACCACGCTTTCCGGTTGATCTGTCTGTTTATCATTCTTTGAACCTCCGTCGGTGTGTTGAGAACAGCCCCCAAGTGCTCCCTTCCTGGCCCGGGCTAGCAAATCCAGCACGGTCTTCTCGACGTCTAGCGGAAAAGTATTAAAGGCGTTTTCCTTAAGCTCACCAGTGCCGCAACTGTTGCACCTCTTCCGGTTTTCTTCTTCATCTTTCCTGACAATGTGCTCCACGACCGGGCCGGCTACCAGTGCAATGACCGCGGGCACGACCGCGTTGCCGATTTGGTGGTAAAACCGGCCCTCCTCCCCCAAGTTGTCCTTCCTCGGGATTTCAAAGTCTTCCGGAAACCCCTGCAACCGGCAACACTCCCTCGGGGTGAAAAACCGGGGTCGTTTTTGGCCCTCCCGGTGCGGGTCGAGCAGCGACGAGGTGAGCTCCTGAAGATTAGTTTGTTCTTCTTGCTGAGGAAGTGGCTCTGGTCGTGGTGACTCGGTCTTTCCGCCGTGGTTTGTCATTTTCCCGTTCTTGATCATGGCAGAAGTGCAACTAGAGCCGGAGCTGCCTGTGGTGGTTTTTAGCTGGAATCCCGGATCCCCCGCACCCGAATGCTGGCCAGCATCGGCAACTTCATCTCTCGTCGTCGTCGTTGCAGATAATTCACCACCATTTTCAGTTTCACCACCAATGCCTACTACTTCCTGTCCACAAAGATTTCTTCCTTCCGTTTCATCTCCCCTCAAATCCGCCACCAGCTGGCTGAACATGAAAAAATTGGTTCGGTAGTTGCTGCACAAAGTCTGGGCGTGCGTCAAATGCTCGGACACCAGTCGCCCCGTGCCGTCCTTGTGCAGTTGCTGGTAGCGCTGTCTCCGCACCTTGTCCCACTGTGCGGGGAGCAGGAAGTACCGCCGATCGACCGTGCTGTTGCAATCCAGCACGCTTTGTAATGAGATTTTTGTATTCCCCAGTGGACTACAGGAAGGAGCACTTTTTGCTCGACTTTCTTTGTGCAGCGCCGGATTATGCTGATCCGGAGCTCCTGCGCAATCAACAGACGAGGACAGCTTCTGCACTATACGGCCTCGTAAAGATAACAGCGCAGTTGCGTCTTTCCCGGTCGGGACATCAACTGCAGTTTTCGGCGAAGTTGTGAACAAATGCGCATACTTCTCCTCCCGCAACGCCCCCGTGATGTAGACCCGTTCGCGTCGTTGCGGCAAAAAATCCCCTGCGTCCACGATCTCATATTCGACTTCGTACAGCCCATTACACTCCAGCATCTGCACCATCTTTTCGAACGGCTTTCCTTCTTCCAGTGTCAGCAGCCCCCGCACGTTTTCGAACAGAAAGAACCGAGGTTTGAGCTCCCGTAATATGCGGACTAAATGGAAAAACAGCCCTCCTCGTTCCGGATCGTGTACGCCCGTCTGCTTACCTAGTGTCGAAAAAGATTGGCACGGGAAACCGCCGGTCAAAAGATCGACCTTGGCAGTAGCAGAGGGAAGATGATGTTGTTCGTGTTGACTTGAAGATGCCGAGTAGAAGTTCATCTCTGAGGAAGCCTTATTTTCATCTCTTGAAGAGGCCTCCTCGCCACAATCTCGCACGACACCAGTGCTGTCGAAAGCCAATCGCGTCACATCGTTGATAAAAAACTCGTCACACTCGTCCAACCGAATCGGGACTCCCACCGGCTGCCGATAGCTCCAGCCCGCGCCAAAGTTGTGTTTCAAGTTGGGATGAAAGTTTTTCTCATACGTCTGTCGAGCAAATTTGTCCAGCTCGCAGGCACCGAGACACACGCCCCCGAGAGCTTCTAACGCCAGGCGGAAACCGCCAATGCCGGCAAACAGGTCGATAAAGGTGAAGGTTTTATTTGGAGAATTATTTGCGGATGAAAGGGTTTTGGTTTTTTCGTGCAGAAAAACCCGCTTTTCTTCCTCGGTGGAGAAGGGAAGCATGGTCTTCGGGGAAAGCATGGTGGCGGAAGGCTCGTGATCTTGTACTTCACCTCTAGAAGTACTGGTCGTGGTGCGCAAAGATTCTTTATGGAGGACCGGCGCCGAATGGTCCTCATTTTTGGTACTGTTCGAGGAGGACGAGGACTTCGACTTCTGTGCCACCACCTGTCCGATGATCTGCCTTATCTCCGTGTCCGGGTCAGTTTTTGCGCCCGTGCCTAGAATTTCGCTGTTCCTTTTGAAAAACCACTCCACATCGTCGTCCGCCCCGTCCCCGCTTCGCGGGTGGCAAAACATGAGATATCGTTTTTCTCTGCCGACGATAGTGTTCAAGTAATTTGTGTACAGCTTGTTCGCTGTAGGCATGGCATTCTCGTCGCCGTTGTGCAGCTCTTCCAGTGATGTTGTACTGGAGTCCTCGTCGTTTCCAGCCTGATCTACAAGCAAAGTTGCAACTCGTGCTCCTGTGGCGCCAAAAACCTTGTTCCCCCGGACCAGCAAACTCGTTCCCTGCGCGTTCAGCGGGATCAACTTCAGTTTCTTGACACTCTCAGGGTGGAACAGCACCTCCTTCTGCATATGCTGCAGCGCTTCCTGGTGAACCAGATCTATTTTGGGGTGTTGAGCGCTGTCGCCTCCTTGTCGTTGTACGGGTTTGTAGGGGAAGAGAATTTGCAAGTACCTCGCGTCCACTTCCGGGACAAACGAGCGAACGACACCGGAGGAACAAAGCATCTTATGCTCCTTCAGAAAATCCACCAGCTTGCTTGTGTCCAGGTGATTGCAGAGGAGGTAGCCGCTGTTCCGAATTTCTGTGGCGAGAAGGTGTTCGTAGCTGACGCTATTTATCTTTTGCTCGACGTCATGTTTCATCTTTTTGCACGATGACGATGCGTTCTTACGCAAGGTTGCTGCTGTCAGAGCCTTGTTAGCGTAGTAGGATCTGAGTTTTTCATGTCGTCGATTTTCTTGTTCCCGCGTCGTCCGCTGTTCTTCTTGTTCATCTCCATCCCGGATGTCCGCGCGCAGGGTCGTGTCGTTTTCGTAAGAACATTGCTCGTTCGCCTGGATAGTGTAATTGCTTTCCAAAAGATCATCTACCTCCGGGCCTTCGCTAGGACTGCTGTCCGTGGTTGGTGTCATCAAAGAAACCTCGGGTGTCGACGTCGTGATATCCCCTACTTCTGCATTCCCTCTTGCCACCAGGGTGCAGCCTGCAAGGCTCCCGCTTTCCGTTCCCGTGGCTTTATTCTCCGGAACAAGCGGAATCATTTTCTTTGTCTCGTTATCACACATTTTTCACAACGCGTTTGGATGATCAAAACGACTTTCAACGTTTTACACACGTAAACCACGGCCGGGGAATGAAGGTTCTGGCTCTGCGACTACCTAGTAAAAATGTTGCTTTCACTATCACTACTACTTGCCACTTCTCTTACTCTAGACATTACACCAGGTCGCCTGCAGCAGAAGCGAAAATTTCGCACATCACACAGGAATAGGAAGGCATCTGGACCCTCACATTCTCTTCCAAGTACTCGAGGACATCACCTCTAACGCTGACGGTCGTGATCGGCTGCCGATGATCTCTTTCTGTTTTCGAGATCTTCAGTCTGTCTGCTTTTTTGATCCAAAAGAGACCTTTTCGCTTTGAATTTCATGTTGATCCACGGATCGCGAAGTTAAGAAACTTCATGGCAGCTTTCGGTTTGTGGTCGGGATCGTAATTGTATTGAAATGAGAACGACTTGGAGCGGAATAAAATTTTTTGGATTTATCGGTGTTCCAATTTTCCAAACTGACTGCCGTGCACCACGGCCTGCTGAGCCCGGCTCTTCTCCTCCGGATGTATCGGTGCATCTTCGAGTTGATTTTTTAATTCAGTGCCGCCAAATCAAGCGCTTTGGAAAAAAAGAGAACTACAGGAATTCTGTTCCGATTCACGACCTCTGTCAACGTTTACGTCAGTGCCACCTTTTGCATTCATCATCACGGATGAAGACCCTCGCAAGAACCTCGGAACTATCCTGTTTGTGTTTCGCTTGCGAAAAACCGCAACTCTTCTCCTCACATCAAAAAATCGGAAATCTTGATGGAGGTCGTGCCGAGGACCGCCAATCCGACCAACGCGAACGTGGGAATCCTGTTGTTTTGTGTATGCGAATCTTATCTGCAGATGAAACCTGTGGTCATGCGTGACTCCCAAATAAACTTCTGGATTTGTGTATGCAGATGAACTACAAGCACTCATGAAAAATCTTTCTATACCAGAACCACGCGCTTCCCCACCCCCAGGGCAGCGATTCGCGCTTGGCGGCCAGGATGCTCGACGTGTGGGGGTAGTGCTCTTTCCCCGCGGAGCTCGACGGGTAGTTTTCGTCGCGAAATTCCTTGTGCCACTCGTCCGAATAGGCCTCACCATCCACGGCGTGGTCTGCGGCCGGGGCTGGCGGCGGGTCTTGGGTGAGCAAGTGTTTCGATGTAGTCGTTCTTGCAGAGGACATCAAAACCTTTTCCAAAGCTTCGACGGTACCGCAGGTGCCCGAAGCAAGCAAGCAAAACAGAAAACAGAAACACCGCCTCATTGGCGGCCGGAAAGGCTTCATTTTGGAACAAATATATGTGTAGTTGGGCGGCGAGGATTCAGTATTGTCTGTGATTGTTGGACAGGAGAAGTAGGAACGGTTATTAAGTCTTGGACGAGATCCATTCTTTTTACAGCCAGACACAGATCGGCCGTCGTGAGGTCGCGCAAAAATGAGAATGACCAAAAGAATGCAGAAGAAACACGGAACAAGCGAAGCACAGCGCAAAACTCGACGTGCTCGGGCAAAAACAGACGGAACACGAAGAAAGAAGGGATCGAGGACTTCAGAACGACAAGCAAGCGGGCAGAATTCAATTTCAAATGCAGAATTATGCCAAAAATACGTCAAGAACGGTAAAGAAATCGAAACGGTCGTGATGGCAGAGGCATTTCTTGAGAAACCAAGTTTACGTAGGGTAGACGTAGATTTTTACTTAGACGCTGAAGTAGAAGAAGTTAGAAGTCGGTAGGCATGCCAGCTGCCCGTGCCATTGTTCATCTTGTGGTTCATTTGTGGTTTGAAATTGTTGTCATGTAGTCGTCTACAACTTGATTCATTTGTAGTAGCTCTTTTACGGTGGTCGGGGAATATAAAAAATACCACGGTAAATTGATAGATTGATGAAACTACCGAAAACGCTTGCATAGTGCGTGGCAATTTGGGATCATTCCCGAGATTGGCACTCGAGTTGTGTTCTTCTAGGCTTTAAACGCTACTCGTGTCAAAATTGTCATCATAATTTGGGAAGCAATTTAGTAAGCTCAATATGATGTCGCTGAGGTCAATTGTCAGTAATTAAAGCGGGCTGGTGCTGTCGCGCTTTAGTGTTCATTTAGAATCAGAATCGCCTGCACCTTGAAAAAGAGCAGCAAAACCAAAACGAAAAGCAAAACCGGTGGTAAGATTACTGGCGTCATTTTGCTCGGATGAATACAAGATAGAGCAGGACGAGCAGCCCGCCGTTCTACATCGAGGACTTTAGATTAGAATTATGCCATCATGCGTATACTTCTTCGCATTTCATCTATCCCTGCTGCTCCACCCCATTTCTTGTCGTTGATCTCTCTGACCGGTGGGTTTCGCTCCCCAGCGGCACGACAAAACTTCCCGAAGCTTGCTGGTGGTGCACGACCTGTTGTACAGGTTCCTGCTCGCGCTCGGCCGACGGGGTCGTCCCGTAGTTGTCACGGACTTCAGCGCTCGTCTCGCATTCGCCCTGCTGGCGGGTGAGTGTAGTATCGGAACTATCTTGGCAAGATTTGTCTTGCTCGTGGTCCACGGGATATGTAGAAGCACAACTACTCCCCGCCTGCTGACTCATCAACTGGTGCGAGTTTACGTAGCCAGCTTGCTGCTTCATCCCCAACGGTGGACCACCATTCGACGTAGTCATGCTGTTGTTGTTTGTAGCTGAATGTGCATGTTGGCCCGCATCCCCTGCTGCAGCGGTCGTGCAAGTAGAACCACTACCGCTAACATGCGAGAAAAGCATGTTCGGCACACCTGGGTACGCAAAATTGTGCATCGGGGTCGCGGTGTGGAGCAATTGCTGCCGTTGAAAAGTGAACTGATGTTGCGCTTGTTGATGCTGTTGTAGAACTGCTGGATAAGAAGTGGTCGTGCCGCCCAACGCAGGAGCCCCATGACCCGACGGCGCGCCGAGAAGTGGCGGCGTCCATAACGAGCAACTGTGTGCCGTGATTCTCGGAGGCATGTGGAGTTGGAGAAGGTTCTGTGTTGCACTACTAACCGGAACCGGTCCACCACCACTGGGTAGCTGCTGTGTCGTTGCACCAGCGCGGGTACTCGACAGGGGTCCTGGTGAGGCTCGTGTTCCAGTTCCCCCCGCAGCGGCATGTTGGGCATTCATTTGAAAATGTGCGTTTGGTGTCGTGATATGTTGTTGTTCTTTTGCTGGCGTTGAAATACTGGAAGCGCCGCTTGCGGTCATCTGCAACATCCCGGCCTGCGAGGCCACCCCGAGACGCGACGAATCGGTGCTGTTGTTCGTGGCGGTCCCAGGAGCAGCAGCAGGAGGACCAACACAACTCCCGTACTGTAGCTGCTGTGCCATAGGAATTGCTCCTGCCCCAGCAGGGGCTCTTGCGCCGTTCTTTGCACAACTAGAATCATCTTCATCTCGTGCACTTCCCCGCTCCGGGCGTACCGCACTGAAGCTTCTCGGATAGGTAGAACCAACTGCCGTAGCCCCGGCGGTCTGCACAACAGGAGCACCCCCTAGCATCGGAGCCCCCGCTGCTCCGGTCTGTTGAACTCCCTGCAACGCCGGGGTGGGAGGCGTCGGCAAGCCTAAGCCACTCAGGTTGTTATAATTCGTTCCCCCTGAGTTCCTGGAGGAGCTATCTAACGACGGCGTGACGCTCTGCAGATCCGCAAACGACCCACAGGTCAACCCGAAAGTGGGCGTCCCGCGGGAAAGCGACCGGAAGGGCAGGGTTGTCTGCGCGATCAGGTTCGGGGGAGTGAGGGACGTTGGCAGCTGCGAAATGGTTGCTTTCGGCCCACCTCCCGCGGCGGCTCGGCGCGGGGAAACGCTTCGGCTCCACCGACGAGACACCGAAACGTTGGGATACCGAGAGCCTGGCGGGGAGGTTGATGTAAGGACTTTCAGTGGAAAAATCAGCGAGAGCAATCGTCAACACGAACATCAAGCGAGTGCTGCAAACCTCCATAAAGCAATGAATCAATGTCATTTTCCACCTCTACGTGAAAGGAAGCTAAAATCTGAATAAAAGAAAAATCTAGTCGAAGCCAAACAACTGCTAAGAAAATCCTTACCCACACTCCCTGTCGCCGAAGTTCTTGCGGCCAAAGATTCTGAGCGCGTCTGAATGTACTGCGGCGGGGCATGGCCCAGGGTTCGGCCGCGGTTGCAGCAGTCTGGTTCGTTTTGTGGGTTGTAAACGACATGAGATGTTGTAGCAGAAGTCGCACCAGACGAGGTGTTGCTAACAACTGTCCCATATCAAATGCAAATATGTATGGGCCTGGAAGAATGCAAGTTTGTCATGCTTGTTTCACGTGACTCTTAAATCTGTCATGCACATTACCCAAGACGCCCATTTTTCTGTCATGCAGAAGCGCAATTTGTCATGCAGAACAGGCAACACCTAGAAGCTCAGAAGCTTGTCATGCTGAGCCAGCACTTGTGGCCTCCTGATGATACGCCACCCAGCATCACAAGTTTCCTGACCCAGACATTTTTGCAGTTGATATCCCACTTCTGCTACTCGCTTGTTTCGAAGTCCAAGCAGAGTGCTGTTGATAATTTTGCCCGTAGGCTGCGGGCATAATTCCTTGCGAAGAACTACCAGCTACCTCTGCCTCCGCAGGTGGAGCTCCTGTTGTTTGCCCTCGCTGCCCAATCACTCCTTCTTGTGAGGATGCAGCGAGGTGTGCTGGCACACTGCGGATCCCCCGACCCCCGACGTCCGAAGTGGTGGATATCATGTGGTTATCATTTTCTTTTTCGTCCATCATACAACTGTGATACCCAGGTTCCAAACTGGTTGGGCGCGCGTGCTTTCCTGAGCAGCTGCTTTTGTACACAGTACGGCAGTGTTCCAAGTTTTGCAGCCTCGGCACCACTTTCGTCAGAGGTCCGCGAACGGAGGAGTTGGGTTCCGAGGTGGAACGCGACCCGTTCGAACCATGATCTGCAGTTGTTGCCGGCGCTGGTCCACCGGGGAGCGCTCCTTGATCGAGATGTTTAACAGTGTTCGATAGACGCGCATGTTGCGCCGGATCAACGTGGTCGGTCTGCTCCAGAACAGTATCCTCTGCCCCCACGGGAAAAGTCTTCGCCGGGGCGGACGCACTGGCCACGCCGTCCTTCTTCAGACTGTATCGGCGACTCGGCGCCGTGGTCGGGCCAAAGGAAAACAGTCGCTGGCCGTTGTGCTCCGCGGCGGTGGTAGGGATCGAGTTGGAAAGCCGGTCTACTTCATCGCGGCGCGCTGGAACGACTGCCGGGCGGTCCTGCTCCTGCAAGGAAGCCGAGGCAGGTGTATTTGTACTTGTAGCTCCTGGTGCAATTTCCCCGGACGCTGTTGCTGACTGTTGTTCGACGGTGCCTGTGTGCGTGGGGGAAGATTCCGGGTCCGGGTATGATTTCGTGAATCGATCACGGTACTTATTCTTATGCCTTTGCGGCTCTAGCACCATTGCTTGCGATCAAGTATGACTAAGTAAGATGTAGATGATTAGCATTAGATTTAGACAACTACTTGATCATAATTCAAAACTTGCACTTATGTACGGACTTACCTGCCCCCACCGGCGAGCTCGCGGAGAGTTGCGACAGAAAGCTCGTGTCGTGCTCCCCCGCCGTAGTGCTCACCAAACTCCGCCGCCGGCCCCGACCTCCAGCTCTACCGGAGGCTCTACTACTCGTCGTCGTCCCGATCTCCTTCCGGACGGACTTTAGAAACATGATTTTATGAAATGCAAAAGTATCGTTATCGTACACGTACTAGTATAAATTGCATTTCCTTAGCGTGACAAATTGGATTTGTAATGCTGTTTTAGCAAAGGAAGGCGATTTGTCATGCATAATTGCGATTACTACGAGTACGATACTTTTGCACAGGATAGATTTGCGACTCTAGCAGCTTCTTCTCGTTGTTGGTCGCAGACACTTCGGAAACCGCGTCGCGCAACCGTTGAATCTGGATCAAATGTAAAAATGCCTGGGTCTAGAAGAGTGCATGTCTGTCATGCTTGTCTGGCATGACTCTCAAATCTGTCATGCACGTTACCCAAGAGCGCCACTTTTCTGTCATGCAGAAACGCAGTTTGTCATGCAGAATATGAATAGGCAACACTTAGAAGCTCAGAAACTTGTCACGCTGAGGCAGCACTTGTGGCCTCCTCATGATACGCCACCCAGCATCACAAGTTTCCAGACCCAGACACTTTTGCATTTGATAATCTGCAGGTGGAAACAACGATCCAAGTCCTGCATTTTCCGGGTGGAGGTGGACGATTTTTGGAATAATTGCTGCTGTTGTTGCTGTTGCTGCTGCTGCGAAGTAGAGAGCAAATCTGGCTCGAGGTTGTCATCATGGTGGAGTAATGTCGTGCTGGTAGCACCGGCGGCGCCTGCTCGTCCTCCCATTCCGGCACTTCCCCCGCCTCCAGGTCCAGCGAGCGCTGCACAGCTTTGACTGTGAGAAGTGTGGCCATTGTTGAGACCTTGTCTCGTAGAAGGAGTTGTACTTCTACCCATGTTAGAGTTAATAGCTGCCTCCCAAGACTCCGTCACCTCTTGAGGTCGCTGTGCACCACACTGATCACCCGTAGTTCTTTCGCGTCCCCTCCTCTTATTCGAGTGCAGCGATTCCCGCGAGCTACTACTGCAGGGCTGTTCAGAGATTCGTTCAAGAAAACTACCGGTCGAGGCATGATGGTGGTGGTGGTACAACGCATGAGACGATGTACTAGAATTTGCGCCACCATAATTACCACCTGTTCGTGTTCTTGTTTCACTTTCACCACTGCAGCCATACAGTGTACTACTTTGCGGGGACACGGAGCGAGCGCCGGCTTTAGTAGTACTTGTACTACTAGCCAAGTTGTAGTTGTACCTGTTATTGTACATCGCCGACGAAGCAGCTCCTCCACCAACGGCGCCTAAAAACGGGTTGTTGTTGTTCACCGTCTTCTTGCCCCCGCTGTGGGACGAAGGCTGAACAAACTGCCCGGAGAGTCTCCGCGGCACAATGGACGCCGTACGGTGGGAAGACGAAGTGGAATTATGGAGATTTCTACCCGCAGGAGCAGGACCAGATCGGTCGGACATTGATGAGCAGTCCTGCTCACCAGCCTCGTCTGTATTCAGCATGTCGTCGTGGTGGTTCCCGTGTTGTGGCGTATTACTCCCCGCGGCACCTCGAGCGGGCGCAAACCGTTTCCGCGCCAACGCGGAAAGAGTGGTACTAGAGCACGCGGACCGCAGACGAGATGAATGCTGATCCGAATCAGTATGATCTCCTGCGTCTGTAGAGTTTCGTTGTTCCAACGGCGGGGGACCAGCTGCACAAGGTGAAAATGTTTTCACCATCTTCCCGGGGTAGTTCTTGTGACGACCACTTTGCGCTCCTGGTGGCTCCATATGTTCATCGGCCTCGCTCGCCGACGTGGCCGCCCCCGCGCATCCTTCTACTAAGGGAGATTGGCTCAGCTGCAGGTCCTCATGTAGCTGTGTGGAAGTTTCTGGCTCTGGACGCGCGTGACGGTGCGGACCCTCATCGATAACATGACGAAGATGGTCTTCTGCTTCTCGTCCCCTGGGTCCGCCAAATTTTTCCATATCTTCCTCTGCCCTCGCGCCGCTTCCACCATTAAACACTCCGAACCCGCTGCTGTGCTCCAGGGGCTTCACGTTCAGTATGCCGCTCACGTTGCTCGGCAGCGTGCCACAGCTGCTGTTTTTACTGGGCTTGTTTTTCGGCAAAAGCGAACTGCTGCTCGGACTTACGCCAAGGAGCCCAGCAGTTGTTCCTGCCATTCTATTTCGCTTCTTGCTGGACGTTCTTTTTGAAAACGAGGACGCGGTTGGGAGCTCGAAGGAACCTGGTGTTTTTGATTGAAACTCACGCTCGACATTGTGTGTTTTGTCTAAAAATCAGCTTGCAAAAAATTACGACCAGAAGAAAACATCACTGGTACGTGGTTGCGACGATGCTCGTCCGTCTGCACTCTGCTCCTGCAGAAACTGCGCAATCACGGACCCTCTGTTCCTGCTTGCAGCACGAAAATTTTTGCCCTGAGGCTCGGCACCACTACCAGGATGATCGTGTAGATGCTTATGAGCCAAATCCGCAAACTTGGTGCCCGGGTTTACGGGCAGAGACAGCACTTTCTCCGACAAATTTTTGCAAAACCGCAGCGTCGCCAGGTTCTCCGCCCGGTGCTTATCGAGAGGAGAAAGCGTGGCGATCACGTACCGACGCGTGTTCAGATTAGCGAGGGTCTGAATAGTTGTGATGGATAGTAGTTGTGGAGTCATTACGTAGTCAATCAAGACTGCTTTCGACTTCGCATTCGCCTCCCACTCTTTTCTTGGGGTAGAAGATATATGGATCGATACCTGGACGGCAGCAAAGAACAGACCGTGGCGCAACTACGTTCTTGCTACTAGCGACAATTTGGAGACCACAAAATCCTCCGACAAATGAGCCACCTAAGTAGGCACTACTAGTGTTCATCGCGCTTTAGGCTTTACTATACCTGTGAAACCAGCATGGTTAATTTCGTGTCGCGGAATTTTGAGATCCCGGTACCGGACACGTAATGCCCTAAGTGGTACAAACTGGTGTTGATGTGGTTTCGCTCTCCCTTCAAGGTCTTACAATACCCGTGCTCTTCGCCCAATTGCTCACGCCCGGCGAGGTCGACAAATTGAATCACTGCACGCGGTATTTTATTTTTCTTACTGCTCGAAGGAGCGGACGATGACGAGCCAATGCCACTTCCCCCTCCTCGCGAAAACTTATCATGCTGGGTTGAAAAATCCGCTGTGGCCGGAGTTGTCGCTTTCGAATCGTATAGCTTCAGTGTGCAGATCAGATGCGAGCGACTGGATGATGGGTTTATGCTTGTTGGTACCTGGAAATCAATTTCAATTCTTCATGTAGCGTAAATATAAATTTTCGAGCTACAGTGCAAGAAATTTCCGCTTTTTCATCTTTCAAAACGATGCTGCCAGATGAATCTATCAATCAGACTTGCAGTGGTCAGTCTACTTTTACTGCTTTTGATGCATCTCACCCACTACCCTACTTCTATTGGTTTCACCTGCGTTCGCCTTTCCGTTGCCTCTTTCAGCAACTCTAAGCAGTGGGTCGCGCTCAGCACACTGTTGACGCTCAGCCCGTCAACGTAAACGCCGCGGTCGGGGTGCACGCGAATGCTCAGACTGCTCCCGCACACGTGATCGCGGATCAAGTCACGCACCTGGCCGTTGTATAGCTCGCAACACTCCAGCGATGCCGAAGTCATGAGTGGAAGAATATTCTTACGACCATTTGATGTGCGATAATTGGACGACGGGGTCGTAGTTATGTCAGCAGCACGTGCTGCACCGTTCCGACCGGCTGTTGAACAAGCTTGAGTTTCAACATCTTGATGCAGTGCAGCCGGTGATGGCGTTCTCTGGTTCATCTGAATGGGGCGGCTGTGGTTGATGCTTCCACAGCTATTCAATACCTGGTTAGAAGACGAAGTACACGAGCTGTTCGGCGACATCGACGTTGCGGAGGTGCTGATGCTGCTGGACACTGAATTCATGACAGTCAGGTCTCTCTTATTGTCCTCTGCAGATGCGGAAATATGAAAACCAGCCTCACTATAACCTCGTTCACCTGCTGCGTTGTTGATATCATTGTGCGAGCCTTCGAACCCAGATTGATGTTGCTCCGCCGTCAGCAGCTTCTCCAGCAGATTGTAACAGACTCGTGGCATGATTCCCAAATCTGCCAGCATCGCCGACGTAGAAGTCGTGTTGCAGCCATTAATGTTGCTTCTTGGCTTATCCTCTGATGTACTAGCTCCTGCACATGATAGTGCAACTCCGTCCGGGTCCGCCCGCCACAAATCCCCGACGATACAATGCGTCTTCCCAGTTCCAGTAGCCCCACATGCGAGAATGCACGCAGACACGACCTCCGGTGTCGTGGTCCTTGCGGTCGTGGCACCAACTCCGATAATGGGTTCTACTCGATCTGACGAGCAAGAGAGACATGAGCTTGTTCCTGACAACTTCTCTTGCGCTTCAACACTACCTCGTCCTTGACCAAGCGCCTGCCCTTCCTGCGAGGAGGTTTGCAGTTCCTGCAAAACGCGCTGCACACAGGGTTCGCCGATCTGGTAGTAGAGATCATCCTGATTGCTGTACTCGTCGAGCACCTCCGTCAAATCAAATTTCCGCCCATGAATCTGCACGTACTATGCATTGCAAAAGTATCGCACTCGTACTAATTGCGTTTATGCATTGCAAGTCTCTTTATTAAGGCAGATCCGCATTACAACTTTAATTTGTAATGCCAAGTGAATTTCTGATGCAGTTGATACTAGTACGATACTTTTGCACCGGATACGTACTCCGGGGTAACCAGGATGGCGTCAATCAAGTCGCTGTCTTCCTCTTGGGCGGACACCGGACGAACCCGGGCGACGCAGGTGGTGTGGTGGTTCGGCACGACGACTTGATGATGTGTCTGAAACGGTAGTTGCGATGAAGTAGAAGTACATGATGACGCGGGGTTGTTCTTTTTCAACATCTGGCTCTTTTCATTTTTGTTGCGCCTGATGTCGGCCCCCGCGAAGGGAGGTGCCTTCGTGGGCCTCGGCGCCGGCGGTGTAGCTGGCGACAACATGATCCTGCAAAACCTGGAGTTGCAGCCTTTGGTGTCGTTCACGGTGCTCCAGCTGCGCCCGGCGTTGACGTTGTTCCACCCACTGCCCACCCGGCCATTTTTTTGACTGCTAAAACTTTCAGTTCTTTCCCCTATATGATACAACACCGTGGTGCGGCAAATCTTCACAAGGTATCCATTGAGCTTGAGGCCAACTTTTGCTGCACCTGCATGAGAGAGTGGCTTGCACACTTCTGCTTACTTACATCTCTTTCAAAAATGCCTCCGGATTTATTTCGTCAACAATTTTTTTACTTTTCATCAGCGCAAAAGCAACGACGACAATGCAGATCTCTTCACACCACAGCAAAAAGATCGTGAAAAAGCTCTACGAATCTTTCTGATCAAACAGGGACAAGCACCAAGGATCCGGAGGGACCAAGACCATGCGGGTAAAAGTATAAACATTTCTTTGTTATTTCGCAGCATGAGATACCGTCCTTTCGACGGCAAAAATCAAACGAGAGAAGATCGTTTGAATCTCCATCGCAATCGCAATCGAACAAACTGATGTACACAATGGGAAAATCCGAAGCGCAGAGGATGAGGAGCCGTGATGAATCTTCGCAACACGCACCTCAAAGGTATATTTTTCGCAAAAACTTTTAGTAATTTTCGCAAGGAACAGGGGGATACGCGTCAATTAGCAGGGTTGCAGCTTTCTTGGCCCAGTATATTCTTCTGTGTGACTTCTTGTGATGAAAATGCTATGCTTATGGTCAATCGCAGCCTGGGGGTACCAAGCTAGCTTAGGTGAGTACAACTTTTGTATTGTGTTTTTCCTCTAACTCTATCGAGTAGTCACAAAATTTCGACTTGATGTTGTGGCTGCACTGCTTCATGAATGCATCGCGGTCGGGGTACTTACGCTCATCAAACAATCTGTTGTGAAACTCATAGAACTACACAAAACTTTGTCGAGGAAAAAATTATGCGCCGCTAGTCTTTTTATTTCACTGACCCACCGACGACGGGAACTGCAGTGAGCAAATAAAGAACCAACGTAGTTCACGGGCTACGTAAAATGTGAAAGCGGGCTGTTTGATTATCTAGACGAGGAAGATTTGTGAGGGGACAACTTCCTGCTCTGTTAAAGAATTCATTGTGCGTGTTGTACTGTATTTTTATACCCTTGTTCTACTACAAAAAGCTAATTTGCTTCAGCACCTCAAAAAGCCGAGGCCTGGGTGAAGCCGACGACTTGGAAGCGGGCCTTCATCTCCGACTCAAGTTTCGCGGTTGTGTAAACCGGAACCTTTTCCACTTTTGCCGGGGCCTTGGCTTGGAGCTTCTCGCCGTTGCGCGGGCGCCCGGCGTGGTTCTGTTTTTGATTTTTATTCCTATCGATTTTGTTCATCTTGCGTAAAAAAAACTTTTTCGTGGTACAGTAGTTTTGCTTTTATTTACGTTCGTTGTCTCATGACGAGCGTGGTTAACTTTCTTTTCGATTTGATGTCGTGATCAAGATGAACCAAGTGTGCATTAGTACAAGAACACCCTAGTTAAATCCAAAGTCACCGAAAATTAATTCTTTTTCAAATCGAATTCAAACCAAATTCAAAATTTCAATGTTTCAGACTTTCATGGTGCCATTGGACACCTGTGGCGAGGGTCATTTTGCAAAAAAAGTCAGCAGTTGCCATGCCCGCCCCACCACAGAACCTGGCCCAGGTTTGGTCGTCATCCCACACAATGAACGCTTTGGGGACAATAGTCGCAAGCAGACTCCCATCACTCACCGCCCGCTCGTGGTGTTGTACCGCTCTCACACTCACACCATCCTCGGCGAGCATCTATCATTCAACGATCCCACCGAGCGCCCTCCGCCGGTTTGTGGAAGGAAAACGCCCGACAAAGCCGAGCTTACCGGGCACCCCTCCCGCCGGCCGCAGGCAGCACGGGGCCGGGCGGTGGAAGACACCACAACCAAAGGCCACAATACACGAGGAGGCTACGCTATGCTACTCGCCCGGATGAGTATGAAAAATAAGCGCCCAACCTTCAGGAGGGCGGATTGCTTTTTTTGCAAGGCGGGACAAGAGAGGCCTGGCCCTTCGGTTACCACCGTCGCGGCCCGCGTCGAACTCCCGAGGCCACCATGTGGGGAGCAGCAACTACCGCAGAGACAACGAATCTACCTGAAGCAAGGCAATTAGCCGCGCAGCCACAGCATTGGGCGTGGACGACCACACAAGCGCAGTGGCCCCAGGTTGTCCGGCTTCCAGCCATCCACTCCAAGCGATGCCACAGGCCTTCGCGCTTCGATGCGCTTTGCCAAAACACGAAGAAGGACACAGGGCGCGCGGCATTTATTGCTGGCCCTAGCTGGCGAATGAAAGATGAATAATACGCGCGCGCGCAGCGCGCGCGCCTCCAGAATACCTTTGCCGCTGCTGCTGTGGGGGCTACCTGGCGGCAATTTTCAGGCATGCTGGCGGTCGAGTGGCCCCGGCCCTAGGCTCGGAGCGTGGCTTCGCCCCCGGTTGACATTTCGAAGCGTCATTTATGGGGGAGGCCAATTTCAAAACGAAATTCATCCCACAGGCCAATTTCAAAACGTGATTCAAATTTCCCGCCAATTTCAAAACGTATTTCAAATTCCCCGCCAATTTCAAAACGAAATTCAAATCTCCGTTCAATTTCCGTTCAAAATCCGTTCAAAGCCCCTTCCCCATATTAGAAATTTGGTTTTGAACGGAATTTGAACGGATTTTGAACTTGATTTTGAAATGAGCCCCGGAAACAGAAAATCGGAGTTCGAATTTCTGTTCTCCGAGAAATACGGAAAAATACAAAAACCGTCTACGAGTGCGGTAACTGGGGAAGCCAATACGCAACCCCCCCTCTTGGCAAGAGAAAAGCACACCAGTCGCCCGGCCCCGGGACTGCTCCGTCCGGAATGCCCTTCCGGCGCCCGGGCTGCCGGAATAAGCGAAACCGCAGGCAGGCAGCTCTGTGGAGGTAGGCGCACTGCGCGAGGAGAAGGGGCCGGCCCACACTTGAGCAGGCAATCCCGCGCCCAGAACGGGACTGGGCCTGCCGAGAGTGCTAATCGTCCATCGCAGGGTCCCGGCCTGGAGACGCCGCCAATGTTGGAGCCACTCCACCGGACGTTGTCGTGTGGTCAGCACACAGTTCCAAGAAGCAAGACCTGGGTCAACCAGAGGAGAGGAAAACACCGCCCCGACGCTGCCAAGTCAGACGCGCTGGCGCTACGTTCTACCCCTGAAGCGCACCAAACACGGCCCGGCTATTCCTATTGCGCTCTGCCCTGCGTCGTCTTTACTTGTTTTAGGGCTCTGCTCGTGCTAGAAACATTGGCTCAACTACCAAAATAGGGGCACGACTCAGCGCAGCAGATGCGCTCGCTTTAACCCCCGTGCTACTGTGCGCCAGCCAGCCAAGCTGGAGCGCTAGGCACTCCTGAGCAGCCCCTTCGTTTTTTTGCGCGAAGGCTGCCGCGCGTCCTCCTCGTCTGATAGAAGATAAACCAGCGCCAGGCGGCGGCCTCAGAGAGACGACGGCGCCTGGTTCAGACGAGATGATTAGGCCATCGCCACAAACAGAAACCATGCGCCGGAAGGGCTCACTGTCCCAAGCCATGGCATGGGACCTGCGCAATAGCAGATACATTCTGAAGCATAGACGCTGGCGCCACTTTCAAGACAACGCCAACGGGTGCGACGGGCGCTTCGCCTTTCGCTCAACATTAGCCGATTTGAGGAAACGAAGGAAACGACTTTCAGGCCACTCTGACGTTTCCGAAACGCCGAAAGTGCTACATTTTGAAATCGGTTTGAATTCGTTTTGAATTAATTTTGGTGTCGTGCGCTTTAGAGTTAAACCCTAGCCATTAGCAAGCTTCATATGGATCATTCATCAAGTGCAAGATTCAGCATTGAGCAGCAGCAAGACGGTTTGATAGTTGTACTACTAAAAAAATAAATATGAATCTATTATACCCAGTCCGTCCTGCGTCCCTCGCGCTTTTTCAGTTCCCAGGGTGCTGCGCCCAGCACGATGGAGGTTTTCCGCAGGGCGGCGATCTTGTCCGCAATACTCAATTCTTGCACCATGATGCCTACGAAAGGAGGTTGTTAGTTTATTCTCGGAAACTCAAGTAGCTTTTGCTCTGAAACTTAATCTGATTGAACAATACGGCAGCTTAGTCAGACTCCGTACTAGCTTGGATGCAGTTGCGAAGTATAAATTTCTTGCGGTGGGAAACTAGTGAGAGTCAGGTAAAGCTCGAATTGTCGTGTGGGGACCAAAAGTTGGCGTGATTTTTTGTCCTGTAGGTAGTGCATCGGTAAAGGAACAAGACAAGGATAAATTTGAATGTTATCAAAAACAAGACCACGAATACGAAAACGACGAAAGTACAAATAGGAGACGACCAATCCAATTCACATCGGTATTTGTCCTTCTTTGTTTTTGTACGACGCGGTGCACGAGCAGACCGAATGAAAATCACGATTGATATTATTAAGGCTTTTATTCTCATTTTGCCTTTGCTTCTTTTTGCTCGGTACGACTAGGCTGTAAGTACTACTTAATAAGTAGTCAATTATGGGCAGGAATAGAATACGAAGACCGATTTTTCCTGTTTGTAGTTCTTGCACTGGTAAATATACGTGGCAGTAGTTGTAAGTGCAGGTCGTGCGCTGTCGTGCCGGTGAAAACAAAACCGAGATTGACGTTTTTTGTTCACTGTTGCAAAACCGAATTCGTTTTTTCACTGATTCTCTACTTCTTTTCTCGACTGACGGAGCCCAACATCAATATCTCCGACGTTGATGCCGCAGGTGGGATCATAACAAGTTCTACTTTCTTGCTTTGAAAGATGACACTGCAGCTTTTCTATTGGATTCTGAATCACAGATGTTGAACAAAGGAATTAATGCTTAGTTAGTAAGTACTAAAACTTCGTGTTTTTTCATTCAAACTGGCTCCGCCACCTCTCATCGAATTCCTCGATCGGCGGCACGTAGTAATCAGCGTGAAACCTTTGCGCCAGCCGCAAAAAATGGAAGCGAAAATTGACCGCGTCGCTGTACTTTTCCCGCTCCCATTCGTTTTCCATCCGCTGCGCTAATTCCAACGGAAGGTCCTTATCGTCGAGGTCCGAGGAGTGAAAATCGATGCCCCGGTTCTCGCACCGGACCTTCTCCTCGATATCCGGGTCGTATTTCTGGTCGAAACGCTTTATCATCTCTAACGCCGTCGGCCGCGCGCGTGGGTCCAAGTTGAAGCAGTTTTCGAGCCGGGGATCCGACAAAGCGTCCCACACCGCATTGTTGGTGAGTATATCCTCCCACTCCAGCGGCTCGTAGTACTTCCAGTATCATTTGTAAAAACGTCCCCACACTACCACTAGAGTCAAGATGGGAAATCTGCTAGACAAATCAGCCAGCTTTGGTCGGTTGGCATGACAAGTTTCTCCTCATAGTGTGATCCTGTTTAGGTAGTTCAGCAGCATCACAGATCTAGTATATCATGCTCATTATAGCATCACAAATTGAAAAACACGACTAGAAAATGCTTTTGATGGCGCTACGCATGAGAAACTTTTTTGGAATGCAGAATTGCATGACAACTCTGGGGTGGGTACGTTTTTACACAGGATATCCAGAAGTACTGCTTCATTTTCTCCAACGACTTCTGCTGCTCCGCGGTGTAAAAGGGCTTAGCACTGCTATTTTGCCTTTGGAGATTTGCGGTAGAAGATGAAGAAGAGCTCGACAGCTTGTTTGCTCCACCTGCAGATGACGATGAGCCTTTCTCTTTGTCTTTGTTCTGCTGCTTGTTTGTACTTCCTCCACCAACATCCGTCGCCGTGTCTGTTTTTGCTCCTGCGGATGAACTTGCACTACCAGCACTAGAAGCTTTTTTCTTCTCTTCCTTTTCCTGCTGTTTCCGCTTTTCCTCTTTCTTAATCTCTTCAAACTTGTCCGGCACCTTACTGGTGGGCGACGTGCTTCTCTGGTGCACCTCCTGCTATCAAATGCAAATATGTCTGGGTCGGGAAGAGTGCAGGAGTTTGTCATGTAGATTTTGCATGGCCCACGAGGTCTGTGATGCATGCTGTAGCGTCAGAGATTCTGCGAGGGCTTTCTGATGCTCATACCGCATGAGCAATGCCCTCTCCGCGTAGCAAAAATTGCACCTCTGTTGCTGTTCATGCAATACAAATCTTTTTCAGAATCCAAAGCCAGCGTCACAAGTTGCAACCTTCCAGACCCAGACATATTTGCAATGCATACCTGCGCCAAGGGGACGATCACCCCATACTGGTTGTCCATCCCCCGGACCGCCTCCAGCCGGGCGCGCTCGGACTCTTCTTCGACGGTGTCTAGAGTGCTGCTAGCTCTTTTCACACTGTCCGTGTCTCCACCTTGTTGCGGTGCGGATGATTCTCCTTGTTGCTCATGTTCTGTCGCGGTCAGCTTCTCGTCCCCACCTCCTGTTGCAGTTCTTGTGCTGCCTTCTTGATCGGCCGCACTAGAAACGACTTCACCTCCGTGATCATCTACTACTCCTACTTCTGTTGCGTCCTTCTTCATCCCACCCGTGGTCTGTTCGTCGACTTCTGCACCCACGGATGAAGTTGTAGTAGTACCATTGCCTGCTCCTTGCAGCTGCTTCCCGCCGGATAATGAGCTGTCTGTTGTTGTACCAGCCTTGCTATTCGCGCTTTTTCTTGTTCCCCCGTTTTTTTTTGAAGTGTGCTTTTTCTCGCCATTCTCCTCGTCATCATCCAAGTCGACGAATTTCTTTCCCTTTTTCTTCTTGCTGGCCGCGTCCTCCATCTGCTTTCGCGCTTTCTCGTCGTAGAACATGGCAATCCCCGCCCCGATACACAACCGCTCCACGGGCGGCTGTATGCATTGCAAATATGTCTGGGTCTCGAAACTTGTAATGTTAAAAGTGAATGGTAGACGGACTGCAGTACGCCGCTATGCATGACAAATATTTTGGCTCCCATGTCTTACGACGTATTCCGCATTGCAAACTGCGTTTTTGCATAACAGGTAAGAGGGCCTTTTCGTGCCTATGCAACACAGATTCTCGATTCATGCCAGACAAGCATGACAGGCTTGCATTCTTCCAGACCCAGACATTTTTGCATTTGATACGCTCCAGGCCCGAGCAGATCGGCACTTCTGCGGCTTTCCGCTCCTCAAGTGACACGTCACTGTCTTTCACGCGATTCAGCTTGTCCGCAGCGATGCACAGCGCGCCGGCGAAAACGTCCGATTTGTCGGACAATTCCCCCCCAACCACCTGTTCCGGTGACAGAAAGCGGTCGTCCGGGTGCATGGCGCTGCAGCAGGGGTGCTTTGGACGGATCTTTTTGTTCAGGAGCTGCAAATTCGCGGCGGCCCGCTTCTGCTCCAGTGCGTACCGCCGCTGCTGATACTCGGTGGTCACCGGCTCGCCGTGTTTAGAAGTACCGCCGCTTTTGATTCCGGACGAAGTAGAGCCACTTGCACCTCCGTCGTCGCTCTGCTCTAAAGCCGGCGTCCGCGTCAGCTTCCCGCTAGAATTCAGTAGTCCAGTGGAGCTTTTCTTCTTCACCGCTTGCTTCTCCTTGCCGGGCACTTTCCCCTTGACAGCCTGTTGTTGTTCTCTACTGCTTTGCCTCTCTGTAATTCCGCCCGCCGAGTTGGCACTCGCAGTCGCCCCACCGCCCCCGAGGCCACCAATGCGGTCCTTGGCGGCCCGCTCCTGCTGCCGCTTTTCCAGCTCGAAATTGTAGCAAGACAGGTTCCAGGTGGGCACAACGGTCATGGGGTTTAAGTAAACGCTGTTGACAAAGGAGGAGAAGTGTTTCGCGAATGCGAATTTCTGCCGGTGCATGTGGTACATAAAGTGGAACAGCTCGGCTTGCGAAAGCCTCCGCGGCAAGTCGTACACCAGAAAGGCCTCGACAATGTCCAGCCGGTCGTTCTTACTGGTCTTGTCCGTCGGGACGATCACGTCAAACAGCCGGGGAAGCTTGAACGGCATGCGCAAATGACTCCAGAAATCGACCTCCTCGTAGATACGCATGCAGAACTCCAGTCTTTGGTCCCGCAGGAAGACCTCTGTTGTGACCCGGGTTTCGTAGAGACGAGGAACAGCAAAGTGCAAAAAATTAAAATGATTAATCGATATTGTGAGATCTTGTGACTTGTGTACTTAATGATGCGAAACAAGCGGAATCGCAAACTAACGTAACGGTAACAGGAGATAGAAAACACCCACGTTTGTCAACATCAAGCGCACGCTCTAGAGCAGACCAAGTACAAGTTCGTCAAGGACTACGTAGCTACATGACCATCTTGATTTATTTACTTTATGTTTTTTGATAATTTCATTATACCTCAATCCGGTCGGAGCGGTAGTATTCCTCTAAGTCGCGTTCTTTCACCTCCTCGAGATATTTCCACCGCGTCTCCTTCGCGCTGTCGGACTGCAGCACCGAGTCCAGTTTGTCCTGGACCTGCTGGGCCCGGGCAGCAGACTTGTCCTCCTGCATCTCCTGTGGATTGCAAAACTGTCTGGGTCTGGAACATTGCTGAGGTTTGTGATGCTGTGTCTGCTTGACACAGAAGGTGTGCCATGCAAGGCCTAGCATCACAGGTTTTGAGACGGTTTCCCAATGCTTAATCCGCATGACAAACACCTTCTTTCGGCGACAGGAAAAGGAGCTCCGTTTGCTGTCTAAGCATGACAGATTTTTGTGTGATCCACCAAGTATGCATCACAAGTTCGCACCCTTCCAGACCCAGACATTTTAATCTTTGCATTTGGTATCTCCTTCGCAGACTTTTTCGGCACGAACCGGATCCGGTCCTTCAGCTTGATGTCGTTCTTGTTCGCGATCGGGATCCAGGGGGACAAAGGGCCAAATTTGCAGCGTTTGATCTTCTATGCACTGCAAAAATGTCTGGGTCTGGAGGGATGCAGATAGTTGTCATGCAGTTTTTGCATGACCCAGAATGTCTGTCATGGAAATAGCCCTAGCACCACAGATTTCGAGAAGCCTCCGCATTGCTTAATCCGCCTGACAAATCCCCCATTTTGGTGACAGGAAGTGCGCATCTTTTGCTGCCTATGCATGAGAGATTTGTCTGTGTTGTGAAATGCGCATCACAAGTTCGCATCCCTCCAGACCCAGACATTTTTGCATCTGATATCTTCACCAGCCGGATCTGGCCGGTCCCGGGGTCTTTGTATTCAGCGGTGGCCAGCTCGAAACACTCATCAAAGTGGTCGATCGTCTTCAGCTTGTACTCCAGACTGGGGAGCGCAGCTTCGTACTGCGGGGGGATGCGGGCCACGCGGTACTGGGATTTTGCCACGCCATCATCGGCCTTCTCGTCGATCTCGACGGAGGCGCCGCCACCACCAGCTGGTGCGGCCCCGGAGGCGTCGTCGGACATTTTTCTGGACAAAAGATGCGAAGGAGACAGACAAAGTTCAAATGCACACGCTACCGGTGTGGAAACGGATCTCTAGCTGTAGCTCCTGCACCAGGAGTGTGCTACGCAACAGCTTTCTTACGTCGCTATGTGTGCTGCTCTCAATTGTATTTGATCCGAGATGCTTATCAATCTCAGTAACCGTAGGCCCGGCTCGCCTTCTCGTCCGGCAGCCACTTTGTGGCATCGCTCAGTGCTGCTGCGCCACTACTACGCTCGGCCGATAAATTGGGTAAGAAAAGACCAACTTGCTCACGGCACACTCAGTCTTCTTGACGATTGTCGGCGCCAACCCCTGTGCGTCTGTCTGTACCGCAACACCGCTTTACTTTGGCATCCAGACTGCTTCAAGCCGCTTCTGCTTCAAGTTTAAGTTTAACGCCACCATAATATAAAAAAACACGCGAGATGAAACGAGCCACCATCTCCCATTTCGCCCACGACGATGGCCTAGCATCTTCCACGCTGCTGCGTGATGCGCAGGCGCGCACAGCGCGCTGCACGCAATCGATGTGGCCATCTGAGTGGCTGCGCTGCCCGACGCACGCGCCGCGGCGGGGGCGGCAAACAACGTGCGCGCCAGCCTCCACACTGACATGACACAACCACCAAAATAGATGGGCCGGGGGCACAGACCCGGGGGCGCCAAGCCCCAACCCCGAACAACGAACCCCAACGCCGCGCCCCCGGGCGCGCGGCGCAAGCACAACACCCGCGCCACACGAACGCACCCAAGTCAGGTACAACATTGGCGCCCCGCCTCCGAGGGAAGCAACCCCCCCCCGCCCCCGCCCGGGTGCCGGCCGCGACCCTTCTTGCTGGGGCTTCGAGGGAGCGGGAGCAGCGGGGGGCAAAACAAAGAGGCGCGGCAGCCTCGGACCGACGAAAATAGTGGCCCGCGTTAGTTCGTTGCGCCGATGGCAACTTTCTGCTTCCTGTCGGGCGGAGCACTTCTGCCTGCTGGCCGGCTCCGCCGCCGGGCTAGGGGCTTTGCGCCTTGCCCATTGCCAGGGCAGGCCGGCCGCGCCACCGGGCAACCAGGCGGGGGGTCAGTCTTGTTGCTGACGCGCTACGTGCGCGCGGGCCCGGTCTTTCTGCGGGGCTTCCCCCGGACGTAGCCGCGTGCCCGCAGGCGTGCTGCACAAGGGTGCGCGGCCGCCGCCTGCGGCGCCGTGGGAATGATGGGCGCGGTTTTCGTCGTCCCGGCGACCCACTTGGACGGAAGCAACCCAGCGGACTTGTACGCCTCGCGATGCAATTTGTTCGAAGTACCGACGCGAGCTGCCACCTGGTCACGCGCCCCCCCCCCCGCCACGTCGTGGTCGTCCGCCCGTCTAAATTTCCAAAAGGGTAATACTTCCGGCCGGGTTGTCCTCGGGGTCGTTCACCGTAATGCAGGAAAGAAAATAGCTCGAAGCTCGAATTTCCGGCAGTATGAAAGGCATAAAATTGAAATCATCAAAGTCAGAAGCGCTTCAGAAGGATGTGTGCAAGCGATGCAAAAAAAAACCGGACTCCGTGGCCTATAATTATCAATGAGTAAAACTAACGCGACGACAAGGGCCACGGCATAAAAGTAAGTCGCCACTATGAAGCTAGTGCTGTGCTCTGGGGGTTGGTTTATCGACGTCCGGGCATTTGATTTTAGTTGATTTCAGTCTTCCGCCTCTCATACCGTGCCTCTTCTTCATAGCAGACCCGAGACCAGGGGCCGACCGCCACCCCCGCATGCGCCCTGCCCAACCAGAACGGGCCGGCCCGCAAGCTGGCGCCTTGGGGCTACAACCCGGACAGGGCGCCTGCGCCCTACATTGCCCCAGGTGCGGCCCCATGGTGCGCACCGGGCCGAAGCAAAAAGTCCCCCGCCTCGGAGCCGGACCACGACGGCCCTTGCTAGCGAGGACGCTGCCCCCCATGAGCGAAATTCGCCGGCGGTTCTTCTCGCTTGGTACCCGGCCAGCGGCCGCGTTGGGTCCGTCTTCTGGGCGGGCGCGGTAGGGTGAGGGCATGCGCGTGGGCGCCGGGGGCTTGGTGGCACACCACGCGCGCGGCGCAGGGAGGGGGTACGACCGGGCGGCCGGGCGCCGATGTTACGCCGACAACCGCCACCAAAACCCCAGCCCAATCGCGCCCCGCCGCCCCCCAGGGCGGGCCGGGAAGGACATGGCCCGCAAAAACGTGGCAGCGCGGTCCGGCAGCCGTGGCACGGCAGCACGGCCGCACCAACTACACGACACGGCCGGGGGCCAAGTGCGCGCAACTGAAAATAAGAGACGGGGGCGGCCAAACTGTGCTGCCCTTACTTATTCTATGCCCCCCGGTGCTTTCGGTTTCAGCTCGGAGTGCTTCGCGGTCGAACACGAGAACGAAAGGACAAGGGGACACCAGCATGCGGATTTGCAATGCGTGCCGCCCTTCCTTAATGTCTAGCAAGTAATTATATTCATACGTCGGCACTTTTCGCAGCGCAAAATACAAGTAGCGGCGTACATGATACACATTTCAGAGTCGGTATTGAATAAGCTTGTTGTCTTGTAGTTGGAGTTACATGATAGGAGAACCAATTCGACCGGCCAGAGCCTCTGGGAGCCGCGTTCGATGGCTTACACTTAGGGTCGCGTAGTTATCGAGCTCCACTAGCAGTGATAGTACAAGTTTTATACGCAAAGGCAAAAGGACAAAAGAGCGAATACGAAACGACTAATCATACAAAGATAAAGCAAGAAGTCAGCATATCGTGATACATCGTCAGCTGAAAACGCAATGTAACGAAAATAGGTTCGAACCAACCTCAGTGAAAGCACCCACGTGAGGCTGAGGGCTGCGTGTCCTTGGAGGGTGTTCACCTTCTGCTCACAACCTCGTACCAGCATCTACTTGATCCCCCACCTGTAATTGCTGCTGTTCCATCTCCTCCTCCGTATGAAGATCGCGCCCGGAGGGCGATATTGGTAACCAAATGCGTGCGCGAAAATCTAACCAGCGCGAAAGCCAAACCAGCCGCGCGGCGAAAGCGCGGCCCTGC